CTGCCCATTGTTCAAATCCTGTTGAGGTTTTCACTACAGAGCCATTTTTAGCACTACTTGTGATACAACAGACTTATGATGTCCATGTATAATGCAAAATTGTGTGAAATTGTACTTTTAAGATATTTTTAGGCAGGACAGTCTTGTAAGGGTAGATCACCTCTCAACAAGAGCTATTACATTCAAGATAATCCTCTCTCCACTTTCCTCTTATATCATTATACTTTCATATAGCACTGGGCTCACCAGGTTGGCCAGGGTTAGTTGGTCCCAGATGTATATGGAGATATGGAGACATATGGAGATATGGAGACCAGAACGCTCCCATATATCTTTTCTATGGATTACAAATGTGTTCAGAGGATAAAATATTTGAATGGTCATTTTTTACTGTCATTACTTCCGCTGGAAATGGTTGAATAAAAGCCCCACTGTTCTTTTGATTTTACCTTGAATCGGCATCATTCTATATAAAGGTACATGTATGTAGGCTGGACTGGTTTGGTAATCTGTGTGCTTGAAGGTTGAGAGTGTAATTTACCACTAAGTAAAAGAAAATAAACTCATGAAATGTTTTGATGCCGTCTCTGTGTGTTGGTCAGTTATAGTGGCATAGTGTTCTATCTTCATGTGGTATTAGATTGATGACTGAATGTTCTTAAAGTGTGGCATCTTGGCTGTTTTGGCACAATATTGACATAGTCTTCTGTTTCTTCCCAGGGGGTTAATAAGATCTTGTCTTACCCCTCTGACCTGTTAGTTACATCACTTAGGGATCTCTTAGAAATTGTTGATGCAATGTGATAGAAACATATACATCACCAAGGAAACATTGAGGTAATCCAGGATAAGTTAAACATATTGAATAAAATGAGTTAATAATAATATACAGCACAAATTTCACTCATATGATCTATTTTTGTGTCAATGTATTCGAAAAACCTTGATTTAGTAATGGAAGTTGAAAATAATTTGGATTAGTTCCCTTGTATTGGTTGCTTGGGCAGCTGGAATATGGGCTATGGGTTTGTTTAGCTCAGGTATCTCATGGGATGTGACTTGATAAAATGTCTGCTAACAGATGAGATACAGTTGAGTACACTATTACCCTAAGTTTATTTTGAATTCCAAAAATGTGTTGTTATTTGGATAGGTATTACTGTGGAGCATGAGATATGATATTTTCTACTTTCTGATCCAAGAGACAGCTGCATGTCTTGATGCATCCTGATACTCATAGCATCTTTCTGTTTCAAGGCTGAGAAGAAATGATGTGTCATGGTTTATCATGATGGCCTTTATGGTGAAGGAATAGCAAATAAATGTCAAGTCCATAGTTTATACCAATGAAGTGAGTCAGATTTGACCAATTTACCCACATGTTTCTCATCATCTAATCCAGGGACCAAAGGCCTGGTCAAAGTGAAATCAGAGCCTGTGAAGCCATCAACCTGTCAATCTGCTGATATTCACCACTTGTCCACTTTGACAGATGTGAGACTTATCTCTATTAGTTGCTGATTGTAGCAGCTTATTTAGACATCTTCTCAAAAATATGAGATGAAATAAAATCAACAAACATTATACAGTTCTTTCATGTATACTGTTAATCATTTGCACTCTTAATAAAACATGCATCCACCTTATAATCATGAAAAGAATATCTGGTAGCTGTTAAGTGTTGGGCTTTCATATTTTAGATTGAGAATTATTCTGGATATTAGGTTTCGTGAGAAGGCAGAACCAATTCTAAAAAACAAACCCTTTCCGTTCATAGTTGCTGATGAAGAGATAAAGCATGAATAGAGAATGGGGTTTCTGACCATTGCTCCCAAGAAGTTCCCACGAGTTAATTAGCATAGGAAAAATCACATACTAACTGGAACAAGGTAGACTCGACTACAGACTGAATTCTGTTGAAACTGGCTCTGTTTGAATTATCCTTCTAGAAACAGGCTCCATGAAGGAAATTCTTATGTTCTTCCAGCCCCAGGCTCCCAGGTGTGTGTCTATGGTGTGGATTTAATATACCCTTTGCTAGAACTCGACTTTGTCTACCTCTTAAATAACTATATTAATTGTTAGCAGAGTGGATAATGCAAATAAGTAGCTAATATACATTTCATGTACTCCTGTATAACTGCCAGGGAAGTTACATCTGAGATTGTTCAAAACATATCAGCATCAAAATGTTGTCAAAGGGTAGAATAGTTAGCCATTTTGGGACTCTTGTGTCCATTTTTAGAACTGTCATAAGTTACGATTTGTTAGAAAGTCACAGGATGTCAAAAAGTAGTCAATGGTTTTCTTTGAATCGTAAGTTATGATCATACTAAAAATGTACCCCTGGGTAGGCTTAGTTGTGATACCTTTTATACCTAAAATATTGCGATAGCTACACATTATTAAAAGAATTTTACCAAATACTAAATAATTCTGTATTTTGTAATATCATTTTGGTCTCATTTGAAGTGTGTCTGTGAGTAGAGTATGCTTCCCAGATGACCCTGTGGTTTGTTGATGTTCTGATTCCTCATCATTATTGAGGCATCAACAGCTCTGTTTTCATATCTGGTAAGCAGTGTATCTCTTTATGATAAATAGATAACATATGTATTGATGTAATGATGAGACATAAGAAAATAAATATACAGGCAAGACTAGACTGTTGAATAACATGATAAAATTTTGAAGGGTCACATCCTAGGATCATTCTTTCACCTTTGTTTATAAGTAAGTTCTGATATTCATGAGCCACATTTATTTTGTCAGTAGAAAGAAGTTAAATTATAAACAGTTCTATAGACGGCTAAATGTTACAATTTTAAGAGGCACGTACTCATACTTATTTTTAAATAGGTAGGAGGATAAACTGTTGAATCTGCACACTTGAGCACATCTTTGTTTTTCTGAGGGTCTGTCTACCAACAATAGCTGCCATCTGCTGTGTCACATTCCAAGACACGTCTCTCTATCTCAACATCTGTCCTGCTCCGACCAATCACATTCTGATAATTTCAGCATATTTTGAAGCCAGTTTGATCTATTTCAAGTATTTTTGTTTAATATTTTTGGTATTTTCAAATTGTAGGTTAATGGTCAAGTGTGGCTGTTCTTTTTTTGTAAAGTTGGTGTTTTTGAACAAATGGTGGAAGTTTAGAGGAAATGCCACCTGAGTTCAAATGATTCATGAAAGAGAAATATTAAGTTTTTAACTTGAGAAGACATACTTTTAACTTAAACAATTATTTGTATTTGACTGAGGATAGTAGAAAGAACATCATTACCTAGAACACTCACAAGCAGTAATGCATCTGCCAAATATAGTTGAACATTTCAAACATAATTGGTTTAAAAAATGAAAATATCCTCAAGAAATATTTTGATGAAGCTTACTCGATTATTATTAGAAGTTAATAAGAACCCAGACACACTTTCATGTTTTACTATTCCAATTATATATTCATGCTTGAATTGATATTTTCATATTACCCATTTTTTATTTTATTTTTACGATTATAGCTTGCAGTAGGACATTCATCTCAGAATCCACACGTTTCTTTTGAACTTTCCAATATTTGATTTCTTAAGTGAAGGCCATTAGTAATAAATCTATCAAAAGCGTGCATGTGATCATTTATCTTTAATATACACCACCAACTGGCCTTTTGATCAGGTAAATAAGTAGAAAGCCTTTAGAATATGTGTTGATATTAATAATGTCTCTTTGACAGTTGTTCCTTAGCCCCCCTAGGTCCAGTTTATTCACAGTTAAACCCCACCCCCTTCTATTGGTCAGTGAAGACAATTTGCATGATATTCAACAAGTCATTTATAATGTGATGACAATAGTAAGGGGAGATCTCCATATTGAGAATTCATAAAGGACAGAAACAGGTAGATGTATGTTTATTAAAAAGGATATTGTAAGTAACACAAATATGTTCAGAACAAATTATTTTATTATCGTAAGTAACACAAATGTGTTCAGAACAAATTATTTTATTATTCTATTGATATAATTTGGGGTGGTTTCAATAGTCAGAGCTGGTAGGAAAGTATAATGAGACAGTCCCTTGCCGTATGATAATTCTATATCCTGGTACAAAGAAAGTCCACAGTAGATATGTGCATTGGAGCAGACAATACTCAAAGGTATACCTCATTGGGTTCACCCCACCCTATGTATCAGTAGTATCAGTAGACCATAAAGGCAGATGTTACAGTAAGCCCTTGAAACCTAAACACTGTTTTATATCACGCTCAGCTCCTTGAGGGTGCTTGGAGAGTATCACTGTGTCAGGATAGCCTTCCAAGAACATAGGTAAGTAGAAGGGAAAATACATGTTCCACCTTGTATATGATTTCATCTTGGCTGTGAATTTTTGTAGCTCTGGGTCCGCAAAGGTATATATCTTGTGGATTTGACTAACAACTATGAGTGTGTTTTATTTTTTGGTAATGTGAGGGTTATTTCAGGTATTTTTTGCAATTTTTGATGGAATTTTGGTAAGGTTTGAGGTTGTTTGTAAGACTGTGCTGTGTTCTCAAGTGGGGAACTTAGTAAAAGAGTGGATCCAGGGATGGTCTGCTAGTCTGTGGTATAATCTGGTCTCTGCCTTCCAGCTTCTTTTGTCAAAGTCATACACATCCACATGTTTCGTATTTCGTTAAGTACTGATACAATAACTGCACTGGAAGAAAGTAAAAGGGCTTCAAATGTCAAAGATGTCTGGTAAAAAACTTGGATATAACAGAATCAAACTGGATATTTATTAATACATGTATGATTATAACAATGGTGAGAATCACGTTTCCAGACATCGTAGTGTAGATACTTTCTCAAACGTGAATTTCTAAAGACAACATGATCACATTGGAGTTTCACATGACTCGGAAGGAAACAGTTGTTGACACTCGTGAACTTTGTTGCGAAAAAAGTTCCTGATATAACATAGTATATTGATTTTACTTCATTATGTTTTCTTGTGTGTTTCCAGGTCCTATGGCACTTGGATATATTCCGTAGAAGTTTTCGATCACTAACGGGCCACGCCTGTATGGGAAACTCTTGCATATTCTGTGCGCTGAAGGTAAGAAACTTGAAATTTTGACTACATTGTATTTATAGAAAGAGTGAGAGAGAATTATTAGATTAAGCAGAAGAAATTTTAATTTCTCAGCCATCAATTCAATGTCTATTATACATTTTTAAGTAGAGCCTCAATTCACACTGAGCGCTCAGTCTGATTCTTTGAAACAGGAAATACTGGAGATGAGTCTAGATAAATTCAATCAATAAAAAATAGTAATTGAAAAATGTTAATTGAGGTAGTTTCTTTTATCTCTTTTGTTGAAGATTCAACCCTGCATAGGGTAGTTCAGTTATCCTAGCTTTGTATATTGACTTTTATTCAAGAACACACAAATGTCACTAATATATTTTTATAACTCAATTGTTTGAAGAGTTTCATATGAAGTTGGATATGATATGATGCTTTTCTTTTGTCTCTTGATTTAGAATATTGATTAATGCAGATATGAAATGAAAATATTTTCTATATTTATTGGTCGCTTATAAATATACTATTGATTAAAAAGTAGATTTATTTGATTTTGTAATGTAATTTGTGATTTGATAGGTATATCTTATTGCATTTTGTCATTTGCGATTTGATATTTAGTTGATATCACTGATTTCTAAAATGCAATAATTGAAACCAATATCAGATAACTGTCAATTTCAAACCTCAACTCATGTCATCATGACCTTAGTGCTGTAATGTCAATATTTAAGTAACACATAATAATTTTTTATAGTTTGAATAAGATTATATAGTTTACTTTGAACTTCAATTGGTTTATGTTAAGTGTTATGCCATAAAAAAATACTCGTAAGTTAAGATATATGAGAAGGGTGGACAAAATAATGAACTTTGAGAGTGATTTCATGCGATAAAAAAGCAACATGAGATTTCCTTTTAAATTATCAATTTATAATAATGTTTGGTGACAAGTTCTTAGAATGATCAAAACGAAACCAGTGTCATGATAAACCATGGTACCATATTTCTTTTCATCTATGATATGTATCTCATAATACAGAATATATATCATGATGTAGAATATATCTCATGATACAGAATGAATCTCATGATACAGAATGTGCCTATTGGTAAAGAACTTAAAGGAGTTTAATGCTGTTTTAATTCTGGCACTAATATAGAATACTTAACAAAAGCTTTTTATTTATTATTTTAAATTAACAGTATTTATATGTGTCCATTGATCTATTCCCCATACTGGTCAGAATCACAATGACGCACCTTTTATAATTAATAATGCTTTCACAATGGTCCTTGCAGATGGGACTAATCCCATAATCAGACACAACTGGTCGGAAATTACTGTATTCAGTGGGGATTAACCTACTTCATTTTGTAATTAAAGTTATCAGTTGAAATTAGAAATTTACCTGCAAAGAGATGACTCATCTGAAATACGTGAAAAGATGAAATGCATCTGACTTAGAGGAACAGTTCTGTAATTATAAATTGAATGATAAGCCCTAATATGGGCATTAAAATGCAATATTAGCACGCAAATGGGGTTTATTGACTGGAAAGCAAATGGAAATTGCAGTGATCATTCACTTTCAGTGACACAATTTGTCAGTGTGTAAAATACAGTAGGTTTTAACGTGATGTTAGTTTATTAATCTCATTTTTATCCATATTCCTTCATTATACAAATCCAGACAATAGATATACTAATTATATGTCTCAGGCGTGTTATATCTCTCCAAGTCTCCCATTATATATACATGCTTTCTACCAATAAATGATATAATTACCATAGACCCCAAAGGGATATTATTATTCCATCTTTAATATGTTTTTTTTTATCATAAATCATGGCATGATGGATTGTATTAGCCTGGCTCGTTAATTGGAAAAAGGTTTAATTGGATAACTAGCTCATAACCCATTTAGCTCAAATGGCTCTGAACTATTGTTTTAAATTAATGATGATTTCATTCGATTCACTTGAAATTAGGGTGAAGGATGTATCAACATATACATAGTTGATGAGCTAGGCTCAAAAATAGGAGAATGCTCAAACTTCCTCATCTCCATATGTTATTTAACTTTGCCTTGTATTGGTACCCTGGAACTTTCTGTGAAAGAATATGAATTCATTGTACAAAGAAATTGAAAAGGCTGGGGCATGATGACATAAAAAGGTGTTTCTGAAGTAAATTGTAAACAGTGCTTACTTGTCACTATGACAACATCAACTAAAATCATGTTTCTGTATACAAATAAAAGCTGACTCATCCAGGTGTGGCCAATTCTTGTTACATCGTAGAGTTTTATGATAGGTAATAATTCCAAATCAAGTTATATTAACGTACTTCAATGATGAGCAACAATATACAGAAATATCAATAGTCAAACACAAGGGTGGCACCCAATGAATGATCCTTGAAACTCCAGAAAGAACTATGTGATGGCTGATTATTAGTTCACAATTTTATGATTTTCATATTATGAAGTTTTTCATCAAAATCCATATTTGGGGGTCTGTGTTGCGAATAATAGTTTAGAAATGTAATACTTGTAGCAAGGGTATCAGACTTAGAAGACAGGTAATCACTTTGAGAGGATGTTACCATAGCAACCACAGGTTTGTTTGACTGGGTCCATTTAATCACTAGTCTAGAACATTTTAGTACTCTATCTGAAATAAGATAGTAATTTACACAGTTAATACAATAGAAAATGAAATCCTATTCAGAAAAATGTAAAATCGAAACCTGAAAATGATTGATGTGGACTTTGTGAATGTATTCTAATGAAATATAGAAGAGATGAGATATTAGACTTCAGGGAAACTATTAATTTGTAAGATTTATGAAGATGAATAGTTTTATCAGTTTGATACATGCGGTTATCATGACCACATAGATAGTGAAGCAAGTCCATAATGAGCAAAATAGATTATCTCGTTAATTCTACATTAATTATAAGATTTGATCCATCAGGCACAGGTAAGAGAGGTACTGGCACTCTTGCTATATGGCATTAATTAGATTGAAAATGAAATTGAAATCGATGAATATTAGCTATTTTGTGAAGGTATTGATCTTTATATAGATCTTCTTCAGTAACAAAATTACCAAGTATGATTTTATCATCATGTAAGATATTTTGGGGTTTAGGAGCAATGTTTATCATATTCCAGTAAAGCATGTAGATGTCACACTTCAGTATCTATATGGAATGTCTAGAAATCAGCATCTTCATGTATCTGGTTACTCATTAGCTTATCATCCATGATGACACTGATGTACTTTCTGTTTCATCTGTGCATCCTATCCAATATATAAGAACATCAGAGAGAAGGGGCATGACTTGCTGGCTATCATATCTGATGATGGCACTGATTTAGTTGATGTATCATCTCTATATACATCAACATATCAGGCAGATATTTGTCTTGTCCCAGGTAGGATATCAGGACCTGTCACATCAAACAGTTTTGATATTTGGAAATGTTATCTTAATTTCTTTGATTTTGATGTTGATGATAGATGGCGTAAGGAGTTAGGCATTGGGATTTTGGATTTTTTATTTATATTTTTAAAAATCAAATTAATGAGTAAATTAAAACATTACTTTTACAAGATTCATTCAAAAGTGTCCATAAAGTCCCTTATGAAGGATAAGCCCTCTCTTAACTTTCCCTCTCTGATTTCTCCCAATCTTTACTGGCCAGCTGCCAGGTGTGCTATATTATAGTCAGAAGAGATGACCTGCTTATCTAATCTCTCCCCCTCAGTATCTCTAGGCAGCTTACCAGGCCTTTTTAGGCTCATAATTACTGCCTGATAGACTCCTTGTCCTATCTCTCTAGTCTCTATATCTCTGTCCATAGCCATATGTCTGCCCTGGCTGTGATAACTCTATTATATATTATATAGCACATATTCAATCACAAGGTTTCAGTTTCACTTTGTTTGTGGTCTTGAGGATCTTGTTTTAAATCAAGAATTCTATTCAATTATTCATACACACATGATATCTTGAATTTGGTGATATAGATAAGCAACACAATCCTTGCAGTAAGGTAAACATAAATGAAGGATGAAGCAACACCAGCCCACATCTTTAGAATTTGTTTCCCTATTTCATGTATGTTATGTGTCCCTCATCCATCATCTGTTGAGTTAGATCACTGTCATATAAAGAGCAGTATCTGTTATGCTCATCTCCAGCTAACAATAACATCATCAATGTCAGCACTGGTCAAGCTTGGGGATATATGTTTGATGGATTGTTGCAGTAGTAACCCCACATGTCATCAACGTTTCTTATCTGGTGGAGTCAAGCAAGGGGGACTTATTTCAGTGGTTCTGTTATATCATCAAGTGGACCTCTGACTGGGAGGCTCATTATCTGTGGACTTTGCTTGGTATAACAGGTGTGAGACCAGATCTTGGATTGATCTTTAGGATGTTTTTCTCATTGTATCATTACAGTCTGTCACACAGCTGCAAAAAATGATTCCGTTTGAGAAGACTAATAACGTTGTTCAGATTTGGTTATTTTGGGTGAATAAATGTTTGAGCTTTTAAAAATAATACTGATGCTTTATGTAAAGGGGATTACTCTACAAACCACAGTTGTTTAGCCAAGTGTCAGTGTATCATATGTCCTCTCCTCAATCTCCCCAGTATCCTTATCATCACCACAGTGAGGGACCATTGCCATATGGCTACTAGGAGATGCAGAGTAAAAACAAACAACATAATTGCCTCTCATTCAGATATAAACAAAGAGGAACTTTGTAAATCTATTTGATCATTAGTTGATGTTAAATTAACACCAGAGGATGTATCGTCCAAGAATCATGGGCTATCAAGTTTTTTCAATTGACCTTTCATTCTGTGTTTGATTTGCCATGCCTCTTACCAGTTAATATGTTATAACATGGAGATCTAAGTGTTTCTATGATAAACTGAGTAAGGTTAGTCATAGCATACCTGCCAACCTACCGTATTTTTACGGGAATCTACCGTAAATTTTTCGTTTTTCCGTAAAAAAATGACAAACTACCGTAAAAAAAATACCATTTTTTCCCGTAAAAACGCCCGTAAAAAAATCTACCGTATTTTTTTCGTAATCTACCGTAAATTTTCTTTGTAAAAAACTCGTTTATTCCATGAGAACGGCCGTAAAATCTACCGTAAATTTTTGAAAATCTACCGTAAATTTTTGAAAATCTACCGTAAATTTTCGAAAATCTACCGTATTTCTGCTAAAATCAACAGTATTTTTGTTCAAACTACCGTAAAATTTCCCGTTGTTGTTATTAGGACGGCTTCCCTATGTTATATGAACATTATGTCTGTCATTTCAATTCGTTAAAATGATAGATCATCTAAGATGGTGAGTAAAAACGTGTAAAATCCATATTTTGTATTTCAGTAAATGTTTCATTCATGGTATTTCCAAACATCCTGATATCTAAAAAAAACTGGTTAGAAGGTGAATAAAAGTGGAGATATGAATATTGTGTTCGTATTTTGAATCAATCTAGATTTATTGTAAAAAAGTTGTATATGTATATTGTATATTTTGCTGAAACATTAAAATCCAAAGTTGCTGTCAGTCCATTGTAGGCATGGTAAATGAAGAATAAAAAGTGTTTAGTCTCTATTTATTCTTGAAAATAGTATATCTATTTTTTCTTGAAAATAATAGTTTCGTATAATTGACCTTTTGCGATCAGAATTCAGGAATTTTGTTTATGGATACTGTTGTCATGTATTTCGTCTTATTGGTGTGACGTCATATAGAAATGATATTAGACATGATGGAATCACGAAATGGCGGACACTTGGCAGTTTTGAGCTAAAAATATTGTCGTTTCTTTTATGAAAACCATGAGTCGGATATTTACCAGTTAAGCCACATTGACTAGATCATGATTATTTCTATATATGTGCGAAGTTTGGGTGAAATTCATACTAAACATCGATGCCTATTAGCGCCCCCCGTTTTTGCCAAAATCGGGGGGCGCTTAACCGCTATCTAAATCATGTCAGTAAGATCTTAGACTTGGTATGTGCTTAGCATGAATGTTGATCTAGTCAAATAGAGCGCTTTCATGAAAAATGAATCAATAAAGCACGAAATATAGAAGATAATCTCTCAAAATCAAACATCTAGAGCTAGGTGACCTAATTGTGACGTCACTACTAGATAGAATCCATTCGGTGATCGCAAATCATCAATTCTCAGGTGGTAGTTCTGCTTTACAAACTGTAATTATCAAAATCACTTTTGCAGTAAAATATGTATTCACAATAACAACAACAATATGACCACGTAAACATTGTATTGATATAGAAAACCGCATTGTATAAAGGTTTAACTACCGCATTTTTCAAAATCTACCGAAAAATACCGCATTTTGGCAAATCTTCCGCAAAAGTACCAGTTTTTCAAAAAATTACCGTAAAAACTACTGCAATTTTCAAAATCTACCGTAAAACTACCGCATTTTTTCAAAATCTTCCGCAAAAGTACCGGTATTTCAAAAAATTACCGTAAAAACTACCGCAATTTTCAAAATCTACCGTAAAACTACCGCATTTTTTCAAAATTTTCAGCAAAACTACCGGTTTTTCAAAAAACTTCCGTAAAAACTACCGCATTTTTTCAAAATCTACCGTAAAACTACCGCATTTTTTCAGAATCTTTCGCAAAACTACCGGTTTTTCAAAAAACTACCGTAAAAACTACCGCATTTTTAAAAATCTACCGTAAAACTACCGCATTTTTTCTAAATCTTCCGCAAAACTACCGCTTTTTTCAAATTTCTACCGCAAAATTACACTTTTTTCAAAAATCTACCCCAAACCTCTGAAACTACAGTATTTTTTTAAAATCTACCGCAAAAACTACCGTATTTTTTAAATCTACCGCAAAAACTACCGTTTTTTTTAAATCTACCGCAAAAACTACCGTTTTTTTCTGAAATCTACCGCAAAAACTACCGCAATTTTGTTGAAAAATACCGCAAAAACTACCGTATTTTGAAAAAATCTACCGCAAAAATACAGCAATTTTAAAAAAATCTACCGCAAAATTTTGGTTTTAGGTTGGCAGGTATGCATAGGGTATAGTTTACATGGGGTGCTATTTGTGGTTCAGAATTATGTTTTACTTGAAATTTGAGGCTTTCTGGGCTGATTGATTCAACTTTGTAATTCAGAGGTGAAATAAATGAATTAGTAAGTAACAGCATGGTTACAGTAAGGGGTCTGGTTAGATTGTTCTGCTTGTTAATGTTCTGATGCAATTTGAGGAATAAGTTCCAGCTTGATATAAACCAATAGTGTTTTTTCAAATATATGTACATAGTGCAGTGGTCTCCCCAGCATTAAAGCAAGTCGGCACAGCACCCACCTGAGATTTTGAAAACACCTTTGCACCCACCTGAAAATCCATTTGCACCCACTTGAAAATGAGAAAAATCATGAAAAATTGGCATATTTTCACCAATTTGATCTGAATTGTGAAAATGAGAATTTTGTACCCACTTGACAAAAATCCTGGGGAGATCACTATAGTGTTTTCCCAAACAAGGGATGCTTAAAGTAGAATACAATGAAAAGAATCATCTGTACTACCACAAGAATGCACTGTTCTTGTTTAGTTCTGTAAATGTTCTTGGGACATCATTCAACCAGCAATATGCATTACCATGATACTTCTTTGATCCCATCTCATTGATGCATTTTCTCCATATCAGCTATACTCCCATGTTGAGAGTTTGCTTTCAAAGCTAGGTCACTTTCTACTCATTATAACACTACAACTTTTCATTAGTGTCACAGTCATGACACATTTACTTTGATGTAAGATTGATTCCAAGCCTCCTGTAGTGACCTCCACCTGGTCAGCATGTCCAGTAGTCTAATAAATCCTGTGAAATGGGCTATATGAGGTATTGATGTACAATCCAGAAACCTGGACTATCATGTTCAACATTTAGACAGTTCTTTGGAAGTGTTATGTTATTTCTTGGGGCTAGTAACAGAGTCAGTGTGAAAACTTGCTTGGAAGCTCCATTTTTCAACTACTACTGGATAGTACATGCATTTGATATATCAGGTTAACACAGAATATGGACGCACTCTCTTTATATTGAGTATGTGGATTTCAATTTTGAAAATAGTCACATTTTCAAAATATATTTGATATATGAAATCATGCACTAGTGTGAAGAACTTGTGCTGATTTGTTTTTTTTATAGGCAGTCGTCATATTTGTTTGTGCTCAATGAGTATGATGATGATCTGATCAGTTGAGATATTCACATTAGATGACAAATCTGTTGTTTTGTGTCTCCAGGTAATCTTCACACAGTTCCAGTACAGCGACCAGACTGCTCTACCCCCAGACGCCCTCAGAAAGGCTCTCGCTAAAACATTCGCAGACCAGCAGAGATTTCAACTTGGCCTCATGGACGACGCAGCAGAGTGTTTCGTATGTTTATTATTTCTTACTTCTAATATTTTATATAGCTTTGCTCTCATCAGGTCCTTGTTGATACCCTTTTATTTCTTATACTGGGTTGGAAAATAAAGGAAATGAGAATAGAAATGCAGGAGGTCTTCCATATATTTGAACTACATGGCATTCTCAAAGTGGTTTTAAAACATAACAAATATGATCAGAATATGTTCCCCATCTGAGTTTGTTGTGTTTCAAACTTCCCCTGGCAAATATATGAAAAAGAATTTGATCTTGAGATCCGGGACTGTTCTTATTTTGCATATTATCATTTCAAAATAATTAGTTGAAGTCAACTTAAGCATATAATTAAAACCTCATGAAAAATACATAAAAGGGGTTTGCCTAACACTGACTCATGTTAACCCTTTGTATTCATTGGTAAAACATTGAAAACTTGTTAACCCTTTAATTTCAAGAACAAATCTGGTTTGCAGGCAGGATTATTATATTTCATATATATGGTTTACAATTTGTCATCACAATATCAAGTTCATTGGGTTTTATAATGTCATCAAAACTATTTCAAATATCCCAACATATTATTCCGCTGTGTTTATAGTGAACACTTGTAGCCATGTTAATTATATGTAGTATTATGTAAATTAGAAAGGAATTTGTAATTAAAATGAGGGGAATTTGCTACAGGGTAAAATGCTTAAATAAAATTATTTTAAAATTTACATTAACAAGATATAGGTCCAAGTTATTGAATGAGTAAATTGCTTCCAAAGGGCATGCTGACATAAAATGAATATTGATATGTGAAAAGGTGTTCTTAAAGTGATCTTATTATTTCTGTGTTACAGGAGAACATACTGTTAAGGATCCATTTCCACATTGCCAACCATGAGAGTGAAGATATGTGTAATGCCAAACATTGTATTCCCCATCAGAAGTTTGCCATGACCCTTGTAGAACAGGTAGGCCTGACATTTGAAATCACTTTTTCTAAGTGGAATGATGCAGAATTTAGAATTATGAAGTCATGGATTGGTCCTGAAATGAGATTCTGACATTTAAATTTTGTTTTTTCTCCCAAACGACTTATTATAATGCATCTAGCAGAGCCATTCACAAGCTATGTAAATTGTAAACTATATACTATAATACAGAAATAAAAGTGAATAAAAACATAAAAAGATTTCTTTTAGGTGGTCCTCAGCTAAGTGTTTCTACCTGTCAAAGCTTACTTCCTATTCCATAAGTACAGTATTGAATTTGAAAGCATTACTCTAAGTACGAGTATGAGTAATCTTATTTTGAAAATATCTACAACGTTAAGATCTGTTTTCAAAAGTGTCATATGACAATTTAAACTGACTTTCCAACTTTTTATAAGTGTGTTGTTTATTTGTATATTTCATGATTTCTGTTGTAGATTGTATGCCAGTGTGGAGCTACTTCTGAACCGCTGCCTTTCACACAGATGGTGCACTATGTATCTGCCACATCATTAGTGTAAGTGCTCTCATAATATGCTGGGGGGGGGGTTGTTTCATATATCCAAGGTTAGGTCTTATTCGTGGAAATGCAAGTCACCTGACTAACTGCTATATTATTTTAGTATTATTGGTCTCATAATATGCGGGGGGGGGGGTTGTTTCATATATCCAAGGTTAGGTCTTATTCGTGGAAATGCAAGTCACCTGATGAACTACTATATTCTTTTAGTGTTATTGGTCTCATAATATGCAGGGGGAGGTTGGGTGTTTTATATATCCAAGGTCAGGTCTTATTCGTGGAAATGCAAGTCACCTGACCAACTACTATATTCTTTTAGTGTTATTGGTGTCATAATATACGGGGGGGGGGGGGGGGGGGGGGTTGTTTCATATATCCAAGGTTAGGTCTTATTCGTGGAAATGCAAGTCACCTGACTAACTACTACATTCTTTTAGTGTTATTGGTGTCATAATATACGGGGGGGGGGTTGTTTCATATATCCAAGGTTAGGTCTTATTCGTGGAAATGCAAGTCACCTGACTAACTTCTACATTCTTTTAGTGTTATTGGTCTCGTAATATGGGGGGGGGGTTGTTTCACATATTCAAGGTTAGGTCTTATTCGTGGAAATACAAGTCACCTGACTAACTACTACATTCTTTTAGTGTTATTGGTCTCATAATATGCTGGGGGGGGGTTGTTTCATATATTCAAGGTTAGGTCTTATTCGTGGAAATGCAAGTCACCTGACTAACTACTATATTCTTTTAGTGTTATTGGTCTCATAATATGCTGGGGGGTTGTTTCATATATCCAAGGTTAGGTCTTATTCGTGGAAATGCAAGTCACCTGACTAACTTCTATATCCTTTTAGTGTTATTGGTCTCGTAATGTGCGGGGGGGTTGTTTCATATATTCAAGGTTAGGTCTTATTTGTGGAAATGCAAGTCACCTGACTAACTTCTATATTCTTTTAGTGTTATTGGTCTCGTAATATGCGGGGGGGTTGTTTCATTTATTCAAGGTTAGGTCTTACTAGTGAATATGGCACCTGACTAACTGCTGTATTGTTTTTTTTTGTGAAAACCTAGCCATAGAAAGCCTTCAAATACATAGATAAAAACCTGGCACTTCACTTGCAATTATTTTCACCATAGGTTTATTTGTGAAAATATAAAAAAAAACGTTCTAAACATATTTTAAACAATTGAAACTCAGTAAGGTCATCCTGGTTCCTCATAATTTCTGTATTTTCTTAATGATAAAAATTACAGATTTCATCCATGTTCTTGTTGAGTATACAGGTGTATATACAAGTACAAGTGTTGTATTTGCCTGCCCTCTATTTCTGTATATTTGCCTGCCCTCTATATTGTATGTGTTCTCTCTATAGGTCTGAGGCAAAGAGGGCTGGGGGCCCTGAGTTCCAGTTAGAGGCAGGAATATTTGGTCAACTCCTTCGTAATGCTGCTGCTGTTGGAGACAGTAGACAATGCCCGGGACCTGTAAGTGCACATGTACTTTGTGAAATATGTTTGTTTGGCTGGCAACATTCTTCCAGTCCATAATCATGTAAAATACTTCAAGTGAGAGAGACACTACACTATTTTGACCTGAATTAGTCCTGAGTGGGTGAAGCGTATCATGAGTAGAGTAAATTCTAGCTTTCTGTATTTCAATTTGTCAAAAACAGACTTTTTTTAACTATATTTATTTTGTCACACCAATCAGATCATTGGCATTTAGTGAGCAGTTGGTATATAGCAAAACTTTCAATAGAATAAAATGTGCTAACAATTATTAATAAGATCAAATCTCAACCATTGTGTTCCTTTGCAGACTAAGTGTGGGCAGAATGTAGAGGTTAGGCGGAACTTGATGAATAGCCCTGATGTGATCAGTATAGGGATGATCTGGGACTCTGATCGTTGCTCCCCACAGCATATAAGTGATGTGTTGCGCTCTATCGGCACTACCATTCGACTCAATGATGTAAGTTTTGGCCTTTTATGTGATATTTATTATCTATTGATTATATATAAATGGCATTTGTTTAATTTTTTTAATACATTCTCACAATAACGCAGATGCGAGTAGGTAGTTACCAGTTTGACCACCAGGTGGCTCGTTCGGGTCAGATAACATGGCGGGTATAGGAGAAGTTCCCTTTAACTTAAATTACATCTATTTTAATGGTTCAATTTTCATATAACCCTAGTTATGCAAATTAAAATATGTCCAGTAAAAGAAAATTTTATTTGTCAAATACAAGAAAAGATATTTCACTTTTTGTGATTTTGTAACATGGGGTCTATGGGGAATCAACCCGAACAAGAAGTCACATTTTCAAAAAAATTGAATTTTCAAAGCTGATAAACAATTTTCGAAACCATCTTTCTAGATGTACTTGTACATGTAGAATTCAAATATGACATCACTTTGACTGAATTTTGAATATCTAATGACGTAAATCAAGATTATTTCTACTCGCATCTAGTCAATTCAAGTGACAGTGTCACAGAATGGTAAAATGATGTTTTCTTTGAAAGGTGGCAGCACTTGATCTTGATTTTGTTATTAGTTCCAAAAGTGGGCGATTCAGTAAGCAGATCATGTGAGCCAAAAATGTTCAACTTGATAATTCAACTAATGTATTATAAACAAAAACAAATTGTTGAGAGAAAATGTGCAAATTGAACTTAATTTAAGCAAAAAAGCATTAAAGCATGTCTTACCTGCTGGTCTACATCGCCCAGCATACATTGAATTTGACGTGTGGGATTAGATGTGTCTTCCTTATATTTGTGTATATTAGAATAAAGTGCTTACAAACAATACTATATTTATTTTTTTAATTATTGATCTCAAAGCCCTGAAAGTGCATTTGTCCTTGAGCTTAGGAAGGTTAGCTCAACATGGTGTTTATATTTTGTATTATTAGATTGTTGTATAACATTGTCAATGAGCTTAGGAAAGTCAGCTCAATAAGGTCTTTATATTGTTGCATTGCATTGTACTGTGTTTGTGTATAGATGTATATATTTAAATTCCAGATGTACCATGTAGTTGATGACAGACTGGCCCAAAGAGCAAACCTGTTTCTCGTAGGGATTGTCTGTTATTATGGCAAACACTACTCAACATTCTTCTTCCATCAGAAACAAAATATGTGGATCTACTTTGATGATGCTACAGTGAAAGAGGTACATGGTTATGTAATATCTATATATAATATAAACTAAAAACCTTCTTATGCTTTATACTATTGGGTCCTCAACAGGCTATGAATAAATGACTGTAGATTCTGTTCAGAGGCACAAATAAATTCAAGGTGTTCTTTCAAAATTAACACCTTATTTCCTTAATCCTACCACAAATATTCAAATATTTTATTGCACCCTTGTTATAATATCAATGCAATCCAAATATTTCTAGATTTGAGGAGGGTTATCAAGGTGCTTGATTTACTGGATATATTTCTTTAAAACGTTTATTATTCACTGTAACTGAATTTAATTCACTTCACATTACATTAAATAATGAGGCAATAATAAACATCTATCTTCATTGTAGATTGGTCCAGATTTCAAAAGTGTGATAAAGAAGTGTTGTAAGGGCCACTACCAGCCACTGTTACTCCTCTACAGTAACCCAAATGGTGACCCTTTAGATGCCAGTACTGCCCCACAGTACACAATCAGAGTGCCCCCTACTGCCAATACTGACTCATTAGCAGGTAGGAATTGTTGAATGTAGTCTATATGGAGTGAAAAGTGAGTCAAACAAGACATTCATTACCATAACTGCACCATAATTCATGATAAAATGAGAAACATTTTCAATTGAGCTTTACTTGTTACAATTGTAATTATATTTTTTTTTATAATTAACATTGACATTGTTTAAGCGCCATATGCACATCCACATCTTTCTGTTGATTTAAAATATGAATATTCATGCAACTTACTTTGTTAATCAGACATGCGTTTTGTTAAGCCAGTGTCTTCTGTTTACATGTACTTCAATAACTTATTTTATCTTCTTGTCTGCAGATGTAACAGACCAGAGACCTCGCCAGTCAAGATCAATGGAGCGTGATCTACCCGCACATGCACAGATTAACGACAACTATCACCCTAGGGAAATGAGACCCCCAGCAGCCGGTGGCTCTACTTACACCAATGACACTTCCATCTATGATCGTCCTAGAACAAGGAGTGTAACTAGAGGTCAGGAACCTCAACTTTCGGAACATAGAGACAGAAATAATCATAATAATATGAATAGGCAGGACTTCTATATGACAACTGTGGACCAGACTGATGGTCCCTCCCAGGGGTACCCCCCTGCATCTACACGGGGGTACTCAGGGTATAAGCACCCATCTCCAAGTGCTCCCCCCTTAGACTCCCCTGCTCCAAATTACCCTGCCCCACCCCCCATTGCAGACACCAATAATAAGGTTACTCCAACAAACAGGGAAGAAGCTGCTCGTACTGCTGATCTTATGGGACAATATGTGCTCCAGAGTGGCTCTGTTAAGCCATACTTTAATACTTCTTCTAACAGAGGCAATGAAGCACACATCTATAATGTTACAGGTGTGAAATACAATCAACCTAATGAATATTTAAACAGCACCTATGAGCATACCAGGACTGAGAAATCAAGAGAAGTCTGTGATAAAAATAGACAATACAAAAACTATGGTGAATATTCTAAACAGCAGTCACACAATAATGGACCTTTGGCACCACACCAACAGGTGGCACCAAATCATCAGGTGGCACCAAATCAGCAGGCAGCACCAAATCACCATGTGGCACCAAATCACCAGCAGACAGCCTGGAACAAGGAGAATAAACATCTCAATCAAAGCATGGACCCCAAAAAGAGACTGACTGCACATGAACTTTTAGGTCTAGTACCAAAGAGTAAGACTGATCAGGATATAAAACAAATGACCTCTAGCCAGACCCCAATAGTCCGAAAGAGGCCAAGTAGTGCACATGCTGCCCCCTATACTTCAAATATGGACACTAAATCGAAATATGCAGCCCCATCAAACAATGGTGTACTAAGACATGCAATGTCTACAACCAATACAAGCAGCTACCATGCTAGCCAAAGTAACATTACAACTAACACTGCTGATGTAAATAAAACCAGACCCAAGGTCCAGAGATCTCAGTCTGCCAAAAACCCAGTGAACCATTACAGAGATGAACACCAGGATGATCCCAGCTACATCAATCGGAAGGCTGTAGAAAGTGTATTGAGCTACCAGAGGCAGATGAGTGGCGCTAGTTTGATTGCACAGGGGAGTGGCAATCGTAGCAGTAACAGCAGTCTTGATTCACTTACAGATACACAGCTACGTGAGGCGGCGAAACAGTTGCCATCAGCCAATGGTGCGCCCTATATTAAACCAGCGTTGAAGATTGATATCACAGATAGTGTATCATCTGGCTACAACAGCGGAGATAGGAATAGCGCTAGTTCAGCTAGTAGTGCTTCAAACGATGGTCAAGGTATTGATCCAACACCTGTCAATCAATCCAAGAACCCATTTGTTTATCCCAGCAGCAATCTCCTGAAGCCAAGAGGTCAAGGCTATGAGTCAAGGTCATCAAGTGAAAGTCTCAATTCTCTCCCTAGTAGCGATAATGGGTGTAAGGCACCATCTGATGGCCTGAATAGAAAGTCTCATCTAATGACACAGATTCCAGAAGGGCTGTCAACATCTTATAATACAAAGTCAACAGCTTTCTTTAAGGAGAAACTTTCAGGGGGCATGAGTCACAACTCTCAAGGTATGTAGTTGAACATTACATGTGTTCATTGCTTTTATGTATATTTATTAATTTTTTATTCAACTATTTGGTATTTGGGTAAACATTGGGGTCATCTGTAACTTGTGGTTTGGTAGTTGCATGTTACTAAAGAAAATGTAGGAATATTGTTGTAATAGGAACAATATGAGGTAGCAAAGTGTTTTCCCCAGTATATTTTCTTAACAAGGTGATGATATTTTTTTCACTCAATTTCACATTGACCATAATATGCCAATTTCTCATGATTTTTGATTTGAGTTATGTAAATGTGTTTTCAAGTTTGTCCTTGAAATTTCAATTGGAGCACAACAACTGGTTGCTTCAATGCTGGGGATAGTCCTGCGGAATGGAAGGAGGTGGTTTCCTTCTAGGATGTATGCTATGTCTTTATATTTTCTTTATCTATAGGTTATTTACTTTCAAAATCTGAACTGTGCCGATTTGGCACTGGTGGGCAAAATTTTTTACAGCATTGTATAGGCGGCGCCCCCTGTGAAATACCCCTTTAATTAAGGATTTTTTTTAAAATGATCTTGAGCAGAGTCTTAAACTCAAATCACCTAATTTAACCTGTGGTATATCCTCAATAAGATGTCTATTTTTTTTCTTTACCTGAAATTTCATAATTATGGAGTAATGGTCATTTATCTACCCTGGCGTCACATATTTCCAAAGGGGTCACTATGTTTTAAAGGCATAAAATTTGAACGAAGCAAAATTGTGATCTGAAAATATTCAATTATATGCCATGATACATGTTTGGCAAAGTGTAAAAAAAACAAGCTTCTGTCTTATATAATTTAAGAGAAAAAAATTATTTGTTATTATATCCTATTGTTCACCGATATACAAGTTATATGAAAAGCCACATTCAAAAATTTATTTTGACTAAATTTATCCTTAACACCAACATGGCTTTACTTTAAATAAAATATTATCTATATGTTATTGAATATAAAGGGACTATTTTAACACACACAAAAACTAAAATCAGGGATTGAGTACCTACTTGCTGTTCACAATTGCAGCGCCATCTTTTAAGGGGGAGGAAGGGTTAATTTTTTATGATACCGACATTCTGCCAATGACTGAATTGGTTTGAAAAAATGTTTCCATTAAAATTAGTACTAATCATTACTAAATTAATTTACCATTATTTGTCAAGGATATTGTAGCTAATTGAATGTCAGTTTTTGTTCAGTTATCAAGGGTCTCATTTCTGGTCTCTTTATCCAGTACTTCCTGAACAGCTTGCAGAACAATTTCATCATCAAGATCATCATCTTTTGTTTCATTGGTGACTGTGACCATTAGTCTGGTGTGTTCATTGCAACACTCTTCTCCGCCTTTGCAAAGGCAAAATATAGTGCAAGACAAGGCAGTCTTACGGCAAAGACAACGATCTGTACCACATATGTTATCATTGCTGGCACAATTACAATGTATCATCTTTAGCACTGAGTCTGGTGCGCATGAAACATTTGGTGGAAGGGTAACGGGCACTAACATGTTGTTGACAATATCCATTTGCCAGCCATACTCTGTTGGTTTCAACTTAGGAGGTAATGGTTTGTCTGCATGTTTCCACAGGGATGTTTGTAGATGAGCACGTTTTACATGTTCCTCAAAGGCCTTGTTTGAAGGTGGCAATGACCGTAGTTCTTGGGATTTAGTAATGTTCTTGGCAGCATTTTTCTTGGTCCACACTTCATATCTAACATCAGACATAGTTTCAGATGACTTTGGATTGATGCCATAACATGCTGCTATGAATTTAGTAGCCTGTGTCACTACATCTGATATTGGTATATTGTCTTCTCCAATCAGACTCAAAGGAGCATTTCCAGTCTTGATTATGTTAACTGCCTTAGTCTTGCCTATGCGGTAAAGACTGGATGTTGTGTCACAGCCTGTCAGGCTATGGGCAGCAAGCAGTTGTGAGGTGACATTTTTGTTGGAAGCTGACTCCTTCAATTTATTTACAGATGCTTTGATGTTAATAACTTTTCTTCCAGCTAACACAGACTCCATAGTAACATGGGCAATTAGATGGTGTTTATCATAGTGGTGAAGCAACAGGATGAAGACATCAGTGTCGTCACATACAACATTGATATTTTTACTTCCAGTCTTGGTTGCAGCTAGCATCTGGTGCACCATAATGACATCTGCTTCCTCATGCTCATTTTTCAGGTCAACCCGTTGACTAACAACTCCCCGATAGATTTGCATAGGCACTGGGTCAGGGCCTGTTATCACCAGCTTGTTGGCATTCTCACGAATAGTGCTCGTAAGATGATTAATGATTAAGTTTATCAGCTGAACTTTGTTTTTTGTTACATTGAGCACAACATTCTGGGGAGGTAGTGGAGTGTTTGGTCCCAACTGGTAAATACGTGTATTATTGGCGCTTCGGGCAGAGCGAGTACACCCCTTAGGACTATGCTCGTGGTACCTGTCAAACACCAGATACACATCTGCTACATCATTCAGTTTCATCACATATTTTGTAAAGGCTGCACAGTAGCTACTGACAGTCCCTTGTACACTAGGCCATTGAATAGCCCATAAGATAGCACAACCATCTAAGATTTGGATCTCTGGTTTGTTTCCTCTTGCTGGCCTTTCAATTTTCAACATATTCTTCATAACAGACTTGTTTGTTGGTGTTTTCAGGTTACCAGATTCATCGAACATAGAGGTAGGGATGGGTGCCAGCTCAAATGACATTACAGTTTTCATATCAAGTTGCCGGGTCATTACTAGGCCACAAACACGAGAGTAAACAAGATTGGTGTCATAGACAGGTGTTTCATCTACTTGTATGCTCTTTTTCCCAACAGCCATGGTCACAACCTAAAAAATATGCACCCTTTATGGAATAAAAAGTAAATCTAAATCAATGAAATAGAGATAAGAGGTTGAATAGGTTATCTAAATAAGACTGATCTCTGAAAATTCAAAATTTTTCTAATCTCAAAAATTATGTATTACCTTTGAAGTCAGTGGTTCATAGAATCCCTCAGGCCAGGTGGCTTCATATTTCACCAAGCACTCTCTACCTAGGATCACAGAGTCTTGAGCATTGACCTTGGCAGAGCTAATCCGTCCTGTAACTATGTTTATAACACCATCAGGATGACCACTAGGATCTAGAGGATCGATTACAGTACTCAGGGATTCTCTGAGCTTCAGTCTGTCACTGCAATCACCATCAACATGTGTAAGACCCTCTTCTTTGTGTCTGGTCACAACTGTGGATTGGGCCTTGACAGTTTCACCAAGGTCCTGGATATCGTTTAGGATCTGACTGCATATATGCATGCTGAGAGCCCATCTTTTGAGAAGAGTTGGACTGAGTGTGTTGCCTATAATTCCAGAGGGTCCATGCCCATACCTCATATATGTGGTTTCTATCATCATATCTGACCAGATTCCATTCCAAATACCAGGCTGATGACGGGTAACATGCTGTCCTTGTAGGAATTTCTCAACAACATTCTGTGGAAGTCTCTCCATGTCTCGAAGATAGAACAGTCCATACCTAGCGTAGTTGTAGTGTCGTGCAGCAAAGAAATAGGGTAGCATAGATTCAACAGCAGCCAAATGGAGCAGCCAGTTGCCTTCCCTTTCAGCCCTGACAAATTGCATCATGATGAATACTGGCTTGATAACATTCTCCACCCACAGTTTTGTAGTTTTGCTTTCTGATGATCTAGTGTTAAGGACATCTATGAGTTCTTGATAACTGTTAACCTGATGAATTACTGGTCTCAAAAGTTCTTCAACAAGGAGTCTCAATGCTCGAACATTGTTAGGATAATTCTTGCCTGTTAACATCTTGGTAACCCCAGCAAAGGAAGAACTGAGTATCTCTACTATTCCACTGTCTGACATTAGAATGCCGACACAACCAACAAAACTCATGAGCATGTGCATGCCCCCAAGTCTATTGATGAATGTATTATCAAAGGTTGTTGGGGTCCAGAAAATGACATCAGTGGCTACTTTGTACAACTGCTGGTCTGTTGTCAAAATTGTGTAATCTTGCTTACATGCTTGGGTCATCTCCTTTGCCTGATGCATGATGGTTAACATTGTGCTTGGGTCTGCTGGCTTAACATCAAGAAGTGGCCTATAGGCAAGTTTTGTTGCAGGTTTAATGATGGCGCCACTAGTCCTCGCTAACCTAGTATTGTAGCCCCCGAATTCTGGTGTCCCTGGTACAGATGTAACACGACTAAAGAATTCAAAGTCTATCTCTTGGACTCTATGAACATGATCAGTTTGTTGTTGTAATAGATCATTATTGAGAGGCTGTCGTTTGGCTAATTCTGGAGGCATCTTTGGTTTCTTTGGACCATCATATATGCGCAACTCAATGTCTGGTAGCTCTGGACTTCTAGAAGCTTGCTTTGTTAGCCTAGGGATAGTTAAGTCAAAGTCTTCATCATCATTTTCTACTTCATTACTGCTTCCAGATTGGGTTATCAGCATTGCAATAGCATGTGTTGATTTAAGGCCATTTTGTGAACAAATGTTAGCATCGAAGTTGTCTGTCATGACTTGTACTAGACCATTTTCCTGATTAAACAAACCCTGTTTTCCAATACGTGATTCCTCAGATTGTGCTGCACTAGACTTAAATCTTAACATCTCATCATATGAACAGCAGGTGTGGTATTGATGCATTGTGTCAATCATATTTCTGTCTTTCAGTTTAACACCTAGGTCTACTAGTAGTGGAGTATACCTATTGGTCACAAGACTGGTAATCATATTGCCTATCATGATTGCTGGGAGGCATTCATAAGTTAGGCTCTTTGAAATCCTTGTTAACAACTTTATCAATGTTGGTGATACTGGCCTTGTTGCTATGTCTTTATTCATTCGAATGTTGTATTTTCCATTTTCAGGTTGACGATCTTTGCTCTCATTTTTTATCTTTGCAGCAATATTCCCTATGTAGACATCATCAGTTTCTTCAGCAGCATCTTTATCATCTACCAGCTTGATGAGCTTATTTGCACCAGATTTATGCACCATAATGCTTGCATAATTGTGGCAAGAAAGAACAACATGTGTTGAAGCCAGCATTGTTTTCAGGTTTAACATCATTCTTTTTCTTTTAATGTTTCCACCATATTCCAGGTACAAATTATGGAGCTCTAATGAGTTCCAAATTTCATGCTGATGTTGATTCACATAGTCAGCCAACATGATTAATGCTTGGTCAGTTTCATCTGTTTTTTCAGATTTTAAATGGTCAATGTTTTTTTTATTTATGAATTTTTTGTAACAATCAAGGTGATAACGAGCTTCAACAGCATGTAAATCAGATACTGCTCCTTCAACACGTGTACGCACCTGTCGTGCAAGCTCATCACCCCGTTCATGACAAATTCTCAGGATATTGCTTTTGAAACTTGCTTGGCCAATTTCTTTTCTATCACCAGTTCGGCAATAAACTATTTTTGATCCTCTGTTTGGATGCTTGGGATCTTCTTTACATAAGTTTCCGCAAAATAAGCAATTAAATTGGAAATGGAAAAGTTTTTCTGAATGCCTTGTCCGCTTAGGTGATGAGGGAGTAGCATTTAATGTCCCACTGTCTGATTTCCCTGAGTGTCGACGACAATGTTCTTTTGAAGTATAAGTCGAAATACAGGAATGATGGGCTCTTAGGGTCAAAGTTGGGTTTTCTAGCAATTTTTTCTCAAGCTGATCATGAATATCATCATCTCGTCGTTTGCTGTAATCTATTATAGTTCTAACACGTTTTGTTGTTATATTATTAGTCTCTTTTGCTGAACCGGGGCATGACAGGTGTGAGTTGTCAGCAAAGAAACAGGGATCCATCCTGGAATAATCAATCATCAATTGTTTTCACAATTAAATCTCATTGAAATCTAACTAGACTTAACAAAATCTTGTCATTTATTGCTAATTATGCTATTTTCTGACTTCCAAATCAAAGAGAGATATGTGTTACCTGATTATAATGGTATCCTTATTTCACTGTAGTAATCATTTCCTAATCTTCTTTCTTGACTTATCTAACTCATATATGCTTCTGATACTTGTACAAGAAACTGTAAAATACTGACCTAAAAGGACTGTACTCCAGATTTCATGTTTATGCTATCAGGAATCTACCCAAAAAATATCCATTGATCATTCTCTGATGTAACAAGCAAATAAACAATACTGGAGGTGAACTTGCTACACTGTTTACATTTTCCAGTACATGGTCTAAAATCTAATCCTTACACAACAAAGATGACCTTCTGTTTGAACTGTCAACAATGAGTTTCTTTAACATTTTACACCCGTACCTCTACCCCCCCCCATCCCCATCCCCATCCCCCCCCATCCCCACCCCCTCCCCCTATTAAAGGGTATACATTATAATTTTCTGAAATATTTTGATTTAAAGAACATATGTATATAACATAAATAGCTTAGTAAGATACAATCACAGAATCTGCTGATATTATACTTTTTAATGTTTCACAGTGTTATTTTCTATCCATATTAATATTGCTGGATATAAGGTTGTCTATATCAATATTTTTTTTCTCTTCAACTAAATAAAATGCAACTCTCATATTTTCACACTTTCTCTAACATAGAGTAATTCAAAGTCATGAATAATTTCAGTTCACAATTTTGTTTAGTTTGCAAAATATGCTTATTAAACATAGTGACCCCTTAAAAATAGGTGGCGCTAGGGTAACAAATCAAGCATATCTTATTAATTATGTGATTTTATATAATGAAACATAATTGACATGTAGTTTAGGTTAAATATAGTTTATCTGAATTGGTTAAAGTTTTCAACTCTACCAACAGCCCTTTAAAAAAAATATTTTGTGGAATGGGCATATTATACGGGGGCGCCCCCTATACAATGCTGTAAAAAATTTTGCCCGCCAGTGCCAGACCGGCACAGTTCTGATTTTGAAAGAAAATAACCTATAGATAAAAAAAATACAAAGATATAGCATACATCCTGGAGGGCAACCAAAAGTTTCAATATGCCATTATTCCGCTGGACTAGGAGATCACTTACAGTATAGGATTTCAAAGCATGGATGTTTTATAAGCTTGGATATTGGATGCTTTACTTATACTTCATTGCATGGATTTTCTCTTTAGGTCATCCTCCCAACAGACCAATGGTAGCCACCCATAAAGAGGCATCACCCCCTAGGAATGACTCTTCCAATCGTGAACCAGTCCATTTTAGACCAACAGACCGGTCCACTAATGCTGGAAGAGGGGGGATAGCTAGTTGTCCTACTACCCCTCTAGTAGGGCGTAAACTAGGTCGTAGATTAGATTATGAGAACTTAGATTCAATGAACAGTGATTTGATGAGTCACCCAACTCAACCTGTCCATGATAGACCACCATTAGGATTAGGTATAAAATATCTTCTTATTGGACACATTTTTTCTCATATCTTTAGAATAGATGTTTGTTTTGTTAATTCTAACATACAACATATGCATGTCTCGTCTTCAAATTTTTTTCAGAAACTTATTTTGTTGAAATATTTTGATAGTATAAGGTGTTCTAACAAAGTGTTCGCTGCACTCTCCTATGTTAAAGTTTTGCCATGATATCCTTTGTATATAGAAAAAAATTATGAGGTATTCTTGATTATCTTGAGATAATGTTTTGGATAATATCCAACATCCAGTAAATAGATGGCATATGGGTTTATGTTTGTATGTTGATACATCAATAATACATCTCACACCCTTTTCCCATTGCTCCTCCAAAATTACCATTTAAGTTCTAAAAGTAATCAGAGATTTAAGTCTCAAGGCATGGGGGACGATTTTTTTTTATATATATACATTTTGAACCCCTTACACATACATGTATATGTATACTAAGCAGAATAAACCTTGGAATTGGTTAATACCATCCCTACATCTAACCTCACATACATACATAAGTCACAGTGCACTATTTCAGCTGGAGAAGAAAGAGCTGAATGGCTATGTAGCAAAGCTGAGGATCTAATAGAGCAGTCACTCCTGAAGGAGAAAGAGGGAGACCTCCCAATGTCCATGTGTTTGTGTACTAATGCAATAAGTAAGTCTCTGCCTAACATCACAAGATACCAAAAAATATATATTAAATGTCATTTCTCTACTCCAACATTGAAGTAAGGGAGAATGTTTGTGTCCAAATATTCCTCAAGAAACAATGTATTTTGTTGTATTATAAAGTATTCTATGTTCACGATTATACTAACCAGTGAAAATATTTAATGTAGATAAGTTTTAATAACCACAATTCTAGTTATGTGTGATCTGTTTGATGTTTTAGGCCTTTGATTTCATGGAGCAAAATCTTTCTTTGGATATTGTATTGTACACTCACAATCATATTTTCTCATATTAAATTACAACTTTCTGGCCTATTTTGAAATTTTTAACAGCTACAGTATATCCACTCTTATGGCAATAACGCCAAGTAATTAACCAAATCTTATGTTATTCCAGCATATCTAAAAGAAGCTATGACATTGGGGAACATAAGCCAACAGAGCGTGATCCATGCCCAGATGAAGCACAACACAAGTGTTCTGAGGTCACGTAAGCTGCACCGTATGATCCAGCAGACGAACAAACAAGATTCAAGTAGCGTCACAACCAGCGAAACTGGGAGTGAAGACAGATCGAGGTAGGTGTTTGTAAGAACTTTAATGTGATATAAAGAGATTTTGTGCATGGTTCTATTTAACATAATGCACAGACTTAACACAAGGATATCATTTGACCTTTAGATTCAAACTTATGAAATCAATTTCTAAGAATGAAAACATTTTCAAATTTTTCTTTTTCAGCCTGAGTTCCATGGAGCCTGCATACCCTCCTCAAAGGGAGCCCCTAAAGAATCTAATTGACCTCTCAGAGAAACCAAAGGAGCAACACGAAGAGCTGAGGGAGCAACTAGATAAACTCTATATCCAACAAAACAAAGATGGAACTCCAGTCTGTATGCAGGATATGAAATATGGACAGAACAGTAATGATGCTCATGTAGTTGAATTGAATGTGAAATATGATCACTATAGACAGGCTAGCAATGCTAGTACAAGTACACTGGTATCTGCCACTAGCCAGGAGCACCTCAGACAGGGGAGTTGTAGTAGTACTAATACACTAGGGGCCTCCACTGAGAATGTTCATACAGGGGTATATTCTGATCCCCCAATCTCAAACACAACTACAGTGATCAGACCAAGGACAAGTTATGAAATGACTGATACCCCTGTGAGGAGTGCGTTAAGTGATGAAAAAACTACCCCACCAAGGACCGTGACTGCATTTTCAGTAACTGATAGCCCAGCTGCACGTATCGTTGACCTATATGGGACATTACCAAGAAAAAAAGATAAGAATAAACCTCTTGTTAAGCCTCATGTTAAACAGAGCAAAGAGAAGGAGGCAGAAGTTTACCAGGCTTTCCTGAAAAAACAACGTCGCAATACAACCTCATCATTTGAAATGGATCTCAAACGTGGTACTATTGACAGTAGCAGCGATAGCGACTACAGATCTGGAAGTAGTCACATCTCTGATGATACTAACTCCATCCACCAGAGGGCACCTGAGGTGGGCAAATCACGCAGAATGTCAAAAGAGGAGCTGAGGAAAGTAGTCAGTCAAGGTGTGATGTCTCGATGGGGAGAGGAGGCTGTTACCCATAAACCCAAGCAGCCTACTCCAAGCTCACAACAGAGCTACAATAACTATGGACTACATACTAGCCAGTCTACTCCTCACATGTCTCAGTATACAAGCCAATATAACAGTTCTATCCCTTCAACAAACACAAGCCAACATATCACTTCCTCAACTAATAGTACACTGTATAGTAACCCTAAATCCAGTTCAAGTCAATACAGTGGCAACCCTCATGCTGCACAATATAACAATGTACCTAATCATAATTCAAATACTTATAATAGTCAGAAATCCAATACAAACCAATACAGTAGTAATTCCATTCCAATCTCGAGCCAATATAACAATACAACTTATATGAACTACAATCAAATTCAATCTAAAAACCAAGAGAATCTTTCGAGAAATTCCAAACCAGCTCCTAACCCAAAGCCCAAAATAGCACAAAAGCCAACAAAATACATGGAGAAACAATCAGTAGGCTTCAGCTCATCGTACCGTGTACCTAGCACTAAGGACTATGAACAAGCAGGGATGGGGTATGCGCAAATGATGACTAAGCAGCAACAGGACTTGCTGTTAGATGCACAGAAAGAAGACTGCATGGTGGTTGACTATAGCTGGAGGGATGAACACGGTAAGATCATCAACATGAATGGATGAGTTTTGAACTGATAATGAGATTTTGTTTTTCAACAGTTCACATAAAATAAAACCTTTACAGGTATTACTGTACTGGGTTACTTAATCTTCAATTTAATTTTTAAAAATGTCTAGTGAATCTACAAGTATTGACATAAAACTCTGGTACTATTTTTCTCTCTACAAATTTTTAATTTAAATTTTTAACAATGTTTTTTGTTTTGTTTTGCAGGCAATGCCACATGTCCCAAGTGTCAGAGTTGTGATGGCTGGGTCCCTGAGACTCAAGTCTGCATCCATTGTGACATGATCCATGTAGAGAACAAATACCAGGAGGCCTCCATTGGAAGTGCTCCCAGAATCACCAAGTCTAACTCCCAGATACATCTCTCTCGACCAATCAATGGTGAGTATATTATAATAACAAAGGAGGGTTATTTACCCACAATCACATAGATGTTAATATGTTTAGAAATGAAAAACTACCCCTACCCAACATCACACATTAACATACTGAAAAAATCAATAATTGTTCCAATTTTTTTTTTAATGGGAAGTGATGTCTAATCAGAAATCATCAATTGAAATTGAAATGAAATCATCAGTGAAACGTAACCTGTTAAAAGAAGCTTATGAAATTCCAATAATTTACACTAACCCCTCACCTCGTGGTACAGAAATACATCTAACTGTCATAGACTTAGACACACTTCACTGCATAGATTGTGTAGATAAAACCACTAGAGCCCAATAGATATAATTTTTTTATAATAAATTTATTTCTGATTTCATAAACATATCCATACAGGTGTATGATTCAGGGGAAAGTCTCATTGAACAATCTTAAGAATTATGGTTGGTCAATCATATAAGTCTTGGAACTAAAAGGACAATTTCCATCTTAGGTACTGCATATACTAATACACCTTTCATGGATAAGTGCTCTCTGAATGTTACAAATGTTATTTATTTATACAGTTACTGTGGTGGTGGCCCAGCCACATTTATGCACCATCTCATATGCTTTCTACTAAGTTCTGCAAACAAGTCTCTTTCATTTTGTTGCCCCAAAATACTCTTAAATTAAGAAGTGAATTGGATGATGGAAGATTTACATGTAGAATTTAGTGTGAAACTTTTTAGATAACCCCTTATGGCTCAAATCTAAATATGTTTCACTGTATGTATACTTTTAACAGATTAAGTGTACACTAGTAATATTAAATTGATTTTGACTTTGTAATTTCTGTATTTTTTTATAAAGTAGAATTCCAATTCCTCATGCTAATCTTTGCTTTTTAACCATTTCTCATCCAATCAGAATCTGGAGAAGACTTCACTGCATCTAAAATTCCATCCAATGTAAGTATGCACCTAGGTACAGTTCCACCTAGTGTTGTTGAGATCAAATTAACTACTGCCTTGCAACACAAACCATTTGACTTTTGCTTCCTAAGTGTGCATTCCTAGATCATCAGAGCATATCTGAATGTGGCATACAGAATCTGCATGGTTTTTATGGGGTACTAACATCTGAATGCAAATCCGGGTTGTTGAGGTTAAGTGGTTGTCTCTAATTGTATACCCCCCAATTTTGGTGTTGGTTCATCCCCATCTTGCTAGATTTTATTTCATTTTATTTCATTTGATTCTTAATTATTTTTCTCGATTTTGAATTTTCCTCCTGCCAGTGAGACAATGTTGCTGGGCCCATTTATACTTGGTAGTTAAAAACAGTAGTTACGTTGTAAAATCTTTATTTTAGGCATAGACAGTATATGTTGTAATGTAGTCCTATGTTTTAACTTAGGCCGGGAGTAGTCTCATTTTTAACTTCTCCCTATTAGCCCTTGAGAAATGCTACACCACAGGTTTTGGATTACAATTGCTTGAAAACATGTTATAATTAAGCATGATTGTTGAAACCTGAAGGACTGTGTCTTCTATACATGAATGTCTTAGAGTTGGAAGTGCATCGTGTATTACTGCTGTTTTTATACTGGGAATTTTGATTTTGAAAATTGCCATATTTACTTCACGGAATCAGGAATCATGATTCATAGTAATATTAACAAATAAGTTTATGTCTGTGCATGACTTAATACATGTATTGTGTTGCTTGTAGAGTTAGGCTATGTTGTGATGACTAGAGCATGGCACATATCGTAGTTGCAACTTGCATGTTGGCTAATTGGATAATGCATGTCTTATACATAGTTATATCTTGGCGATTATATAGTATAATCTTATTGGCAAAATTGTTTATTGTTTTATTGGGTAATTTTTCATTTAAAAAGTTTATTTTTGGCTTGCTCATAATATCAGTGGTTATGATCAATCTGAGTGTGATCTTTTGCAGATGATTTAAGACAAGAGTATATACATGTGGTATTAATTTGAATTTTCCATGTGTTTTCAGGTGGAGATAGAAGAGTCCACTTTAGAGATTGATCAACACAATAAACAAGACAATAATTTATCACAACAATCCATCCATCAAGTCCCAGTTGATCAACAATCAAATAAACAACAAAGTATCCAGCACCAAAGTGTCCAACAACAAAATATCCAACAGCATAAACATTCTGAACAAGTAAATGTTAATTCTGGTAATCATCAGCAAACTATACCTGATAATACTGAATCTGAAGAAAAATTCTATGAACGCGTAGCTGTAAAAGACCTTGCGAAAAGATTTGAGAAAAATTCAAATGAACGAAAAATTGATGATGAAACTTTAAGCCCTTGTAGCATACCTAGAAGTCGAAGCTTCTCAGGGACAGGGACACCCAAACCTGCGCTAGTGAAACGTCGTAGGAAACATCGCACTAGGAAAAGCGTAACATTCTGTGAAAACATTGCTTTGGTGGCCGGAGAGGCTGAAGATCTCGCATATAGGAAACCAGATTATATCACTTATCTTGCTAAACTTGGGCATGGGGTTAGTGCGGACAATGTCACTGGTGAAGCCATTGATAAATCAGAGAATGGTGACACAAAGCAGAACACTGGATATGATTCAGATTATGACGGAAGTACATCTGATTCTGAACCAGAAGCTGATAAACCTGTGGACCGCATTCGATGTTCTCTGTGTAGAAAACGTTGGATATCCCAGGATAAAGTTTATTGCGCACATTGTGAGGCTTACATGTCTCGTCTACAGACTGCTTGATGACAGCACAATATAGCTGTCATTTAGTTGTGTGCTTGCCCCTTTAGTGAATATGCACAGACTGCTTTATGACAACATAAACATAGCTGTCATTTAGCTGTGTGCTGGCCCCTTTAGTGAATATGCACAGACTGCTTGATGACAACATAAACATAGCTGTCATTTAGCTGTGTGCTGGCCCCTTTAGTGAATATGCACAGACTGCCTGATGACAACATAAACATAGTTGTCATTTAGCTGTGTGTTGGCCCCTTTAGTGAATATGCACAGACTGCTTGATGACAACATAAACATAGTTGTCATTTAGTTGTGTGCTTGCCCCTTTAGTGAATATGCACAGACTGCTTTATGACAACATAAACATAGCTGTCATTTAGCTGTGTGCTGGCCCCTTTAGTGAATATGCACAGACTGCCTGATGACAACATAAACATAGTTGTCATTTAGCTGTGTGTTGGCCCCTTTAGTGAATATGCACAGACTGCTTGATGACAACATAAACATAGTTGTCATTTAGCTGTGTGCTGGCCTCTTTAGTGAATATGCACACTTCTCAAATCAACTGTGATACCATTGTGCTGTTCAGTGTTTTACTCATTGTGTTCATTTTTATTGGTATGTTAATTTAATGTCCATGACTTAAATGAAATGATACGAATTGTTATATTTTATATTACTAAATGGAAAATATATGCAATACTCGAAATAATGTTGCCAAAGTTGAAAGTTTTGATTAATGTAATAATGTAATTGTCTTCATGTGCTCTGTTGAGTGCTTATGATTGTGTTCAGATATCGTGTTCAGAATTGATATGTCTCGATTTAATGCCTTAGTCACATTTGATCTACGGCAGGTGTAGCTTCCCAAAATTTAGAGAAATATGAAGCATAAAATTAATTGATATGCAGTTCACTCCAGATAAGCCTGCTGTAAAGCAAATGTGACTGAGCCTTAATTAAAAAATAATTTTAGTGTTCAGTTAGGGAAATCTTGTTTGTGAATGGAATTTTCTGCATAATGATATGGAATCTCCATTTGGAAAGTTGTGCCCCAAGATGTTTAGATTTTAGCTATAACATCATTGAAGTTATACTTGTTATACAAGTCTATGAAATGAGTATTCATGGTTTGTAATACCACCCCAACTTCTTGAAAAAGAGTCATTTGTGTATAAGAATGTAAATATGAGAATAATGTAAGAACGTCTCCCATGTCCATTAACCTTTTTGCTTTACATTGGCTTTTATCTTATATGCTAACACTGTTTGTGTATATATGTATGACAAGAACAATATGAAACTATTTATTTCAATATATTTTTCTTTAAATTTTGACTGTAGTCCTTGAGTAACTGATTATTTTATCTGTGCAAAATCTTTTTACATATTCGACTTTATTTTAGTCAAAATGTTGAACAAGATATGAAATATTCATGATTTATACATAATTAGCTGTAGATTTCACAATTCACTCATGTGTAAATGTTGACAGAGAGAGACATCTATAGTTCTCTTGAACAACAGAATAATTTTATATCCACAAGAAAGCATTGCTTTCAAGGCTATTTTTGTAAAATAAATTATATAGCTACAAAATAGTTTGTTTTGTTCATGCTTTTGTGCGTCATACCAGCTGTATGAGAGATGTGATTAAGAATGTACAAAGGGCAATACTGAAACAAAATCAAAAAAGTATCTTGTCTAAAATGTTTTATCTTGAAAATAAGCATTTGCTCTCTGGTCAGATAACTAGACTAAGCCGGTGTGAAAGAAATGATGGTCCCCTTACTGGCACTGATTGCGTATAAGATAATGAGGGAAAGAGTTGTATTGAGGTCACCATATATATCAATGGAGAGCAGGACCATAATTTGATAGGACCTCTTACCCTTTTACACCGTATACACTGAAAATTGCATTTCAATCATTTTAAGCAATTCGGCCTTTTCAACTGCAATGAACTACTGTAGGTCCTCACACTGGGTAACATTTACTTTAGATAGTACCTATTCTGGGGGTCTCATGTATCAGCTTAATAACATTACATCTTCAATCATCATTTAATTGAGGAACACAAACTTGATTAATTAAAAGTTTAATTTTTACACATAATCAATTTGTGGTAAGATTCACCTGTCGGTCACGTGACCTAACTCAGCTGGGACATAGTATAACCTGGGGCAATAGGTAGGCGTCCAATATAAGTAAAACTTGCTGGATCCACTATTCTGACCCTGGTAGCCGTCCCGTGTGTACATTCTTTACATATATGAGTGGGTGGGTGGAGCTATTATCTGTATCTCCGTAGTAAACTATGCTAGCCCTGGGCTTCATATGATGTCAGAAAGGTGAGTCTGAAAAGCAATTAACAATAGTAAAAGCATACGGACGAGATTAACTTGATTTTAAACCGAATTCCTTTGAAACAAATTGTGGATAGTTGAAAAATGCTATATTAGAATATTTTGTAATGCATTACATGTAACGCACGGATTTGTAAGTAGTACTTTTATTTCGATTTCAGTGTCGTGATATTTTATGTTGATTTTATTCCTTAATCAAATTTGAAATCAGTACTTTGTTTCAGTTGTCTACGTTTATTGTTGCTATCAAAATTATCATCCTAAAAATACAAATACAAAAATAATTATAAGATCTTTTTCCATGTTAAGCGGACAGTATTTTCTACTAAATGGCATTGGGTAGTTTTGATATATCAAAATAATGCCAAAATGAGTCGGGAAATTTCAATAACCAGAAAAAAGCAATCACGACATTTTACACGCTATACGTTTAGTTGCCGTCGCTAACATGTAAATTGTATAGAAATACAAAATTATAAAAACTTAATGTGGATTTTCTCCTATACTGACAATGTTCTTGTGACAGCCATTTAAGAATAGTAAATACAAAATCTGATAAATGGGACATTCATTTTTAGAAGTACTATTTTTTATTTGAATTATACTATTGCAGTTATATAACAGCTAGACAGAATTTCTTTCTGCTAAACATGTTGCAAAGTACTTTACATAAAACTAGTAATTCTAATAATTATTCAATTTTGTAGATTCACAAATTTACAAATTATCAGGTATGACGTGAAGTATTAATTTTCACAATTAAAAATTCTAAATGAATATCTATAATTTTTAATTGTTAAAAATGACATTGACAGAACGCTCGTTCATCAATTTCTTTCGAGTCTCCATCTGTGTGCGTAATTTACTGATATTGGTAAGTGTTTAGCATTAATTAAGTCATTACCTGTCAGGTAGGCCAGGTAGGCGTTCACCTGAGAATCCACTTGAATTTTAATTCAATAAATTGCAATTAAACATATGAAATAATAGTTCAAACATGTATTTCACTAGACCTGTGCATTACATAATTATACCTAGGTGACAGGTTCATAACGTGCGTGTTGATTTTGGTCTGAGTCTGGGATTTATTTTCTTAAAGTTGCTCTTTTTGTTAGTACACAAGTCAGAGGTTGGTCTTCAGATAGATTGACAATTTATTTGAATCACTTAAAGTGTAGGGATTCCAGAAATTCAATTGACAAGAAATGACATGAAATTAGATGATCTCAAACTTTTTCAAAATTTTTAACTTTGGAAATGTTACTCCCTGATCTGATTCTGCAAGCATGTGTAAAGCCAAAATAAGTTCTTGGATAATCTTGTAGAACGTTTATGAAAATTTTATCTGGATTTAAATTTTAAGGTATGGCTTGATATTGAGCATATGTAAATTCTATTCAGACACCACGTCCAAAGTGCATTAACCCTTCAGGCATCTTTATGATCACGACAGCTTGAATGTCTTGGGTACCTTGCGTATTACACGTCCAAGACGATGGGACAAGATGGTCTAGTCTGGAACCTAGTCTCAATCTCCTTTTCCTGATATCATTCATTTATTTTTCCTTTTGCTGGAAAACTGAATGTAAAAGTCAAAATAAAAGAGCCCGAGTGCCAAGCTAAACTGGTACTTTCAAAACTTTATATACAAAGCTATATGAACGTGAATCAGTGTAAGTGACAAAGTATCGCATTTGTGCAATATTCATTTTTGAGCACATTGTCTTCATGAGTCTGGGACCCAGAAGTTTTCTTTATTTTGACTTTGATCAGTTATAAGTAAAATGTCGAGAAATTAGAAATCAAAAATGGAAACTAGTTGTCACGTGTCATTAGTTGCCATTCTATTTATTCATTAATCAAAAAGAGATGCAGTGATTTTACAAAAAAACGTTGTCGTACATACTTTGTACAGAACATATATCTGAATTGAAAATGAAAGAGGTAGAATACATGGAATACTTCAGCGGTGTGAAAACATCATAATTTATTATCAAATTATACTGAAAATTACTAGAGGCGATGGAAACGTCGCTAAAACAAACTAGTAATGAGATCATTTTGGTGAAGTCACCTGTAATTTGAGAGAAAATGATGAGTTAACCGGGAGTCTTAAATAAACAACTGCAAATAAAGAAAACTGGAAAATATACATATCGAGCTTTTCTTTGAATGCAATTTCAACGTTATTCTGATTTTGTAAGATTATTGTTCTAATTTCCTGTAATCAGGAAAGACGAAGCAAGAACTAATCAACAATTATTTAATCAATATCAGGTACGTAATCAATTCATTAAAATATAGTAAAACATAAAAATCATGACTTTTATACTAAATTAGATCTGTTTTGAGTTTTCCCACACTTTTAACTCACGTTTTGCCGTCAGACCAATCCTCGTAAAACTACTAAATTATAAATTCTAAAATTACAATTCGCAAGGTCGCATTTCCAGCTTCATTAGTATGCAATCCTGTCATCGTGTTTGCCCCGGGAAATTGTAGAAGCCACTAAGGTTGGCCGAGGTACCTGGAACAGGGCGCATCAATTACGCCCCGCTCCCAATCGCCCCCTCGGTTACTCAGTGATACCGATCACATAGTTACTAAATAAACACTAAGTCTAATTTGCACCATCATAAAAATGAATAAAGTCATATAAAACAAGTTTTTATCAAATACAAAATGAATAAATGTGGTTACGGAAAATTATAAAAATTATTATAAAAACTTTAAGGCTATGACACTTGGATACTCTCGTCTTAAAGGCATAATCTTTAAATCTTAATTTTCTAATTTTGAATTAGAACCTTTTGGTGTTTTCAGGAATGACTCGTGGCTTGAGGTGAGGACTAATACCCGATATTACATGCTATTCGGCCGTATTGCCCCCTAACCGAAGACATATGGTACACAACATTGTTGATGGATCGCATGTATGCCATGCACGTTCTACGAACTACTATAATTATTTGTCAATCAAAATTTGACTTTAAATACAATGAGGAAGTGAGCCCCATCATTTTGGATTCGGAGTCGAACCAATAAACTCATCGGGAAAAAGTGATCCGCATAGGGCTTTGAATACTTCAATAAAGATTACTTTGAGCTATTACAAAAGATTTTAATTTGAATGAGATGGCAGCTTTTAGTCACGACACTGATACAATATACAGCATCGCAAGCATCCTTTGTAATGATCTTCATCAACCAAGGCATCTATCAGAGACATCTGTTGGCACCCAGCATAACTATGATAGTGGGCATGTTTCTCCACCAAACACTTCGAGTGCTTCATATCAAGTGAATTTCACCATAACTGATCTAGACTATTGTAGTAATGGACGACACTGGCTACAGGCAAAACCTGCAAACGATGCCCAAAACGACAACTTCGCTACACTTGTATCTCGACAAAACTGTATGGGAACAGAAATGGCTCAACAGCCCCCGACGAGGTATGTACACCCTTTCCGAGGACAACCACAACAAAATCTTCCTAGTATTTCATCAAAGAAATCTTCAACTTTGATTGTACCACTGCCACTTTATCCAGAAGAGGTTCTACATTACAGAGGACTTGGTAAAGCAATGTTCCCTTCATCGCATGCAGCTCAACAACTTTCCGCCGCACCATCATATCACCTGATGGGGTACGAAGAAAGGGGGATAATTGGTAATACACCTACGAGAAGCACTGCAAACGCTTATAAACATTCAAAACAAATCATCGCCCCTTCAGCACCATCATCGTCAGTGATCGCATCAACGAACATTCAACAGTTACCAAAAGAGCATGATGCAAACACGAACAATGTCGAGACTGTTAATGGAACACATCGTATCAAATCAGACAGCATGGGAGACGTACCAAATGGCAGTAAAATGCCTGAGTTGACAACGATATCTCTTAATCTGGAAGAACACCGTAAAGATTCTGCATCTTCGTCGTCCGTTGTTGCGTCTTCAGAATGTATGACTTTATCAACATTGAATGTATCCCCTACAGTTTCAACGAGTTCACTATCGTCCTCATCCTCGTATTCACCGTCTTCATTTCACACTAGTTCGCCATCATCATCTGGTACATGCTCTCCATCAGCTCCAGTTGAGTGTTCACCATCTGCAACATCATCAATGCCATCATCAACCGATTCTTCACCACCTAAACACGATGGCCTTGATTTCAAGAAATTCCTAACAGACAAGAAGACGTACACGTGTCCAAAGTGCCCGTATGTCACAGACCGGAAGAACAATCTGAAGCGACACGTAGTTACCATGCATGAAAAATGCGATAAGGCCCTGGAGTGTTGCAACACAGCGTTTGCCAATAAGGCCTTGCTCCGGGCGCATGTAGTGTCGTGCCACAAACACGGATATAACTGCCTCATATGTGGGAGGATTTTCTGTCGGAAAGCACTCCTAAAGAGACACGTGACGGTCCATAACGGGCAGAAGGACTATCGATGCTCACTTTGCGGTTATGCAACAAGCCACAAGAGCAACCTTGATCGACATCGTAGACGTCACGTTGAGCAAGGAGAAGGATGCTGCGACCAACAGAACATGATGACAGAAAATACGGACATTGTGTATGGACCGATGATTGGTCAACATCTACGAGAAAACAGTCCAAATATGGAGCTTGATAACCGAACAGTGATTGGAAATCTAAGCACACAAACATCAATTGGAGTCAATCACATACCAGGTGTTGATAATATTAATAAAAACAATGGACATGATATGGTAAACTATACAAACAATTTAGTAACAATGTTTGAGTCTTTCACTATCAGCCATCCCCACAAGAAAACGGCAATTGCTGGCTGCATTCTTAACAGGACATCGAAATTGTACAATGAAAATAACTCCAAAGACAGAATTGTTGAAAAGCCCAACTCTAAATCTAAAACAAAGTATAAAAATTTGATCACTTCCAACGCAAAACGAATGTGTATCTCTCCTTATAAGTGTCAATTTTGTGATATTGTATTCGATAACCAAATGAAACTATTGGACCACATTGACACTTTCCACGAGAGTTCTATTTGGATGAGTCGCCCATTAACACTAGCAGCTAAAATCAAACATTCGTTTTACAACAGTGATCAAAAGAACAGTCAGAGCAAGATATCAATTTCATAAATTAATCACTAAATGATAATAAAAGTATAATGAACATCATCCAATTTTTTAATTTTCCCCTCGTTCTACTGTTGGCCATTGTCCCAAATGTGGATGTTAAGGTTGATGCAAAAGTATGATCTTCTCATGTTTGCGCCTCTCAATTATGATGTATGTAAAGGTTGATTCAAAAGTATGATCTTCTCATGTTTGCGGCTCTCGATGATGTATGTAAAGGGTGATTCAAAAAGTATGATCTTCCCATTTTTGCCACTCTCAATTATATGGTGAAAACATTTTGTAAAGCTAGTTGTGAGTAGTGTATCATATAACATCAAAGACTAAGATTTTGTGAAATAATATTTTATATCCAGGCACTGATACAATGAAAATTAAATGAGTGGTTTTCTTGGCCATCATTTGAGTCCATTCTGTATTGTTCTCACTACCGTCCTCTTATACGTTTAACTAATGGTGCTTTATGATTTACCAACTTTCCGGAATAACAGTTCTGTGTGACATGCCAGTTTGATAATATAATGAAAGAGTAGGCAGAATTTTTTACTTGTATCATTTAGCATTTCTAGTCGGAAAATATGAATTCTCTAAATCTCAAACTGGCATATATAATATACGAACAGTATACACATAGTTGTATCAACGTTTCACACATGGGATACATCGTCGGTTCCCACGCTCAATCACTACGTTCTATCTACGTTCTATGAGGATAGGTCCGAAGCTACTCAAGAATATCCAAGAGACTCCACAGCAGTTGAAAATAGTGAAAAATATGAGTACAATAAACATCAAGGTCAATGTAAACGAGAAATCGTATGAAGCTTTTAAAAAATCAGTTTTAATGTCATTCTAATGATCGATTTCAAGTGATGTCCAAGTACACTGTTCCACAACTAGTTACTTTGACGGAACGTCAATGTAACAAAATTGATGAACTTTCTGGTTACGAGTTTTTTGTCTTCTCGATTTAAACCTACTTATAAGTCAAGTTGCAGATTATAATATGACACAAAGCTAGAAAATATAGTCTAGTTTCAATGAGTTTCTTCGATTTGGAATTTGTTTTGTACATGCCCCTCGATTTTGTTACATTGACGAAACTCGGCTATATTACCAATGTAGGTTACTTTGGCGACTTACGTCAATGTAACAAAAGCGATGGTCTAAATGCATGAATTACAGCTTTATTTAAAAATAAAATTCCAAACCGAGAGCATTTCTAATAACTAGACTTGCCTTACTTTGTGCCAAATGATAATCCGCAACATGACTTATACGTAAGTTTAAATCGAGAAAACAAAAAAAACTCGTATCCAAGAAGTTCATCCATTTTGTTACATTGACGCTCCGTCAAAGTAACTAATTGTGGAGTGAAGTATAGATGTCACCCTCGCCAATTCAAAAATATAGATTGAGAAAAATACTGATAAATTCATCATAAGGAACACATTTGTATAATCCAGTATAAATCACCAATGCAGAAATAAATAATAATGCATACGATTTTTCGTGACCATATTTACTTTTATTGAAAAATATATTTGTTGACTTGAAATAAAATATTTGGCATAAACCGAACTAATGAGTATAATCGATACAAGTAACCTTTATAAACATACTTTAACATGCTCCCAACGAATGGGGATTTAGGACTGCTATTTTTTGTTGGACGAGGAGTGTATAATTTCATTTTTTGTGCACTAGTAATCATATAAGTAAATTCACGAAAGCTAGAAATAAACAAAAAATGAATCACATTGCCGCTTCATAACCGTCCTTTCGTTGACTGACCATTCGATCAAGCAGGGGTTGCGACTCACAACGCGGTTAATTAGGCTGGTGATACATTACAAGAAACAGATATTTGAGAGAATGGGACGGGCTGGGGTGGAATTGTGAGTTAATTATTCGTAAACATCGCTAATTAGTATTGTTTGTAATATAATATTGAAGATACCATACGTGTTAACTTGTCAGTGTGTTACCCAATTATTTTTGTATTCCAACTTGTGAGTTCAGTTTTATCAGAGTGAAGAATGCCGTCTTATTATATTACCCACATTGTAAAGATTTGCCATCATTAGTTAGTTGTTTAACGAACAGCCCCAGAGACGCCCAATACGATTATAAATTCTCTGCCACTAATGTCCGTTTCCTCAAGTCCACCAAGTTGGCAATTAGAATACCTAAGAGTGGAATCATTCTATTAATTAGTAAATATCTATGCGTAAGTGTAAAATATCATAGAGAAGGATTAATGTTACATACGTATAGTATATGATCTACATCGTAAAAGAGTGTTCACCTCTGTGTTACATTTCTGCATATACTTTAATTAGTATTAAATTAACTTTAATTTGGAACTTAATTATAGAATGCATATTTCTTGAATTATCGGACATTTTACAAACATAGTACCTTTGACTGTAACAACTGCAAATGTTTTAAATGTATGAAGGTATACAAAAATGATTGTTTTCAAATGCCCAGCCATAAGTTATTCCAGAATTTTTTAATTAGTCTAATAAGAATACGCTCTTTTACCTGATTATTCCCACAATTTTCAGTGACGGAATAATTTCTGGAAAATGAAAAATATTGTTAATTACAAAGGCGTCCATTTCCCTGGACAGAATATGAAGATAAATGAAAAAGAGAGCACATTGGACGAAATCAATGATAAATTGGAAATTTTCCATAAAATACAAGCAACGGTGTGTCGTGATTTACATTGATTATTTGCTCTGTTGAAAGTCCATGTTCAGACTAAACGTTGGCAATGACTTTGACTGCCATTTATTCATCAAGCAAAATAGAAGCAAAGTAAATCAAATTTCCGTTTATATTTTAAACTTTTAACCAAGGTACAGGAATACAATTTAACAATAATAATTGTCATAAATAACATCAGCAGGGTGTTGTCTTAAAAATGTTATAACAGAGTGTGTATAGCTAGTTTCACTGGGAATCATAACATGAAACTGGAATTGTAGTGCAGGGGATCTGCGTCCGGTGTTTAGCAACTGTAAACTAGGAGACAAACCTCTCAAATTATTGTAAATAGTTTTTTAAATGAACTATTGACGTATATCCTATTAATGTTGTTATTTATCTATGTATTTGTGACATTAACATTGTAAAGAAACTAAGGTCGATGCATCGCTTTGGATTTGTTCAACGAACCCCTGCAAGGCTTTTACCTTTATATATTTGTGAAAGTGATAGGCCCTAATGGCGCTCAGACGCCTCTGTAGAACGTTAACAACACATCAAATATTCAATCTGTTTTATTAAAGCAATCTTTTTGCAAAATCAAGCGCGTAAATTTCACTTAAAATGCATAGAGGGATCATGAAGTTTATTACAAGTGACAGCGACGTTAGTGTTTTACTGAGAGATAATTGCTCCAGGAGGCTATCGTAATTATACGGTCCATATTTCGCCATATTCCGCCTCGTAAACCAGTAGGCTCAAGCTTAAGGATATAGGAGACACATCGGGTATGTAATTTTAGATTTAAACATTTAAGAACATAAAGGATGACGTGTTTTTTATTCTTGATTTTCTCAAATAAATAAACCGATTGTAAAAGTATAAAGGCTAGGGCGTAAGGCTAGCCTGGTAAAACAACAGTTGGTATTAAATCCAAAACGACCATGTGGTATTCCATCTTGTTTTATCAATTTCGTATTCTTGAAGGAATACATCGTGGATTTTTTGGATAACTAAGAATTACACGTTCTCATACGTGTGAGAGAAAATAAAACTGATAAGTGAGTATGGAAGTATGAGACCCAGTATTTTTACACTAACATCATTAGAACAACTAGGGAGCATTCAGCTTTGCCCATCATCAACGGCCTCTATCAGTACTAGTCCCTTTGTAAACATCCTTCTGAATCGTATGACTGAGCTTCATATTTTGAAGATCCTCGTCTACATTAATTTAAAACAAAATTCAGAAAGATGCTGTAACTCGTGGATGGCGAGTATGGTGGAGAGACGTATGTTGATGGCGAGTATGCGATAGAGACATCTATGGCGAGTATTATATGGAAAGAGACTTTTTTTTACTTACCATGATGAACATCCAAGTGAATTGACTTATTAACTACAGTAATGCTGAACTTCACAACTCAATAATGTTAGAGACATCAAAGTGTTAGCTATTCACGGTGAAAGACATCGTTGCTTTCCACTGGGTCTAGAGAGGTAGGAATAATCGAAACCTTGTGAATCAAGATGTGTGAAAGATAAAACAATGCGCATCGAATAACAACAATCCAATTAGGTCTTGAAGGTAGACGGTGATGGCATTTATACACGCAATTAATGAACGTATTGTGATATATTATTCATGTACTGAAATAACGTGATGCCCCTTTCAGTTCCTCGCAACATAGTCAGAATAATCATCAAGCTATCTTGCAGTATCTGAATGTATTTGAACAATCACTCTGTGGGGTACACAGTCGATATGAATCGGATTTGAGGGTTTACCGTTTGAATATAGATAAAAGACAGGCAGAAAATACAATTTTTACTTATTGAACATTGCGAGGATAGGAAAATAATGAGCTGGGCCCCGTTTTTGTACCGTTCGTAGTAACGAACGTTCGTAAGTCCATTGTTTAATTTGCGAATTTCGCAAAGTTGCATTTTCGTAAGATTCGTAAAGTTACGAACGATTCGTAACTTTACGAAAATAGTGACGTCATGCCTGTTTTCGTTCGTAGATTTAATACCACCTCTGACCCTTTCGTAACTTTACGAACGGCCTCTTATTTATTCATTTATATTGTGATTTGTGACGTTTTGTCATTCTAAATCAGAGAACACAAAGGGCAACACCGTTATCAACGTATTATCAACCTATTTCTATATCTATTTTAGTACTTTTCATGGAATTTTTATTTTTATAAAGTTCTTATTGTATGACTTTGGTTTTATTATTTTGATCAACCCTGTTTGTTGTACTATCTGTCCTGACAACTGTGGAATATGACGTCAACCAATTCGTAAATCTTACTCTAAACAATTGGAAAGTTACGAATGACTTACGAAAGCGTACAAAAATGATCCATTCGCAACTTTACGAATTCGCAACTCATTCGTAACTTTTTAAATATTTACGAATTTACGAATTGCGAACGTTCGTTACTACGAACGGTACAAAAACGGACTCCTGGGCAGTATTTACTTTTGGCTGCAAATTATCGATGAAAATACGCACGTATAAGTTATTGAAGTTGAAACTAATACAAAATGTGGTATGATGTGAGTTTAAATGGATTTAAAATATCATGGGAAATTTCCCTAAAAGCTTCGTAAACCTTTGGGAAATTGGAATTAGTGTTCATGGCTACACAGTTGTCACCTACACTGAATACAAATCGACCTGTCATGTTGTACGATCTGAATCTATCCAATAGAATAATTGTTGGCATTTTGACGTGTGTTTCTAACACCCTTTGTGAATACTACTTAGGGTAACCCTTTTCGAAAATGCTCTTCTTGAAAAAATTATTATTGATGTCTTTTCAGTGATCTCCCCATGTCACTTTTACCGGGAACCCCCCGAATTGAAACCAAAGTCCCCCCCCCCCAGTTGGGACCCTGCACTCCAATTTCTGATTTGCAAAATGAGTGAAGTAAGCACCCACCTGCAGATTGCGACTGTAGCGAGCGCCAATTTTTTTTGAAAAATTTCACCCAGTTGAATTTTTAGGGGAGAACACTGATTGCTCTATTGACTGATTGTTCTATTGACTATTTCAGTTTGATGCAATTAATTATTGTAATAAACTCTCTATTTGCCGAACTCATATCAAGTACAGACAATGTTCGAGAACGCATTTAATTGTCTATGTTAAACTGTAGAATACACGTATGTCACTAGAACAAGCCACGATTACATTGGTCGATCTAACAATCTGGAATTCACTACGAACCGATTTCGCTTTGATCATATCTCCACTCATACATATGAGGTGAACTGTATGCCCCAAATAATGTTAAATAATGTTTTTAAATTCAGAGAATCAAATATGCCTTTCGACTAGGAAGGAACTAATAGAAGGCCATCATTTCTCATGGTGTAATCTAGTTAAATATCGACTAGATTCATCTAGAGATCCAAATATCAAATAAATACCTAGATAAGTCATGATGCTCCGGGAATTGATGATCCGAGCTTGTGAATATCCAAGGTGATTCACGTTCACCAAACAAAAAATACTAATGCGATGAAATATACAGTACATGTAACTTACCCTTTTCCAAACAACTCATCGAGCCATCTTTTTAGGGGGGGGGGAGGGTTTATCTTCGACTTCCATGGTGGTTATAACAGACCCAGGTCAGTGGCGGATACAGGAATTAACAAGGGGGAGGGGCAAATTTTGAGTGTGGACAAAAACTTTTGGGCCCCTAAAAACAAAAAGTGGGCCCAAATTTTGAAAAATTGGCCAAAAGAGGCCAATTATGCCAAAAATGCCCATTTTTTGAGGCCCTACAAAATTTTGGGGCCCAAAAACTGAAAAAAATTTGGCCCCCCATGCCCCCCCCCCCCCCCGGATCCGCCACTGCAGGTGAAGTTTGAGCGACCGAAACCTTGGGAATCAAGATGACATAATTTAGCACACGAATGGTCTGGGTCTTATCGTTCCTCAAGATTCATATCATTGAATGATTGAGGAAATTGAAATTTTAGAAAGAAACAGAGATATTTGGACCAAAGTCAACATTGAACCTTAGCAATGTGCAGATTATGCATCTCTCCTCGACACTCGGGAGAAGGTAGATCGAGAGTAGCATGTAAAGATCACGTAATCAGGAAGCAGTGTGATTAACTTTCCAACCTGATATATGATCATTGAAGACTGCGATCTCTTTCAGGCAACAATCAATCAGCTCTTCGATGATGCACAGGATAAGTTTAATCTTCCTTTTCCATTTATCATGGCATGTGTTAATCCACTATGGATTAAATGATCGAAAGATTGAATATTTGTTAAAGTAATCGTTAGTGTTCTAATGAGCTAACAAAAGCACTATTCCCGTTTTCATAGTATCAGTTTACGTAAATCAATTCGTAGATTAATGATGAAACCTTCGACGTGACTTATTTACAATTTGGAATAATCTACATAAGAGTCGGGCATTTTCCTCCATTGAACACTCAAGCCACGTATTCCTTTCATTATAACGAATTTTATGTTACATGACTAAATGTTTTTATTCCGCTATTTAATATACGCTCTACCATGAGTGTTTGGTATCAAATTAAACGTCTCTTAATCCTGCAAAATATCATTTAGTTTTTATCTCAGGGTTATAAAAGCTGAACGCATTATCAATCGTCGAACATTCCAAACTATCATTTTTTGCCTTGTAACCGATCACCCTTATGTTGATTGACAGTAACTTTTTGATATTCTGAAACGTATTTTGTTATTATAATTGACTATTTCATCACAAAGACTGCATCGTGTCGATTGTACGTTAGCTGGAATTAATTTATTTGCTAATTTACTATTGGAAAATCGACATTAAGTATATGTAGCCCTCGAAGGCACCATCATCGACACCATGCTTGAAATCAACGGTGTCGAGAAGCCTCTGCACTATTCATGATAAAGCCCCATTTACTTCTTTGAAATATAAATTGCCTTATTAACGGATGTAAAACATTTTCACAATACATTTGAATTTAACATATTTAGCTTGTTACGTTTTTTTCGACGTAAAGTACTATTTTTCAAAATCATCATCGACTCTACAAGTACGTTGTCTTTGCACTCTGCTTTCAATCAAAATCAGGTTTCAATGTTAAGTAATGGTGTTGACGGTTTGTCTCAATGTATTTTGATAATATAAACATACGCTTTATTGATGTTATTCTTTGACCACGTAAAGATTGAGATATTTACGACCATCAACGACTCCACCACATACGACTCCAAAATACTATCCACATATTAAGTAGGTCACATGCATAATCGAACGCTATATATTTGTTGAATGAACCTACATTCATTAAATGACTATTTTGTTGTATGTGTAGCATTTTACAGTGATACCGAGCTAAAGATTTAGAGCATATTGTTCAATTGTGATTACAACGTATAGTGATAAGTAAAATTGAATCTATTAAGCAGATCATGTTATTTACTTATGATGCATATTCTGTTTGTCTTGAAATGCTAAGGTAATGTGACACAAGAATTGGGATGATTGAGCAGTTCATAGTTTTATAAAATCACTGACAAATATAGATGCACATTCCCCGATATTTCTTAATTTATAAACGTTTCGTTCAGTGTACAACTAGACGAAATGTATTTCTTGCCATTATTGTAAAACAATAAATATTTCATTGGGATAATCAGTTTTGTGACATTTTATTAATGTGCATAACTTCCCACACTCTCATTAGTATATCTGTCTTACTTATCAGACCTTTCTGATGATATAAGAATATGGCACTCACCAACGCCGAGAAGTGCCGTCGTTCCCTACAGACTACAGTACAGGGAGATAAAGAAAAAGGAAGATACCAAAGGCTACTTAGAGCAAGAACGATTGCGACAGCGAGCATCGTATACACCGAGAAAAAAACTGTCTATTGAAGCTCTTCAACAGATCAGAGAAAAGAACAACAAGGCATCCCGGGAATACAGGGCACGCATACGCCAAGTGTATATGGAGAAACGATCAAAACACGCCAGACTGAAGGGAACGCTCAGAGTCTAAAAGTGAAACTGCCAGGACACAAATGAAACTCCAAGAAATCCCAGAACACATTATTAAAACATTGAAGATTGGATTTAAACCAGTTGGACTTAAACCAGTACCAGGTGCCTTTCGAATCAATGCTGTGAGAGGGGTTTCCGATAATATTGTTGAAACGCGAGAATTATCGTGCTATTGTGACGCATGCAGAACATTTACGTCATTCTCACCCTGTGGTTGGCAAAGGAACCTTATTATATTACCGTTAGGAAGACCCAGCAGGCAGCTAAGCTGGTCACCGAGCTACCATCTTTAAAACCAAAACGGACCACACGACGAGCACCCCCGACACCCAGTACGTCAAGTACGTAAAGCATCGACGCCCTCCGACGTTTCCACTCTTTCAACCACATTGAAGCGTCGGCCTTTAGTACCCCATCTACAAGTTCAAAGTCTTCAGACACAATTGTTTCCACGAAGAAAAGGAGAGGCCTGATAAAAAAAACAGACACTGTAATATTTGAAAGGCATGCGGTGTCAACTGTTATTCGTATTTACAATCGCAGTTCGAATGGATCAAGTGCTCTAAATGCCACGACTGGTTTCATGATTCCGGGAAACGTTCTCGTGTAAAGGGATACTCATTGGAGAAATATTTACATGCTTTAATTACAATAAAAGACGACCTTAAATGTGTAAATTATGTAAACGTTATTGTTTAAAAACCTAAGCGACCATCAGCGACACTGTTAAATAACACTTAATATCACAAGGAGGAGTGATTGACCTATTCGTAACAATGTTGTATTTTGATGTAAGAAGACATGTGTGTCTAATTTGTACATTCATTTTGTCGATCTACGAATTGACCTGGCATATTATTTAGCTTAGAAAACAAAATCTTGAACTCAATTATCTTTAGGGAAACTCAAAACAATGTATTTCAATGATTATCTTAATAAAATTATCTTGTTAAGATAAACAACAACTATTGCAATTTATTTTTGTTCATGTGATTAAATAATTCAAACTTAATACATTAGTTTATCTTTATACTCAAAATTAATTTTGATACATGAATCAATGTAAGCCTATGTATGCACCATCATCGACACCAGCAACCTAAGAGTATATTTACGTTTTGATGCACAATCAAGTAATTGTTTAAAGGGTAATAAAAATATTTTGAGAAACGCTTCTTAAACCCCATGGCTAATGGTGTGTGCATTTATATCTCAATCTAAAATTTCATTTTTTCAACTTTTATATTGATCAAATGTGAAAGAGATTCGTGGCTTGACTGTGAAGTCTCCCTGTCACACTGGACATGCAATCCATCTATCCCCTTCAATCCACTTAAACATTTTGGGCGGATTGATATAATTGGTATTTATGACCCTTCTCTCGAATGCCTACATAACACGGCTGAACAATAATTCCAGTCACTCAAAGCAAAGGGGTTAGAATATATATGTGCTCGGTGAAAATTAATATCTTCTATCTACATATTTGGAACGGATGCAATCTTTTAAAAAGGAATTCTGTGTATATTCTGACATAATGAAAAGGGCTCTATCGATTCCATTGTATTAAATTACCCTTGGGGCAATCCAAGAACTAATTACTATTAATACACATGGGGGAATGGGATCCAGTTGAGATTCTGATTTTCCTGCAAGCTCCGTAGTTAGGAAAGATCAATAGATAAAATGTATGTATGTGAAGAATTTTTGTGTGGGTTATTTTTCACTCTTAATATAATTCTTTTCATGCCAGGCTTTTAGTGGCACAGGTGGCTTATGGTTAGGCCTGTTGTATGCAAGGGATTGGTAACGTAACGTTGGGGATTACTTTTTCGGTTGTATTAAATATGCATGGAATCCGATTTGATCATACTCAGTGTTCATGAAGAAAAAAAATATTCAGATCTTGGGAAATCAAAACAATTCATTTTCTGAATCAATTATGACAAACAATTCTTTCTACCAAATCTAAGCAAGCGGGGTCACATTTCATCATAATGATTTAGGCTATTTCCAACGGGATGTACCCTCGACAACGTACAGTGACAAAACATACCGTCGTGCACTTTAGATGTACTGTGTCACTATTAACTGATTTGAAACAAAAACTATGATGTAGATTTGATGTAGGTTTTAAAAAATTAATCTGGAGAATACATGACGACGGTATATTTTGTCACTGTACGTTGTCGATGGTTAGGCGTGCCTTTGCATTCGTTCGATTTCGTTTCTCAAAAGAGAGCTTCGGTAGCTTAAAACTAGACTGCACGCAGACTAAACGGAATGGTGTTATAGTCCAAGCCCAGAATGTTCAAAATATATTTTGGACCCAAAATAGTTTGTAAAAGGAAAAGTCAAGCATTGTCGATTCATTTATTATTTTCGTTCATGATCAGCCCTTACCGTCAACCACTTGTGTTGTGATAATGCAAAAGGGACATACTGAAGAATCTTATAAAGGATGATAAATGATTTGTTGATTTTGGAGAGATATTAGTTTACAGAGGTTAATGAAAAGAACAATCTTACCGGGCGTAATAATCATATTGACAATATTTCAGAGGATATCATCGTTTCAGCGACATTAATCATTCTTCTTAGTATGGGTTCAATTTTCCGGAATGAAAAGGAAGAACTGGTTTTACTTTTTTTAATACAGAATATCTCACTTCGAAGGGATATCCCTTGCAAGACCATCTTTTTCTTATATGGTAGCTATAACCAAATATGTACTTTCCATGTTCAGTAAAACATGGACAAATGTTTTGATATAGTCAATACTGATCAGTTGAAAATACAGTGCTCAATTCCAGTAGGCTAGATACAAACAAACAAACAACAAACAAACAAATAAACAACTGAACAAACGGGAAGTGAATTACAAAACCAGCTGAATAATGTTTTCAATTATGTCTATGATTTAATGATCCCTCTGATAATTCCTTCGTTAATTCTAAGTTGACTTGCCCTGAAAATAATTTTTGCACAGGAAGTAAAGAGTACTTGCCTAGAAATGATCTTGTGCCACTTTTCCATTATAGGCAAGGTATGAGGCAAGGTTTATAACAGTCGATGACATCACTTCCTGTATGAGATTTTAAGAAGCAGTTTACTGCAAATGAGCACATGTACATTTTTAAATGATCAATATTGACCATATTTAAACATTTTCCCGGGTTTTGCTAAATATGGAAAGTATACATATGATTATAGCTACTATATCAGGAGAGAAATGATCTTGCAAGGAATGTCCCTTTAAATCTTTTCTCAATACGAAAGATTTCCATGTACGTAAGAATAACTCCACAAAATCGCATTTGTACACATGAAATGATTTTTACAAGTGAAATGATTTAACGCGGAAACGTAACGCCATCTCCTAAAGAATTACCAGTTACCAGAATAATAATTAGCATTAATTCCATCGGGTTTTAACTTCAACAACATTTGAACATATTCTAATTTCTCTTCCAGACGCACCTCAAGTTATATATAACTTAATACGCCGATAGTCTTCTTTGATAAATCAGTTTTTAGTATCAATAGTTGCGACGTCTGTTTTTTCTTTCAGACACAAGCTGTGGCAGATTACTCATCAATACCAATCGACATTTGAGATACAGATGAAGATATCTTGATTAGTGTGATTAGAACTGAGCTCCAAGTCAATTGCTGAGATCGACCATCGAGTGGAATCTTGGGTTTATTTGGTCAAGCACTTTGTCTCGATAGATTTTAATAAGTCTCTCGGATTAGACTTCTCAGGGACTAACACAATCTGTGACGCTCCGTCGGTCTAAGTGGAACCCAACTAAGCGATTCGGGAACAAGTTGCAGAAGGCTCGAGGAACAACAACCAGACTGATGCAGAACTTTATATCATCCTAGAACTTTAGTTGTTGCTACACCAAAGTTCACCAGTCGGATTATACAATCTTGAATGCCAAAAGTGAATTGTGCGATATTTTTCGTGCATGTAGGGTTTTTATGTTTTACCAGTGTATTCAGAATATCATCTGACGTTCTATCATGGATCGAAATATATCTAGGGGATAAGTTCTGAAACAGACGAGAATGTACACATTTCAAACCGGTTTGAGGCTATGTAAAGTAAAATTACCAGTGCGATACAGGAAACAATTGGAATAATGTTTCGGACATTTGATAACTACTGATGAGTCAACTCTTTTTCATCCTAGAGGGGGATCATGAAGACAAATGCTAGAATTTTAATAATTTTTACAGTATTTTCAGTATTCACTGTCAACTTGTTATTTTACAAAAGGTTGGATTTTAACAATAACGTCATTATGAAGAGACGATATGCTGTGGAGAAACGTATGAATAAATTCTTCGTCGATCCGAATTCTGAACTTTCACCAGAGACTATCGCACAATCAAAAGACATGAAGAAACAAAGCAACTCAAAACGGAGCATTTTAACGATGAATCACAACGAAGAAAACGGTGTAAGATTAAACAGCAACCCCATTAACAAAGCTACAAATCACTTTCAACAAAGGATAATGAATTCTGACGAGAGAGGTAATCGAGTTTCAGCTAAAAGGAGATCAATACGTCATATCATTGCAGATCAAAGGGGCAATTTAAAAAGATCTTGGAACCGGCAATCCCATATCCTGCGCACTCAAATGATGCCCAACTCTCCCAGCCCAAGGACCTCCAACGGGTCAAGTTCTATTGATGAAGATATAACAAGAAAATACAAAAGCATTGCTCAAACTTATAGAAATCCCTTAATGACAACGATTTCATCGACATTAGATAAATCAGATGGTGAAAAAATAGTTGGAAAGAGCATAATATCTGATAACGACGATGTAAATAGCCCAATCATCGGTATAAATGCCAGCGAAACCAGGAAAACCTATAAGTATCTTATCAACCCTTATGATATCTGTAATATACCAGCCTCAGAAGGGCCTTATGTTCTTATTCTGGTACTGTCAAAACCCGAGCATTTTGATAGGCGAAATGCGATTCGGGAGACATGGGGTAATATTGCAAGAACTAAATACTCGAGACTTGCTTTTGCTGCTGGTAAACTTGTACGTGTTGTATTTGTATTGGGAATTTCAAATGAACCGCATTGGAAACATTTTATTCAAAGCGAAAGTGCTACATATCGTGATGTCCTACAGGGTGATATTTTGGAGGATTACCGGAACCTCACCCACAAGTCTCTACTGGCGCTAGGGTGGGTCACTGAATCTTGTTCCACCGTGAATTTTATAGTCAAATCTGATGACGATACTTTTATAAACATACCATTTCTAGTTAAGACCCTCAAGAAACAAATAAACGAGAATGTACTCATTGGAGCATTGAATCCTCATTCCAAGGTGCCAAGGCAGGGTCTCTGGAAAACTACGCGAAGAGAATGGCCAGGGGATTACTTTCCACCGTACTGCTCAGGGGTCGCCTACGCCATGTCAACAAGAACTGCAATGAAACTAATGGAGACTCCCTCTGTTCCACTAATTCATCTTGAAGACGTTTATATCACAGGTATTCTTGCAAAAGCAGCTTCGATAGAGCCGAAAGGAGTTGAAGGCTTTTCATTTTGGATTTCAAATCAACTAAATGTATGCGATATCGTTCAAGATAAGATACTTACTAGCCATCATATCACTCCGCACACAATGCATGACATTTGGAGTCAATTAAAAAACAAATCCGTCCATTCTAAGTCTAACTGTAGGACGGTAAAAAGTTGATGTATTTTGTAAATGCTATACTGCTATATTGATATAGGGTATACAGGATACTAATAACCTTATTTCAAAGGGCGACATAGTGAAATCTTGGCCCAAAGGCCGAAAGCTATTAGTTTCCTGACCACTTATTGAAAACGAATTCCAAATTAGTTATTTTCACTGGACTAGCGCGGATAATGACCACGGAAGGTGGTGATAAAACGGTTTATAAGCATAATTCAAGTTGCAGGATCTGAAATATGCTCGTGATTTGCATGTCAGAAAAAACAAGAATAAGTCCATGTACAGGTCCATCTCTAACACTAACACATATAATCTCTGATTAATAAATCCATGGAACTCTGCTTTAATGGAATCCTCAATCCTTCATCAGCAAATAATACATTAGGTGTCATTATTGACATAGTTGTCACTTTTGTTTGACGCTTAATATTTCACAGGATTCAATTTTATATTAAAGCAATGCATCACTTGGAGGGGTGGTTAGGGGCGATTACTTTCCATCTTGTTATATTCCGTTAATAAGAATAATCTTTATTCTTTAACCTGACAGACTGACAATTTAGTCTAACCCAACAAACGTCATTTCAATTCCCCTCTCCTCGAATTTGAAAATTGTTAAAGCACTCTACAGATGTACACTACCCTCCATAAGTTTGGCAACCTTTTATCCCATAAGCTTACCCGTTAAAGCACCTCTATGTTTGCAATGAAAAAACAATAATGAAGACGAAGATGCGACTTGACTTTATTTTCTATACCTCTAACTTTTTCATTTTTTCCTCAATTACAATAGGTTAAAATTGATGAAAATTTTGATGAATTTTTGAAAATCGTCATTCCTATGTAAACCAATGGGAAATTGTGGGTTCGGGGCAAATTAGATTTCGAAGATTCAACAAATTTCGACCTATTGTAATTGATTTTTCTTCTAGAAAATTCGGAGGTCATAAAATAAAGTCGTTACATCTCCTTCTGTATAGCTTTTTTTATTTGCAGGTTTTGAAAATAAAAATTGAAACATAGAGAGGCTTTAACACATATTGGTAAACACATAAATATCGCACTTTGAAGACCAAAATGGTCACCATGAAAGTTATGCAGCAAGCCCAAAACCCAATCAGGTCATGGCACTTGTCTGTTCTTGCATCTGTAAAAAGTTCAAGTTGAACAGGTAAGCAGTTATCCTGGAAATTTCATGTCAAGATTTGATTTATGTGGCGCCCATCCGACCATCAGCACAAGAGGATAGCAGTATTGTGTAGCTCTTTTTTAGTTTGTCTTTTGTGATTAAGCTGATCTAAAAACCATAAAGCCAATTGAGAAAATCAACTTTTTTGACCTTTCGAAGGTCACCGAAGGTCAAGCAAATCTCGAGTTGTTTTCTTGGAATTTTGATGACAAGATCTATCGAAAAATTCAAAACGGCAGCCGAGTAATTTACCCAGCATGCCCTAAACCTAATCAGATCTTAGCATTATTCTGCTCCTGCTCCTATATAAGTTTCAAGTTGAACAGGTAAGCGGTTATCATGGAAATTTCATGACAAGATATGATTTATAATAAGTGCGATAAAAACGTTGCCAAATCTATATGGAGGGGAGTGAATATTGACACGGTTACAAAACAGTAGGTCAAAGAGCTCGCGGTCTTTAGCGGTTTTTCACTTTCTAACAAAAATATGCATTTTTGATAACAAAATGGCAGCTGCTAGTGCAACATGCATCTGTAGGTAGCCGAAAACTGTTTATATACAGTTATCAATACACTTTGTGAAGTAAGTACACTCACCACCAAAAAAGATTGACAATCCTAACCACTATGTATGATACGACTATTCATTTATTTACGTAGGCCTAATCTGTACATGAGGACATACTTTGTTAAAGGACCACGGAAGGTATCGCAACAGATTTTAGACAGTCATATGTTGGATTGTGGTTATTTTTGTACGATTTAAAAAGGAGCATATGTTAGGCCAACGCATTATCAAAAAGAAGAGTACTCATAGATGATCAAATAAATTGGACTTCGAGACAGGGAAGGTGCAAACACCCCAGCTTTTTTCATTTTTTTCTCCTGATTTTCATCCCCTTCGACTACTCGTGTTTTTCAATGTTTTACGCACCAATGTGTTGCATTTGTAGACACAGTTAACCTCTTAAAAGGAAAATATGTTTCAAGCAGGGATTTTAAAGATATCATTCTGGGAGACCAAAATTAAGCTGAAAACAATGAATCGCATGTGTTTTTCCTATGGGAAAATAGCAATTGTAACATATTTTCCTGTTAAGAGGTTAACTGTGTCTACAAATGCAACACATTGGTGCGTAAAACATTGAAAAACACGAGTAGAAGGGGATGAAAATCAGGAAATCATCTCTGTGTCGAAGTCCAAAATATTTGACCATAACTTCTATGAGTACTTTTCCTTTAGATTATGGATAGGCCAAACAACACCTTTTTAAAATAGCCACAATCATGACTGTGTAAAATATGTTGCGATACCTTCCTTGATCCTTTCTTGTGTATCAGCAATATATAAGCAAACTCTACTGAAAAACTAGAAAAGTATTGGGAATTGTTATTAGGCCGATTGATAAATCAATAAGAGGGGGACAAGAACCCATGGGGTATCTCCTATCCATCAATGAGTGGTACACTATGGGTTACACGATGCTTGTATTAAGTACTAAATAATAACGTATGAGAACGTCGATGCTGCAAATATCAATAGGGGATTAGAATAGAAGATTTGGGAGTTTGTCTTTAGGCTTGGTACTGATCCTTTACGCTGTTTTTTTTCACCGAATTCACGTGTTCCTTCGGAAAGATCCTTATCCGACGTTGCATGTATGTCGTCATTCGGATTCTTAACATCCCATGTCATATCTACTGTGATATTTACTGTAACATTACCAAGCAACAAGTGTCGGAATTCATTTTTGTTTTTCAACATAATTTCGTTAAGAATGGATTCTTTTTCCACCATTATCTTGAACCACGATTCGTGCACAATGTTGAAGTACAAAACGTCCTCTTTTCGTCTGATATCCAGATCAAACAAGTATTTAATAGTGCCGATTAGTTTATTGAATATTTTTTGGATGATGCGTGGTATTCGTCGCCTTAGTGTGTCCTTTTCATGATCTGCTTCATCCCGGTTTTGATGAATCGTGGTGACGGCAATCCAAATATCTACACTTATTGAAGCCAACACACACGTTCCTTGGGTACTTGCAACGAAATTAACCGGACATCGTATTGCGGAGCAACTGCCAGACGCTATGTCATCGGCACAACCATATACGACATCACCCACATTGAATATACCCTCATTCTCAATTGTTGTGGTGTAGACATCTTTTTGAAGAACATCGTCTTCATTCACATTTACAAGAATTGACAATGAAAACCATTCAAGCTGCGATGTTCCGAGGTTTCTACCGGGAGCTATTTTATGCGTCCCACATTTAAGGTTAAAATGAGATTCATGACACATCCCACAATAAATGTTTCTGTATTTAGTGGAGAAATAACCGTAAACCGGTGTCATCCCAAATGTTGCCTTACAAAGCTGAATTAAAGTTGGATCAGCACAGTCCCCACATGTTGAAAGGACATCAAAACAAGGTCGTGGAGATGCAATCGAAGCAGTGGCATTAAATACATAGTTTAGTTCACACGTGTGCTTCGATCTGAATGAACTGCGTGATATCAAATACATAACCGTATCCAGAGATATTTCATTTGGAATCTCATCTTGCCTTTGATCGCCGATATTTCTGCAATATATTGTCACTTTCCAAGTATAAATGTCAACGGGATTTGCCTTGTTACATTTAGCGCAAAACCGATTCTTGTAGTGAACACCTGATTTCATATCACTGACTGGTATAGCTTCCAACAAATTAAAAGCCTCGTTCTCTTCTTCACAACGTTTTGCTAAATTTTTCTCCGTGTGTGATGGGCATTTTCTTACCAAGTAAAACCAACTAGAGGGAGTGGCTTTGAAACAGATCATGTTTGACGGATTCCACGTGTAAGACATGTTTCCCATTGGGTACCCTTCAGGTTTTCTTTTTTCCTTTGGAACATCAACGTTGCACCATTTCCCAAAATCCCTACAACAATCCTTGAAGACTACGCATTTATCATCACAATGGCACAAAAACTCAGAGTCCGGTTGCGTGCGACAACGGTTCTCGCACGAGGCAGACACAGTATCCATGCATGTTTGATTCGAGGATTCTATGATCGCCGTTGTTGATTCACAATCTTCACTCCTAAAATACCACGTTGAACGTTTTTGCAGCCTTCTATTTGGTGATTTTGTCTTGAAGAGTTGTGAGTTTGTCTTTAGGCTTGGTACTGATCCTTTACGCCGATTTCTTTCATCTAATTCGTTTATTCCTTCGGAAAGATCCTCATTCGACGTCGTTAACTCTGCATGTATGTCATTTGGATGTCTAACATGCCACGTCATTTTGTCCCCATCATGTTTATTTTTCAATAGATGATTGAGAAGAGCAAAAAGCATCGCTATTGAGAAAATACGAAGACATCTAAGTGTCGACATTCTCGGGCCTGTCGCCACGTCCAATAGAGCGAATATGAGAGGCTATACAGGATGAAGAAACCAAGAGCTTCAAGGCTATATACAGGGTGAGCCAAAAAAGGAAACCCAAACAAATGTTAATAACTCAGTCATGTTTTGTAAAATGGCCATAAAATCGTAACCTTTTGGATTAGACCTATAAAACTAACTTGGTAGAATGAAAAAAAAACATCAAATAAGGTTCAATTCCTTACCAGATGGTAAATTAAAACATAACCCCATTTTGATGCAGCCTATTATATAACTTCTATAACAGTTTTTTTTAATATTACTTTCGATTTATCAAGCCAGATAGGAACTACTATTTGAATCAGACTCAGAATATATTTATGAATAACTGTGACAAAGTTTAGCTAACTCTATGCAAAAAATACTAGAGATTGATATTAAAAACAGGCCTGTGAAGTGTCAGATTTTGTGGACATTTAAATTTTCAAACATGCTATTACATCATTTTCTAATTGACGTTCTGCTTTTATAGCGGAACCCTGCCTCTAAACCCATGTTGAATGACTGAGTTTTCAACATTTGTCTGGGTTACCGTTTGGCCCACCTTGTATGTTGTAGGTATGAAAAATAAGTTATGTAAGACATTTCCATTATGTAAATAGTTGTGGCGACACTAGATCACGACCAAGGTGTTGCAACATCTTTGACAGCAGATATATATTAAGTTACATCTTATTACTTATTACTATGGAAACGGGCTTTGAAAAATACGTATGGAGACGTGCGGATATTCTATTTTCGCAATTAGTTGATTCTAGAAGTACATGTTTCGTCATATTATTCTTTGAAATTAATAATCTATAAATGATATAGTTTTTACTATGTATGATTCAAAGAATAGTTGGTGTTATTCCACTTGATGTTTATATGCTAGTCTTGAAACTCTGTCTAAATCCATCGTTTGAATCTACAAATATGATTCTGTTATGGATAAAGTATGAGTACTGAGTTTAATGATAAATAATAGCCACATGTGCAACACTGATCTTAGACAGCTTGTCAGGTTTCAATTCTTTAACAACAATAGAAAAATAATGTACTCTTCTTTGTTATAATTGTATATTCTTTACAATAAACTACAGTTCATTCTATTGTGTTGTTACCTAAGCCGGGTCTAATATGCAATAAATCACCAACTTTGGCTTAATCCCTTAATCACTGTGTTAAACAATCGAGACGTTGTACTTTTTATTTGCAAATATTCAGTCTCTAATACTCGCAGATTTAACAAGGAAGATTGTTCAGTTTGAAATTCCATTTTACAAAGCAATACTAGTAAGTGCAATAGAACGTTGTACAATATAATCCAAAGTAATAATAAAACAGAGCGATATTCATTTTACTGAATCATATATGTTTAATTTCCTTTTTCCAGCGACCCAAACCTCTGCTGCTTTTGCTGTTAGGAACCTGCGTGGATCTTCACAGACATCCTCGTTGTCATCCATTACTACAAAATCTGCAAAATATCCCTGTGAGAGTTGTCCCAAATTACCTTCACGATGCGTAGCATATGCCCCTCCTTTTGTGTACAGATCAACCGCCTCCTTTAAGCTGTAACATTGGTCTGGCCTGCAACTCATAATTACATTTGGAATCAAGGTTTTTATTCCGTCGGTCATTGTTTCCTAAAGAAATAATATATTTGGTTCCTTTTGGACCCCGTTTACACATCTAAATACTTAGTTTGTATAACCTGAAAAGGCCATGAATTTTCTGTTTTTTCTGTTTTCTATATCAAAACTATTTCTCTTATAGATGCATTTCAAAATTATTTTATTTCCTTATGTAGTTGGTGTGTCCATGTAGTTGGTGTGTTCAATGGAGCAAACATACATGTAGTTCGCATCATGTTAAAAAATTAAGGTTTTGAAGTAAGGCTTATCTTTAATTTCTCAGTCATTATTTTTTCAATTGAGCACGACGCCAATTCTTGTTTTCACACACCTGGAGTGTACCATTCTGATACTCTAGTACTCAACACATATTCTAATAGAAAAAAAACTAATAGAATGCCATGGCCATGATTTCTGTACCCTGCGTGCAGAGTCTAGTTAAACTACACGAAGACGAAGCTCTCTTTTAAGGGTATGATTTCTGATGAGGTGTCCTCTAATGACAAAGACAATGAAGATTAATTTTGTCTTACGGATTGAATTCTGACGAGCTTCAAAGTATATCTTTATTTTTTACATTTGAAGACAATAACATATGACCTATATAAATTGATAAGGATTGACATAGAAGGATAAGCGAACCTATGTACAGGAGAATTTGCTCCTCTCGTCCCCACATGTCGAAAGATGGCGTCGTAGATACCTAAGAATGGTTCTGGCGACTCCACGGGAGCATCTGATCCACCAGCAACATGTATTCCTGTGAATGAGAACCCATCGAGAATATCAAAGGCCTACATCAAGTATTGATTAATTGGTTCAATATACAGGGTGTCCAAAAAATATGACCGTAAGAAAGTTGAATAACTCGGTCAATTTTGCATAATTGTTCATTCAATGTGAATTTTGTTGTGAAAGTTTGATAATAATCTGCCAGTTCAGTCAAAAACCGTTCCTTACAAAACATGCCCCAAATATGCACCTCTCCTCTTTATGCACAATTCAATCCGGCGAACAAAGTTGTTGATGATCCTCCTACACACATATCTTTCAGAATGGACAAGTTTACTCCAAGAACAGTTGAAACTGGGACTTACATCCTCCTGATTAAGAGTTACAGCATCCATTGCATTCTGAACAATGCATTGCCTGGGTGGCAATGGGGAAACATGGAATCATCAGTCCTTTTTGGTTCGAAGGTGACTGGGGACGTGCTTTCACCATGAGCAAGGATCAGTAAGTTCTCATTAAGATTTGGAGGTCACTAAGCACCAGTAGGGACATCTAATTAGGAGATAAGCAGTGGTTTCAACAAGCCAAAACCACCCGAACACTGCAAATGGTATGCTGAAATGGTTTAGGCAATGCGTTTGGGGTCAGATCATCAGTCGCAGAACGCAAACAATATGGGCAGCTCATTCGCCAGATCTAAATCCCCCAGATTTATATCTTTGGGGATTTCTCAAAGCCAATATGTATACTGATAGGCCCCTAACAATCTTAAGAGGGCAATAACTACCCCAATATGTACCATCCACATTGATGTGTATTGGTTAGGGTCATTAACAACTTGGCAGTATAGAGTATATGTATTCGTTTGTGCATGGAGAGGAGAAGTGCCCACTTTGAGCTTGTTTTGTAAAGTACCGTAGTTTTTGACACAAAAGACAGATTATCATTAAACTTTCGGGACAAAATTCATATTGAATCAACTAAATAATTCAAAATTTTCAAGGCAAAATATGCAAAATTGACCGAATTATCTAACTTTCTTACGGTCCTGTGAGCTGGTTTTTTTGGACACCCTACATATAAAAGTGCATAACGTTGGTCACATGCATATATATTATACTCGTACATGTACGTCAGGGTCTATGTCATGATCTGAGGGGGATCTGAGTTTGGTACTAAAATGAATCAAATATATTCGGTATACCATTCTCCAGTAGTGTCTTCCAGACGTACGAATATTCCAATAAACTTCCAGCTAGTCTGTCATTTAACCAGGCTCCGTCTGTGTTGACAAACTGGGGTTGGATGTTAGCAACAACTCCCAATCGCTTCATCCTAGCAAGCAAGTCTTCACGAAGGATCTGCGAACAAGTAGGAAAACGTAATATAAGAACCTTAATTCAGTGGCGGGTCCGGGGGGGGGGGCATGGCATCTTCAAAATTAGGGCCCAATTTTTAGTTTTACGGGCCGAAATTTTTTTCTTGTTAATTTGTGGATCTGCCACTGTAATTACTGATTTATCTAGAGTCGTCGGAAATCGACCATGTATCCCTCCCTATATAACTAATAGGGATGTCAGCATCCTCTGAACACAGGCCTCCAGAACTTCTTCAAGAAAGAAGGAACTTAGTGGATTACGTCTGGAACCCTGCGTTCGGAGGATGGGGTCTGTCAATTTTAAGAAAATCTGAATACACAGACCACAACGACAGTACGACTAGTCGACTACGCACTACTGCCATCTTTCTGTTCACCTACTGTAGTGGCTGCTCATGATAATACGTTTTTCAATACAATCTAAACATCCCGATTATCTTCCAAGATGATGTTATAGAAAAAAACATAGTGGAGGATAGTCTTGCATTAGCATTAGCCGTTGGTGACCCGTCCTTTTCTAAATTGGGCGATATTTTTAAGGGAACACGTTGCAAGACTAAAAAAAGAGTGAAAATATAAAACCTGACAATGGGTCAAAATAGGTCTGTCTTTTGCCAGAACGCCAGCTTTCTCCAATGCTTCAATCGCAGCGTTTGCAGCCTCATCCCCAATGACATGAATTTCTAAACGATAACCCGTTGTATGCGCCTCTGCCACCAGATCATTGATCACCTCTTGCGGTTGGAGTAGAAGACCTTTATGTTGGCATCCCTTATATGGTTCACTTAGTGCAGCTGTACTCGCCCCCAATGCTCCATCTGCAAACACCTTCACACGATCACATGACAGAAGCTCACCATGGGCTTCCTTTGGCTTTGGATTGGACGCTTCGGGATTAGCTTTTAAGCTTTCAAAGTACTCGGCAAAGAACACACGAATCGGAAGACGGTTTTCGTCAGCAAGTTCGCAATATTCTCCCCATGTACATGGCTCATTGCTATGCACAGCTGTTATGCCCTTCTCTAAGCAATGCTTTAGTGCCAGTTCAATGCTTTCTTTCCATTCTGTACTATCGGGTGTTATGAAAAGATCAAATAAATCTAACGCTTTCTCCTTTACTATACCAGTGAGTTTACCCTCGTGAATATGTCCAGGAGGATACCGTTCAAATTTCCCACCAACTATATCCTTAGTTGTTTCATCAAATCCTGAAGAAGATGATGATAAGAACATATAGCATTAAGGTGCGATACGAGGCCTAGTCAACATTATTGCATTAATGAATAAGATGAAACTGTAAAATGAATTTCAAAATGCTCCATTTCGTTTGAAAATTACAAACAATAAAGGCGATCGCTGCAGAAATGTTGAGATGTCAAGTGTGGTAATCAAGATGATTTTAATAAGAATTTAGCGTTTTGATTTTCGTACATTGAAAACAGTCATCATGATAAACCATGACATTTTAAATCTTCTCAGCCCTGAGATGTTTCAGGTGAAACAGAAAGATGCCATGAGTATCAGAATAGAAAATAGCATCGTGGTAAGCCACGCCCTCTCCATGTCTATCCTTCTGGAGATGCAACAGAGAGAGATGCTATGAGTATCAGAGTGGGAAAATAGTGTTTAATTGCACTTCTTTAATTGACCACGTACTTAAGTTCGTGATCTAAGAGTAATTTGTTCGAACAGTTCTAAAATTGTGCCGTAAGATGACACACTTCTCTTCATTGCAATTCACACGCAATTCTAAAAGGCTGAAAGGTGCACATCAGATTTAATTTGAAAAATATGAATCAGAGGTCGAAGAACTACAAAAATGCAACGAAGACGATCAGTTTAGGACATGGCTGGTGATATTTGCTGGTTGAATTTTATATCAGTTCATAGGTAAAAGGTTCAAATAAAAAAGGAAACAGGACATGGCCAGTACTTCATCTTCAATGTTTCTCATATACTAGTAACTGACTGAAGAATTTGTCTACCTGCAATTTCGAATGCTTTGGAGTTGACCACGGCTATGTGCCCACAAGCTCTACTAACTATAACTGGTCTATTCGGACACACATCTTCAATGTCGTCCTTTGTGGGATATCGCCCCATAACATCTTCCTCCCAGTGTCTACCAAACAACCACTCTCTTTCTGGGTGAGCTGCAGCGAAGCTACGAATCCGTTCTTTAAATTCATCAATCGATCCAGCTCCGTTAAGCTCAATGTTTCGCATTGCCTGACCTAATAAACTTACGTGGATGTGAGAATCATGGAAACCTGGGAAAATGCGTTTGCCTTTGTAATCTATGGAACATGATACATCCGGTGCTTTCAAAGGAGGATCTGCTCTACCAAGCGTCTTGATTAATCCTGTTGTAGTGCTAAATACCATCCACGACGCATCTTCGCCACCACTCTGCCATATTCTTGCATTGTACACTAGGGTATCTGCTGCCGCCATTCCACCAGGTTTAATTAAAGCAGATGTTATTATAAGTCTCTGATTTAAGGTTCATGTCCTTGTACATTCTATGATACTTATGATAAGTCCGGTGTGAAAGAAATTATGGTCCCCTGGGGATTATGGTCTCCTTTCTAAACGGCCCTTACTGGCCCTGATTGTGTACAAGATAATAAGAGAAAGATTTGTATTTAGGTCACCATATAAATCAATGGAGAGTAGGACCATAATCTGAAAGGACCTCCTACCCTTTTACACCGGGTGATAAGTCTTGACATCGGTAAAGTAAACAAATTCAGATAACCGTCGTCTATGACATAGCCTATTTGTCTAGTTAATATGTACTTAAAGTTGCGATGATGGTACCTTTATTTTTGTAAAACTTGATAAATAAAATAATAGATGTGAATTAACACATTTTGCAGGAAAATCAGTTTTTCTCTTGTAACTTGAATCTTCTCTGAGTGAGCTAAACTTTGAAATAAAGCAATTCTGGCAATTCTCAACATTTTTGGGCAAAATAAAGACTTTCATTTAAATTTCATTGTATGTCCAATGTATTGATAAGAACCTTATCTTTCATTTGACACCAACAACAGCTTAAATGGACCACATCAAAGCTTAAAATAAATTATCAAAAAATATTTTCGATCTGTCAAGTTTTATGTATCAAGTTTTTTATCAATGTCATTGAAAGATGGCGAAGTTGTTTATATTACATGATACGTTCATTTTTATAGAAGTGTCGCCATCTTTTTAATCAATAGTAATTTAAAACATGAACTTTGTTTAACATGTGCATGCATGTCTATGTGAGTTTTTTCTCTTGGTCCAATATAAAAGCAAAACAAACTTTGTGTCATATTTGAGCAAGTGTGTGAGTAACATGTTTCAATGATTATTTTTTATTTTTTCTCCAAAATTAAGTATAGTTTGCCTTTAAATGTCCAATCATATATTCCTGATTCTTTAGATACGTATGGCCACTGTGATGGTGTAATCACTGTAATGTAATTAATTTCATATCTTATATGATATTATGTAAGCTTACCTACTTTTAACCTACTGCCAACAATGTACTATAACATGTTTAACTTACCATAAACTTAATTTATGAAATAAATGATTAAAAAATGGACTACCACTCCAGGGCCGTCAGATTCAGAAGCTAACAAGGGGGATCAAAGACCCACTTATTTAGGTCCATCCAAGGGGGCCCTATAGGCCTCCTGGACACAGGCCCAGGAAGACGATTTAAATCCCCCACACTCACTGTGTACAGGAAAAAAATACTGTATTTTTTTATCAGGTAAGTAAAAATACTGTATTTTTTACTGTACACAGTGAGTGTGGGGGGATTGAAATCTTCTTTACTGTACACATGGTGGGGGGGGGTTAAATCTTCTTCCTGGGCCTGTGCTCCTGGATACGCCACTGGTTACAGAACCCACCTTGATAGTAAGTAGTAGTACTATGGAATCAACCCGTTAGTTGAACTCCCATACTCTCGGTATAGTCTACACGGGAGTTTGCCGGTTAGTTTCACGAACATCACGGTGTTTTCGAATTTCGCGCCATAAGCTATACAATTAGCCTCGTCTTCAAAGCTCCATTACGAGGCCGTCTGCAAGATACAAAATTTATGGAAAAAGATTCTCCCGGCGTATTTGCGAGTTTCAGGTAAATGATCTGATGCTCACTTATTTTCAAGCAATCACAGGGAACTAGATTTCTAAAGCAAAAGTTCTATTCACTTTTCTGTCATTCAATCATGTTAGTTCTTTCAAATTGACGGTAGGAAACAAAAAAAGCTGAGCCGAGGGGTCGTCTCATTGTACTTTCTCCTCAGGCTCCTGCTAGGCCTATCTACAGAGAGCTTTTTACATATGATTTGTATCGTAACAAGAAAATGCAGCAAACTCCTCGAGTCGAGGTCTCCAAGTCAAAAAAATGCCTGACCCTCTCATGTATCTGTTGATTATCCCTGTTTATAACTGATTCAAGAGCGTGGCACTGAACGAACCTAATATGCCTACTGTAAAACGGGTATTGTTAGCGAGGGGTAATTGTTAGCGATTGTTAGCGATCGCTATAGTTTCGCTAAAAATTCAATTCGCTAAAATAAACCGGGGTTAAAATAAACCGGGCGCTGAAATTCCCGGTAAACTACATGAATACTAGTATTTAAGGAGCTTTTCGTTCAGTGCTCGACTTCCGGTTTGTAATTTGAGATTAGTTTGGACCGAAAAATCAACGATTTTAAATGCTTCCGTGATTTTGTGATTAGTCTGATGAGATTACAGTAGTTTGGACCAATACCATGTGCGTTAGAAGTCTTACATTTTGATAATTCCTCTGTCATGTCCGTTATTCATTCTTCTGCCATAAATGATAAAATTTCTAATGCATTTCGCTAATTTGATTTTTTAAAGATTAATCTTCATTTCGCTAAAATTTCCCGCGCTAAAACCCCCTAAAATTGAAAAATCGCTAAAATTTCCCGGTGTCAAAATTACCCGTTTTACAGTATTTGTTATTTGTTTAGTTGTTGGTTGGTAACATGTTTATGACGTTACAAATGATGCGAAGAATCTTTAAACCAATCAGTGAAGTCTATATTAATTGTTTTGTTGATGTGGCAATACGTGTCTGACGTCACGGGTGATTGCATCCTATTCCAGTCACGCCATTTCATAATTTTAGCTGATTTTGGCTTCATTTCACTTTATTTGAAAGAATTTTAAAAATATAATAATGAGTCAATATTTTTTTTAATAAATATTAATATTTGAATTCGAGCGAAAAAACGAAGCGAAAAAACAAGGATTCTCCCCCCCATAAAATTTTGGTTTGGTTGTACTGAGGCCCATGGCCAGGATTTACCTGGGGAGCAGTTTTTCCAAGGGGGAGCTTTTGCCAAGGGGGAGCTTTTTGACAGTGCTTTTTGGCCATAAATCATGTGGTGAAAAACTGCGTAATTTTGAAAGAATTTCTGGCCAGGGGGTGGGGATGGGCAACCGATTCCTCCACTCCCCCTGGCCACGGGCCTGGTACTTGGAGTGTTTTTGCAACCATCTGTTATGCCTGTGTGCCTGTGCGTATCAAGCATACCTCACTATGCCCATGACTATATTGCAGCCTCACTCGTATCATACATCTGTAAATCCCATGTGTTTTATTCTGCCTGTATATGAGGCTTGTTGCGATCATAAAATTTGAAATCAGCTCTATCTACAATAACAATACAAATGCTTTGTAAATTGTAGAAATACTTTATTGATATTAGACACTCTGTATATCAAGTATAGTCATCTCCATAATATCAAAAATGGCGGGCTTTATTTGACGAGTTTACATGGCAAAGAATACAAAGTGTAAATGCTGTCAGAACGTAATATTTCCAATAAATATATAAACAGCGAATCAATTTTATTCAATAAGTAGAGATCAACATTCACACATTTCTTGCATCTTTATCTTGATATTAAAATCAAGCATTACTTGGTGGGATTAGGATGAATGGAATTCGTATGATTGGGGTACTGAATGGGATTCTGACCATTGGGTTTTGGACCATTGGGATTTGGACCAATAAGGCGACCCCTTAGGGAAGATTCAATTCTGTAAAGATGGAAGACTATATATATATTCTACCTGATACATTCTTAAAAATATATAAGGCTGTTATTTCATGAGTTGATTGTTAGACAGAATTTTTATTTATTTATTTAGCCTCCAATACTGAAGACATTACCATCCAGCTGAATTAAGATTCAGCTGGATGGTAAAAAATTAATTTAATGTTAATCTGGGGCTGAAAACTCACTCGGTTGGTTTATTAAAATGGTACTGGGTGTGTATGACCGCCCAAAAAACAGAGGTATTTTTAACGAAGCTGGACTACATACGTGTGCCCATTCAGAGAAAATAGTCGAGGGAAAGAGATATCCATTTGGAATTTGGAATTGTGGCACCCACTTAATTTCGCCCTAACAGCAAATGGAAGAAATGGAAGGCCTCTAAAAAATTGATGCCCCAAATCTGCTTCTCCCCACATAAATTTGGCCAAATTAAATGTTTGTGCCAAATTAAATGTTTGTGCCAAATTAACCCAAGTTACAGTAAAATAGCATGTTAATCTTGGCTATTATCAAAAATAACTTTATTGTTGATTAAAAGAGGGCAGTTCAATACAACTTAGTACATTCGGTATTTGGCAAAGCACTGGAGCAATTACCTTAGATCAATGTACGTTGAAGGATCAATTAATTTTTTTATAACAAAATGTTTGAGCATTGGCTTTTGGGCATTCTTGTACTCTTACATAATATGTCACATTCAAACTGGCAGTACTAGGTATTATATCAAATGTGTTTCTTTGAAATTACAAGGGAATTTTCAGAATTTTCTAAAAATCATTAGAATAGGCAGGGAATTTTTAGATTCTTAAAAAAATCAGATAAAGTTTTTGTGAAATTTTGAAAAGTTGGAAATTGGACCACAACCTCATAAGATACAATATTGAAAAATTTAGGAGAACTACTAAAATGATTTACATTGCTGATGCAGTCAAAGAACATTTTTTGTCTCTTTAATTTTTAATTTTTTTTCAATAAAGCCCAGGAATCTCAATAGATAATTAAATTTTGATTCGGTTTAACATTTGAATCAGGGAAAAGCCAGTGAATTTCGATTTTTATAATTTTCAACAGGCAACCTTTTACATGTGGTCTATTACTTAAAATATTCAATAATCAATTTAAAATTAACCTTATTTAAAAATGCTGCCTATTGGTAAATAATATCTACCTATGGATGCTCCTACTATTAATATAGTTAGCTATAAAACACTGAACTGTTGAACAGATGAATGATATAGCCAGATAGATGTAATTGATATGCTCTTGGCAGAAAGTATTGAACTCATATTGAAAGTATTATATTTTGCATTAGGCTCTATATAATACTCTTCCGACACTATCCTTTATTTCTATTTCAGAATTGTGATTTTTATTAGTTAATGTAATATATTATGATATAATATAATTCAATATAAAATAATACAATATAATACATGTACAATATAATATAATATTAATGAAAGTATTGTGAAGCAGGTGATAATTTTTTCGTATTAACATACATGTACATGTTTTACGTTAATTAATTTATCTGCTTAAAATGCACAAAATTAATTATAGATATGTAATTGCATGGATATCCATTTTCCTGATGGTTCCCTTGGTGTTTTTGGGAACAATCTTGTTGATTATACCTGCCTGCGTAAAGTTAAAGAAAGTTAATTATGGAATTTTGTAACTTAGATTATAAACCCTAGATGCATTTCACATGGAAAATAATCATTGATCTCTTTTAGTTATCAGCTTTGCACATATTGATTGATTTTTAGTTTTCAAATGTTCTGTATATTTTGATCAAGGGTGTATTCATGTTTAAATCCTATGTGCACACATAAACCACATTTAATACATCTACCTTAAACAACTTTACATTCAGTAAATGCAACACGCTTAAATAGAAGGAATGTCATCTTTTTTTATAATTTAAGTCATATATATATAAGCGCAGTAGTAATAAGAAGCTATAGGAGTTTGATATAGCATTTACATTTACAATTCAGTGACTTTAGCCCTCCGGAGTATACAGCAATAGAGACCTAGCCTATATTTTCTGGATTTAAAAGCAGGAGGATTTTTATTACATCTCTAGTCAATGGAAAGTTAACTCTTACTGGAGATGGATTGGTGTTTAAAAGGGAGAGTTTATCTCCCATTTATGGTGCTATATTGTTTAATCTTAGTTTCACAAGTAAGTAGTGCTTTTTACCGAGTTTAATATTGTGTGTATTGTCGCTACAGCTAAAAGTGCCTGTAACTGTAAAACATGATTTTACCTTAATTGGGCGTTTATATAGAAAACAATATTAAAGCTTGATTTTTAAATTTAAATTACAACCCATATTGCAGTATTGAACAGCAAATGATATGTTGTCATATGGCGTGCGGAACACTATTATTCGTAGATGCATAGTTGATATGATTAATTACACTTTGCTACTAAAACATATGAATTTGATTTCAATATTAATAGATTGTTTTATTGGTAATGTAGTGCAAGTTCACCTGTATTATGGCTGTATGTAAATGATATGTCAAGGTGGGATATATTATGGTTCATTTGATGATTAATTTAGACTTAATGTTTTTTCTCCAATGTCTTCATAGTAATTGTAATATATGATATAGGGGACACTTCCCCCAACCTTGGATGTTACTGGTCATTATCAGAAAGTAACAGTCATTTTCTCATTTAAAATGAGACCATAACATTGCAATTTTTACTCCCTTTAGTCAGACAGATTGTAGCATAAGGCCTCCTCAACCTTGAATGAAAACTCCCCGACATCCTGGCTGTGTTAATTGATAGTTATTGTCTGAGAAGGGCTTCAAAACAGGACTGTACCTTTCTTACCCTTTCAAATTATATTTTGCCAGCTTTTCTTTTAAGGACATGCCCTTCATGCCTAATAGGATTGAAGTGTTTATCATCTATTAAAACACATTAAGTTCCATGCATTTCTTAAAATAAACAACTTTTGTATTTTGAGAGGATATTTATTGATATTTGTCACACCTAAATACTAGAGAATTAGAATAGTCTAGGAATCTTGTTTAAGATCTCATTAAGCTAGATTATTAGGTACTTTTAGGGTTGACCGGTCTGGTATTATCAAGTATTACATAGCTCAGTCAATAAATGAAATGTAATCTAGTTTTATCTAACAATGGAGGTTAGTGGGATATGGAATGTTTTCTCAACAAATTAAGGTCCAAGTTTTCCTTTAAGTAATCCCAATGAATTTTTCATGAGATTATACTACGATATATTAGAAGAATCAAATACAGCATGACAAAATGTAAAATATAAGCATAATGTATCATCAAACCAGTTTTTGAAGGAACGATAAATGTTCTTTGCTTAATGTGAAATTACATAAGGATTTTTATGAGATATCAGCTTTAATATTCTTTGAGATACAAATCTTATTGCATGTTCACATGTTTAAAATAAAAGTTGGCCTTTTGACTCGACTGATTGTTGATTTCGTTCATATGGGATAGTTAATAAAAACACATAAAATGAAATTTTTCTCTAAGGTTAATGAAATGGGTTATGTCCTTTGCAAAAATGATTACCATCATATAACAGATAAACTTCCTATTTCACTGAGACAATCAAACCCTCTCATTTTATGTCATGTTTTTACATACGGTCATTTAATTCATTAAACGGACTTAATTGGTGTATACTCTACATGTATACTTGTTGGTTATTTGGCACACTACAATGATTCGTTAGTAGTGTATTCAAGCTGCAAAATCGTTCATACTTTAATTTTTAAAACATCATTTAGTAGTATTCAAGATCAGGTTTCCTTAAAACTAAATTCAACAAAGTTTAAATTTTTTTTTTTAGAAATTGAAAACTGTTTTATCTTGAATCACAAGGTAAATCAACATTCTTTTATATATGTATTGGAATCCTGGTATGAATCAACAATCTTTAATGTAAAAAAGTCAATTTGTAATGTGAATAAGAAATCTCACTGCCTACATACATTTTGTATGCATGGCTCATGAGGTGCCAATTTTGAATCATAAATTCTAAATTATGCCTCCAAGTATCTATCTCATGTAGTCAACATGTAAAGTTGTTTTATGCTCCTCAAGCAAAAGATGCTCAATACAAGTTAATGACATTAAATATATATTCGCCTCTGGCCTAGCAAAAAAACATTTAGTCAAGGCCTAATAAAGTTCTATATTGTATTTTAAGCTACATCCCTCCTATCTGAATACATGTATTTATATTACCTGTATAGGGTGGGCCAAAAAAACAATACCCAAGTTTAAAGATAATTGATTCATATGATATATTTTAAATTTAAACAATGCTATGTATTATACAGGGTGTCAAATAAGTCCCGTCCCCCCTGCTACAGCTAAAACCTTAACAGACGGTACCTAGTGTGATATACCATTGGAAAGATCATCCAAAGTTATGTTAACTCACCAACTGTCAAGTATTTTGGATGAAATTTACCTATATTTTTATGATGTCTTTTATAGTTAACGTGCCCTCCCTTAAGTAGCTTTTTTGCGTCAAAATGACAAGGATATGACCTCAGAAATACGTCAAAAAGTTAATCTTTTACTCATTCCACTTGTTACAAAAAGGTTTTCACCACTTTCCTTGTACCTCTATTTTCTACACATCTAACCCTATCCAGAAATTGGTCAAATTCATCATCATAAACATATTTAGTCATATTTTGGTCCCTTGACCTTTCTTATACCCGATTCTTAATATCCTGCCAAATACGCCAAATTGCCACGTTTCTAGGCATATGGTCACCTCAATTGATACAATGTAAAAATTTGTGGGATTGATTGACATGTGTCAGATATATGCCAATCAACGTAACTTTGGAAGACCTTTCCAATGATATATCACACTTGGTACCAAATATCTTGGTTTTGGCTGTAGAGGGGGGGACGGGACTTATTTGACACCCTGTATATCATTTTATAATGATATTTTTAGGAAATGATTTATCTTTAAAATGATATATAATATATGGCATGATTTAACATATATCATAGAACTACATATGATACTCATCTTTAAACTTGGGTATTGTTTTTTGGCCCACCCTGTATATTGCATAAAATGTATAAATCTCCATGAGGTAATTAGGATTTTGTTGGTTTGATGAATTTTTGGTTAAATATATGTGTAATCACCTGCAGGGGTTTAAAATTATCACAGTGTGATAACCCCCATCCATGAGTTAGGCAACCTGAAGTCCAAAGTTTGATAGTATGTTAGGCATGTACTGTGGTAGATTGTTTCTTCTTTTTCATCCTCAGTTACAGAACATTTGAAATTAGTGAATATGTGATGAATTTGTTGCATTTGCCAAACATCAACATCTTTAACATAAAGTCCAAATGGACTTCCACTTACCACTTCCATTTGCCAAACCTCAACTTAGGTTTTAACTTTCATTTTTAAGCAACATGGGGTGGGGGGAGGGGGGGGGGGATATTGAGGGTAACATGATGCAAGATGTTAATTATTTTTACATAATTTTATCCATGTAAAAAAATGCTCTTGAACACTTTATCTGTTTCAAACATTTTGATATGTAATCACAAAAAATATGTGAACACTGTTTTTATCTCTTAAGTGGTGACATATTGTTATAGTCTTCAATTTTTTTATAGACAGTTTTTGGTGATTGATGTTCAGTATCTATAATAAATGGCAGGTGGTGACATTTTGCATGTTAATGCCTTGTCTGAATCTATTCTTACTACTGATTATGAACATTCAATGATATAAAAGTAAAAGTAACATAATATATTCAAAACCCTATTTTACTATAGTTAACTCTGAATGTCTTGTTTTGAAGTATAAAAATGAATATATAAGGAGAAACATGCTATTTAAGGTGCATAGTTTAAACATGTAGTTTTCATGTCTTAAGGCTTTCATTCATCAAATATGAATCAAACCTTTATTTATTCAAGTTTTGAGGAACCAATAAAATAGATGTTGTACTTACTTGTCTGAAAGTGTAAACTGTAAATGTGTGTTTTTGTGACATTTTCTGTTTAAATATTTTCAGGCTAGTTTGAATTAATGTATTTTTCTTGATATTCACCAATATCGAAATATTCAGCATTTTACGATCGGATGATGTCTAACTCAATATGGAATTATAAGCTTGCATCCAACAGAAAACTTATTTGTGCCCATTAGAAAATGAGAAAACTTTTATTCAGGGCCTTAAAATTGAATTAAGTTCCGAGTCTCTAACACAAAATAAAGCATGAAATCTGCATCAATTAAAAACTTTGATATAAACTTTATTACCTGATGATATTGATAAAATTGATTGCCAGGTAAGAAGTATTCCAAGTGCAAATGGTGAAATTTTTTATTATAAAAAATATAGAAAAATCAAAAGCCTGAAACAATGTTGCTATACAACTACAAAAAGTGAACATCCCTAGTTGGTAATTATGAATTATCTCATATAACCAGATTCATGAATCAATTTCTGATGCAGTAAAATCACAGGTTATTGTTTGGAGAGCAATGAGTCTGTAGGGAATGACAAACAATTAATTATGCCCCGATTACTAGCTGACAGAGGGGTGAATCCAGAAGTCTTTGTGGAGAATAAAGACTTCTGTGAAGATGGAACCTCTATAAGGAAAAATATCTGAATATTGTTTGACATACTCAGCTCCAGGGCTTATGTAAATAAACATGAATTAAATGAACAATGTACATGTATGAATCCCATATAAATTTTGTGAAGTAGAATTTAAGAATGTCACATCTCTATAAAGGACTTGTTATATGGGTGAATAAATATAGATGGCAGTTTTAGTTCTGGAAACTCAATTAGATGATCTTGTTGACATAAAGATTATCCTTTAGATTATGATCCTTAAAAGAATAAATCAACTTTTAAAGATTTTGACTTATCATTGTGTTAAATGGAATTAAATCTTTTTGCAGAACCTAAAAAATCATTGGAAATTAAGTACAAGAATGTTAATCAAAGTTCTAGAAAACTGTATACAGAATTCAAATATGTTATAAATTAGTAAAACACTTTAAATACTTTTTGCATAAATATATGAGATTTTGGAAATAGGCTTTCACCCACCTGAAAATCCATTTGCACCCACTTGAAAATGAGAAAAATCATGAAAAATTGGCATTTTTTGACCAATTATGGGCTGAATGTGAAAATGAGAATTTTGCATCCACCTGAGAAAAAAATCCTGGGGAGATCACTGGAATAACATCATCAAGATCTCAAAGCTATATGCGATCGCAAATATGGTGATCGCATAGATTGACATATTTTTCTATATTTGAAAGGGACTAACATAAGGCTGCAATCTCTCACAATGAGTTTTAGACACACTTTGATATATTTAGTACTATGCAACTGTTAAGTACAATGTTTGTATCCTTCAATTTTTCAGGTTCATACTGCCCCATCTTTCACTAAGAGTACTTTCGATCCTGAGGTGAATGAAGACGTTGCCATAGGAACAAGTCTTCTGCAACTAACTGCTGTTGATCCTAGCTCAGTAAGTATTCCATATTTTAAATTGGATATTATGAATTTGAATTCTAACCAATCAGAATACAATATAGCCATTCTATATATTTACAACAGATGGATGGCTTATAAAGGAAAAATATTAAGTCATGGTGATGACTGACATATTGAAATTGATACTTTGCCAGCTTGACCCTTGCAAAAAAAGTGTCATTGAAAACATGTTCTTTTAGTGAGTTTGTATCTTTTAGATGATTTTGTAGAAAATATTTTGCAATGCGTAAAAAGAATTGAAGCCCAAGACTTAAAACATTGTGTAATGACCATTCCTTAAAATTAACACATCTCGTGCAAATTTTGGAAAGCAACACCTTCAAGGAATGGTAAATCCTTAAATTGTCTATGTTAAACAGGTATGGAATTGGTCAATTTGGCTTTTGAGACATACTTTTAGTATATATACCTGTATATCAGGTATATACAGTAATTAATTTTTTTTAATAAGATAAGTATTAGGTTTTAACTATACCTTAAAACACACACACTTATTCCATTATGTATTTTCAGTCAGGTCTAATATTCTCATTGAACAATAGAGATGGGAGTCCTGCCATGGAGTATGTCATCCTTGAACCAACCACTGGGAATATCTTCCTTAAAAGATCTCTTGAGGACTCCTTGAGTGCCAATGAACTCAAGGTATGTGATGCTTTATACAATCTCCTTGCAAATATGATGACAATATTAAGTGTGAATTCAAGTTGTTTACACCCTGGCTGGCTATTTGCCTTAATTAAAATGATCACATCATGGCAAGTGATTTGCATATCTTTTACCCTAGGGATTTTCTAACCATGAATTTGGCAAATCTCATGAGAACTTTTAAAAGTATATTTTCTTTAGAAAGAGCACTGCTACGATTCATATTCATATTTAGATGAGTTGACCATAAAATAGCAATCAGATCGTTAGCCAACAGCCAGCAGTTGATACCAATTAATACTAGCTGAGTAATAGCAAGTAAAGAAAGAATTAGTTATGATTAACATTTTGAGTTCATAAGACGAAAATGTCAAACTGACAATATCTGCTTTGGCAATTGTTCTTTATATTACTAAAATTGTGTTACATGACTTAGCCCATATACTGTAACTAAATTAGTACATATTTCAATATGTGGGTCAGATGTAATGCAATGAAGTATAAGAGCATATTAATACAAGGTTAATTCAGGTGTCCCATTACTCCCATATGCTTTCATATCATACACTTATTACATTTTTACTTTGGTTATGCATGTATTTTTCATCTAACAGAGACTGCTACAAATGGCAGATTTCAGTAATTCTTTGTTGACCTATACTTTAGTTCACTGTTATACTGTTTGATCAATGTTAAGATCTTAGGAGCATTTGCTATCCATTCCAATGTTCTCTATATTTCAAGTTTTACTTCACTCATTTTTCAAATCTGAAGTTGAAGTGCAGGGTGCCAACTGAGTGGAATTTTGTTTCAAGTAGGGGCCCCTCCCCCCTCCCCTGGTAAAAGTGACATTGGGAGATCACTCAGTTCAATTATGTTTGAATTGGTACCTAGAACTTGTGTGTATAATGTCGTTATGGCCTCATTCGTCCCATAACTTATTATACTGTATGTTTCCAGGTGAATTATTTCATGGATCGAATTAAAATTTTCAGGGATGATTCTCTGTATGAAAACCTCGAACCAATTAGCTTTTGGGCATTCTGGGTAAATGTTAATGTGGCCATTTTGAATTTCTTATGTGTTTAAGTCATCATGGCCTCATTCATCCTATGTCTTATTATACTCTCATTGGCATTAATATTTAATAACACAATCATTGTTGATGCTTTTATTATGAGCATCTAGCTATTGTATCAGAGCATTCTATCAAATGAATGCTTGAAAATGAATAGCATTGTATTGTATTGAGCAAGAAAGGTTGTATTGTATCCAACATCTAGCATGAGAACTCATATAAATGGATAGGCAGAAACCCCTTGTTTTTTATTTATATTCAAAATTGTTCCAAAGGTTAATGCTAAAACTACTTATGAGTTGTCTTCTTACAGTCTAGAGGGAATGATGTTATTAAAAATGCTATCTTTGCTATCATCCTTTGATTTATAGTGGAGGAACATGATTAGAATATCCTGTTTTTGTATTATTACAGTTTACACTCCTTGAAGATTGTGTAAGCTAAAATGCAACAATATTGCTAGCAAATAATAGAAAGGACGAGGCTATGAAAAAGCAAATGTTGAGCTCGTTATTGTACAGTGCATTAGTATTCTTATTTATATTCTGAAGACAGAAGAAAAGTCTTAAGTTCTACTTCATATTGTCCTCATTATTTATGTATTTAATCACTCTACATTTAGTGCATGTAATCTTGAATCCAGAATAATCATATAACCACCATACACTGAGATCCACATGTAGATAAATAATTGATTGATATATTTTCTATTCTATCACGCCTTTTCATGGATATTGTAAAACATGTCATTTATTGTTAAGCTACATGTACATGTTATTTGAAGATCTTTTCATGCAACCTTAGAATTTTTTATTAAGTCTATTTGATTTGGGTTTCTTGATAATTACTTCATCTCATGCTCATTTTGTCCACTATGGAGGATCCAGTTCAAACATGAAATAAGATTCTCTTAGCAGACAAGAAATTTTAACCTTTAACAAGAAAACACCCACGACCCCTATACTTGGGATGCTAACAAATAGATTTATAAAAACAGGTAGAGAGATTGATGGGCCATTTAGAACAGCTAAGCTGACACAAACAGTAATCTAAGGCAATCAAAACAAGAGTAAAACGAAAAAGAAATGTTTTAAATAACCTCACAACTTATAGGAACTGTGATAAAGAATTATAATTATTATATACCCCTCTGCAATAAAATAACATGACCTAATTCTTGTTTGGGCACAGTAGAACTTTATTTAATCTAAATTGTTTACAAATAAACAAAGCTAGTTTCTACTCCCTACACTAAACTACAATCAGTTCTACTTGACACAGAGGCAAGCCAAAGTTCAAGGGTGAACTTGAATTATCTGTATAAAGATACAAGTGTGAGTGTCATTAACATTTAATAGGCTATAATAGAGTAAGCATAATTGAGTACCATAAAGTAATGATTATTTGATAGTCTAAATCTAATAACCTGCAGGGAGGGTTGGGTGGTATTTAAATTAGCGAGCAAACATTTATCATTACAGCCAGTTAGCAGGCTAAGAAGCAACTGAAGGGAGCATAGACCAGAACACGTGTCTGGGAATGACATCTGTCATAGATAAGGCCAGCCCCCTTGACAAATGATTTGTAGGTTTAATGTTAGAGGCTGGCCCTATCTGAGACGATCTGTTGCTGCATAATTTAAATCAAGTTTAATTAATTAAACTTACAATTAAATAACCTCACAACTTATAGGAACTGTGATAAAGAATTATAATTATTATATACCCCTCTGCAATAAAATAACATGACCTAATTCTTGTTTGGGCACAGTAGAACTTTATTTAATCTAAATTGTTTACAAATAAACAAAGCTAGTTTCTACTCCCAAAGTTGCCCAAACATGAAGTAGGTTTTGTTGGTAAGTTGTGTAGAAGTGACTTAGCAAGTTTAATGTTCATATCATCTGATACACTGAGGAACTCCTTATAACAGTCAGAGCGCCAATCACCAAGAATTCTTATCAATTCTGGATTTGCATTTTGAGACAGGGCAAAGCTAGCCCCGCCCCTTCGAAAACTATGTCCGGAATACTTATCCCCTGGCAAACCCACAGCTTGGAGACAGGATCTCAGTCGGCTTGAGAAGAAATTATAAGTCAGTGGTGAAAAACCATTGCGAGTATTGCAAATAACAAAGGCTGGACCCTGAGTGGGTGCAGTGGAAGTACACTGAAATGCCCACAGAATGGCATGTACAGGACACAATGGATGTCCATCATTAAATGGTAAGGGAATACGTAAAGTGCGACCATGAGTTTGAATGGTTTTTGACCACCTTATGTTTACAATAAATCCCATAGTGGGATATAATGAGAAATCATCTCTAGTTAAGTGCCTACTGGGATTGAACCCTGTGGCTGTTGGGCATGCTATATTTGATTTACGTAACATTCCATAAAACCCTGTTAAGCAGGCAGCCCAAAAGTTGGCATCTGTCTGATCATTCAGGTTTAATTGAGTTCTAATTTGTAACAGAATCTGAGGAGTGATAGGGAGCTTCTTTGTAACATGAGTACCTAGGTCCCTGTTCACTCCTTTTAAGACCATTTGTAAATGCCAATTAGACCACACAGGACTCTCCAGAGAATGTTCTTTATGTAAGATTGTGATAATGTTCAAGTATTGTTTCACAGAATTAGCTTTTAATGTTTCTGCTAAATATGCAGCATAGCGACATAATGTAGACGTTGATGCGGGTACAGGTGTATATCCCATTGTTCTGCAAAAATCTAGGTAAGATTTACGATGGGTGCTGTAGGTACGTTTGGTACTTGATGCAAAGGCCATGTCTGTGAACCGAGAGACAGCTTCATCCAATTGCTTTTCCATTTCCACCACTTGACCACCTGCGGAATAATAGAATGCAGTGATGTTTTAGTCATATGATATACGATACTATGGGGGGTCAAGCCACAAAATGGATAAAGTCCCTCAGACAAGAGGCAGTCTAAGCGTGATAATTGGTGAGCCTGGTGCAGTCTGGATATTGCATCAGGGATGCAATTAAGGTGTCCTGGAATGTGAATAGCTTTCACATCAAAGTTGTACATAACAGACAACCAGAAGAGTTCACGCAGCACAGACATCACTAAATTGTCCTTTGATGTTCCCTTGTTTAGCAGATACATGGCTACTTTAGAGTCTGTGTGAATAATTACCATCTTGTTAGTCCATAACTGACCCCACCTCCTGGCAGCAATCAGAAACGTGATAACCTCAAGATAGTTTATATGTAGAGAGGATGCCGCAGGCCAGTCTGATGACCAATTTGTATAACACCAGTCACCTTGGTGATAAACTCCTGCTCCTACTCCACAGGCATCCATGTGCACATCTGTTATGGGAAGTGACTCCAAGAATAGAGCCTTCCCATTAAAAGTATCTAGGCACTGTATCCACCATTCTAAGTCCTGGTAAAAATGATAGTCCAGTTTTACCTTATGCGAAGTTTTGCGAAGTGTAGTCATAGTTTGTAAGATACGACGAAGGTAAGTTCTACCTCCTCTTACAAGTTGGGACGCCCAATTGAGCTTCCCTGCGAGTGACTGCAATTGTTTTAGGGAGGCACGACGCCGAGTGCGATACATAAGCAATGTTTGTTTTAAGTCCACTAGTTTTTCCTTAGGTAATTCCATAGACATACTGCATGATGATAGCTGGACCCCAAGGAAAATGATTTTTTGTACAGGTCCAATAACTTTTTTCCAACTTATTGCAAAACCTAAGTTACGCAATAACTGGATGAGAACTGTCATTGCTTCTTGAACTTGTTCAAATGTTTCATATACCACTAGAAAGTCATCGAGATAAACAATAGTGTTATGGTATCCTTTGCGATGCATCATTCGTTTTACTGCCTTGGTGAGTCTATTAAAAATAGAGGGGGCTTTCCTTGAACCAAACATCAAACGAGTGTCAATCATATAAGTTTCATTCATATTTCCAGAAAATTTCCATTTTAGTCCAGCATAAGGATAATCCATTGGATGAATTCCAACTGCGCGAAATGCTTCACTCAAATCAATTTTTCCCATATAGCACCCTGGTGTTATAAGACTTACTGCATCCTGGAGTTTTTCATAATTACATATGTCTTTTGTTGCATAAGCATTTATCCCCTGGCCTGGAGGTAAGCTACAGTCATGGATTAAGCGAATAGAATCAGAGTTTGGTTTTTCAATTGCACCTAAAGGACTTATAATAACTGGTTTTTTGTCAACTATAACATATCGATTTTCTGCTAGTTCATGTTTGATTTGTTGTTCCACTTTTGAGTGATTGATTACAGTAACGGCAGATTTATGGTTGGGCCATGCAGCTGGGGTCGGTTTTGTATTGCTTGAGTCTATAATTCTAAATCCATTTTTAATTCCTCTTAATAAGAATTCTTTGTCATGATCAGATGATAATTCAATATTCCAGAAGTCATACTTTAAATTTCCTGATGGCGATAATGCAGAGGGGCTTATTAGTTTTCCTGGGGTGCTTTTTCTGATGAGGGGTGTTTAACTTTAGGGTGTTTACCTTTACAATCTGCGCAGATGTGTGCAAATTTACAGGTAGTGCGTGAGCACCCTACCTCGCTGTTGTAATCCTTGCAGGGGTATGGGAAAACTTGCGATTTTTGCACAGATACAGATTGTGTTGGGGGCTTATTTGCATACATGGTTTGCTTCCTTTTAAGGTGCTTTATATCCAAGTGACTGAGATCTGCTCCCCATGGGAAGCCATGTATATGTTGTGCCTTGCGGTATTCTCTGTCGAGGGCCAGGACACCTTGCCATTCATACGCAATGGCATGTTGAAATATCTTAACAGTATATGCTTGGTATTCCAGGACACCCTGTGTAGCAAGCTTTCCAGACTGCACCAGTTTCGCCATTATCCTTGCATTTGCGACAGCCCATTCAAAGGGTGATATCTTATCTTCTCTCTTCGAGGATTTTGACACAAGAATATTTTGATCTCCTCTTTTTGAAATCGATAGCTCCTGGTCGCTATTTATCTCTATTGATTTATCAATAAAATCAATTATTTTTAGCTCACCTACTGCTTTATCCTGTACAGGCGTCAGGTAAACCAGTGGGGAGATTGATGCGGCTGCCCCATGTACGGCGGTACTTGTCACGCTGCTATCCGGTGATTGTCCTATTCGAGGCATAGGTGTACCGGGTGGGCCTTGTAACAGTTTTGAAATGGGTATTTCATTCATGGGCGATACATCCTCATTTACGGAAGGTTGGACTTTTGTTGATGCTATGTGCTTTTTCAAAATACATATGTCCCCAGCACGCAAGTTTAGACTCATGATAGCGTCAAGGTCCATTGAGTCTAAGGCCTCCTTCGAGGTAAAACATTCACTCCTCAGAGTTTTAACTGCATTTGATGATAGTCCAATATTATCGCAAAATTGCACAAGAATGTCTTCTCCAATCTCACAATCTTTCTTCCTGGATTTAGGAGGCATTTTGACTCTGCACTTTTATTTTGTTATTCTTATTTAAATTAGCGAGCAAACATTTATCATTACAGCCAGTTAGCAGGCTAAGAAGCAACTGAAGGGAGCATAGACCAGAACACGTGTCTGGGAATGACATCTGTCATAGATAAGGCCAGCCCCCTTGACAAATGATTTGTAGGTTTAATGTTAGAGGCTGGCCCTATCTGAGACGATCTGTTGCTGCATAATTTAAATCAAGTTTAATTAATTAAACTTACAAGAAAAGCATGGTGACAAACCCAGACCGTCCAACTGTCCAACAATTTTCGCGCCAGTTTTTTTTGCGTGAAAGAATATGTCACGCAAATATGCATTTTACCTGATTATTGCAATCAAAAATATTCCTGTAGAAAAGCTTCAAAAAATTGATCGCCGATACAGCACAAAACCAAAAGCCCCCAAAAAACGTATGCATTTCGTTCTGACTTTTTACAAGGATACCGTATATGTCACGCATTTTCCTCGAAACATTTCGTACCTCCCCCCTTGAACCAAGGTGCTCAAAATGTGGGCCAAGGTGTTCAGATTTTGACCAATGTGTCCAAAATTTTAAGAAAAGTGTTCAACATTTGTAAGTCACTCATGTTAGGTATTCCCAAGTTGACAGGCCTGCAAACCCGATTACCCCACCCTATAATTGAACATATATTGTACAAAAAGTGTCAAATGACATCCAGACGACTTAAAGCACAATCCAAACCACAAAACCATAAATCGAATATTCAGTTATGAGATCAACTTTAATATTCATTTTTTCTTCCAGTTAAGGGCCAGAGTTACCAATGATGCCTCAGAATCCGCAGATGCAGATGTTACTATTACAATTGTGCGTGATGAAGGGGTACCTGTCTTTCAAAACATTGATACATACAGTGTTACTGTTGGGGTCAGCAAACAGCCTGGCTTTGAGGTGTTTACTGTGCGTGCAACTGATGGTGATCTCGAGGTTAGTTTAACAAATAATTGGTTTAAAGATTTAAGCACTCAATACTCTGTTTGTAAAATATCATAGGTGGATTGTACCTTCCTCAAATCAAGACTGAAGGTATAGTTGAAACAGATTTCAACTGCAGGCAAGCAGACAGGCCATTTTGACATCTGACAGCTTGAAAATTCATTTTCAAGGTATATAACTATCCTAATGGCTTTCAGCATTGCACATTCCCTCAATCGTTTACTTTAAAGGACTAAAGTTACCTGGTAATCCCATATTCATATTATAGTAATGTTTATCCATGACTTGTGTTTAAACTTAATCTTTGTGATATTCCAGGGCCAGATTCACTATGCAATAGTTGGGGTATACCCCATAACCGATTACTTCCAAATAAGGAATGATACAGCTTCCCCAGGATCAGCAGTAATATCAGTCAGCAAGTCTCTATCAGATCTGAACTCATGTGAACATATTGTAAGTAAACTTTTGTTCAATCAAAGGCATTCTGATTTTTAATTCCCTCTTTATCTGAAGCTAGAGATACTTTTAGATAGTAGAGAGTGTGGAAACTAAATTGTTTCACAGGTACTGTAGTATCCAAAAATTAGAACTCCTGAAAGTTGTTTCCCATAATTACCAAGATTTTAGAATTCACAATGTACATAGTACATAAAGTACATAGTTGAGCCATTGGCGCAGCAATCAGAGTGTCACTTTCATTCATTTCAAACCATATGTATATGTACTGTATTTTCAAAACTCACTCATACAACAAACTTCATTTTTTCAAATAACAAAAAACATAAAATGTAACTGGGGAGACATTCTCGATCCAAGAACATTTGTGTTAGATGAAGTTTAAAAGTGGTTTTAAACTTTCCATATGAACACTTATAAAAACTAGTACTGTATTTATTAAGAAATGAAACATACGAATTCAGCATCCCTGTATTTTGTCTCTTTTCTTCAGTTGAGAATTTCGGCATATGACAGCACTTTTGCTGACCATAAAGCCTTTGCAGACCTGAAGATCACAATCAATAGAGATGAGAGCATCCCTCGCTTCGAAAAATCCATCTACAACGGAGAGGTCTCGGAGACTGCACAAATTGGAGATTACATTGAGACAACAGTCCAGGCTATTGATAGTGATGGGGTAGGACCTCATTTTGATTTTTGAATTCTCTAGATTGATTGTAGTGATTTGGGTCTTATTTGAGACTTATAATTTGTTATTTTATATAAGATTAGAAATCTGGATGCAATGTGTATAGCAATGTGACTTTATTCATTGAAAAATACAAAATACAAAAAAAATAAAACAAACATTTAATCTTAAAGTTCATAAGTTGAAGCACTGCAAGTTTACATTTGTGTATTTTAAAAAAGCTCTGAAATGCTGTTATAATTATGATTTACTTCGTAAATATCAATTATGTGAGTGCGATCTTAATGGATAAGAATACAATTAGTCTAAATTAATTACATTTCGCTCCTTTGACAGGACTCTCTTAAATATGAAGCAATTGGTGTCAATGATGCCCCACAGTTTTTCCATGTAGACCCAATATCAGGAAGAATCTATGTAAAGCAACTGTTGTATGGTGGATCCACAGCTAGCTATACAGTAAGTCTTTAATGGGATTTCACAGAAGATTTGAAATCATCGAGGAATATTATGAAAGCTTATGATTATCATTGAGTTTAAAGACTTCAAAGGATATGTAATTACAGACACTTTAGTCTGTTGTTTACATGTTAAATGTGAATTGGAATGCAAGTGCTAAAGCAATACTATTATGCCCCCCCCCCGATATTATAAAAATAACTGGTCCAAATAAAACTCACGACATATGCAAAAATCAAGTTATTAATTCATTTTAATTTCTCTAGCTACGAGTACGTGCAACAGAGACACAGACAAGTGACAAATCATACACAAATCCTGATGCTGATGTGGTTATAACGGTACAGCGTGACAAGGGTCCCCCTGTGTTTGAACAGGCCACATATACGCCTCCCAGTATCAGTGCTAATACAGGTACTGGAAGCATTGTAGGAACTGTAAAGGCTGTTGATCCAGACCCAAAGGTAACACATTCTTTAGTCTTTACCATGCATATTATTCACTGGTCAGTTACAAGCGAAGGTAACAGCAGTCACCCGTCACCTTTCGTATCAAAGATGGCAGACGGGAAGTGTCAGTTTTGATATTTTTAGTTTTCATCGAATTAACTACTTTAAAGTTGACGTACTGCTTTGATATTTGAACCAAATCAGACTCATATGACATAGGAACCGTTACCGTATCTTACATTTCCAGTTACCTTCCCTTAAGTGGAGGAAGATATCCTTGAACTGTGGCGCCTACGCATGGTATATGAACAAATGATCATACCCCAGAGTTTCCATGTCATATAAGTCGGGTTTAGTTCATATATCAAAGCATTACTTCAGCTATAAAATAGTTTAATTTGATGAAAACTAAAAATATAAAAATCGACAATTTCGTCCACCATCTTTGATACGAAGGATATTAACCAGTGATTAGTGAATACTGAATGCTTTAGGATTGTTGCATAAGAAATAGTTGACGTTTTATTTTGATGATGATTAAATGTAGTCCATTTCTTATAAGGATAAATACTGATTTCTCTCTCTCTCACTCTCTCTCTCATTTCTACTTCTCTCTCATTTGATGAAATGAGCACAACTTTATACAGATTTATTCTTTATGCCCTCTTTTAAACCTAGTACAGTAAAACCAAATGCTACTGGGACTGATTAAAAGTGTTCAGAAAAGCAGTAAGCAGGTGTTCACATTTCAAGGTTTCATGAACATGGGAGTGAAGGGAGGTTTGAAAATTGAGATTAAGAAAAGGTGTTCATATAAAGAAGTTCATATAAAGCGGTGTTCAGATAAATGTGTTTTGTTGTACATATAATTGGTATACAAGAGCTAAATCGATTCTATGAATTTTGTGAAAAAATGAAAGTTCTGTGCTTATCAATCCATGTTGAATACATTTCAGGGCATTTTGAGGTACAAGGTAGTAGGAGACTATCCTGCCGATGCTTTCTTTACTGTTGGAGAGACCACTGGAACTGTTTCAGTCTCAAGAGACTTAAGGGAGGATGTCATGAAAAATCTACAGTACTCAGTAAGTTTCGCAAATCTCATACTTTGTGGATAATTTTGAACTTTTGGAATTTGAACATCATATTTGCAAATCTCATTAGTACTCGAGTAGTTATCTTAGTTATTTTTTCATTTCAAAAATTATATTTAGCTCTTCTAGAAATTAATCATTATTCTTTTGAATTGATAATGTAATTTTGGAAATAAATTATGTTGTATCTTACAATGCATACATGAGAATGTTTCTTCCTTTCAGGTCAAAGTTCAAGCATTTGATGATGCAGCTCCAATGGCAACTGGAGAGACAACAATGGTTGTCAAGGTAACACGCAACACCAGGGCTCCAACTCTTCAAACTGATGCTTCATCAAACATAGTCCTCAAGGAGAGTCAGGTTATAGGAGAGGTTTTTATAACAGTTCTAGCAGTAGATAATGATGGGGTAAGCATTGAACATTCTTAAATTATTTTTCATCGCACTTTCAAAGTGCTATATTGTCTGATGGATGCGCATGTGTCTGTCTGACTGACACATGAATATTGTCATTAAAAGACCAGGAAAATTGCTCAACTGTTCAACTTGAAATTTTCACAGATGCAAGAGTAGACTAATACTAGTGTCATAATAGACAGGTTCCAATTCAAATAATTCAAGTTTTTGAGGCATTTTTTAGAAAAAGCAACAGACCTATTTTTACTAGATCAGTTTTTCATGCTGATAAAGATATTAAAAGATGACAGCTCAACGGGGTGGTCACGACACTAAATTTTGGCATTTTTACCCCCCTAGGAAAATATTCTAGGGGGTACTATGAAACTAGTTCATGACTCCAAGGATATATGAGCTATTGTTCTGAGTTGTACACCATACATTGCTAGTACAAATATGAATACTATCCTAAATTTATAGGTTGATACCTTTATTGATCTCAGAAAAATACAAAAAACAGGAAAAGGATACGCAATTTTTTTCTTGCCAATTTTATATTTGTAGCTTCAAGCACAATATGACAGCTTTAACAGCTCATAGTAGTATTCAAAAAACATTTCCAAGCTATGTGTGGTATTGTAATAAATCTAGTTTAGTTATGAAGTACTATTTTGTAATTTTAATATGACTTTATAGTGCCATACCCTGGAAAATTGAAGAAAGTGGATGTGGTGAATTTTATCATTTTGCAGCATTAAGTTAGAAACATGTATTGATAGACACCAAATCAATAAATTCATACCATCATCAAATGTTAGGTGACATTCTAATTCATTTATTACTAGAATATAGGACTTAAGATATTTTATATGTATGTTTTCAATTTAGTACATGTATCATAATGAAATCTAGTGTAATCACATACTAGAGAGGTTGGCATACAGTCTGGACATTGACATAAAGTCTAAACATTATAATCATCAATTGATTTCATTTGAGCAACTAGACTATGGTGGTCATCATGCACAAGTAATGTACAGTAGAACCTGCTAAGTGGAACACCTCTGTAAGTGGAACACCTCCCAAGTGGAACGCCTTTTCAAAGTCCCGTTTTAAAAACCCATTGACTTAATGTTAATTGAACCTCTGTAAGTGGAACACCTCCAAACTTGAACAGTGAACACCCCATATTGAAAAATTAACCTGCTAAGTGGAACAGTCAATTTCCATAGATTTCAATATTGATATATGTAAACAGAATTAATCTCCTTCAATGATATCTGGGTATGAAAACAGGTAATACTGTGATAATTGGCAAATTAGGACTTTACTAGATTTTAATGGATTACCCTCCTGTAGAGGTCAACATGTGATGCAACCAATAATTAATTTGATAATCAGCAAATTAGGATTTCATAAGATTATCATTCAGAAAATTGGATTAAACTCCTGTAGAACTGGACACGTGATGCTACCACTAATTAATATCCCTTGCTGTTTGTTTCAAACTTAATAAGTAAGATTAAAAATGTCAGTTAAAAACAATTGAATTATTAGCAGTAGGAACAAGTCTTTAAAACTTAATTGCCTAATATTTGTACCCGAGACTGGCACAATTAGGAGGATTAAGAATGTCAGAAAACATTTTTGGCAGAATGAGGAGGATATATACCTTTATCCCATACTTGGACGTGTTACAGGTACATAAAGCCGGTTTGTAAAAACTTATATTTTAATCAGCGGGCAGATATAGCTTTACATCCCGGTCCAAGCGGGCAGATATAGTATATCTGCCCGCTATGTCATAATCGCCGCTCGCATATTTGTTCATAATTTGTAACATTTGCGTAATGACTGTAGACGACAATGGAGAAAACACAGACAATCGGGATCTGTTTGATGGTTTTAACCCCCCTATCACACCAAACTAGTTCTTACACGTTCTTGCCAGTCCTACGAAAATGTCCTAAAACGGGCTTAATCTGGCTGCGGTCGGGATATATGTCTAAAATAATTAGCTACCTCGTTCATAAACAGTCTTCAATACGTCCATCTCATTCGCAGTTCGTTCAGGTCGCACCACGTCGGTGTGCAACGTAGTATAAACTGTCCATTAGTCTAGAAGGTCATCATGACCTGATTACAGAACAGTATGGTCGCCATCGAATTTTGAATCGATTCAAAATTCTAAATCACATACCCCGTCCGGGAAAGTCCATGAAGTTCGTAAACAGACCGTAGAACGTTGTAGCTACGTTCATTCAGTTCACACACAGTTTAAAACCGATTCGGCAACGTTTTGATGATCACCAGAAAATTTTGAGCATGTTCTAAGTGCTGGAGGACCTACTAGTTCTAGTAGTTTCACGAAGTTTGTAAACAGATCCCAAACGGTTCTTAGTGGGTTCTTAGTACGTCAAATCAGTTCTTGCACAGTTTAAGCCCGTTTTCGAGAACGCAGTGAGAACTAGTTTGGTGTGATAGTAGGGTAAAAAAGGGAAGGAGCATCCAATTAATCAATCAAAAATTCGAGAAAATAAATGTGGGAATATTTGAGAGAACAGGAAAATCCGCCCACGGCCAAGAAAACAAAACTGGACATGAATATTCTCAAATATTTCCACGATTGAACAATGTGAACCAGATGACCAAGATTGGTATGGGATTTGCCCTTGGGCAAATATGTTATATTTGCCTCGGGATAATCCCAATATCTTACACCTCATATAGGATAATCTCTATGTCTTCATGGTCAGAAAATAGTCATAATCAAAGATATAACTGTCTGAAATTGTTTGTGATTACTTACCTGAACCTTTCCAGGTCAAATCAGGAGTGACAAAATTATTTCCACCAAATTTTTGACATGTCTTCAAATACGATAATATTTTCTTCATAAGATAGAGTGTCACTTTATTGAGTGTCAAATTTATTGATTGACCTGAGATCGTACCACATCTTTATGACATAGAAGCGAAATAGCCATATTGAACTTTAATAATGTTTGTTTAATTGTTGTTTGCCACTTTTTGACAATTGTCAAAATTTGGGGGTTTTGGGGAGGGGTACAATTAGGTTAAAGAATTCACCTGATTCAGACTATCCTTAAATGAGCACTGATTCACCCGAGAGCATAACTTTTTCAAAACATGTAAGTGTTATTTTTGGACCACTCACATTAATGTTTCATCTAATTTTCCCTCAGAGTTTCATCATCATTGTCCGAATCTTAGGCCATATTTGTTGAGATATATGAATGTTCATTATTAAAATCTTGCCTTCCTTTGCAGTTGGAAAAGATTCGGCATTAGGTGTTATAAGTCCCAGAGCACGATAAATAAATAAAAATAACAACAAAATGACATAAAACTGATAGACGTTTTTTCTTGTGCGTGTCAGCCATGGTCTACCAAATTGCTATTCAGTAGGAAGAAACTCATTTTTCAGTTTCCATTTTAATTTCCTGACAAATAGAGCGATCATCTCAGGATTTTTTCTATGATCTATGTGTCGCCCTAGCAACTTCTGTTTTAGAGAACAATAGAAAAGATTACTTTACCATAATTTTAATCATCCCACATTGTAGACATATTTAGAATCAAATATATGAAGAGAATGACAAAACCTCTTAAAACACATTTCTTAGGAAACAAATAGTGTCGTATTCTTGTTACTATGGCAACAGAGTTTTTTCTTTTTGTCATTTTTGTCATACAGATTACCTATCATACCAGGACCAAATCCTGAAAATTTGAATTCAGTATCTTCATTAGTATCTTAGATATATAGGTTTCTTATAGTATCCCCTGCAGATTTTATCGGAGTATAAGGAAAATGCTCTGAAGAGGGTTGCCCAAGGATGCCACTGAACAGTATTTTTGAGGTCCCAACCCTCTATTCATGGGAATAGTTAACCATTGTAAAGCTTCTCATGGTTAACTGACAGAATTGATTGTATCTTCAACTAAGAAGACAATGAAATGTTATAAAACCAGAAGAAAACCACACCAACTTTCTTCTATTTACCAGGGGTAGAGCACTATAAAGTCATATTAAAATTACAAAATAGTACTTCATCACTATAATAGATGTATTACAATATCACACATAGCTTGGGAATGTTGTTAGAATACTACTTTGAGCTGTTTAAGTTATCATATTTTGCTTGAAGCTACAATATAAAATAAGCAAGAAAAAAATGACAAAAATTGCATATTTTTTTCTAATTAATTGTATTTTTCCGAAACCAACAAAGATATCAACCTATTACTTTAGGGTAGTATTCATCTCTGTACTAACAATGTATGCTGTAGAACTCAGAACAATAGTTTATATATCCTTTGAGTTATGAACTAGTTACATAGTACCCCCTAGAATATTTTCCTAGGGGGGTAAAAACGCTAAAATTCAGTGTCGTGACCACCCCGTTGAGCTGTCATCTTTTAATATCTTTATCAGCATGAAAAACTGATCCAGAAGAAATAGGTCTGTTGCTTTTTCTAAAAAATGCCTCAAAAACCCTTTCCCTTGAGATATTCTGAAATTGGAACCTGTCTATAATCTGATTAGGTTTTGGGCATGCTTGGTAAATTACTTGGTCAATCCATTATGAATGTTTCAATACAAAAATGTGATATTCATCACTGCTCACTGCAAATGTATCATTCAATGTTAAATTCTCTAGTGAGCAGTTGCAATGATTCTTACTCCCTAAGATAACACAAAAACTGATGAACAGTTCAGTGTACAGTGTACTAAAATTATATTTATATTATATTTTTCGTTTTAGGGTACAGTTACTTATGGATTGAAAAATACCGACGCTCTGACTAAGTCATTCTTCTATGTGGACCCTTCTACTGGTGCCGTATCAACCAGAAAATCTCTCAAGAACTCTGTAGGAAGCACTTTCAATGTAAGTAACTAAACATAACATTTGATTAAGCCTAGAATAATCCATTTCTCCTATAAAGATGACCCAAAAAGAGATGTTGGTTAGTAATTAATTATTAGGAATGGTATCGAATTATTAACAGTTGTGAAATAAAGATAGTTTCCTTGGGGGAAGAGGGTAAATTAAGGTTTTGCTAGCGAGAATATTCGAGTGAAAGAAAAACCAACATTTTAAGATTTCGTTACCATAACAATATTTCAAAAATGACTGTTGATAATTGAATACCATCCCTTACATATTTCAAAATTACAAAAACATGAAAAACATGAATTTAAGGTTGTAAAAAATCATTAAAATGTACAACTTTATACATATTTTACTTCATTTTATAGTTGATTGTTGAGGCCTGCGATGATGGGAACCCCAAGTTATGCACTGATTCCACTATCTCTCTGACTGTGATGCAGTCTGAATACAAGCCAAAGTTCTCACAGGCTCAGTATGATCTCTCTGTCAGGGCAGACACATCTACGGGAGTCTCAATTGGCAGAGTGGTTGCTACAGATGATGATCTTAAGGTATGGTTAGATTGTAGTTGGGAACAGCCTGATGGTGTTGACTGAGGACAGAATATCTGTTCGTTTTATTAGTCCCCTTTATATCACTACTTCTTCCTTTGCATGGAGGCAGACTGTAGTAGTCAAAGTTCTTTCATTACATGCAGCAGTTGGACATTGGAATTATTCATTAGAGTACAATTCAAATGACTAATATTTATGATTTGGTATTTTGTATTTCATTTTGAATATCTGCAAGTTTTAACTTAATTTTCAGGTTTAGGTTCAAGATCGTTTTCCAGTTGATGAAACATTTTCTGTATTTGAAAAATAGTATATTCCTTTCACATGGCAATTTGGTCTGGTATATCACATGTTCCTTTTCACCTACTCCTGTTGAGTTTGTACCACTGTTGTGACAGGTCATTTCATCCTAATATTCTATGCTTCAGGGTAATCTAATCTACACAGTGACAGGAAGGGCACCTGGTGATTCTTACTTTGGGGTGGACATGCTACAAGGCATCATTCGTGTCACTGATGACCTCTCAAAAGATGACAATGAAATGTACATGGTAAGAAATGTAATAATAAAACACTGCCATTTTTTAATAAAAAAAACATCGCCATTTTATAATAATATAAAAGACTATTATTTTAGATATATATATTAAAGATAGATAAAATATTTTAGATCTTTTCACTAAAAATCTCACAATGTATTTGAGTTTTAATGAGACATCCATACGCATGAAAAATATTAAAAGATGATCATTAATTTCTTCAAATATTCCAGCTTGATGTCCAAGTGTATGATGACCAAGACCAGGGAAACAAAGCCACAGCTATTGTTGCAATTACAGTGAACCGTAATCCCAGCACTCCTGTGTTTGAACAGAACCCATACACTGTAAGAGTGAGGGAGAAGAGACCTCTGGGAGATGTCCTTGTTCAAGTAGTAGCCTCTGATGCAGATACTAATGTAAGTTTATTACTGATTCCGCCTCTCATTTACAATTACATGTATGAAAAATGAAAAAAAAATGTTTCTGAATTCCTCACTCCATGTTGAAATCCAACTCTGTTGTTAGTTGAGTTCCTGATCTAATCTAGGTACTATTTATTTCATTTTCAATTTTCTATCTGTAATAAAAGTAACATGGACATGAATTCATCACAATTTTCAGTCAATCCCATTGCAAAATGTTGAAATAAGCTAATTTAGAACATTAAGACCATTTATGTTAAGCGTCAGCATTGTAGAATCATTTGATGTGCTCAGTGCTGAATTTCCATGTAAAAAATGAAGATTTTTCAACCTCCTAAAGAGGTAAATAAATGTACATGTTGTATACCATTATTTTTTGATTAAATCATTGAGCCAAAACTTAATATCATAAATACTTTTCATCTTGTTTTAAGGATCGCCTGGCATATACATTGATGGGGAATAGTCTTGCCATTCGGTACTTCTATGTCCATCCTTTCACAGGAGAGGTTGCTCTTAAGAAACAACTTGCAGAAGGAACATCAGAGACATATGACGCAAGTTTTAGTTGTATTAAAACAGTTAGGCTGAGAGGAAATAATAAATTAGAAATATCCAAGTTGAATCACCAGTTGAACCAATATTCAAATCTAATAATTCTTAGAGTGCTTAAAAACCATAACTATATTGTAGACAATATTATTATCATTGAATAGATGCAGATAACATTACATGTACAAGGAGTGATCTAATAATTAATGTTCCTCAAGATTGTATAACTTTTTCAAGGTCATAAGAAATACCAAAATATGTTAATTAGCTGTAAAATATGTATTTTAATATCCTTAGGGCCATGTATGCATGTGTTTGATCTGTATCATACATGATACATGATCATAATATACAATTAGTGCTCTAGCTAAATTCTTATTAAATGGACTTTTAAATGACGCAGTTGATACCTCAAAAAACAATACAAAGTAACTAACTGAAAATGAGTTATTTACCTTGAATAGATATTCTTGACATAAAGGATTAAGATAAGTTCACACAGTCACGGCGCAAGGTTCAAAATGTTAAATTCAAAGTTAACATTTGCTCCACATCAAATATTTATCCTGAGTGTCTTTATATTACAGCTGCAGATCATGGTGAGTGACCAGGCTCTTCCAACTGCAAAGACTGCCACAACTCAGGTGTTAGTCAGTGTGGTTCGTGATGTGGACCCACCATACTTCATCTCAGACCCATACTATCGTAAAATTCTGGAGACTCATCCTGTTGTTGGTACTGTCACTGAGGTCCTGGCTAGGGATGACGATATGTATGAGGTAAGTTACCCTATAATGTGATTCTGCTTTGGGAGTATGATACTGAGCAAAATGCTCTTTATTTTGGAAGAAATATAAATGTAAAAATTAGTGAATTATTAAAGCCAATGTCAACCCAACTACTAACTTTGCTTTACTTAGAAATAACTACAACAACCTACAATTATTGCTAACGTTAATGCACACTTAATAATGTAAATAATAAGCAGTATGTTTCTCCTTCGGAAGCACACTAATGAACAAAAAGTTCACATGGCAGGGTTTTATTAGCAGCAGGCAACAGGAGATTGTTTTCACAAAATTGCCTGTTGTTTTTAGGGACTTCTCAACTTTTCCATGTTAAATTTATGATTTCCATTAATTTTGCCTGTTGTTTTCATTTATTTAGCCTGTTGTGGGAAATTCTCGTGAAACCCCTGCAAATTGTCTCATTGAGATGGAATACTTTATTATTTGTTTATGTTACATTATTGACTTACAGGGCAACAAGATTAAATATGAACTTGATGGAGTCTACCCTGCTCAAGATTTCTTCTATGTGACTCCTACTGGCGTGATCAGAGTTAAGAGGGACCTACGTGATGATCCTTCAGAGCTGCCAACATACAAGGTATGTACACACAGTGTGACATTTTCTCCATGTGTAGCATCAGGCAGCTTGAGGCTCACAGACACATGGGCTATGTATTATAGTAAGTTAGAGCATTATAAATGGCTTATATTTTATGCAAACAGGAAAAATTTGTTATACTGTAAAACGGGTAATTTTGACACCGCACCGGGAAATTTTAGCGTTTTTTTCAATTTTGGGCGGTTTTAGCACAGGAAATTTTAGCGAAATAAGATTAATCTTTAAAAAATCAAATTAGCGAAATGCATTAGAAATTTTATCATTGGTTGTTGAACCATGTTCAATTAACACCTTTTATCTTTATATTTACTACTTATACTATTTCACTAATGGATGGCTATTTATCCTTCAGATATTGAAAGAAACATACGATTTAAAAATATTTACCTTTTTCAAATTACAAACCGGAAGTCGAGCACTGAACGAAAAGCTCCTTAAATGCTAGTATTCATGTAGTTTCCCGGGAATTTGCAAATTTTAGCGTCGGGTTTATTTTAACCCCGGTTTATTTTAGCGAATTGAATTTTTAGCGAAACTATAGCAATCGCTTACAATCGCTAACAATTTCCCCTCGCTAACAATACCCGTTTTACAGTATACAATATGTATTGTTACATGTGATAATTTTGGTTATTTTTGTGTACATTCTTATTTACAAAGATATGTTCAAATTGAATTGATGAATTGATAAATGGTTGCCATGGTAACACAAATGAATGATAACATTCTTTATCAGTTTGAATTTCTCATTGTAGTTGACAGTTAAAGCCACTGACCCTGACAATCCAGAAAACCCAACATATGGAACAGTCACAGTTGATGTAGATCGTAACCTCAATGGGCCCAAGTTCCACCCTACCAATTATGTGAGGTATATCACTGAGAATTTTGTACTTGGAAACACAATCATTAACCTGAATGCAACTGATGAAGACAAAGGGGTGAGTCCATTTTTTATTTATATACATATTTATTATTCTGGATGAGATCATTTTTAAATAAGATTAATTATAAAGGTATGTTAATGCATTTCATGAGATAGTTTGCTTTTTACGATCAGAAAAGGGAAACTTATACTCAAAACAAATCCATCATGTTTCATTTTAGAAAATTTTGTTACTATGACATTGATTAAAGTGCTCACAATATCACAATACAATATTATTAAGCTGTCCTGTACATCTATGTGCTTTATAGTGTAAGTAGATTGATGTTGAAGATTCTTATAATACAGCTGAGTTTAAACACTACAACAGCTTTACAATGCTTAATATGGACGAATTATTAGGTCATATAAATATAAAATGTAAATTTGAATTTAGGATGTTATAACTTTCATTCTGAGAAGTGCTACAGATGATGGAAATGACTATTTCTATGTCCATGAAAGGAATGGTGCTGTTATCCTAAAAAAGATCTTGATAGATAACCCTATCAAGAAGTATGAGGTATGTTAAGAAGATGACATTGTATTATGCACAACTATATACTTAAAAGAATTGTTATTTCTGATTAAATCCCCTTGCAAAAAGTTCGAAGCTATCCGCCTGTCCATACATTCATCCCTGGCACAAAACTGATAATTTGAATATTGATTTAGTTCTTGTATTATGCCTTATGTTAACAGAATCTCTTAAGAAGGAGGATTCAATATGGCTGCTAAATTCAAAATGGCTACCATTTGTGTTAAAATGGATTTCATACTTGTTTTTAAGTATTGTTTTATAAATGATTGAACTTTATCTCACATCTTTTTCAAAATAAGATCATTCTCCAAAATGGTTGCTATTTTTGTAATTACATTTTTGGTTTAAGCTTCTTTACTAACTTTGGTTATATATATTATGAATGATGGTGCTGCTTTAGAACCTCTGATCAAGAGAGAAATTCCAAAATGGCTTCCAAATCGTTTTCTTTTAGATGAATACTGTGTTTATTCAAAATGGCTACTCGAGTCAAAACTACCTCATATTTTTGTTAAGGCTACCACTATAACATGCCCAATTTGAGTATAACAGATATTTCACAGCTGTATTTTGCCAAAAGGAGACACTTCAAATGCCTAATTACAAGCTTCAATCTTAGGAGTGATTTGATAAATATATATTTTGTTTGTTTGGATTTGCTACTTTATGGAGTTAAACTTTTCCCAAGTATTGAATGAAATAACTTGATATGTTTCATTGATTAGTATTTCTTCAATGTAGACTTCAAAATGTAATTGTTAGTAATATATGATTAATAGATGTAAATTTCTGCCCTCGTTGAACCAATGACTTGACACCTTTTCATTCTTATTCTTAGCCAGAATCCCCCAGATAGCCACGTTGTACTTAATGTTGTTCATAATTAGCTCATGTTAGATATATTGTTATCTTTAAGCTTGGCCTATAATGTATTTTGGCAATTGGCGAGCCATCTGATGTAAAATAAGATTTATGAAATAAATAGATTACCATATAAAAAATAGATATAAATTATCTAATATTTCACTGCACTTTTCAGTTGATAGTTGATGCAGTAGATGACAGTGGACGTAATGCAACCACTAAGGTCACCATTCACATAGTGCCAGATGAAAGTAAACCAGAGTTCAGTCCTACTAACAACACAGTGGACACAGATGAAAACCAACCAATAGGGAAGGTCTTGAAAACTGTCACAGCAACTGATGGAGATTTAAAGGTATAGTATTATGACACTCTCTTTGTATACACTTCATTTTTGTTTTGTATTGTTATTGTTCACACACTGAGAGCCTATGGAATCACTTGTCCATCTATCCAAATGAATTTCTGTCTGTCTTTTCATTCATGAACAATTTTTGGACAAATAAAATTCATTTGTGTCATTTCACAATACCCAATGTGCGAACTATTTTTTTATTACTATTTTTTTCATGTCACCACCAAAAGTGATGTCATTTTTTTAAAGTCTCCAAGTTTTTAAAAAAATGGTTGTTGGCATTTGGTGATTGGTGATCTGTGTCTGTAACAAATTGCAGGTGGTGACATTTTGCATGTTTTTACCTTGTTTTTACTTGCATTCCATTGTTGGCAGTTTGTATTTGTTGTGACTGTCTATACTTTAGCAGCCATTTACAATAACTTACCAGATGGTGACATTTTGTCATGTCAATGCCTTGTTTAGTTATTAACATACATGTAGTTGATATTTGGATTTTTTTCATTTTCAATTGCATTATGTACATACTAGCTGAGGATTTAAATAAATTGCTTTGCATTTCTAATTTATGTTTTTTTCTGCTGCTTTAGAAACAATAATTTAATTCACTGTGTCACAAAAAATGATGCTTATTTTCTGCAGAATTCGGGGATCAATTTTACAATGTCTTAATTCAAGGTTGTCAGCCTTTTGAACTCTAGGTCATTAATTTTGTACTATTTATTTTGATTCAGAGCATCTGTTTATTCCATGGAAAGGGGACCTACCCTTTTACCTATACCCTTGTCACTTTTCTTATGTTTCTTTCAGGGCCGTATGCAGTATGAAATTATTGGACTGTATCCTGCTGAGGATTATTTTAGCATCGATAGGAACACTGGACAAATCGCTGTGTTAGGCGATCTGAGGGAGGACCCTCTCAAGCTGTTCATGTATACAGTAAGTGGAAACAATTTAAGGGAGAATACTCTCTTTTTCATTCAAGTAACAATCAAATGGAATCTAGTAACTAACTGCATATCAGTCTACTGAAATACCAGGAAGAAAAATAAAAATCTAGATCATCATGGACAGTTCATATGTATCTTTCCATCTAATATCAATCTAATTCCAAATCTTGATTTTCTCTCTGCTTTTACACTGTGGAAAGACCAGACATTAACTTATTTTAATCATTTTATAAATCTAAATTTTAAATTAAGTGTGTTCAATGAATTTATGCTGGTTATTAATAATGATTATTCACTCTTTTTTAGCTGCGTGTCATTGCCTATGATAGCCTCAGTCCAACAGAGCGAGCACAGAGAGATTTCTACTTTTATGTGGCACGTAATCTTCATGGGCCAGAATGGATGTTTGATACATTTTCCCGTGCTATCAGACTACCAGTGGAGACACCTACTGGCACTTCTGTGGTCAAATTGCAGGCTAAGGATAAAGATGTAAATGTATGATATTTTTGTTCATTTTTCACTCGCTGTTTCACTTGCGTTTAATTTTGAAATCAAAATAAAGATGTCCTTGGCTGTTATAAAGAGAGAAATACCAATTTTCTAGCATGTCTAGTGGTGTTTAGAAATTAATTATCTTAAAAAGGACATTACACGATCACATAAGATCACATTTATTTGAAAGGAATTAAAAAGGATTCCCATGGGCCATTAAAAGAAGATATTTTAATATACCCCTCTTTCCACTTCTAGTTCAAGAGAGATGATTAATCGGATAAAACTGGATTATATGGATTGTAGTTCTCTGTGAATGTCATCCCTAAGCTCAATCTGATGTAATGATATTTGGTAGTCTATAAAAACAAATGCAATTTTCTGATATTTTTTAGATTAATTTGTTTTATATTTCAGGTTTGGTATTTAACCTCTTGACTACCTGGAGTGACGAGATTTCTCGCCACCTCAGAAATGACCTTGAAACAAAGAGTGACGAAAAATCTGTCACTAAAATTGCTCTTGTTTGAAGAATTTTCATCCAATTTACACAAAAATTGTTTTCAAATGTGCAGAAATGATCTCTGCCGTCTAATTTTACTATGTTAAGCATCCAAAGTTGTATAGGTATGTAGTAAAATGTCAAAAGGTGGCTAAAATGAAAAATCCTCTGGTTTCAACCAATTTTAGAGCCTGGGGTTCAAGAGGTTAATAATTCCTTCACTTACTATAACGGATGTGTTTCTAGTTTAAGAGCTTGCCATTTTACCAAAAGCAAATTGAACATTTCAGGATGTCATACGCTATGATGTGAAGGATGACAACTCAGGAAGGAGTGCATTGGAATATTTCTGGTTAAACAAGGACACTGGAGATTTGATACTGAGGAAAAATCTTCCACAAAGTCTCAGATTCTTCTATGTAAGTATTATAACATTTGTTTTCTTTCCAAAAAAAGATGGAGATATATTATCATGACATGTTGGATATTTTTAGATTTTAGATACCTTCTAAAATTATGCTGTATAAATTGCATGTGCAACTGATGTCTGCATCTCTGGTAGTAATACTTTAGTTTTGGTCTAGGTGAATTTAAGTTAGGCAGAATGAGTAAGTGAACTATAAATGCAAACTTGTACATCGACACGATAAGATATATGTAAAAGGTTATCCTACCATATTGGAAGAAATCAATTTCCTATCTATTAGAAATATAGAGACTGTATGACTCAAACTACATTGTTGTTCAGCTTGGGTTTAGAGGACATTAAGCTGCTTCCAATGTTTTGTTTGAATGGCTTGGCGTTTATTATACTTTAATTCAAACCACTGACTCATAATGTTCACACAAAGAAATGTTGTTTTGGAATAAAAATGGATTTTATTTTTCACAAATAGATTTCATTTTCACTATGAGAACTGCAATATTAATACAATTTTATGAAGTAAAATATAAAGTATTTTAAAATAGAACCTTTCAATAAAATAGAATGCAAAATCTATATAATTATCAGGTTGTACACATTTCAATTTTTCCACAGACCTGATATTTGGTCTGTCATGAAATTTGAAATTGTTCTCTTCTCTGAACAGAATATATATGTACAGGGTGTCCAAAAAAAAACAGGACTGTAAGAAAGTTGAATAACTCAGTCAATTTTGGATATTTTGCCTTGAAATTTAAAAATTATCTAGTTCATTCAATGTGAATTTTGTTCTGAAAGTTTGATGATAAACTGTTTATTGTGTCAAAAACTACAGTCCTTTACAAAACATGCTCAAAGTGGGCACTTCTCCTCTCTATGCACAAACGAATCCTGCGAACAAAGTTGCTAATGACCCTTACCTATACACATTAATGTGGATGGTAAATATTGGGGTAGTTATTGCCCTCTTAAGATTGTTAGGGGCCTGTCAGTATACACATTGGCTTTGAGAAATCCTCAAAGATAAAAATTTGGGGGATTTAGATCAGGCGAATGAGCTGCCCATATGGTTTGCGTTCTGCAACTGATGAGCTGACCACCAAAGCATTGCCTAAACCATTTCGGCATATCATTTGCAGTGTTGGGGTGGTATTGGCTTGTTGAAACCACTGCTTAATTATCTCCTTAGATGTCTCTTCTGGTGCTTAGTGACCTCCAAAACTTGGTGAGAACTTACTGGTCCTTGTTCATGGTGATAGCAAGTCTCCAGTCACCTTCGAACCAAAAGGGACTGATGAATCCACGTTTCCTCATTGTCACCCAGAGAGTGCATTGTTCAGAATGCAATGGATGCTGTAACACTTCATCAGGAGGATTTAAGCCCCAGTAGCAATTGTTCTTGGAACAAACTTGTCCATTCAGAAAGACATGTGTGTAGGAGGATCATCAACAGCTTTGTTCGCCAGATTGAATTGTGCATAGAGATGAGATTTGCACATTTGGGGCATGTTTTGTAAGGAGCTGTAGTTTTTGACTCAATTCGTAGATTATTATCAAACTTTCACAGCAAAATTCACATTGAATTGACTAAATAATTCTGGAATTTCAAGGCAAAATATCCAAAATTGACCGAGTTATTCAACTTTCTTACGGTCCTGTTTTTTTTGGACACCCTGTATATACAGCAATATTTACCATATATATTTTTAACTATTTACAATGGTTGCATATTCTTAAATGCCTTGGACTAGATTTTTAACTTCTGGTTTCTGTTTGCAAATTGATGAAGCAATTTACATCGAGACACCTGTTTTATATTGTTTTCAAGTTGCCTATTGGAGATAGATCATCTCTCAATCTTTTGAGAAACATATTCTTCAAATCCAAGAGTCAGCTAGGGTTTTCCCAGTAATTTAAGACAATATGCTACATTATATTTTTGGACATTATTCATTCTATTTTAGTAAATGTTATAGGAAGGAATACAAGATGAAATATGTAGTGTCTTAAAGGGGCAACAAAAGACTATAGATATGGGATGAGAGTAACTTATAGTACTACATTATTTCCTGCTAACAATATCCCATTTTGTACACTCTGTTCTTTGCTGCCACTTTATGTATTCCAACCTTGACAATGGCAAATTGTGCCCATGTAATATTGTCAGCTATTATAAGATTCAGGGTGATACTCTGTCTACTTGATGAAGCTAATGCTGAACTGTTTTAAGTGTTTACTATCTGCATAGATTTATAGACCTATTTTGGTCACCTTTTCAGAAAGGAATACATGATAAAATACATGAAGTGCCTTAAAGGGGCAACAAAGACTATAGGAATGAGTGAGACTTCCTGTTTGGGTACAATATTTTTGCACACAATGTCTCATTTCTTGTCATTCCTATTTTTTGTTTCAAGATTACTTTCTATATTTTACACTAAGATCTGTACATTCTGTTCCTTGCTGCCACTTTATGTATTCCATCCTGGACACTGGCAGATTTGTCAGCTACCTAGGCTATTCAAGCAGATGCTCTATCACTTGATAAAGCTAATGCTAAACCTTTTTTCTCAGTGCAATGATTTATAGACCCATTTTGGTCACCTTTTTAGAAAGGAATACATGATAAAATACCTGTTGTACCTTTAAAGGGGCAACAAAGACTATAGAGATGAGTTGAGTTGCTTACTTTACTTTTAAACATTACTTATCATTCTTATTATTCCCAACACTTTCAATTTTTCCCAACATTTTACACCCAACTCTTTGTAATTGTGTTCTTTGTTGCCACTTTATATATACAAGCCTCAACAATAGCAATTCATGCTTGGGCAATATTGTCAGCTATATTATTTTTATTGGTTGTTTAACTGATAAATCAGGGTCATGTAAAGAGTTCTGTCTGTAACATGATAAAATACATATATTGTCTTATAAAGGGGCAACAAAGACTTTAGAGATGAGCTGAGTTGCTTATAATGCTTTACATTTAAACATTACTTGTTCTTATCACTCCTTGTTATTCCTATTTTCCTACACTTTCAATTTTTCCCAACATTTTACACCCAACTCTTTGTAATTGTGTTCTTTGTTGCCACTTTATATATACAAGCCTCAATAATAGCAATTCATGCTTGGGCAATATTGTCGGCTATATTATTTTTATTGGTTGTTTAACTGATAAATCAGGGTCATATAAGGAGTTCTGTAACAGCTTTTAAAAGCAGTATTTTGAACAGGTATTCCTCTAAGAAATCTATTCACATATAACCAGTATAAGTATGAATAAAAAAGACATACCAGTTTTGGGGAGCATAAAAGGTCCCTTAGTTTCATGTAAATAACAATTTTCTATATTTTTAACTACATGTATTTACAATTGTTGCATATTCTTAGGTGCCTTGGTTTACAGTTTTATTATCCAGTTTCAGTTACTCAGATGCGAGTAGGTCAATAGGTAGTTACCAGATTAACCACCAGGTGTCTAATTGGCAGGGTATCAGAAAATTCCCTTAAACTTGAATATTCATCAGTTTTACTGGTTCAGTTTTCATATTACCCATATGTTTCTGATAGTTATACAAATTAAAATATGTCCAGTGAAAGAAAATAGCTTTCCAATAAGATATTTCACTTTTTGTGATTTTACAACTTGGGGTCTATGGGGAATCTCCCTGACCTAGAACTCACATTTTCAAAGAAAATTAAATTTTCAAAGCTGATTAACACTTTTTAAAACCACATATACAGATGTGATTTTACATGTAGATTTCAAATATGATATCACTAAGATTGAATTTTTAATGATGTAAATCAAGCTTATTTCTTCTACCATCTTAAGTCTATTGGCAAACTGGCAAAGTTTTACACATTACATATACATAGATGCCAGTGTTATGTCTGCTTATTTGACAGGTAGATCATTTCTCGATCTTTTGAGAAATGTTTGGTTCAATGCAAATAAGATAAAGGCAGAGGCTGTCTATAACATGATGATAATAGCATTCTATAGAAATGCATTCATTCTGTTCATGGTTTTTATTAAATTTTTAAACCATTTGCACACATAAGTTGCATTATACTTTAAATGACTTCATTTGTTGTTATAATCTTGCATCAAATCACTCTACTCATTTTCCTATTTAAACAGAGGATGAAAATAGTCTATGAGAGAGAGCGATTATTGCAAGTTAATAGCGTTTCTAAATTAGTCAGTTTCCAATTATTCTTAAATTCTAGGGTTTTATCAGATTTTTTTGCAAATTAATTTTGAACTTATTTGATTTGGAATACTGAAATTACCTTCTGAATATTGATAATATGTATGCTTTCTAGCTTTCTGTTTGGATCAATTAATATAAAAAGGGATAAAATCATAATTAATCTCATGTGAAAAGATACATTTTGGACACTAATTCAAAATTTAGTTTGAAAGTAAGTTTTAGAACAATTTACTTACAATTATGATTTTAATTATCCTAGAATATATCCAAGTGTTATCATTATATCCATTTGTATCTTTTTAGTCATTTTAATGAATTCAAATCAACTTTTATGAAGTCAGTCTTCAATTTTCAGCAAATATAATAATCATTTTGGTTCATAATTGCTTTCGCATTGTTGTTTTATAGCTCAGTGTTGTAGTTCTTGGCATTGTTGTAATATTTGTTGGTGTTGTTATCGTCATTGTATTGTTTGTCTTTGAGTTGTTGTTGTTGTAATTGTCAGTGTTGTTGTAGTATCAGTGTTGTAATTGTCACTGTATTGTTTGTCTTTGAGTTGTTGTTGTAATTGTCATTGTTGTAATATCAGTGTTGTAATAGTCAGTGTTGTTGTTTCTCACTTGTATCAGGATGCTGGGCTGAAACATAATTTTGACAATTAGATGTAATTTATTTCATTATTATCTACAATTTTAAAGAACAATTATAGTTTTATAAGTTTCCTTTAGTGAGAAGAAATGAAGAAAATACTTTAATTCCTCAAAAATGTTCATCAGCATAGCAGAATTTGATAGAAACAGTTTATTTTACTATAATTGTTTACTTCTATTGTTTACAATCTGCAGTTCTACTAGATTATTTTCTATTTCAGCAATAATTTAACATATTTGATCATTTGTTTCAATTTAAAATCATTTATCATCATAAATTAATGTATTTTAAAGCATTATATTCATGTAATAATGCAGTATTAGATGATATTTACTAATTGTTTTAATGTTTTGTTTTCTATTTACCTCACTTCCTGTATGAGACAGTGAAGATGTTGCCATCCCTGTCTCCCACCACCAGCTGCCCCTCCTGGTTGATGGCAACAGAGTTAGGGCCTCTCACACCATCTTCCTTGGTCAGCAGGAAGCGCACAAATTCACCCCCAGGGGTCAGGAGATGTACCCTGTCGTTGTCAGTGTCTGCAACAATGATGTGATTGCAACTATCAATGCAGACACCACAGGGTTCCTTGAACTCTCCCTGACCACTGCCACGCTTCCCATATGACAACACTTCATGGCCATCTTTGTCCAAGCCTTTGATACAATCAACCTGAAAGTCACTGACTATGATGACATCAGTGGTTGATGCCACATAGTGAGGGCCCTGGAATGTACCAGGCTTGGAGAGCGGTGTTGTGTCTCCAGTGGATGGATCCACACGGTACACTGTCTTGGTGGTGATATCACACACCAGTAGCTCACCTGCAGGGGTTGATGTTATACCCCATAGCTTTAGTTCAGCTTCAGGTCCTCTGCAGGTGATGTCCCGTTTGTGGGTCCCGTCTACACTGTAGACACTTATGATGTTGTTGTAGTTTGTCAATGCTAGATGGCCATTAGAAGCTAGTGTGACGTGTGAGAAGTTCTTTCCAAGATCTTTCACAAGGTTGTTCATTCTATTATATATCTTTGTAGTTGAAGAGAAACTTGTTACTGCAAAATTGCCATTGGGAATGAGAGTTAGATCGAATATCCCATCTGATCGTAGATTCTTCTTCACCACTCTTGGCTCACAGAGTTCCAATTCCCTAAGCTTTCTGACCTGCAATCACATCAAATCAAAACATTAATTTATAAGTTAGCATCATTATTTTAAGTTCAAAATAATAATTTGATTTTATCGAAACAAATATTATATTATTATTATAAATGAGTTTTGTTTGAATTTTCTAGACTAATTTTGTAGGAATTTGAATTGCAGATAATCTGATAAGTTATTAGAAGGATAAAGATTTGCAGTTTACATAAGTTTTTACATTTAGACTATTATGCATTTGTATTAATTACATTTTATAATGAATTATAGTACATGTTTAAGTGCAAATGCAAATAAACAAATACAATTAAATAATTATGTTTTATATTACCTGATATTGGTTATAGCAGCACAAAATAATGTTATGTGTTACTGAATGGAATGTGCAGACGTAATGATGAGTTGAAAAAGTTGTTTGATAGCAAATTTTGGCGGCAAAATCATAATTTTAGGAAAAGGGATGAAAACAAAGTTTTGTTTACATTTTGTTGTATTGAATCTGTGTTGATTTTTTTAGCTGACAACCCTTACTAAAAAATAAGCTGGTCCAACCAGGGATTGCTGTCAATCAAACTAGGATAATATTGCTTTCTATATTTAGATTTTTGCAGACATTGGCCACCTGTTTATCTTATTAAAAATACATTCCCTTGCAAAAAATACTGAAAAAACGAAAATTTGATTTTTTATAGTGATGGAGTATTGAGTAAATAATTGCAAATGAGCTCAAAACTTAATTTTGGATTTTACATCTGAATTACATTTAATCTCAAGATTATGCTTAATCAGGCATTAGTAAAGATTAATAATTATTAAATGTAGTGATTTTTGTAAGGGCAAATGTGCTTTGACTCTCCCATTATTAGTGTAGAAGTTGGCTTCAAGTCAAATCTTAAAACGCCTATAACTTTCTAAATACTTGAGCTAGAATGTTAAAATAAAAAGCATTTTGAAGCTGACAACATTACGCAAATTTTGTTTATTATTTCATTTTTCAGTTAATGTGACAATTGAGTGAAATTCCAAGTTATAATAGATCATTTTGCTTGCAGTTTTATAGGATCTGCATGTTGCTCAATATGTACTTGGATACTGTGGGTATGATTAGAAATTCTATTTAGAACTATCATAAAAAATTTAATGTAGAAATTGCTTGCTATGATATTTTTTTAATGAAAATGTGTCATTCACTTATTGTACAGTACATTTTTATTGTTAGCTTTATTTATTTATTTATTGTACTTCAAAAACTGAACTTTGGTTTGCCAAAGAAAGGATGGCCCATGTGTTTTGACAGGTACACCCCAGTTGTCTGAAATCCAGTTGTCCGAAACCCATGACTCCGAAAAATAAAGTCATAATTTACAGAGAAAGGGGGGACGTACTTAAGCTTAGGCCAGTTCCATGCCATGTATTTGGCCAAATTAATGGCATGGACGCATTCTGATGTTCATAGATCCCTCACTTTGAATTGCATCCATTGCATGGCGTTACCAGAATGGCAGGAACGGGGGATTTATTTTACATTGAGATTCTTAAAAAGGTTAAATCAAAACACAATACATGTATATATTACGGAACGGTTTATCTATCTTCTTCAATATCTTTTATATGGGCAAAATAAAATGAAACATTTTGAAACAGATAAAATAATTTAACGCATAGAACTTAAAATAAAACAGTATACATATTACATTGTCAAAATATTTAGTTGCATTTAATTTCTTAGTCTCTGTCTCTCATCAAATCGTAAAAGAACAAAAGATTCTAAACTTTATCAATTGGGATCAACTGGAAATGAAGACAGGCTGTCGCCATCACTTTATCCTTTTGAACTTAATCTCTATTTCTCGAACAGAGTACGTAAGTGAAGAATACGTTTTGGTTTCAAAAGATGTACACATCAACTTTACTAAATAAATGCCCACTGGCTTGGGAAAGCTATTTTCCCTTTTATGAACGCCCATCACCCATTGGAAAAATGTTGTTCCCTCTCAAAAAAGGCCTATGGGCCATAAAGAAAATTGGTTTAAAAATTGTAGACCCCTATGTATGTTATGTAAACACCACTTTGCAATGAGAATAACACAATTTTACTTTGTTTGTTTGAACATCTATATCTCCTGTATATGCATTTGTACTTTCATCTTTTGACAGTTTTATTAAATACCAGCCCATAAAGGAATCGTTCAGTTGATGAAATTTACTCTCAAATGCACCCTTCACCAATGAAAGAGTGCTCGTTCATAGAGCTGTAAGCTGTACTTTTCGGATAACTGGGTTTCGGAGAATTGGGTTTCGGACAACTGGGTTGACCCCGTTTTGACACTATTAATCTAGAAAATCTGTTTTAATTTGGATCTACAAACTGGATGTAATCTACATAAGATGGATACATTCTAAAAGACTGCACAATTTGAGTCAAAATTCTCTTTTCAAGTACAATAGTATTGTATGACACACAGGGCATATTTTGTATGTTCCATGATGTGGAACATTGGAAATAGGTTAATATGAAATTAAACCAAGAGTTTATAATGCATTTAAGAAAGAAGGTCATTCATGGTTCTGAGAAAGTTGCAAAATCTCTGCACATGTTATTTACTGAGTACTCAAATAGAATATTCCAAACTGAAACAATTTGATTCCAGATGTGATATCACAAAAATTCAGATTTTAGATTGGTAAGACATGTTTTGATTACATTTATGTGTTTCACAATTTCTATTTATTTTTATTTATTTCTCTAAGACATGTTTACATTACATTGATCTGTTTTACGATTTATATTTATTTTTACGAGGTGTCAAAAAACCATTGTCTAATTTCGAATTCTTTGAAGTCCATGCTAATTTATGTATACTGAACTATTTCAATAATGAAAACACTTTTTGTGTTACCCACATATATTAAACTACATCTTTACCTTTGCTGGCTGCTGTAATGTATTTACTAATTCTTGAGATTGAGCTAGATCATTTTGAAGTTTCTGTACCTGCAATATAAAATCAAGGGATGAAAACTTGATGTAGCATTTTTCTATAATGTATATCTGTTTGATGAAAAACTATTATTTTTGCAATACATGTCATTGAACCTGAAATCAAATGATTGATTACCTTGTTCTGTGGAGAGCCAAATTTATTATTAGATGATTGCAAGCTAATTTTTTTAAATCTCAAGTAGGTTCAGTGCCAACTTGCTTCAATTCTGGGGAGATCGTATCACTATGATGAAATGAATATGTTATGATTCTAATGATATATCATTTAGGGGCCGGGTCAATATTTCAGTTTCCATCAAAAAAATGTAATTAATTTTTGTAAAATCTTAACCCCCCCCCCCTTCCTCATCTAACGAAAGTCAAAATGTTTATTCACTCCCATTGTGAGTCAAGTCAAAATGTTGATTTGCATTCAGTGTAATATTAAGTACAACCTAAGCATACAATATCTGCTACATATCAATTTCTCTTACATATCTAATAGTATACTGGTATTTAATGATCATACCATTTCAGAAGACGAAACTCCAGGAAACTAAAAATCAATGTCTGTCACCTAATTTTTTAATTCCATTTTACACCCTCCCCTTAACATAATTGATTATGTTTTTTGATGGACATTGAAATGTTGACCTGGCCCCTTATGGTCTAAGGGAATATCCAGAAAACATTTTATAAATTAAACTTCTGTGATGAATAAATGCAAGGAATAGATAGACCATTCAGTTATTATTTTCTAATAGTAGCTCATTTTAGAGGGATTTCACATTAAATGAAAGGTCTAGGTCCTTTGATAAAATACTTATTATCAAACTGATCATATTTCAATGTAGAGATATGATATATGGAAGGCATTCATTGATCAGTTCATTCAATTGTCCATCTATCATCCATTCATCTTTATGGGCAATAGCAGCAATACCCATTGATAGATTTGCCTTAACATTTTATAAGTTGCTGGTTTAAAAATGACTGACATTTTAGTGTCAATTTTACAATATTTTATGTATAACATATACGACTGTAAAAATATGTTTTAAATGTAAAAACATTATATAAGATAATGATTAAGGTAGAGCTTCAATGTTGACTGATTTATTTCTAAGAGTCAGATTTTCTTGAAAAAAATCAAGGTGAAAGCTACTGTATAATGATAAAACATGTGAAAATTAGAAAGATTGACCATTTAGTTATTTCTAAAAAAATGTTTTAATTTTACATTGGTCTCAATGGGAAATTCTTTTTTATCTCATAATTTTTTTTTATTTCATAAAAAATTGCATAATTCAGATTTTCGTCAAAAATTGTGATTATTCTATGAGAATACAAAAGTGTTTAAAAAAGTATTTATATTTATTATGAAAATTCACCATCCAGATCTTGAGAAAAAATAAAATAACTTATAACTGAATATTATGAATCAGTGGAACAATATTATTATTCTATCGTATTACACGGTGCCAAGAACCAAGAACCAGGCATAATATGACCGTCCAAAATCTATTGCAATACTTTCCCCTCCTCCTTTTGCATTTGTTGATATTTTTCTACATTTTTTAGGTTATTATTTGCCATTAACAGCTTATCACCTTAGTTTTCGCCTTAGAGTAATGATCAAGAGCATACCAATAAAGAATGTTTGAAGTACTGTTGTGACAATGTGAATTGAATGAGGCTCAAATGGCACATCTAAATACAAAAGATATTGTAAACATTTCATAAAATACCTCTGCCTCTGATTTTTGCTTTAATTCTGTCAGCTCATCTTGCAGAGTTTTCATCTTGGAGGAATGATCAAGAGCCTGCAATTAAAGAACGATTTGAAATATTTCAGAAATCATTCATATATGTTGAGGCTGAAACACAAACATTTATATGCAAGACAGAAACTATTCTAAAACATTATATTTAATACCTCTAACTCTGATCTTTGCCTTTCTTCTGTCAGGTTATTATTTGCTGCTAACAGCTCTTCCTGTCGAGTTTTCATCTTCGAGGAATGATCGAGAGCCTGCAATTAAAGAACATTTTGAAATATTTCAGGAAATATTCATAGTGTTGAGGCTGAAACACAACATTTATATGCAAGATAGAAACTATTCTTTAACATTTTATTAAATAACTCTGCCTCTGATCTCTTTTTGACGTCTGTCAGTTATTATTTACTGTAAACAGCTCATCCTGTAGAGTTTTCATCTTGGAGGAATGATCCAGAGCCTGCAATGAAAGAATGATTGGAAATATTGTAGAAATCATATGAATGCATTGTGTTGGAGCTCAAATTGATCATGTGGATAGAAACTATTCTAGAACTTTTCATTGAACACCTCTGCCTCTGATCTTTGCTTTTCTTCTGTCAGGTTATTAGTTGCTGTTAACAGCTCATCTTGCAGAGTTTTCACCTGGGAGGAAAGATCAAGAGCCTGTAATTAAAGAATGATTTGAAATATTGTAGAAATCATATGAATGCATTGTGTTGGAGCCCAAATAGATCATTTTGATGTAAATCATTATATATTTCATTAAATACCTCTGTCTCTGATCTTTGCTTTACTTCAGTCAGGTTATTATTTGCTGTTAACAGCTCTTCCTGTAGAGTTTTCACCTGGGAGGAAAGATCCAGAGCCTGCAATTAAAGAATGATTTGATATTTTGTAGAAATCATATGAATGCATTGTGTTGGAGCTCAAATTGATCATTTAGATGGAAACTACTCTAGAACATTTCATTAAATACCTCTGTCTCTGATCTTTGCTTTTCTTCTGTCAGGTTATTCTTTGCTGTTAACAGCTCTTCCTGTAGAGTTCTCACCTGGGAGGAAAGATCCAGAGCCTGCAATTAAAGAATGATTTGAAATATTGTAGAAATAATATGAATGCATTGTGTTTGAGTTCAAATGGATCATGTAGATAGAAACTATTCTAGAACATTTCATTAAATACCTCTGCCTCTGTTCTATGCTTTACTTCTGTCAAGTTATTAGTTGCTGTTAACAGCTCTTCCTGTAGAGTTTTCATCTTGGAGGAATGATCTAGAGCCTGCAATTAAAGAATGATTTGAAATATTGTAGAAATCATATGAATGCACAGTGTTGGAGCCCAAATAGATCATTTAGATGGAAGCCATTGTATATTTCATTAAATACCTCTGTCTCTGATCTTTGCTTTTCTTCTGTCAGGTTATTAGTTGCTGTTAACAGCTCTTTCTGTAGAGTTTTCATCTTGGAGGAAAGATCCAGTGCCTGCAATTAAAGAATGATTTGAAATATTGTAGAAATCATATGAATGCATTGTGTTGGAGCCCAAATGGATCATGTCAAAACTATACTAGAACATTCCATTAAATACCTCTGCCTCTGATCTTTGCTTTACTTCAGTCAGGTTATTATTTGCTGTTAACAGCTCTTCCTGTAGAGTTTTCACTTTAGAGGAAAGATCCAGTGCCTGCAATTAAAGAATGATTTGAAATATTGTAGAAATCATATGAATGCATTGTATTGGAGCTCAAATTGATCATGTCGATAGAAACTACTCTAGAACATTTCATCGAATACCTCTGCCTCTGATCTTTGCTTTTCTTCTGTCAAGTTATTATTTGCTGTTAACAGCTCTTCCTGTAGAGTTTTCACCTGGGAGAAAAGATCCAGAGCCTGCAATTAAAGAATGATTTGAAATATTGTAGAAATCATATGAATGCATTGTATTGGAGCTCAAATGGATCATTTAGATGGAAACTACTCTAGAACATTTCATTGAATACCTCTGCCTCTGATCTTTGCTTTTCTTCTGTCAAGTTATTATTTGCTGTTAACAGCTCTTCCTGTAGAGTTTTCATCTTGGAGGAAAGATCCAGTGCCTGTAATTAAAGAATGATTTGAAATATTGTAGAAATCATATAAATGCACAGTGTTGGAGCCCAAATAGATCATTTAGATGTAAGTCATTATATATTGATAGAAATTATTCTAGAACATTCCATTAAATACCTCTGTCTCTGATCTTTGCTTTTCTTCTGTCAAGTTATTATTTGCTGTTAACAGCTCTTCCTGTAGAGTTTTCACCTGGGAGGAAAGATCCAGAGCCTGCAATTAAAGAATGATTGGAAATATTGTAAAAATCATATGAATGGATTGTGTTGGAGCTCAAATTGATCATGTCGATAGAAACTATTCTAGAACATTTCATTAGATACCTCTGCCTCTGATCTTTGCTTTTCTTCTGTCAGGCTATTATTTGCTGTTAACATGTCATCTTGCAGAGTTCTAATCTTGGAGGAATGATCAAGAGCCTGCAATTAAAGAATGATTGGAAATATTGTAGAAATCATATGAATGCATGGTGTTGGAGCTCAAATGGATCATTTAGATGGAAACTATTCTAGAACATTTCATTAAATACCTCTGTCTCTGATCTGTGCTTTTCTTCTGTCAGGTTATTATTTGCTGTTAACAGCTCTTCTTGTAGAGTTTTCACCTGGTAGGAAAGATCCAGAGCCTGCAATTAAAGAATGATTTGAAATATTGTAGAAATCATATGAATGCATAGTGTTGGAGCTCGTGTGGATCATTTAGATGGAAACCATTGTATATTTCATTAAATACCTCTGTCTCTGATCTTTGCTTTTCTTCTGTCAGGTTATTATTTGCTGTTAACAGCTCATCTTGCAGAGTTTTCATCTTGGAGGAATGATCAAGAGCCTGCAATGTAAGAATGATTGGAAATATTGTAGAAATCCTATGAATGCATTGTATTGGAGCTCAAATGGATCATGTAGATAGAAACTATTCTAGAACATTTCATTGAATACCTCTGCCTCTGATCTTTGCTTTTCTTCTGTCAGGTTATTATTTGCTGTTAACAGCTCTTCCTGTAAAGTTTTCACCTGGGAGGAAAGATCAAGAGCCTGCAATTAAAGAAAAAGAATGATTTGAAATATTGAAGAAATCATATGAATGCACAGTGTTGAAGCCCAAATAGATCATTTAGATGTAAAGCATTATATATTTCGTTAAATACCCCTGTCTCTGATCTTTGCTTTTCTTCTGTCAGGTTATTATTTGCTGTTAACAGCTCTTCCTGTAGAGTTTTCACCTGGGAGGAAAGATCCAGAGCCTGCAATTAAAGAATGATTTGAAATATTTTAGAAATCATATGAATGCATTGTGTTGGAGCTCAAATTGATCATTTAGATGGAAACTACTCTAGAACATTTCATCGAATACCTCTGCCTCTGATCTTTGCTTTTCTTCTGTCAGGTTATTATTTGCTGTTAATAGCTCTTCCTGTAGAGTTTTCATCTTGGAGGAATGATCAAGAGCCTGCAATTAAAGAATGATTTGAAATATTGTAGAAATCATATGAATGCATTGTGTTGGAGATAAAATTGATCATATCGATAGAAACTATTCTAGAACATTTCATTGAATACCTCTGCCTCTGATCTTTGATTTTCTTCTTTCAAGTTATTATTAGCTGTTAACAGCTCTTCCTGTAGAGTTTTCACTTGCGAGGAAAGATCTAGAGCCTGCAATTAAAGAATGATTTGAAATATTGTAGAAATCATATGAATGCATTGTATTGGAGCCCAAATGGATCATTTAGATCGAAACTACTCTAGAACATTTCATCAAATACCTCTGCCTCTGATCTTTGCTTTTCTTTTGTCAGGTTATTATTTGCTGTTAATAGCTCATCTTGCAGAGTTTTCATCTTGGAGGAATGATCAAGAGCCTGCAATTAAAGAATGATGGGAAATATTGTAGAAATCATATGAATGCATCATGTTGGAGCTCAAATTGATCATTTAGATGGAAACTATTCTAGAACATTTCATTAAATACCTCTGCCTCTGATCTTTGCTTTTCTTCTGTCAGGTTATTATTTGCTGTTAACAGCTCATCTTGCAGAGTTTTCACCTGGGAGGAAAGATCCAGAGCCTGAAATTAAAGAATGATTTGAAATATTGTAGAAATCATATGAATGCATTGTGTTGGAGCCCAAATAGATCATTTTGATGTAAATCATTATATATTTCATTAAATACCTCTGTCTCTGATCTTTGCTTTTCCTCTGTCAGGTTATTATTTGCTGTTAGCAGCTTTTCATGTAGAGTTCTCACCTGGGAGGAAAGATCAAGAGCCTGCAATTAAAGAATAATTTGAAATATTGTAGAAATCATATGAATGCATTGTGTTGGAGCTCAAATGGATTATTTAGATGAAAACTATTCTAGAACATTTCATTGCATACCTCTGCCTCTGATCTTTGCTTTACTTCAGTCAGGTTATTATTTGCATTTAACAGCTCTTCCTGTAGAGTTTTCACCCGGGATGAAAGATCCAGAGCCTGAAATTAAAGAATGATTTGAAATATTGTAGAAATCATATGAATGCATTGTGTTGGAGCCCAAATAGATCATTTTGATGTAAATCATTATATATTTCATTAAATACCTCTGTCTCTGATCTTTGCTTTTCCTCTGTCAGGTTATTATTTGCTGTTAACAGCTTTTCATGTAGAGTTTTCACCTTGGAGGAAAGATCCAGAGCCTGCAATTAAAGAATGATTTGAAATATTATAGAAATCATATGAATGCATTGTGTTGGAGCTCAAATGGATCATTTAGATTGAAACTATTCTAGAACATTTCATTGCATACCTCTGCCTCTGATCTTTGCTTTACTTCTGTCAGGTTATTATTTGCTGTTAACAGCTCTTCTTGTAGAGTTTTCACCTGGGAGGAATGATCCGGAGCCTGCAATTAAAGAATGATTTGAAATATTGTAGAAATCATATGAGTGCATTGTATTGGAGCTCAAATTGATCATTTAGATGGAAACTACTCTAGAACATTTCATTGAATACCTCTGCCTCTGATCTTTGCAATTAAAGAATGATTTGAAATATTGTAGAAATCATATGAATGCATTGTGTTGGAGCTCATGTGGATCATGTAGATAGAAACTATTTAGAACATTTCATTGAATGCCTCTGCCTCTGATCTTTGCTTTTCTTCTGTCAGGGTATTATTCACCTGTTGACTTTTCAACTGATTAGTGTTAGGCATTCAGGATGAAAAATTTGCAGTATATAGGATCACCCATTGGTGGGGACATGTTGTACACATTTGTGTTCTTGTTAAAGAAATAATTGTACAAACTACAATCATGTGATCAGGCTCAATCTGTAACATTTAAATTAATGAATCTATTCTAAAGCATTTTGTATGAATATACCTTTTCCTCTGATCTCAACTTTTCTTCTTTCAAGTTACTATTAGCAATTAACAGCTCACTCTGTAGATTTTTCTTCTCAGCAGAATGATCCAGAGCCTACAATGGATTCTAATATGATACATGACGTCACACTAGCTAAAACAATTGATTTACTGGTCTATATTGGAGTATGTATGACCAATAAAATTCATAGATGCAAAAAATCATGTTTCTTGTCTGTTTTATCATATTAGAATTGTAACAAAGACCTCGATTTTATGATTTATGTCAAATATATGACCTCAAAATTTATTCTGGCCATTGCCAAAGACCTCAATCGCTACGCGATTTCGGTATTTTAACAATGACCAGAATAAAATTTTCAGTCATATATTACGCCATAAATCATAAAATCTCGGTCTTTATTCCTTAAATAATGATTTGAAATATTGTAAAAACCAAACTTGTGTGGATTAAGGCTCAAACTACAATATTTAAAAGCATAAGACTTCCTATATATTTTCGAACATTTTGCTAAATACTCCTCCCTCTAATCTTCTATTCTTTCGTTTACTTCTGTCAGACTGTTATTAACTATCAATAGCTCATCATGTAGAGTTTAAGAAATTGCTTAAATAGAAGAAATGTCATTGTCAAATATTCCATACCTTTGCCTCAGATTTTTCTTCTAAATCCTTCAGTTTTTTATGCCCATAAAGTAACTGATAAGTATAATGTGGTGGATGACGTACCATTCAAATTAGAGTGATGGGCTAACATTGCAATGAAATGAGTAGAAATATTAAGTTTAAACCTCTAATTTTTTGTCTTCCAGCATCTGTCGGGACCTTGATAGTTGCTGTGTAAGATCATCAATGTTTGATGCCTTCTTTTGAACCTGGAAAAAATGCTTCATATGTCATGCATTTATTTCATAAATTTTTTGAGAGAAATAACATAAACCCATTGTCATGTCGATACATTGTACTATATTAGAAAGCTATGCTTAAAGCAAACTTTTTGGCAGCCCTTTAACTGTATTTAGAGCTTGATACTGCATGCTGAAAGGTACATTTAAAAAAAATTAAAAAAGTAGGCTACATTTAAAAATAGACTTTTAATGTTTTTATTTATTTTATTCATTTTTTAACGTGTAATGCCTATATTATTAACCTTTTCATTGGCAACTTCCAGTAATTTCTTTGTTTCTTCAAGGTTATTCCTAAGTCTGTCAATCTGAAATAATAATCACATATAGTGTTTAGGTTTCCAATAGAAGGATTTGTTCGAATTAAAGTTTAATTTTTGACACTTAAAACAGTATACCTTACCTGAAATCTAAATCTAAATCGGGTACTCAGTATTGCGTTTCTAGTTATAAACTTAGAAGTATGATATTTGTATTTGGTAATTGAAATTTAATTTTTATCAGTGTGAGACGACATACAGAGAGGACAGCTAAAGATGAGTTTAAAACTTAAAAAGATATTAAACTTACTGTATTTGCCTTTAATTTGGCAAGCGCTTAATTTCAATAATTTGGCAGATCAAATTAAATTGCCAATTCGAATTGTTACTCGGCACAGTATGCATATTCAGTGTATTTCTGTAATTTACTTGAAGAACCTAAATTCAATTGATGCCAATATAAATTAGTGTGCTCACCTCCTCCAATGCTGGGTGAGTCCTTAGAAGATTTTCATATTCTGCTGTCATCCCTTCCTTTTTATATGCTAACAGCAAAAGTGTTAACGTAGTAACGTCGTTTGGTGATTCATCAACACTCTTTTCTAGAACCTTAATTGCTTCTTTATTGTCACCAGTCTTTTGGAGGGCATATCCAAATGTATTCATAGCGTCTATGTTCTTACTGTCAAGCACTCTGTTCTTCAAATTATCCAAAAAGGGCTTGCTGATACCTTCATCTTTGATGTATATATTGCACAGAATGTGCAATATCAATTGCATTGGCTCGGAGGTTATGTATGTTTCATTTGCTTTTTTCAAGTGTTCCTTTGCCTTTTCTTGATTTTTCATCAGTATATAGGCGATCGCATTGTTGAGATCAGATGGATCATATAGTGATGTCTGTCCTATCCTCTGTTCCACTATTTCTTGTGAATTTTCTACTTCAATAGCGTAAACAAGTGGTATAGCAGTTTGGTAGTAGCGCAGAATAAGCTCTGAACTGAAGGTTTCAGGATCAGTGCCATCTTTGACAAGGAAGCTTGGTAATAATTGACCCTTTGACTCATCTACTTGTCCATTGTTCTCTGTGTAACATCTTAGTCTCAGTTCTGTTGCATTGGATAGTATCATCTTCAGGTGGTGAAGCGCGTCATCCCCCACAACATCTAACATCCTAACGTCCCATATGCAATCTTCACTGCTGTTTAACAAATGAAGTAGGTTATTGACTATAACACTTGGCAAGCGGTATATCTCTTTCTTGACATGAAGAGATGCTTTTTCTATTATGTCCCTTTTATACTTGCCATCATACAATTTCTTTATACAGGAGTGCTTAACAAAGTCTTCTTGCAGCTGCTTTTTTATAAGCTTTAAAATTGTTTTTCTTTGAGCTTCATTCTCTTTGAATCCTTTCTTCAATTCCTTTTCAACAGATTCATCTCCAAATAGTGTTGTAAAGTCTCCTTTGAAGAAATATAATTCCTTTTCCAGATCATTTTCTTTCATTTCACGATAGTTTTCAATGAATGCAGCTTTTGTGTTTGTCAGTCGGAAACTGTTATTTTGAGGACTGACATAATAGGGTGTTTTGTTGGCATTTGGCATCAGTCCATCAAATGAGATTCCCTGTTTTATATTTACGTAACTTCTTAAATCAAGGTACCAGTCCTTTGTTTTGTCATTAAGGTCAGATTCATTTAATGTATCTATAGACATAGCTGGGAGGACAGTTTCGCCAAATGCTAGGAATTTGAGGTGAAGGATCATAACCATCTTGGTTATGGTTTCTTTGTATTCAGGCTGCATTTCCAAATCATCTGAGTTCTGCACCACAGCAAATTCTACATCAGAGAAAGGTGTTGTTTCTTTTCTTGAGAATGACCCAAACGCAATTAGGGCAAAGTCATCCTTATGGAAATCGAGGAGATCCAAACTCTGCTGTACCAAACTTGATATGAATGTTTTCATTTCTTGAAGGATCCACTTAAAAATTTCTCCAATTTGTTTTATTCTCTCTGCTTCGCGTTCTTTCCTTTCTTCTTTTGAGATTCCAGATTCGTAACAGTTACAGGACTCGTTTCTGTCGATCTTTTTTAAGATTTTTTTCTTTAATTTACTTCGTATTGCTTGAAGTTCATTTTTATTCTTTTTCTCATCTTCCAAGTACTTAATTGGAATGTCTGTTTTAAGACAATGCTTGAAGAAAAGTTTGAGAGCAGATCTTTTTTTCTTTCCATATTTAGATAACTCATCATTCAGTTCACCTCCACACTGAACTATTCCAGTTTCATAGATGCTAACAGCTTTCACATATTCCATTGGGTTCATTTCTACTTCACCAATCTCTTTATGGAGATTACCAAGTTCCCTCAGCAGCTGCACATGTGTTTGTCTATTACTTCGCCATTCCTCTTCAGATACCTCCCCTGGATTCTTTTGTAAATTTTTGTTTATTGATGGGATTTCTTTAAGTGACTTGGTTATGTCAAGTTCTCTTTTCTTGAGTTGGTCAAGCTTTAGTGTTATGTCTGGATATTGTTTCCTTAACATTTGGATGTATGTTTGTAATTGGTTGATTGTAGATACATTTTGAGACACCTGCAATACATGCAGTATGTTTTACACAGCTTTCAATTGAAATGCATGTCATAATACAATGATATAATAATTAACCTATTCAGTTTTGCTAAAATGAGGCAACACTGTATTACTACCTGTTTATGTCTCATAATGTTCAAACTGACTAGTGCGGGGGACTTATAGTGTTAAGTTAAAACATATGTTTCAGTAGTATTTGCTTCTCTAATGTTTATGTCAATGCATTAGGAATGAGCATTTTTTGCTATAATTTGCAATAAATTTTATGCACAAAACAGCAATATCTTGCAAACGGAATGCCTCTGTCCAAAATAAATTTGTGATTCAATAATTTTTTCTTTAGTTGATTTAATTTTCAAAGCTAGAAAACAAAATTCCAATGTAAATTTAACATGGCACAATCTATTAAATTTTTCCATCTGAAAATATTTCAGTGGGTGATGCAGGATGCTACTGGGTCAGCATAACTTAAGTTCCAGACATTAGATTTTAGTCATATTTTTTATACTGTATCACTATGATGTTATCATTATCCATGTGCGATATGAAGAGGATTGAGCGACTGGTTATTACAAGATAAAAAATTTCTCTTACCAACCCAAAATGTTCTTTTTAGCTCACATGGTGAGCTTTTGTCCGTCCGTCTGTCCATCAACAATAGTGGCACGTTTTAAAACCTCTGTCGATAGGATTCCTGTTTTAAGTTATTTCTGTTCAACATCAATACAGAAAACTCCCCTATGACTCCTGGTTCAAAAGCTCGCCTATTTTCAAAATGGCCGCCATTTTTGTCTCTCGAAATTCACTTTTGACTGGCACGTTTTAAAACCTCTGTCGATAGGATTCCTGTTTTAAGTTATTTCTGTTTAACATCAATACTGAAAACTCCCCTATGACCCCTGGTTCAAAAGCTCGCCTATTTTCAAAATGGCCGCCATTTTTGTCTTGCGAAATTCACTTTTGACCCATTTCCTAGCTTTACAAATAATTTCAGGTGTCCTACATTGTAAAAATCTGTGTCAATGTAAAGAGTAGATATATGAAATAATTTTGTTACAAAAAATCAGCGAAAAATTATATCTATTTTTTTATTTTCAGCCATTTTAGTTAACATTGATTTGTCCATCTGACTTGTGAAATCCACTTTTCCGTCAACAACAGTGGCACATTTTAAAAACTCTGTCGATAGGATTCCTGTTTTAAGTTATTTCTGTTCAACATCAATACAGAAATTTCCCCTATGACTCCTGGCTCAAAAGCTCGCCTATTTTCAAAATGGCCACCATTTTTGTCCCGCGAAATTCACTTTTGACCTATTTCCTAGCTTTACAAATAATTTCAAGTGTCCTACATTGTAAAAATCCATGTCGATGTAAAGAGTAGATGTATGAAATAATTTTGTTACGAATAATCAGCAAAAAATTATATCCATTTTTTTTATTTTCAGCCATTTTAGTTAACATTGATTTGTCCATCTGTCTCGCAAAATCCACTTTTGGACCATTTGCCTTAAACCCTCTGTCGATAGGATTCCTGTTTTAAGTTAATTTTGTTCAACATCAGAGAGATTTCGCACATAAGTGAAAGTACAACTTATACGTATACGTATAGTTTAAAGGGTCATGTCGAACTATTATATTTACTAAAATCAATTTTAAATTGTACTTAATGGAACATAACAATTCCCGATATAGAAAAGCTCCATCAACTAGAGACTGTGAATACACTGTCATCTGCACGTGTAGATTATGCACATTATAATTAAATGCTTGCTTCCGTGTCCTAGTAGTTGTAGTGTATTATAAACACGACCCTTTAAAGTGAGTCATGATCCTTTAAAGTGAGTCGTTACATAAACAAGTTGATTATTTCAAAGTTTTCATGATCAGTATAAGTTCAATGAACTTACAAAATTGTATATACACGTAGATGATAAACTTATACAGTTGGATCTCCGTATAAAGCTTTACCTACATGTGTGTGGAACAATTGACCGCAAGCATTTTTTAAAACTAATTGGCTGAGTAGGAACAGTATCCAATCAAATACTTTAACCATCAATTTGAAACACCAATCAAACCAGTAGGTTCTAGCAATTCCTAGAAACGATCAATTCAGTAGCTCAACAAATGACATACAGGGTGTTTCATAACGAGCATCTCCAAAAAGTCAATTTGAGAAGAGATGGGTCTACAACATATGTACTATATATGAGCCTATGTTATTCTAGACAAAAACATTTGGATCAACTAAACATGCTACAATTCAAGAAAGTACAAATGGCATCCCTTTGACCTTTATTTATTACAGTCCGGGAAGATCTTTCCTGACGAAAAGCCCACATTATGAAACACCTTGTACCTTTTCTTATAAGTAAAAGTATACATTATAAGTTGTATTTTACGTATGTGCGAAATCTCTCTATCAATACAAAAAACTCTCTTATGACTCTTGGTTCAAAAGCTCGCCTATTTTCAAAATGGTCACCATTCTTGTCTCGCGAAATTCACTTTTGGCCCATTTTCTAGCTTTACAAATAATTTCAGCTGTCCTGCATTGTAAAAAGCCATGTCACTGTAAAGAGTAGTTGTATGAAATAATTTTGTTACAAAAAATCGGCAAAATATTATATCAGGTTTTTTTATTTTCAGCCATTTTAGTTAACATTGATTCGTCCATCTGTCTCTCAGTCAGTCCAAAAAAGTGGCAAGTTTTAAACCTCTGTCAACACTTTTTAAATCCTCTGTAGATTTGATTCCCGATTTAAAATAATTTTGTTCAACATCAATAAAGAAAAAAACCCTGTGACTCCTGCTTCGAAATCTCGTCTTTGTAAAGAGTAGTTGTATGAAATAATTTCTGCAAAAAATTATACCTGTCTTTTTTATTTTCACTTTTGAGCAACACCATGTGAGCCCAGTACCCACGGTACTAATATTTTACATGTAAATCTATCAGAATGCTATCCTAATATGAAAATCCTCCTACATGAACAGTCATGTAATGAATATAATTTGTTACACAAGATTACAGTTAACAATATATGTTTTGCTGTCTTATCTATTGTTACCCCATGCACCATTTTTCAAAGTTGTGAGTCCTGTTGCCATGGTAACTGTAACCAAAACCTAATCAAACTGACAGGAGCTTGGTTTTCGTATCTATTAATTTGGTCTCCAGAACAAGTTTTAAGGATAAATTATGCTTGATAATATATTTGCAATAAAGTTTTTTTCTGGAAACACCATTATCGAAATAAACCATAAGTTTTGAATAAGACTAAAAGCGAAACTGACGTTCTTGGGAGCTAGCTTTACTCAAAGCTGCGCAAACAGAGGTGAAAATCAACCCGGTACTGCATCCTTAATTTAAGTGAACAACCAATGTCAAATCATAAACCAATGAAAATAATCATTATGCATTGAGTGACCACTGTGGTTTTCTTAAGCAATGCAATCATGCAATTTTCTAGCCAGTAGTGATATACATGTACATATTCTCAGGGATAATTTCAAATCCAGTTGTATTCAGTTTACTTAGATATGGGTAAGAGAAAAGATCTATCTTATTGAGGAAATGGACCCTGCAATCATCAATCTTGAAACAGATTCAAGTAGTGGTAGTGATGGGATTAGGACTTTCTAGTTGAATACTTATAAGCTTAAGTTGTATCTTTGAGATGATCCCTTGTAGAACATACCCCCATACCTTTAATGCATATGAAGTGCAACTGCAATAAATACTTATAAGCTTAAGTTGTATTTGTGAGATGACCCCTTGTAGTACATACCCCCAGACCTTTAATGCATATGAAGTGCAACTGCAATAAATACTTATAAGCTTAAGGTGTATCTTTGAGATGATCCCTTGTAGCCCATACCCCCATACCTTTAATGCATATGAAGTGCAACTGCAATAAATACTTATAAGCTTAAGTTGTATTTTTGAGATGATCCCTTGTAGTACATACCCCCAGACCTTTTATGCATATGAAGTGCAACTGCAATAAATACATATAAGCTTAAGTTGTATTTTTGAGATGACCCCTTGTAGTACATACCCCCAGACCTTTAATGCATATGAAGTGCAACTGCAATAAATACTTATAAGCTTAAGGTGTATCTTTGAGATGATCCCTTGTAGCCCATACCCCCATACCTTTAATGCATATGAAGTGCAACTGCAATAAATACTTATAAGCTTAAGTTGTATTTTTGAGATGATCCCTTGTAGTACATACCCCCAGACCTTTTATGCATATGAAGTGCAACTGCAATAAATACTTATAAGCTTAAGTTGTATCTTTGAGATGATCCCTTGTAGCCCATACCCCCATACCTTTAATGCATATGAAGTGCAACTGCAATAAATACTTATAAGCTTAAGTTGTATTTTTGAGATGATCCCTTGTAGTACATACCCCCATACCTTTAATGCATATGAAGTGCAACTGCAATAAATACTTATAAGCTTAAGTTGTATCTTTGAGATGATTCCTTGTAGTACATACCCCCATACCTTTAATGCATATGAAGTGCAACTGCAATAAATACTTATAAGCTTAAGTTTTATCTTTGAGATGATCCCTTGTAGTACATACCCCCATACCTTTAATGCATATGAAGTGCAACTGCAATAAATACTTATAAGCTTAAGTTGTATCTTTGAGATGATCCCTTGTAGTACACACCCCTATACCTTTAATGCATGTGAAGTGCAACTGAATAAATATACTTACTCCCTGATTTGCATTTTTTGATTTTTGTTCACAATGTGTTAAATTCTCTTCAGAATTTTGTTTTCTTGGTTTAAAAATTAAATCAACTGAAGAAAAATTCATTTGGGACAGAGGCATTCAGTTTTTAACATAGCTGTTTTGGGGATAATTTTTTTATTGCAAATTAAAGCAAAAATGCTCATTGACATAGACTTTAGTTGCTGTTTTCTAGTTTGGTATCAAATTAAAATGAAGTATAAGCATAATTTTGATAAGAAAATATGAACTCCCCATGCAGACAGATCGCATTAAATTACATTTGTATGATGCGAGACTTGACATTCAACGGAAAACTAGGAACATTTTGTCACCCATATAGCAAATTATTTTTTTTACTGCTTAATGAATGGCGAATGACAATACTTGAAACACAACTATTCTTCGAACTTATGATTGGACATAAGTATGATGTGTACTTTAATGTAGTAAAGTAAAAGTAACATCATACTTATGTTTGATCATAAGTTCAAATAATAGTTGTGAGAGTCATCGATAATCAAGGCTTTTGAATAATATAAATGCTGTTTTAAGTAGGTTTCATGTATGCCAATAATTTCTCAAACTGTGTAAACTGAAAACAATCTTTAATCCTTAGAATATTCTCTTGGAGGAATTTGCCATGTAAATCCAATGGTGTGGTTCCAAGCAGATTTTGAGATAACAGGAAGGTAAATCTTTAAAACTCACCTTATTGGGTTGTTTTTGTTTTTATGGCCAATAAGGTTTGCATTAAAACTTTACCTTCCTGTTATTGTATGATTATCAATGATTTATTTCCAGCCCTCTGAAGTTTGAAAAATAAAAATACCTGGCTGTTAATCCATCCATCCTTCAAATTGAGAAATATTTTTAGGGGATTATATGGTGCAATCTTATAGTCAATAAAATGTTTTAAAGTGTATTTATGTTTTTTAGATGAAAAACATAAGCGAAATGTATTTAAAAACTCCCCCAATTCATTCTACAAACAACTCCTCCTCCTTTCTCATCTACATGTAGCAAGTTAAGACTAACTTAGAGATGACAGGCATGTGTGGCTATAATCATTCAAAATGTCTCCTAATAGACTAGATGCGAGTAGAAATGATCTTGATTTACATCATTAAATATTCAAAATTCAGTCAAAGTGATGTCATATTTGAAATGTACATGTAAAAATACATCTAAAAATATGGTTACGAAAATTGTTTATCAAATTTGAAAATTTAATATTTTTTGAAAATGTGACTTCTTATTTGGGTTGATTCCCCATAGACTCCATATTACAAAATCACAAATAGTGAAATATCTTTTCTTGTATTGGACGTATAACATTTTCTTTTACTGGATATATAAGCACAAATGCCAAAGGGAAGGGTGACTAAAATCTTTAAAGAAACCCAACAAGAAAAGCAAACTGTAAGTGTAAATCTGTCATAAGAAAAGTAGACCCTATATATCCCAAAACCATAATCTAACGTGAAAAGAAACATTGTCTAACATCCCCCTCCCCCCTCCAATCGAGAACCAATATCACAATCCAGGACCAGAACACCAAGGGACATTTCATTCATACTGAAGTCATTACAATACATGTTGAAGAAAAATTGAAAAAATTGATAGTCAATACTCATAACATCAAAAATAGTTGTAGATACTAGTACTAATAAAAGATAGAGTATTCAGTCTAAAATGATGTGGGATAGATAAAATCCAGTCTCGAAGTCCATAGGCATACTTTAATTTGCATATCTATTCGATACATAATGGCTACATGTATATGAAAATTGAACCACTAAAACCTATGTAATTTAAGTAATTAAAGGGAACTTTCTACTATACCCGCCATGCTATCTGACCCGAGCGAGACACCTGGTGGTGAAACTGGTAACTACCTACTCGCATTTGCGTTATTATCAAAATTTTAAATGATGTGTTTTCAAGCTCAATGAATATTAAATCTGACAAAATTGATGGATGTGAATTTGGTTAAGCTTGATTCAATAACAATTCACTATAGCTCTTGGAACTTTTAAAAGATAATTCAAAGGGAGTTCTTACATCATTCTGTGCTCTTTTTTCATTATCTTCAATGCATCTCTTGTGTTCCTCTGCTAGTAGCCTCAGTTCCTCCTCCTGTTTTTTGGCCTCCTCTACCCTCTTTGTTGCTTCTTCTATCCTTTGTTTTTCGTCCTCTACCCTTTGTCTTTCCTTTTCTGCTATCTTTTTTGCTTCATCAGCCTTTTTTCTTTCTGTCTGGAAATGTATTTCATCTTCTTTTGATTGATCCTTCACGTTCTGTAGTAACTGTGATACCTCTTCATCCAAAGTCTTGAGAGAAAGGAGCTGAAGGTAAAATAGCATATTGTTTGATTAGAAAGGCAACACATTCACATATATAAAAACATCATACATCTAATCTAAACTCAGAATTTTTGCATAATTTTTCTTTTTTTCATTCATAGAATTTATTTTACAAATATATAAAGTACATTAACATTATACACTTGTAGTGGCTTTGCTGAAGGCATCATCAGCCACTTGATTAATAATTGCAGGGTGAAGAAAAAATTAAATATGGACTCAAGAGTGAAGTGAGTGGTAGCAGGGAAACCTACACATTTGCACATTTTTCTAAAAGTGATGCAGTGAGCTTGAGAATTTTCAAATTCATGGATTTAGTTAGGTTTGAAATCTTTATAAAGAAATAATTCTACTTTGCCCTTCTTGTGTTTAAATTAAGAATAACCAAAATTAAGAAAGGCTTAATTGTTTTTAAACTCTTCTAAGAATGGAGCAAGAAGTATACAGGAACAAATAACATGAATTGTTGTTTCAGTTGCATGGCCATAAGAACATGCAGGTGAAGTAACGTTTGTAAAATTGAGGGAGTGTAGGTGTGACTTAGAAATTAAGTCACAACGAATATTGTTAAAGATAATTTCTTGATTTCTTGAAATATTAAGTTCAGAGGATCGAATAATTGAATTGGATGAATCTTTCTTTGCCCTTGACTTAAATATACTTAAATTTTCAGCTTCTTTGAGGGGCTTTGAAAGGGTATTCCAATCCATCATTGATTGTAAAATACAGGATCGATGTAAAAATGATGTAATTATCCCATTGAACGCAGTTCGGAGGGATATAGGGAACGCCTACATCTGTCCATACGTACATCACTCCGTCCGTCTGTCCCGCCATCCGGGCAATAACTCGAATACCGTTGGCCCGATTTTGTTCATATTTTGTACAAATATACCCAATAGGGGTAGAAGTTCTGTTGAAAAACCGATTTTCAAAATAGCCGCTCATTTAAAAATGGTGGTCATTTTAGTGCTGATTTTACAGTAATTTAGGTACTGCATATAAAACTTTAATAGCAATATGTTTTAATTGTAAAAAAGTTATATAGGACATTGATTAAGCTAGTAATGTAAATACAGAAGAAATACATGGCAACCATCTTGAAAAATGGCTGGATTTTGTTCATACTTGATATGTGAATTGTCGTAAGGATTGCATACTGTCTAATGACATTTTGGGTAGTAGGCAGCTATTTAAAAAATGTCTAGCAGTTAGATGTATGCGTGGGCGATTTTTTAAAAATTTTATATGTGGCTACTTAAAAGCACATTACTTCTTCTGATGACAACTTGGCTAGTGAGCAACCATTTTGAAAATGGTGGCCTTTCTTATGGGTGTTATTTTACGATATTTGCTATATATTTTGTTTGTAAAATGCCAGCCATTTTTGTTCGATGGGATTCGCTACACTTTGGCGTTGCAGTTGTTCTGGTTTTTGTTGGGATTTGGAAAGGAGCAATTCATCGAACGTTAACTGTAAGATGTCTCCGAAATCTTTGGAAAATACTTGAAACATATGTTGGTACCAAATTATTCTGTGATCTAAATACAAGAATATTGCGGTGATATTTGCGTCTTTCTGCTAATGATGTCAAATTTAAATAGTTCAAAACTTTAGTCCATGATGTACCATGAATGACTCCAGAGCATATATATGCAGGCTGCCTTATAATAAGTTTGCACACGAGTAGAGAATATCACAATGGTCAAAAATCGGAAGCACAGAATGCATAATAACAGTTATATAAAAAGAAAATTGGTTTCTAATGCTGTTTTTGAAAAATATTTTAATGGCTAAGATTAAGGCCAAGGTAATCACCTTCAGTTATGGTTAACATAAGTTATCAGATTAGACATACCAGCATATGTATGCCATTATATTTTAAGGATTTTCTCAAAGTAGTCAATCTTTGATAAATATAATTGAAATCCTAATTTGTCATCTGAATTTCTACTTGAGAAAGAGATAGGGGTATCATTAAAAGAAAATATATTGCAACTGCTGCTAATGTTAAGATTAATCAGGACTAAAGCATGATAGTACACAAATACTTTTTTATCAATGTCATACTGTCTGTCATTAATTAGTATGATTACATGTATGGTATTCAATTATATTGATTGTTTTGCTTCATTTTAAAAATGGCTTGCTCTGTAATTTGGTTTTAATTATTTTGAAGAACTGATCCTTTTATAAATCTGTATAATTAAGAGATTGAACTTAAGGTTGCTCTTATTATTTGATATTGTTTGATGTTTTTTGCAGGTACATTGTGTGTTGTGATTTATCATTAAGGTTATCTAGGCAAGTCTCTTTTTCTAAGGGTAGGCATCAAAAGTTCGATATCGGATTGAAAACTTAATAATTCTACTTTTGAGTTTGACCCCCTCAAAAATAAATACTATAAAAGTTGATTGAGGACAAAATGTGTTCATGTTGGATCAATTCCATGGATACAAAGAAAAAAACATTTATTTCCCCTAGCCAGCTCTTACCAAGGGTTGGGGTGCTTTTGCCAAGTTGGATGAAACTTTTTAACAGCTGTACAAAAAATCATGCAAAAAGTGCTTGGAATGGTGAATTTTTAAACTTTTCTTTGATGTTTTAGTGAAATACTCCGAGATATGTACTTCAAGTTTTTCCATCTGTTAATTTTATGATCATTTGATGAATGTCACTTAAAATATAAGTGCAGATGATCACATGATCACGTCTACAAGGTCACATGCGAATAAGGAGGGGCCAAAAGTATTAGAAATACAGTTTGGAAAAGAAAGAGCATAAGCTGAAGGGTATAACTCTACTGCTACCGCAGCTCTCCCTTTGCTATGGGCCTTAACACTGACACCTAGGTAATTGGACAATCGTAATAAGTAAACTCATGAAATGCTTTGGAATATCAAGATATATTTTTTTAAACTTTTGTATGATGTTTTGGCAAAATACTTCAAGATCAATATATGTACTTCAAGTTTTTTTATCTGTTTATGTTATGATCACTTAATGAATGTCGCTTATGATAAAGGTGCAGACGATCACATGAGCACGTCTACAAGGTCACGTGAAATAAAACAACCTAGTCATTTGGGGAACAGACATGTTCTAATCTCAAAGTATATGAGAGTGTCAATAGGCCAACAATTGTTCACAAACCTGCCACCATAGTTGATAAAATACCATAATTCATGAAAACGTCAAATAAAACTTTTAAAAGCAAATTAAAGCCCTAATTACAATGAAAGAAATACAAATATAAATGAAATTTTATAGATCTGAAGATGCTGGCAAAGTTGTTTATACTGTGTATATACTGTATGAGATACTCCAGGAATGCTCTCTACAACATGTATCTTTATCTCTTTTTAATCTTAATTTCCTTCATAGCCTATTTTAAAAGTTGCAAAACAAAAGATTGTACAACATTTGTTTCTCCTTCAAAGAATGACTTGGTGGCCAGTTGGGTTATATATATTTTACAAGTGGATCTAAGAGACCAAGTGGCCGAGTCCATTATTTTGCAGGGGTGGCACACAGATTTGCGCTAACATACTTTCCTATTTACAGAGGGTCCTTTTATTGCTTTATTGCCAGTATATTGCTGCCTTATGGGTATGAAAATTGCCTGTGCCCAATTGCATTATGGCCCTGAACCTCCTTCACGGCTGGTGAGAAAATTAGTCAAAGACTCCTCATCGCTGATTAGGATCTTTTGATGTTCCCCGCCACATCATGAACATCCGCTGGCCTACGTGACCAGTAACTCGAAGTATTGGCAGATTATAGTTCATGGTCCAATGAGGAAACCCCAAAATCTCCGAGATATGACTGATAGTGTCACTCTAATATTTGCCCAATAATTGAATCTCCCCAATTTCACACGGTACTAACTCTCTGGGACGTATCGAAACCAAAACACCCCGCAAAAATGTTAATTTGAATTTCAAATCTACCCTGTCTTTGGAAAATCGATGATTGTGAGTCCCATACTACACCCTTTTTTCTTCAAACTTGTTCCATTAAAACCTTCACAGAAATACCTTTCAGTCGAGACATTGCTTTTGTTTACAAAGTCCCTCGTTTTAGCGGCGCTTTGGTCCCCAGATGTGAGAAGTTGCAATTTTTCAGAGATTTCAACCAAAAGCCTTGATATATAACCAGTTCTTTTATTATTCACTTTTTCAGAACACTGTGTGGAGGGTAGGTGAACTGCCAAGATAGGAAAATATACAGTCCAATCTAACATACAGTATAGCAATATTAGCAATTAGTGATCCATTTGCTATATTTCATTTACTTTGGACTGGACAAATGTCTTGTTACCATATTGTCAAAATACATATTTAGAGGCAGACAATCGATTTATAGAAATTGGAATGTGTATGCCACCTGCCAGTTGGTTTATTGGTAGATTAGTTAGTTGCTTGATTGGTTGGTTGTATAACTGGTACATTGAGTTGGAGGTCAGTTGGGCATTTTGAGGTATAAAATGAAAAAATCAAATTCTTAACCCTGGTAGGAACGTTAGGTACCCAGTCACCAGGCTACTCAATTACGCAGTCACTCGTTGTTTTTTTAAATCTCCTTCATGAAAATAATAATTTTTAAGTGATTAAAAACAATTAATAGCTTTTATGAGACAATAATTTTAAACAATATTCATTTAGTTTGATAAGCAACAGAAATGTTGAACAATGAAATAGTCTTATGTTTAAATGAATTTTCTCTTGGTACTCACCTTCAACTGCTCCACCCCTTCAGGCACTTGACTTTCGTTTTTGCATTCGGGACAGCTGACAAGTCCATTTAATGATTTATTTTCTTTAATGAGATCTTGAATGCACCCCAAACAGCAAATATGCCCACAATCTAATGACTTTGGTATTTTTGCAGTGTTTTTACACGACACACAACAAATACCTCCTTCTTCCATGGTGTTATTTCTTGTACTGCGCTATCTCAAATTATATCATATGACTTTCAATCCAAAGTCCAGTATTGTTTTTGCTAAGTTTCTTATCTAAAAACGTGTCAATAAGAAGGTTTGTCTCAACATGGGCTTTCAACCCATGGTCTCAACAATCAATTTTAATGATTGATAAACATGAATAGTAAATTGCTAATTATTACTATTGTAGCGATTGAAGTACATGTACTGTACCTGACCATGATCTAAAATGTTCCAGACACAATGCAATATGAAAAGTTGTTACTTCTTTATATTTAATGACTCGATTTAGAAGAAAAGTTCAAGGTTTCATTTGTCAGGGCAGTTTTATATTTTAAGACTTGATTTTATGACAGATGGGTACAGTATGTTTCAAAAAATTCAATGTATGATCCAACTGAGATAAGCTTCATTTTCAATAATTGTATAATTTATTTAGCTCAGGAGAATTTAAATGCTGCACTCGTGCAAAATCTGGAAACAATGCATACATTGTTAAATCACCCTACAATTCATTGATTCCTTGGGTAATCCTTTAATGAACCAAATATTAAAGGCTCATATTTTATCTTACACTTACAGTTCAGTGTGATAGCAAGTGACCAATCCAATCCAGAGAGAACAAATGAGACAACAATCCAAATAACTACAAGGTTGGATGATGAGGCACCCAAGTTTGACTCAAGTCGATATGTTGTTAATATAAATGAGGACCATGATGTCAATGGAACTTCCATAGAGACCGTAACAGCTACTGATGAGGATGGCACAATTGTAAGAGCTTAACACATATATTTCTTAATTTTCATAATAAATGATAAATTTAACTGATAAATGACTTGGAGCCTTTTCCCCCTTCTATAAAGTAAAACCAAATTCTGCTTGGCTGATTTGTGTTATGCAATGAAGACATCATTTTTTGAAGGTTTCAGTAATACACAATACAGGCATCACATCATGTTCATAGTCAAAAATGAGATGAAATGGCTATCTGAATAATGCTACTGGCATCCATATACATGTACATGTAGAATGTAACATCCATGTGTTATTTCCAGGGCAATCTAGTGTATGAAGTGGTTGGGGATGTACCAGCGCCATCTTTCTTCTGGGTGACCCAAGGTGGCCTTGTTTATATCAGCCAGCCCCTTAAGGGGCATTACATTGACAAATACTATGTAAGTACAATGAGTTATCCATCTTATATCTGTACAGCTCCCTACCCATTACATGCATCACAGTTGGGGAAGTAAAGGCATACTTTTGATGTGAGACTAACCTGTACCAAGATCCTGGGACCAAGATGACCTGTGAAATCGCTGTTATTAGCCCTCTTCTACTTTGAAAAATATTTTTGTCTGAAGCAGTTATATATCAGCTTTTAATAGCCATAAGGGTCAAGTTGTTTAACAAGACTTATTTCACACCATGCACTACCTCTATTATATTGTTTATGGGTTTAAAATTATAACTCTTGACATGCCAAAATTAGTCTTGTCATACTGACAGTTACTGAACTATTTAAAGGTTGACTGGTAAAATTATGTCCTTAAAATATAGGTTACATGTCTTAATGACTTGAAAAACATAAGTCGATATTAATTTCATCACATATTTTGCTGCCTTTCCCTCTGATTTTATTATTCGATGATGTCATACAGGGCAGTTTCCAAATAATATTGACTAACCATTCATTTTATTTCATTGCTCTTTAATCAAGTATGATTAGTACTGTAAACCAATCATTATATATATATATGGTATACTGTCTCATAATATATTTATTTCTTCACTTAGCTACGTATCCATGCATACGATGATGCCAAACCTACTTTTAAGTCTGAAGCCATAGTTGAGATCAATGTTGCACGTAATCCTAACAAGCCAGAATTTACTGGTCTCACAGGAGGTAAAATTGTAGCTGTTCTTCCCACTAGTACGCCATTGGGACAAGTAGTTGGTGACTTTAATGCTACAGATGCTGATAATGAGGTATGCCCATTGCAGTGATTTTGTGGAACTTAATGCATGGACCACATATGTACACATACACAAACACGCACAAATATACATGAGCATCTATTATGCATATATCAGTACAAGTAATATGACAACCCAGATAGTGAAAATGATACATTAAGCTATGTTCACACCAATGGCGAATGCCACGCTTTAAATCGTCGAGCAAAGTGCCATCATTTTTGTGTACTTTTCAAAAATATCACGATCTCCTAAGTAATGTTACACTCTGATAAGCTCTGATTTCCCGACTTGTTACAGTTCCTCATGCTTTGATCCCGCTTTGATAAGGCTTTGTTACGCTTGAAATCACGCTTTGATAAGGTTTATTACACTTTGATGCTATTACGACGCTTTAAATCAGGCTCTGATACGATTGCCAAGCTCTGTTGTGCATTGTTACGCTCTGTTAAACTCTGTCATGCATTTGAAAATGTCGAGATCGTAGATTTCATGCTGCTTTTGATCCAATGACTATTTGTTAATAGCTTTGATACGCTCTCGGCGCTTTCATCAATTTGTAACAGAGCGCCCAAAATTTTTAAACAGTTTAAAAAATTTTGCCGCTCTTTCCGAATATCCCGCTTTGCTCCGAGCTTTTCTACGACCTATTACGACCCCGACGCTTTAATCAAGCTTTGTTACGCTTTGGTGCCGCTTTACAAGCCGCTTTAAATCGCCATCAAAGCGCCGTTGGTGTGAACATGGCTTTAGCAAGTCGTTAAATGTCCACTCTTGTATTACATGTACTAAATTCTCTCTTGAATGCCCATGATCAAACCAATTTTAAAATACACATTGTACCTGATACTGGCAAGATAACTTGACATTAAACTTTCCAAATATATGAATGTTTTATATTTTGAAAATACACTATAAAAACTTTTATTCCATAGTTAGCATGATATTCATAGGATAACATGTGAGAATAAAAACGGTATTTTTGTAATCAGTGGTAAAATATGATATTTTTGACAAATTTTCACTTAACGATAGCATACGGTTTTTTAGCCATGACATACGACGTCGTATGCGATGGTTTATGGATTTTTGCTACTTCAGACTCAAAACGAGGCTAAGTGTCAACATCGCCGGATCGTTTGGAAAATTCGAATTAAATGACTTAATTTCCGAAGATTCTGATGATGACTTTAACTATGGAATAAAAAGAACATCCTATGATTTACTCGTGATATGATTTTAATCCACTCATGGTTATTGAAATCTGCACTCTCTCGCTACGCTCACTCGTGCAGATACCATATCCATTCGTGGATAAAAATCATATCACTCATAAATCATAGGATATCCTCTATATATCTTTGCCTTAATAGGATGTACTACGCTACAGCTGGAAGAACATCTATGGTCCTGGAACTGACTTATTCTTCCTCAATCCTAGCACTGGTGTTGTAACATTAAAGAAATCTCTCAAAGAAACAAATGTCAACAATTTCACAGTAAGTACTATTTTCAGCTCTACCAAATACCATACACATGTACTGTATCCACCTTGGTTTGTATTAAGGACTGTATAATACAAAAATGTATATGGTTTTTTGTGAGACAGTGGGCCATCTGTCAACATTTACCAGACAAATGATTACTGCCATTCTGAACTTTATGCTTAGAACTTTCTGAGGTCTGTGCTGGAACATTTAATTCACACAGGCCCGTAGCCAGGGGGGGGGGTTCACAGGGTTCGGCGAAACCCCCCCCCCCCCTGGCCAAAAATTCTTTCAAAATCATGCAGTTTTTCACCATTTTGAGCACTTCTCAAGTGATTTTCACCATATTTGGGCCAAAATTGTCAAATGTGAACCCCCCTGGAAATTTTTGAAAACTGAACCCCCCCTTGGCAAATCCTGGCTACTGGCCTGTCACACCTACTGCGTCCTACATGTACTTACTACTAATGCCTCATTTTGTAGAAATCTGCTTTTATAATCCACGCCCTGTATGCACCAAATGGTGCCATTTTTATTCAAATCAATTTATATGCTATTTAAATTGCACCCACTTCTGCATTTCAGATCCCAGTCATTGTGTCTGACAATGGCTATCCCTCCAAGAGTGCAGAGGCCATACTTGAAGTGAAAATCATAGGAGATCGTGATGCACCTTATTTCACCAATTCAGGGCCATTCAATGGAACAGTATCTGAGAATGAACCTGAGGGACATGTCTTCTTCACTGAGCTTGATGCCAAAGACCCTGATGCTCAGGTATATATATTCTGTTCCTATATGTTATTTAATTTGCAAATTAGTTGATTAGAATCTACATTTATTATATTAATTATTCCAGAACATACTTTAGTGTAATCTAAAATAAAGCATATCCATAATTAACTCAATAAGCTTAATCCTTCTTTCTAAAGCCTGTCCTTACAATGCCATGTGAACATTGCTTTAACAAATTCATGTTCAATTGTGCCAGATATCAACTTTATTGACACATCATTATTATATATTTATATATATATTCATAGGGTAAACTGGTGTATGAGTTGATAGGTGTACCACCAACAGGGCAGTACTTCGCAGTTGATCCTAACAATGGAGATATCTCTGTTAAGACAGACTTAACAAGAGATGATCAAAGCCCATACATTGTAAGTAAACCATATATATGTACAGAATATCCATCATCAGCAGGTCAAGGAAAATGCAGTCATATCAATCTAGAAACAGAAAAAGGGTGTCAAGGAATGAGAATAGATCCATGCTTAAGTGATTTGATTTCTTACTTTAGACAGGATTAACCAAAAGCTTAACTTAATTGAGGGGGTTTTCTTTGTAAAATTATCCATGTACATAATATTCCATGTTACTGAATGCTTAGTAAGATAATTATAAATTCACAATGTTCTCTATAAATTCACAATTTCAGGCTGAAGTAGTTGCTTATGATGACTTGAACCCAGAAGTACGTGCTACAGCCACTGTTACAATCATTGTGTCTAGGAATGAGCATGGACCTGTGTTTAGTGAGAACCCATACCTGGCGGATGCATCTGAGAACACACCTCTTGGTCAAGAACTCAAGAACATCACAGCCACAGATGAAGATGATGTAAGTGTTATTCAATTGCAATCCTCCCAATAAGTTAACCACTGTTTAAAACGTTTGATTCCAAATTTTCTTCATATCACTTATAATGGTTATTTGAGCTTACCATTGATCAAAATCACAATTAAACACATGTAAGTTGTAAGTCTGGTCCCGAGTATTCCAATAAAACTGGCATTTCTCTGGTGTCTCAAGTGTACAGGTCTAAACAGAACACAATGAAAACGAGCAGTTCATAGGTGCAAATCCAGAAAATCCCAATCTGCTCATGAAGTTTACTGTGACTAAGTATTTTTAGTAAATGGAAAAATAAAGAAATTGATACACTCTTATACATACAGTTTGTTGTGTATGTTTATTAGGATGTAATCAGCTACAGAATTGTTGGAGGGGAAGAAGAATTGAAATATTTCTACCTCAACCCTGACAATGGCAAGCTTATACTGAGACGATCATTGCATCCAGGAACACAGACTCTCTACAATGTAAGTATCCAATACTTTGAATGAAATTGTTGTTTGGTGCATTGTATGGTGATCTAATCCATGATCTCCTGGTGTCTGGGCAATGGGAACCATAGTTTCAATGCTATACTATATGTCATATAGTGCGCCTCTGAATTTTATATGTAATATAATCTCCATTTATTCAATTCTGAATGTGTTACTGGTGTATTCTTACGATAAATGCATTACAGTCTTTAACATTTGAGCTGGATTTAAAATACATGCATACAGTCCATATGTATGCTTTAACTGAAAATTCAAGAAATTGGTCTGAATTGTTTTCAATAATTGTTAACTGAATGATTGGAAAAATTCATCTGAGAAAAATACTGTTGTAGATTACTGTTGAAGCAAGTGACAACAGCTCACCAGAGAGATTTGCTAGAAGCCAAGTGTTAGTGAAAGTTGATCGTGATACGCATCTCCCCGTGTGGACCAAAGATCCAGAGGATCCAACCATTGATGAAAATAGACCTGAGGATCCTACTGATCCTATCACTCATGTCAATGCAACTGATCCTAACCTCAAGGTTAGTTTTTACTTACACATACTTTTAATAAAACCTTAATCACATTGCAATATACAAAGCATACATAGCATGGTTATGGTATAACATGACATTTGTCTATTTATGATCAATTTAGCAACTGTTTTTACAATTTCTCCACTTTGATTGTAGGGTGAACTTGTGTATGAGCTCAATGGAGTTTATCCATCAGAGGAATTCTTTGGTGTAAACAGGAAGACTGGCGCCATCTATGTGAAAAAGTCTCCACGCCTTGACCCTGCCAAGAGAGACCGCTATTCAGTATGAAAATAATAATTGTACATTAATCATGATAAAAATTCCTTTTGACCACATTATTTCATGAAAAATTGGTATATGACTGTTATTTAAAAGAAGCAAAAATTATATAGAATGAGAAAATCTCCAATAAGTTTACAGTTCATGTTTAAATGCAAAGCAAGAATTCAGACTTTCAATTATAATTTCAGTTGAAAATTGATGCCTATGATACAGCCTACCCCAAGAATGTTATCACCACCTACATCACTGTGTATGTCACAAGAAATCCTTCACGCCCTGTGTTTCCCGTTGATCCTGAGCAACCCAAGATTCCTGAAGATATTGATCCTGGAACAGAAGTTAAGCCACATGTAACTGCAGAGGACCCTGATGGGGTAGGTGTCTTATTAGAACAGCAAATTGAATTCCAATGTCAATCCATTGATATCTTAATGAAATATATAGGGGTTATACCAGTATTCAAGCTGATATAGGATAAAGAGTTTATCCTGAGGGATTAACATATATCTTTCCAAGGAGACTGAAGACCAAGGGACCGAGGGAATATTTCCTGAGTGATAAACTTTATCCAAAACTGACTATACGACATAACCTGTGTAGATCAAACTTGAAGGCTTCCCAACATGATGGCATTCGTTTAGTATGTTTCTTGTTCATCATTTTCATCACAAAGTTCCATAAATGTCCTTTAACTCACAGTTTGCTAACATTTAAATAAATAATTTATTATTATCCAGAAATGATGATATATATGTAATGAATACATAACTCATGAGACTCTTTTGTTATAGGATGAGGTTACTTATGAACTAGTGGGTGATGAACTGGCTAAGGAACATTTCTATGTTGATCCTAGCACAGGACAGATCTATGTAAAGAAACCTCTCACTGAGGGGGAGAAACCACTGCCAGACTTCTATAATGTAAGAGCATCTATTATATTAACTCAACATAATAGTGATATGTTCAAAGTTACCTATATGCAATAAAGCATGGTCATAATTTGTCATATTTAAAATATCTGGCTCATAATTTTAGCATGAAACCATATTCCTTAGAAATGCCAAATAGGTTAAGAAGCTTTAAACTGCAGTGAACGTTCGTTGATCGAGGTGACCTGCAATTGTAGATGTAATTGGACATTCCATTAATTAACTATCATTTACTCCAGTTACAGTGACAGAGCTTGGACCCCAAAAATAAAAATCAATACTGTTGTGAACTTTGTATAATTTTATTTTGGGTAACACTTGCCTTATATTATATATTATTATGACTGTGATCTTCAGTGTGTTCTTACATTTAGTTACACCAGCAGAGTACTGAATGTAACTAAATGTCTCACAATTTGACAATTTATAGGCACTGTAGTTTCAAGTTAAATTTTATTCAACAGTTCAATATTCAATTTCTTTTGAATGCAATATGATTCCCTTATAGACATTGAAATCTGTTTTGTATTTGATATTATTATGCACCTCATTAAAATACCCAAATCTGACTGGTTAAGAGCTGCAGGGTCTATTGCCATACGTGGCTTGCCTCGCCTAGTATTTTTTCCTCGAATAAGTATTCTGGCATATCCACCTCATGGTCATCCAGTATTTGTTTATTATTGAAAGCCCCTCTTATTTGGTAAATTAATATTTTTTCCCAGTTAACAATCAAGGCTACAGATAATGGTGAACCACCTAAGTCTTCCTATACCAATGTTATTGTGAACGTCGATCGTGACAAGTTTGCCCCAGAATTCACTGGGACACCATACAACAAAACTCTGGATGAGGATGTCCCAATAACCACTCCTGTTGTCACGGTAACAGCAACAGATGCTGACCAATGGGTGAGTATAATTGTATTTGTCTATCTCTTCTTATATTCATAGTCATGAGTAAAAGTTAATACTATTATGTTTGTGACCTTGTGTAATGTAACATAATGATTAAATCTAGATTTCCATCAACAGACTCTAATATATCGACATTGTCACATTGTTGAGCATAATATCAAGCTATCTTGCTACAGGGTGATCTTCTGCAATAATATAGTAACTACATAAATTCAACCAACAATAAATTTCATTTACAGGGTGATCTTGTGTATGAGATAGAGAGTGTGTCTCCCCCTGCAGAACTATTCTCTATCAACCCATCTACAGGTGCTATAACAGTTTCTAAGTCCCTGGAGAGTGGCAGTCAACCTATGTATAAAGTAAGTAGTCTTTGATGGACTATCAGATAGTAATAAATTGCATGTCATATTTCAAAAAGTAATGCCTGGACAAATAAAATATAAAATAAGAGATTTTTTTATTTGATATATTTCTTGCCTTATCTACACTCATATTTGGATTTTGATGCATATCCATAGTTTTTGAGATCGTCCTCCGATACCTATAGGAAAATTTAACATGCATGTCATTTATTTCAAGATTACATTGTGCGTGAATCTTTTGTTCCATTCATCAGGCTGGGTCATTAATTTCTCCATGTTTTATAACATTGCAGCTCGCGGTTGCTGCCTTCAGCTCGAGGTACCCTAACAACAAGGGACATGCAGATGTTACAGTGTATATCACACGTAACCTGAATGGGCCTAAATTCCCCGATGGTGGATTCAAGGCAAAGGTTGGGGAGACCATCCCTAATGGTGACCATGTTACAACAGTCACAGCAACGGATGATGATAACGTAAGGACATTGACTGCTTTAGATCAAAGCTTTGTCTCACTGTCCATTCCTCACCTTTATTTAAAAAAGATTGTTCCAATGCAATGAGGCATTTTCATTTGATTGAATTTATCATACAATTTTGCTAACTTTTGAATGGTTGAATTCTTAAAATCGCGGATTCGGTAGTATTGAATCTCTAATAAAGATGGCGCGAAAGTTTTTCCTTATAAGGTCAAAATATTTCCCATGATGCAGTTCGCGGGGGAACAAAATTTTTCTACCTTGTTTTTCCCCGTTGGTTTAACATGGGGATTTTCATACCCATTTTTCAAGCGATATTTTCGATCGAATCTCCATGCGATCGGAGAAAACAAACTATCAGAAACAATTAGTCTTTTAATAATCTTTATATAACATATATTTTTTTTCATTTTATTGGCTCCTAACGGGGTGAAAACAATGATTGAAAATGGGAGTATATTCCGGAAGAGAAGAAGTCACGTGACTAGTCGCCATATTGGAAAAAGCAATTCCATTCGACTTTCAACACGTTCATGCCAATATTACCGCACTACAAACTGTAACATCGATGCAACAACTGAATAAAAGTACTCATCTTCATATTACATTATAGAGTTACGTTGAAAACCCACAAACAACTGAGCATTTGACCAAAGAAGACACGTCGCTATTATCTAGGTCAAGTTTAGTGGTTCGAAAGCAAATCTTACATACTCGTTTCCGAATTTTGTTGTTAATTGTATAATCTTTTATTGATTAAATCTGGTATACTGACTATTAATTCAATGACAAAGAAGAAGAATTCCGATGGTGTCATTTTTTTATTTAGCTTGCGGGTGTAAAAACAAAATTGCGTAATTAATTTGATTTAGAACTTTCGGGTCTCACAAATAGCTACACGAAATGCATCATTGAAAAATATTGACCAATCAAATTTTGTCCTTTTTGAGTACATATATGCACCATATATGCGAACGTTCTGATTCAAAGAGCGAACAGCGAAATGGAGAATTAAGTTTATCACCACTTTTTAATGTCAAAACTATAAGTATGTAGTGTTTACCTTGTTATTTAAGGACCTATTATACTACACATTGGAGGGAGATTCCAACTGCACAGAATATTTCTATATTGATAGTTCAACAGGGAAGGTTAACCTCAAGAAACTTCTTACTGAGACCACAATATTGCAGTTCCAGGTAAAACATATTATACCATGAGCAATATAAAAATATCATTTAATCAGTCACCTTTGTCCACGGTGACCAAGAGTTAACAGTGCAAATTGGCCCGGTCGTGTTTTCTCAGACTCTTAAGTCGTGTTTTTTGGAAAATTTGAGAGGTAGGTTGATAAATTTGGTCATGAAATTGCTGTCACTTGACTTTATGTAAAAGTAAGTAATTTATATTCCTTTCCATACTATATAGTTTAACTTCAGGTATCCGTAAACGTGTTATTTGCACGAATCGTATGCTATAGTCGTGTTATATCGGAAAGTGAGCAAATCTGTCAGTCTTATACATATTTTTGCCTGAAAACCACTAGCCTGACTTGTATTCAATAAATACATCGATTCATAAGGAAAGCATCCACAATATGTGTGAAAACCACAAGTTAGAAGAGCTTAAATAAGTAGCAATTGACCGAATAATATTTTTTAGATTAAACTCTTTGGACATGTTCAAAAGATTGCGATTAATGACGTTGACTTGTTACTGGAAACATTTAGACGTGTAGAGACATTGAGGTTTAACGCTTTGGAAGTGGGAAACAGCACAATTAACATTATGTATCTCCCAAAAAATGGAAGAAGTTGTTGTCTGAGTAATACTATCTTAATTATAAATGATTAACAATAATCAATTGTACGACATAATTTGTCAAGATTGATCTATGGAATCATTACAGAATTTGATACTTATTCGTAAATCAAAATGGTTAGAATCAGACACGCAAGGTTAATGCAAGCGAGCTTTGCCTCGTTGCTCGTCGTTTTGAAAATTTGAGTAGTCATATTTATCCCATCGAACAAAGTTCGGAGGGATATAGGGAACGCCTCCGTCCGTCCGTCCGTCCGTCCGTACGTACGTACGTCCGTCCGTCCGTCCGTCCGTCCGTCCGTCCGTCCGTCCGTCTGTCCGTCCGTCCGTCCGGGCAATAACTCAAATACCGTTGGCCCGATTTTGTTCATATTTTGTACACATATACCCTATGGGAGTAGAAGTTCTGCTCAAAAGCCGATTTTCAAAATGGCCGCTCATTTCAAAATGGCGGCCATTTTAGTGCCGATTTTACAGTAATTTAGGTGTAATATGTAAAACTGTAATAGCAATATGTTTTAAATGTAAAAAAATTATAAAGGACATTAATAATGCTACAAATGTAGATTAAAGAAGCACATGGCAGCCATCTTGAAAAATGGCGGCCTTTACTCGTCATTTTACGATTTTTGCTGTAACTCAAAAAATAGTGGAGCGATTTTGTTCATATTTGGTATGTGAATACTATAAGCATTGCACACTGTCTAAAGACACTTTTGGTAGAAGGTGGCCATTTTTCAAAATGGCCGCCATTTTAACATATTTTACTATAACTCGAAAAGTAGTGGAGCGATTTTGTTCATATTTGGTATGTGAATACTATAAGCATGGCACACTGTCCTATGACACTTTGGGTAGAAGGTAGACATTTTGAAAATAAAATTGAAAAATGGCCGCCATTTTAACGTATTTTACTATAACTCGAAAAGTAGTTGAGCGATTTTGTTCATATTTGGTATGTGAATACTATAAGCATGGCACACTGTCCTATGACACTTTTGGTAGAAGGCGGCCATTTTGGAAATTTTTTTGAAAAGACCGCCATTTTAACGTATTTTACTATAACTCGAAAAGTAGTTGAGCGATTTTGTTCATATTTGGTATGTGAATACTATAAGCATGGCACACTGTCCTATGACACTTTTGGTAGAAGGCGGCCATTTTGGAAATTTTTTTGAAAAGACCGCCATTTTAACGTATTTTACTATAACTCGAAAAGTAGTGGAGTGATTTTGTTCATATTTGGTATGTGAATACTAGAAGCATGGCACACTGTCCTATGACACTTTTGGTAGAAGGCGGCCATTTTGAAAAACATTTTGAAAAATGGCGTCCATTTTAACATATTTTACTATAACTCGAAAAGTATTGGAGCGATTTTGTTCATATTTGGTATGTGAATACTTTAAGCATGGCACATTGTCTAATAAAACTTTGGGGAGTAGTAGGCCATTTTGAAAAATGGCCACCATTTTTATGTGTGTTATTTTACAAGTATGTGTGCGATTTTTCAAAAATTTTAGAGGTGGCTACTTAAAAGCATATTATTTCTTCTGATGACAACTTGGCTAGTGAGCAACCATTTTGAAAATGGTGGCCTTTCTGGTGTGTTGTTTATGATATTTGCTATTCGTTTGTAAAAATGCCAGCCATTTCTGTTCGATGGGATTCGCTACGCTTTGGCGTTGCCGTTGTTCTGGTTTTTAAGGGGCAATAAGGCTTGTAGAGAGAAAATAGGAAAATTTTAACTTTTTCTGAGCTATCAAGGCAACAGTTGGCTTAACATCTTCTTCGACATACCTATTTTCTTAAAATGTGTGGATAAACTATCAATTTCGGCATTAAAGAGTGTAAATTCACTTCAAAGCTTGAAAAAGTGGACGTCCACTTTTATATTTTTAAGATCCACCATGTTTCAAGAGGAATATAAGCTGAAATAATGATTATCTAGGGGGTTTCTTTGTAGAAAATAAAAATAGATGTTAGTCTTGATCATGATGAAATATCCAAACTTAAATATATTTTGACACTGGTCCATGATTGTTGAATGGCCCCTCTGCACTACTTGTTGCACCTTTAATTCCCCCGTCGCTCATTTAATGGCTCGTTGCTATTTTTGAATTTGCCTCAGATAAGGTTTAAAACGTCCCTATTGGCCCTAAACTCACTTTCCCCTGTCATGACCGTAAATAGATTTATTTAAAATGAGAGAAAATGTTTAGTTTGTGATGCACTACACCTAATATAATCACCTAATATAAGGAATACTTCCACCGTTATTTAGTGCTCAAAATCTATAAGGTTCGCCTCGGGATTTTTAACAATTTGATTCGATGTTATTCCCTAATTTGCCTCACACAATGCAATAGGTATAAAACGCTACATATGCTGCTATGGTTCTATGACTGAGTGACCTATGAACTGTACTGTAACATACTTTGCTAGCGAATTAAATTACAACATCTGATGATCTTGTTAAATCATACATCTGTCTTTTTTTATTTATTCATATCTTCACTACAAATTACAGTAAACGGGTGACACCTAATATATATATCCCCGTGTTTTATAATAATACATGAACAGATGGTGGGGGATCTGCTTGTGTAATAATGCATACTATTTGTTTCTGGTTAATAGTGTGTGTCGTATTAGGCCCGCAAATTATAATAAAACCAACATAAACTATACATTATATTATTGATTAAGAAGATACTTTTTGAGTTATAACTTCTAGCAGAAATACGAGATAGTAAGAATTTAGTTTTTCAATTTATTTTAGTACTAAGTTTAAAAAGCAAACAATTGTAACTAGTTCAAGGAACGTGTTCTTATGTGTTCTTGTGACAATGACACAACCATTAATAATACCTTAGTAATTGGCAGCTCTATAGTGAGGTCCATTGACCCAAGTAAACTCATCAACACTGATGTGGACTGCATCAGCGGAGGGACTATTAAAGATGTCCACAAAAAGCTCACATCACTTGACAAATCTTACGACCGCCTAGTTCTCCAAGTTGGGAGCAATGACACTACGAAAAAGGATGCCACAGCTCAAAGTGTCATAAATGACTATGAGCTCCTACTCAAAGGAGCAAAACATGTTTGTGAAGACATTTGCGTCTCGAGTATATGCCCACGTACAGACAAGCCTCTATCTCAAGAGATGGCCGAGACGGTCAATGCTCAACTAGACCAACTCTGTCAGAAGGACCCTAACCTCATATTCAGCAATAATGATGTAACTTTCCGTCTTCAAAACAACTCCATCAATACTGGTTTCTTAGATTTTAAAGGCTTGCACTTAACTAAAAGTGGTACTAACAGTTTGGCCCAAAATATGAAACTCGTCCCCAAACCAGATCATAAAAGTGACATAACCAAAATGTTCAACCCTCGTAGGAACCCCAACCAGTCCATTCCCCAGCGTGATGCCACTCCAAGCTCTAAGAACGAAAACTGGCAGACTGTAAAATCTAGAAACTTTAGAAATCAACGCCCTAACCCCACGACACCCACAAATAATAAACCCAATGTACCCTCGAAACCGGCATGTTTCTTATGTGGGGAGACATCTCACCTGGCCAGCTCATGTTGGCACCCAAATGCAGTCACATGTTACTCCTGCAATCAATTAGGGCACAAATCATCCCGGTGCAACAATGGCTCTAGCCCAGCAGGGGACCGATAGGACACTGGCTACGTAAAAGCCATATCCCCGAAGTCTCATCACACTAAACATAAAACTCGTAAAAAAAAGTTGATTCAACTAAACTGTGGAAATTTGGCGACCTAAAACTCTCTGAAGTTAATGTATATAAATACTTGGGAACCTTTTTCCACAGGAACTTAAAAGATTCTCATCACATTGATGTACATGTATCTAAGAAATCACGAATGTTAAATGGGTACCTATCATCAACTCTTACTAAACATTGCAATGTTAAGAGAGTAGATTTCGGAAAAACAATATATCACTCTATGATTGAGTCTGCAATTTTATCTGGATGTTCTATATGGCTATATGGACACTTACCAAAAGTAACATAGCTCTGATGAAGTCAATACAATACAGAGCAGCGCAAGCTGTTTTACAATTAAAGTGTAAACCCGCAAGACCAGCCTTATTGGGAGATCTCGGTTGGTCTCCCATTGACCTCACAATTGAAAAACGACAAATTGCCTACTTTAAATACCTAAAGTTTGACCTAGCCCATTCATCCCTACCCCATAAGGTTTTAACTCATTTGATAAACCAACATAGTGAAGGTAATGAAGCCCCTTGGAAATATGTGTCTAACATAAAGTCTATTTTAATCAAGAGGGGCCTTGATGACGTTCTTTTTCGAGATGACTGTGAGTGGTACAATACCTATGAATGCATTTGTAGACAGGAACGCACCACTAATTTTATTGATGACATTTCCCATTATAAATCTCTAAATACTTATTCCACCTTTAAGAACCATCCATACCAAGAAAATTATCTAAAACAAGACTTTGATTTTTATGGTTCTAGACTCAAATTTCTTGCAAGAACCAACAATTTTTGCCTTGAATCCAATTACTCTGTATGGGGCAAAAGTGATGGCAAATGTAAACTTTGTAGTTTGAATGTACATGAAGACTTACAGCATAGGTTGCTGCTGTGTGAACATTTTAAAGAAGAACGTGAATCCTTTTTCCACACTGTTTGTAAGCAATGTCCCCCCGATTTGTTTTCTGATTTCATTAAGGGCAATCTGACTGAAAAATTGACCTTTATTTTTGGTGATGAGACTTTTTCAAAATGGGGGCAAGACTATTTTAGATTATTTGATAGCATTGTAAAACGCTTTTTAACCCAAGTGTACAAGCCCAGAGATTTATGTCTTTGATTATTTTAGTATATGCAACATTGTTTTAAAGAAATTATAACATGACTTTGTATTCTATTCATATTGTATAGTTGTATGTAGCCGCACTGGATAATAATCCATGTGCCACTGTTATAAAAGTGTTGGCAAATAAATAAATAAAAATAAATATCGGCGCTTTTGAAAGCACACACGTGGCACTTATTCCGAGGAACTGAAATAACAAAATATATGAATAGTCATGTAGTACAAACACTCATCTTCAAAATACTAACGCGATTATTTTCAGAAGCACAGACAAATTATTAAGCAACAAAACATGTGAAATGTGAACACTATTACAAGACAATTCAAAGTCGTTAATTTTATCACGTCTAAAACGTTATCTTTACAATTCCAAAACGTTAACATGCTTATTATAAGACACATCCATGACGTTATGTTGTCCCTTCTCCATAGTTAACTCAACTTTCTACATTTACGGTCATTTATAGCAATTTTAAGATAAATACAGTTAAAATATTTACACGATCTTTAGACTAGTGAATATTATTCCACGTTGTTGAATGGATTGTCTGTTTAAACGTGATTAAATAACACTAAATGCAAATTAAGTACATATTTCTGGCACTTTTGGTATATAATTGCGATTGATATGAAGTATGATGGATTTATCCCCAAAATAGATTCGTGGGTATGAAGAAGAACATCTTAGGTAGAAGTCAAGATATGTAAGTTTGTAAAATCAAGAATATTCTTATCTTTTTGCTCCATTCTAACGAATGTCGCATCCCATGTTCTTACAAAACACGACTAAAGAGTTTGAAAAAACACGACTGGGCCAATTTGCACTGTTAACTCTTGGTCACCGTGTTTGTCTGTCCTTCCTATGACCTCAGACCTCAAACTTAACATTTGACCTTGACTTTGTTTGACAACAACATTGAAAATGTCATTATCTTTATGACATTTTAACTGACTATTAAAGAGAGAATCAGATCTAGCGAGAAGCCCAACAAAAAATTGTTTCAATTTTAGAATATTTCTGGCTCATGTCATTCCTTTTCATGTTTATTTTTTTTAAATCACCTCAAGTGCATACTTTATTTCAGGAAAACAAGATATTTACAATAACGTATTATTTTTTTTCTATAAGAATGGTTACCATTCTTATTATTTGGGAGAATTTAAACATTTTTCACTCATTTTTGCACTTTGATTCCATTATAACTTCACCAATCTATAACATAGCGTGAATCTTTTGGGAGATATTGTATTTGAGATTGTAAGGAATAGATTGGTAGGTCAATTGTACACATTGCTTGTAATTTTTTCACCCCCATAGATTTGATTCTGCCTTTAATTAATAATCAGTGATCCAAAATATTTGAACTAATATTTTGATCACTCCTTATATATTTTGAAATAGTTTGGAAATAAGACCAAAACTCAAAATCGAAATTGTGATGATATGGCAGATAGTTGAGTTTGAATTTTGTAATCCCGACATGACTCGCTGACTGTAATACTATGACTAATAATAGTGTGACTCCATATATCGAGATGGAACCCTGGGAGCCAATGCTCCTTGGTTGATATTGGATGTCAATTCTGGAGAATTTCCACATACTCTTTTTTAATATGTTATTGTTGATGTTATGCAGTGTGTTATACGTGCCAATGACCAAGCTGTGCCAAACTCCAAATCTGCTGATACTCCTCTGATCATTGATGTAGACAGAACATTCAAGGGGCCAAGTTTTACAGTAGATTACACCACAAGGAATGTATCCGAAACAACACCTGTTGGTCAACTTGTTGCTGTTCCTGAGATTACGAGCACAGGGGTAAGAAGTGAAAATTTCTCACTACATTAATGCATGGATTTCAAGATGATTGCTGCTGCATATTTTGATCTAATAATCTGTTGTACAGGGTGTCCAATAAATAAGGTGAAAGATATTTTAACTTTCTTAATATTGCACCAATCTTGATGAAATTTTCAGAGTTTGTAGCCCAAATCTTTTTATCCTTATTCTGTAAATTTAAATCGTCTTCTATTTGATTGTCCAGAGTTGTGGTTGCTATAGCAACCAAAACAACAAAAAGGTGGGCCAAGTTAATTTACATCACAATTTTCCAAAACACATTTATTCTTTCTGATAGCTTTATTCATACTCCCAGGTCTATTACTACCATAAATACAATATAAAAACAGTCCTAAAGTCCCATTGTTATGAAAATAAGCTATTCAACATATTGTCCATCTCTAACTATATACTTCTTATGCCTATTCACCCACTCTCTAAACACAGTTTCAAACCAATTCTTGCCCATTTTCTGAAGTCTTGCTAAGGCATGTGATCTGAGTTCATCAGTGCTTCCAAGTTTATTTCCTCTCAAGTCACGCTTGAGTTCTGCATATAAGTAAAAGTCATTGGGTGCAAGGTCTGGGGAATATGGAGGGTGTGCAAGTAGGGGTAGCCCCAGTGCCCTAATAGTTTCACTTATCTCATTGCACATGGGTTTGAAAGTGTGTTTAGAGAGTGGGTGAATAGGCATAAGAAGTGTATAGCCAGAGATGGACATTGTGTTGAATAGCTCATTTTCATAACAATGGGACTTTAGGACTGTTTTTATATTGTATTTGTGGTAGTAATAGACCTGGGAGTATGAATAAAGCTATCAGAAAGAATAAATATGTTTTGGAAAGTTGTGACGTAAACAAACTTGCCCCGCCTTTTTTTGTTTTGGTTGCTATAGCAACCATAACTCTTGCCAATCAAATGATAGACGCTTTAAATTCACAGAATAAAAGTAAATAGGTTTGGGCTACAAACCCTGAAAATTTCATCAAGATAAGTGCAATATAAAGAAAGTTACAATATCTTTCACCTTATTTATTGGACACCCTGTATATATGCATGTCATTTATATTTCATTGTGTAAAATCTGCTGGTTTAATTTTGGAATTAAAGTTTGTTTCGACTTCTTTTCAGAATGACAATCTGGTATGTTGTAATTTCGTTGCTGTAAATGTTTTTTTTAGTTTTATTTAGATATCAATGTAAGGGTGGTGTAAAGACAGATTGGGTTCTGTAAAGGTTGCTTTATTGCAAAGAATTATCTCCAGTAGTCTCATAATATTTAAGATAACCATGAAATTTATTCACACAATTTTTAACAAGAATGTTGAGTTAATAAATACCTGAGTAAAAATGAGAGATATCAGTCTATTGGAGATAATTGAGGAGATATGGATTGATGCCTTTTATCAGGGCCTCCCTTGATGCTTGTACACAGTTGGAGATCACCTGGATGCTTTGAATGTTTAGCTTTGTGTCTGCTTTCACCATTTAAATGGGTTTTGGGAACCTTTTCAAAGGTTTGAAGAATATTTGGGAGTGATGGTTGAGATTTATCATTTACTCAAGTAATGGGCTTCTGGTTTCATAGAGAATTTTGCTTGTTATTTTTTTCATTCATTTCATGTTTGCTTTGTTTGTTATACCGTACTTGTTTTATGCACAGTGCATATTTAATGCACAGTGCTTGTTTTATGCACAGTGCTTATTTAATGCACAGTGCTTGTTTTACATGCACTGTGCAGTGCTTATTTAATGCACAGTGCTTATTTAATGTATTATTTAATGCACAGTGAAGAAACACAATTTATTCCATTTTATTTCTTGTATACTATATATACAACATGTACTGTATATGTTCCTATTACATATGGTATTTCAGGGGCGAAGAAAACGTCAGAGCCAGGTAAACTGTATAGAACTAGAAAAAAAATGAAAAGAATAGATATACTCAGGTGTAATACCTACTTTTAACACCCCTCCCCCTAGTTATACTGTTGTTAATAATGATTGCCAACATTTGACTTGAACCCTCTTTTGAAAAATTATTTATTGAAGGCAGAATCAGATCAAGTATAAGTTGCCTTTCCAAAATATTTAATGAAGACTAACGGTTTTAGATTTATCTGTTCATTTTTTCTATAAATTGCAGATACATGTATCAACTTTCAAAATTTATCTTAATAATTTTGTACTCTATTTGACATCACTGAACTTTTGGGACTTAATATGCAAGACTTTGGTCAGTGAATTCTACATGTTGCTTGCAATCTTGTCTGGGTCAAAATCTGATTCTGCCTTTAATGATGAATGTATTTCTTATTCAATTCTAATTCAACTCTACGTCCTGGTTATTTCTATAATGAAATCTTCAAAATGATTTGAAAAATATGATTTTCTTTAACTACTCCAGTAGTTGCTGTTTGACTTTTTACCATTATGGAAAAAGTGATAAGTAAAGTACATGACTGTTTCTCCAGACTATACCTATAATCACTGAATTCATTTGTTTATATCGTACAATTTGAGTTTGTATAGATAGAATATAAATGTGTGCACAATTTCTGAGTGTGACCCCATCTTTTCTAATACCATCTCTGTATACATATGTAAAAGTATATACCTTAACATTAGTAGCACATGAATAATTACATTAGTGAATGATTTAGGTAATCAACATTTAAATCACTATCTATATACTAGTAGTTGAAATGCACATATTAATTAAGTATTTCCTATTGATTTCAGTCAACCAGGAGTGACAGATAAGATCCTGTTGACATTTATAGTGAAATGTAGCATTGATTTTCCATAAAATCATTTCTTGGATTTTTGGTTCATTATTGAATGATTGAACCCCAGAAAATTATTATCCCAACGAACAAAGTTAGAATGGGATATACTGAAACCGTCCATCCATCTGTCTTTCTGTATTCATCCACCCCTCTGGAGCATAATTCCAATTCGGAATGATTATCTTTAAGTTTGATATTTGCAGAAATGTTGAGATATTAACAATGTATTTAAGACTAAATTGCAATTATTTTGACATGTTTTACATTTATGAAATTTTTATCTCTAGAATTCAAAATGGCTGCCATTGTGGAGGCATTTATTCTACTTCGTTCCAAAAAAGCACTAACATCAACATTTAAAAAAACACCTCTTCATGAGTATTTAGTGTCTTGGTATTAACAAGTAAATGCTAAATATTTTTTGAGAAATGATAAATTGTTCGTTTGGATTCACTAAACCATGGGGCTGCTGTTATTTCTAGTTTTATATTGGTTTTGATGTGCGAGAAAGATACATTTTAGCCAATATGAAATGTTTCTACAAGATCTATTCTTTAATTTGAACTATTTTTTAATTACTTTCTATGTCACCATCACAAGTGGTGACATATTGTTATATTCTCCAACTTTTTGTTGACGGTGTTTGGCAGTTGGTGTCCGGCAGGAGATGTTTGGTGGTCAGTGTCTGTAACAAATAGCAGGTGGTGACATTTTACATGCTAAAATGTCTTGAATTGATTCTACGTTTGTCAATAATCACTGTCAGTTAGTTCACAAAACTCCCCTTTTCTTTTTGTTATTAAGCTAATATACAATCTATATTTTGATTCCACTGGATTGAGTTACACTGAGAGTCGAGTTGACACATAGTTTAGACAGTATAAACTGAAATAAGGGATAGGCCATTAGATAATAAGGAATTTTACATTTCACGTTCATAGAGTGGTGATGAGTACAGATACAGTACCATTCAATGGTATAGCATGGATCTTTTAAAATGTAAATGAAATTAAAGCTAATTAATGATGGACTTTAATGCTGTCAAATCTCTTCTCAGTTCTATTTGAAAAGAAATTCTTCTGTAATCAGGGCTTAAAAGTCACCTTGTGGCCACTAGAATGTTAGTTGAAAAATACTTGTTGCTTTGATTTATTATAAGTTTCATATGTTTCTGCAGTTTAGAAAAGTTGATGTTGAAATGGTAACATTTCTCGGATCTAATGGTCTATCCCTTGATTTTTATCTTTTATAAAGAGTTAAACTGATCATTTTTTATAATTTAATAAAAAGAATCTTATAAACATCTCCATGATGTATTTTGTATACCAGTGCCATCGATTCAACAAAAGTAAATCATGCAATTTCACTATTGAAGCTATAAGTGTCATGGAAACCTATGAAGAAATTCAAATGGATTTTTTCACACAGCCCAAATAAATGCATGCATTTTGAGATGATCTCTCCATTCTTTTTATGTTTGTCATGTTTCGCTGACCATGCTTTCCTCAAGCTTTGCACTTGATTTTACATTATAGCATTCATCTAAAGTCATCTTTTGAATTTCAGTAGGGTTATATCATTATTAGGACTTGTAATCCCAGATATATAATAGATTTGCTGTGGTTACAGGGCCATAAGTTTGAGATGGTTGGTTATTACCCCGGAGATGTATTCTTTGAGATACACCCTAACACTGGGGCAATCACCGTTAAGAAAAGTTTGCTGGAGGACTCACTCAAAACAGTAAAGTATGAGGTATGTCTTTGTATATCATATAGCAAACTAAATGTCTGCAAAATGTGTATTAAAGTAAAAATGCCAAGTAGAATTATAGTAAAACCTGACTAAGTGGTACTTCTAAAACTTGTTCTACTTGGGAGCGATTTCTCACTTGTAGAGGTTCATTTAACACTAAGTCAGTTTATCTTGGGACTGAAAGGTATTCCAATTCTAGAGGTGTTCTACTTTACATGTTTCATTGTATACAGGTCATGAAATTGCCTTCGAACCCATTTTTAAGACAAGGAGCAAAAATATATGATTTCTCCATGAAGTCAGATAAAAGATAACTATGGTATTGATATATCGGCGAATTTCACTATACGTGTACATAATAATTACAGAATTGTTTTTTTAAATAGCTTCGTGTAGCAGTGTACTACGTAGACTTCCCCTACTATAAATCCTACACTACAATAGGCATCAACTGTCTTCGCAACCAGAATGGGCCCCAGTTCCCCACAGGGGTGGTATATAGGGTCACTATAGAGGATGACAAACCTACAGGGGAGGAAGTTATTACAGTTACTGCTACAGACAATGATGATTCTGTAAGTGACATTATCTCATCTTATACATGTGATAATGTAGGAAATATCCTTCAATATGTAGATTTAGTTCGCCACTCAATATACCTACATTACATTTTAAATGCAAAGTATAATAAGGTTTATATGGCGCCTGCCACCTTTCCCCACAGACAAGATGAAACCAAAATGACAACTTATATAGCTAGCACTTCAAAAAAGTGTCAACAAATATTTTCCAATTCATTTACTGACCACGAAAATTGAGCATATAGCAATGGTCCATGACCATTCATGGCATTCTCTTCATTATAAGAATTCAACTTTGTAACTTATACAAGATTTTTTCATAAATTTCCTTCAAGCTCCAGAGGAACCCAAGCCGGACAGATTTAGATAAAAATTGAGATTCATAAGGTTTATGTTGATAAATACATACCGATACCTCAGTTGTTCACTTAGGTTTTGATATATGTAATAACTATTTAACTGATTATTTTGCAGGATAGTCTGATCTATACAATAACAGGGGATGCCACAGCTAGAGAATTCTTCCTGATTGATCCATTGTCGGGCGAAATACAGCTGAAAAAAACTGTCCGTTATGATGAAAGCTTAACATATGAGGTATTAAGATTGTATCCATCATTTATGTGCTACTTTAATGCAACATTTTAGATAATGAGTTTAAATATTTGAAATATTATATAGTCCATTCAAAAGAATTATCTACCTAAGATTTGGCAAAAAGTTAATAAAAGCATTATAAAAAGTTTGTAAATCAGGGTTAATGATTTTTGAGTACATTCAGATTCAGTACAAGTGTTATCAACTGAGCCAATCCATATTAGAATAGTTGTTGACCTGTCGCATTCTAAACCTTTTTAGCTTGCTGTCTCAGCAGCAGATCCCCAGGACAGGTATGGGTCAACTACAGTGTATGTTGATGTGAACCGTGATTCAAGGCCACCATTGTTTATAGGCAATTACTTTGGTAATGTAGCTGAGAATGATCCTATTGGTTACTCTGTTGTCACCGTGGCAGCCATTGATCCAGATCTCAAGGTATTGTCGTCTCAAATCTTCAAGTTAATAACTTAAAGCAGCTTGTCATGAAATCCCTTTGTCACAACTTGTCACCACTCATTTGTGCTTTTGTGAAATATTGCCTTGATATTTCTTTTAGTGACTTACAGGATTCATAGTATTCATCAATCCTGTTGTCATTTGAATTTTAGTCTTGCTACATTGCATTTATACTTATATCACAGATTCACAGTCCATATAGCTACATGCACCTACATATTATACAGGGTGGTCAAAAAAACTTGAAACCCTTACACCATTTTCCTCATATCCTTATTATTTTAAGAAATAACTTTGCACATTTGTACATCACTCAATTCCTTACCAGCCTACCATATTCCAGGACCATCTGATTGATAGTCACCGTGTTACAGCACTTTAAAGAACATTCCTGGTGGCCACTATTGTGCTGAAGACCAACATGCACATGTCGTCCAAAATGTCCCTACCTATGGGGATATGGCAGAGATAGAGTGTATAATAATGACCCCAGGACAATTGCAGACCTCAAAAGTGAGATTATCTGTATCATTCAGGCCATACTTGCTGAGGAATGCATTTGGATCATTGACAGCTGTGCAGGTTTGCCTCCAGCGAGATTATGGCCAAACCTGAAGCATGTTGTTCAAAGTGCTGTAAAATTGTGACTATCAGTCTGATGGTCATGAAATATAGTAGGGTGGTAGAAAATTGAATGATTTAGTAATGTGTGAAATATCAGGGAGTAATTTCTTAAAATCACAAGATATGAAGAAAATGCAGGGGTTCCGTTTTTTTGACCACCCTGTATATACCTCATAACGTGTGAACTGACTGTCAGTTTCCAAATAATTTGCTGTCACCACAAATATTGTTTGCAAGTGGCAGTTGGCATCTGTATCAAATGGCAGATGGTGACATTTTGCATGTTAAAGCCTTGTTCCTTCATGGTGTCATTCATAAAACAGAATATAAATGTGTACAATGTGTATGAAGTATCTATTTATTTTCAGGGTGACCAAGTGTATGAATTGACAGGAATATTCCCAGCTAATATTTTCTTTGGCATAAACAGAACCTCTGGTACCATCTATATTAGGAATGATCTGAAGGGAGACTGGATGAAAAGATCAACCTATACTGTAAGTTATATGCTGGGAGACCCAATACATAGTACCTGACCTTTTTAGATTTGACTCGAAAAAGAAGATGGTCTCCAACCTCTGACTCACACAAGAGATGGGATTTTTTTCACATAAATATTATTTACAATACTATTTTATATCAGGACATCAAAGATCTTTCCATGCACCTCAGTTTTAAGATTTAGTATGTGTATATGAGAGTTTTAAAGTTTAAGTTCCACTTTCATGCCTTCATTGTAATATAACAACCTATATATTAAGGCAGGCCCGTAGACAGAATTTTCCAAGGGGGGTTCATTTTTCTAAAAAGTTCTAGGGGAGGGGTTCACTTTGGCAAATTTGGCCAAAAATCACTCAAAAAATAGTCAGAATGGTGAAAAACAGCATGATTTTGAAGGAAATTTTTGCCAGGGGGGGGCTACAGGCCCGTAGCCCCCCTGGCTACGGGCCTGTAAGGTGTTAATATTAAGCTATTTTATCAGGTACTAGTAAATAAATGAATATTAAAAGTTGCTGTAGCAAATTTGCAATCCATTAAAATTAAGGCTTCAAGTGCAACAGTCAAGGAAAATCTACGTTTTTAATGGATAATGAATGAATCAATTATTAAAAGTTCCATATGTTCCTTATATTAAGGCTCTGATAGAGGCCTATGATACCCACTACCCAGAGACTAAAGCAAAGAAAAATGTGACAATCACTGTACGTCGTAATCCAAATGGACCTGAGTTCTCCCAGTTAGCTTATAACAAGACAATTGCGGAGACATACTCTGTGGGGAACTCAGTGTTGCAAGTGGCTGCCACTGATGACGATGGGGTAAGTTTTGAGGTTCACTAATGATAAATAAAGGTAAATGCTCACTATCAATTTTATTAGCTGTATCAGAATTCATTTTTTATTGATACAAATTACCTACATTAGTAAGATTTATCAAGCATTGAGCATCCATTATTCAATCATTGTATATACATGTTTAATGGGCGTAGGAATTTACCTTGTCACATTTTCACATAAATTCATTGTAAAAATCAAACATAAATTCGAGCAAAATAATCATTAGTTATTCAATGTTTTATTTCTGACATTCAAGATGTATCTCATTGAATACAATCAATTTTATAATGTTCAAGGGAAGAGTAGATGGGAAATATTACATTGTGACAAATGCAGATTCATATATGTTATAGTGTTTATTGGTATTTGGTACTCTGTGGAGTTTTCTAGTTACATATGAGCAGGTATTCACTGAGGCATTTACTTTCATGTCAAATCATTGTAAAAATCAAACAAATTAAAGCTGAATATTCATTAGTTATTCAATGTTTTATTTCTGACATTCAGGATGTATTGCATTTAATACAATCAATTTTATAATGGGTCAACACATTGATTTCCACATCCATTAGAACAGCATTTCTTGCATCCTGCACAGTCTCTGTCATCATTGCATTCCTGTATGCAGATGCCAAATTTTTCACGATTACCATTAACCTGGGGACATTTCCCAGGCTTTGGACCAACTAAAAACAAAACATATAATGACAAGATATATGCTGATTGAATACTTGTCCTTGTTACTACCTTTTGTCACACAAGTGTTGTGACCAATATACATTTGCATCAGTTGAATGAACAATAACTTACCACAAGCCATTTTTGTGCAGCCCACTAGTGGATTTAGCCCAGGACTGTTACATGTGCACTTATTGCAGCAATCCCATGGGCTTAAGAACTCTTTGCCAATTTTGTAGCATTTTCTTTCACCATCAATTTCAAAGCAGCACCCTACAAGTAGTTATACATTTAGTTATCAATTTAGTGAGAACTCGAAGTTAAAATTTTTGGCCATGGTAAATTGAACAGAATGTCTTTATTACCCTAACTGGGCTCATGAATCCCTCTTTCTGTATCCCATATGTTGTGCCTTATCAGACCCATCTCCAGTTAACAACCAAATTGCCCAACAGGGAACATTAAACCAATATACCAATACGCGATAACGTTTAGTTTTCGTTCAGTTTAGTTAACTCTCGTTTGAAGAGCTCTCATGTACGGTACAACATCGTCTACATCCGGGTTCTTTCCCGTTGGATTACACAGGGGTGCTATTTTCAATACCGCACTGCGACTTTATTAAACATTTATGTAGAGTTGCATTTGCAGAAATGAGAGGTATGTATGTAATTAAGATATATAACCAGGCTTTTTGAACTATAATCCCCAAATCCGAAGAAATCTGTAGTTGAAAATGCCGTCCAATTTCAGTGACGTCACTGATTTCCCAAATTGCTCAGACTTCATCGAAGATCGAAAAAATATCAATAATGTTACTTCGAATCTCCGATTATCTATCTGATTATTCAATAGATTGGATCATATAACTATGCTTGAGGGCTGATGGAAGATCAGAAGCTGAGAAACGTTCAGAGTATAGACTCGTTCGGCGGGCCAATGAAAATTTGTCCCTTCCAAAGCGATGCATCATGGGAGATATTTATGTAAATTACCACCTGAACCCTTATCGCGAATGGGAGTATTGTAGTATGTGAGCTGAGAGTAGCAGACAGCACAGTATTTCAGTGTTTTAAGCATGACTACTGTGCATGCACAGGATAGAAATTGAAAGAAGTACTTTTCATTCAAAAATGCAAAATGCTGCTTTTCTATGAAAAAATGCATAAAGGAATTTCCAGTACTTACTATTCCCTGCTCTTCTTACTGATAGAACTCCAAGTTCCATAAATACAAAAAGCAATATATATTTCATCATTTTGTTCTGAATATGTGCCAAGTTAAGCTAACTCCTCTTTACTTCAAAATGAGAGATATTTATACTAAAATATTTAATATAAAATTTGTAATTGTGAATGTTGATTTAGATGAAATGTTTGTTCTATTGTTTGTTCTTAGATTAATAGCAAAGCTGCATGGTTAGTACTGGTTCATTGCTCAAATGAATAATATACAAGGTGGGCTAGAAAATGACCACATAACAAAAGATTAGCTTACTCAATCTGTATACAAGGAATAGTAGTTTATATACAAAAATAAAGATGGCTTAATGTTCAACAAAAGGATCTATAACACTTTCTTGTCATCACGATTCCAGGAAAACCACAAGATGGATTTACTTCAAATATTTACACATGTTACATGGTAAGAAGTTCTTGAGCTGATTAACTTTTTGGCAGCCATCTTGCATTCTGGCAGCCATCTTGGAAGTTTTTAGATAAATTTAGTCATCACGATTCCAGGAAAACCACTTAATGGATCAACTTCAAATTATCACACACATTACATGGTAAGAAGTTCTAGAGCTGATTAACTTTTTGGTGGTCATCTTGCATTCTGGCGACCATCTTGGAAGTTTTTAGATAAATTTAATCATCACGATTCCAGGAAAACCACTTAATGGATTTGCTTCAAATTTTTACACATGTTACATGGTAGGAAGTTCTAGAGCTGATTAAATTTTAGATGGCCATCATGCATTCTGGCAGCCATTTTGGAAGTTTTTATTAGTTAAATCTTGTCATCGCGATTCCAGGAAAATCCACAAGATGGATTTACTTCAAATTTTTACACATGTTACATGGTAAGAAGTTCTTGAACTGATTAACTTTTGCCTGCCATCTCGCATTCTGGCAGCCATTTTTGTAGTTTTTAGATAAATCTTGTCATTTGCGATTTCAGGAAAACAACTTAACAGATTTCCTTCAAATTTTCACACATTTTCATGGTAGGAAATTCTAGAGCTAATTAGCTTTTAGGCGCCCATGTCGCAGCTCAATTCAAAGCAATTATAAATAAATGAAATGTATTTTTTGATAACTCAAATACCAGTTGCCAAAAGTGGTTCAAAATGTATGTACTGATACCTTACAGGCACAGAACATCCTCTTGAAAGAATTTCCAGGATGCCGCTGAACTCAAAATGGCCTCCGCTTTTCATGAAAAATATTATTTGTGAGATTCTGGTAAATAATCCGGTCTGAATTGTATCAATTCTGGGATGTGAACAGATGCTATAAGATGACAGAAAGAGGTTCCATTCTCAATTCATTTTCTTCATTATTATTGATATCATGATGGACCCAATTCCTGGTTTTATTTGCAAAATATACTTACTTCTGATCTTCTTTTCCCTCATTGCAGATAGAACCCCAACTCCCATCAAGATAAAAAACAATACACATTTCATCATTTTCAATGTTCACAATGTCTGGTACTTAATAATAACAAAGTCCAATCAATTCCTCTCACCTTCAAAATGAGAGAATTGTTTATGATGAAGTTTTTCTTTGAAAATAGCAAAGTTAAATCGAGCATATTGTAATTAATATTTAATAAAGACTGTAATAAAGAATGCTGATGAATATAATTTGTTTGTTTTACCTTTGATTAACCTTAACTTTAGTGCTGGTTCAAGGAACACCATTCTTCTATTTATTAATCTATTTTCATCACACTCAGGTACATGTAAAATGACATTGCATTTCAGTTATGAATTTGCTGTTTTGAAATAATGATCAGAAAAAGAAACGTATGATAAATACTAAATAATGTTCTTTCACATAAATTAAATATACAAAGTAAATTAAGTCTGTAAGTATATAAACTTGTATTAATCCACTATAGATTAGATATTTTAAAGAGTATAATATGATACATGTATATTCTCCGAATCCAGAGAAATGAAAACAGATATAATGAAGTTTTGGACCTAAACCACATGCAGATTAAGTCTTTGTGATTGGTCAACTCTGGCCAGCCCCCTTGTCAGCTAAGAAGTGAATTATCATTATAGACCACTCTGTTCTGCAACACAAAATAACTAATCTCATGATTAGCTTTTATTTGTGTACTAGAACTACAAACACCGGACTTGTCTCTGCTCTTTTACAATAATGTAACAAAGCTAGATAAATTGTTTTGCCAAATAATAGAATATCGTATTTTATTGTTAACATAATGTAACATTGTAAGTTGGGTAATAAAAAACAGGCCAAGCCGAATGATCATGAGGTTTTCACCAAAATTAAAGTAGAATAATCATTAGTTATTCAATGTTTGATTTTGACATTCAGGATATATTGCATTTAATACAATCAATTTTATAATGGGTCAACACATTGATTTCCACATCCATTAGAACAGCATTTCTTGCATCCTGCACAGTCTCTGTCATCGTTGCATTCATGTATGCAGATGCCAAATTTGTCACGATTACCATTAACCTGGGGACATTTCCCAGGCTTTGGACCCACTAGAAACAAAACATGTAATATTGAAAGGATGTATTTGGTTATCTAAAACTTGATATTGTAACTACCTTTTGTCACCAACCAATATACTTACAACCAATATACATAATTAGCTGAATGAACAATAAACTTACCGCAAGCCATTTCGGTGCAGCTGTACAGCCCAGAACTGTCACATGTGCACTTATTGCAGCAATCCCATGGACTTAGAAACAGTTTGCCAACTTGGTAGCATTTTGTTTCACCATCAATTTCAAAGCAGCACCCTACAAGTGGTTAAACATACAGTTATCAATTTAGTTAGAACTCAAATTTAAACATTTCCGGCCATGTTAAATTGAAAACATTGTGTTTATGACCCTAACTCGGCTCATTATCCTTTATTCTGCATCTCATTATACATTGTGCCTTAGTCATACATAGGATAAAAAACTTAAAAAGTACTACTTATTCAAAAAACAAAATGCTGCTTATGTATGAGTGACTTTGCAAAATGCTAAAAATCTAATACTTACTATTTCCTGCTCTTCTTACTGATAAAACCCCAAGTCCCAAGAATAGAAAAAGCAATATATATTTCATCATTTTGTTCACAATATTTGCCAAGTTGAAATAACTCCTCTTGGCTTCAAAATGAGAGATATTTATACAGAAATATTAATTATAAATTTGAAATAGGGAATGTTGATTCAAATGAATTGTTTGTTCTATTGTTATTACTTTAGATTAATAGCAAAACTGAATGGTTATCGCTGGCTCATTGCTCAAATGAATAATATACAAGGTGGGCTAGAAAATGACCACATTACAAGATAAGCTAACTCAATTTTTAAACAAGGTTAAAGTAGTTTATACCACAAACTAAAGATGGTTTTAAATAATATTGAATACAAGGATCTAAAAACATATAGGGTGTCCCAAAAAATGAGCCACTTTTTGACAAGTATTGTCTCAGCAACTGATGAACCAAATTCACTGAAAATGTGTACAAAGTAGCCCAAGAGTGACGGTTGCTTTAAAAATATGAAAAAGTAAATGTTATGTGAGTTCTAAGAAATTCAAGATAGCATGTCATAATAGCCCATACTATGAATGGATTTCGCTCAAATTTTCACACATATTATTACTAAATAAAAAGTTCTAGAGCTGATCAACCTTTCGGCAGCCATCTTGCATTCTGGTGGCCATCTTGGAAGTTTTTAGATAAATCTTGTCATTGCGATTTCAGGAAAACCACTCAACGGATTTACTCCAAATGTTCACACATGATACATGATAAGAAGTTCTAGAGCTAATTAACTTTTCGACGGCCATCTTGCATTCTGGTGGCCATCTTGGGAGATATTATTATATCAATCTTGTCATCACGATTCCAGGAAAACAACTTCACAGATTTTCTTCAAATTTTCACACATGCTACATGGTAAGAAGTTCTTGAGCTGATTAACTTTTCAGCCGCCATCTTGCATTCTGGTGGCCATTTTGGAAGCTTTTAGATAAATCTTGTCATCACAATTTCAGGAAAACCACTTAAAGGATTCACTTCACATGTTACATCGTAAAAAGAAGTTCTAGAACTGCCTAACTTTTTGGTGGCCATCTTGCTTTCTGGGTCATCAAGCCCACACTGCTATGTTTTAGGTACAATATTGTTCACCCTGTGCTTTGTTTAATTTTACAACTTGCCAATAATACTCTTAGGCTACTTTGTACACATTTTCAGTGAATTTGGTTTATCACTTGTCAGTATAATACTTGTCAAAAAGTGGCTCATTTTTGGGACACCTGATATATTTACAGCCAACCAAACTAACTCACTATAACTATAAATAGGCTAGAAAATATGTATTTTTGATAATTACCAGTTATCAGATTTGGTCTTAATTTTATAGACTGATATCTATGCAGACGACACCTCCATCTACTTACCCGTACCTATAGATAGTCCAATTCAGAACACACACAAAATCCTCCAAAAAGATCTTGACAATATTTTTAAATGGTCCCAAACTTGGAAAATGAACTCAAGCCTTCGAAATCAAAAGAAATAATATTTTGTAAAGAAACCGTCTATGAAAGGCCATATCCACTTTTGACACTTAATAACAATTCAATTGTCTGAGTCGATTCACATAAACATTTAGGCGTAACTTTTGATAAAAACTTAAACTTTAAAACTCATATAAACGAAGTCCGAGCAAAAATTGACAAACTACTAAATCCCCTATCAACATTGAAAATGAGGGTAAACTCAAAACATCTTGAAACAATATACACTTCTTTCATCCTCTCTAAAATCGAATACGGCTCTTTAATCTATGGTTCGGCGGCGCAAGGTGCTCTGGAACAACTAGACAAACTCCATTATAGAGAAGCCCTTATAGTTTCTGGGGCGATTTATGGTACGTGCAAGCAAAAATTATATAAATGTCTAAACTGGAAAACCCTAGTGGAGAGAAGAGAAGAAAAACAAAGTATTCACATGTTCAAAGTCCGATCAAATTTGACCCCCTCTTATGTAGTATTTATATATGAAAAACTGTCCAATCCTGGTGCCGAAAGGGAGCTCCGCTCCAAAAGAGAATATGTTTTACCCGTGAGAGCATCTGTAAAATTCCTAAATTCACCAGCCATAAAGCCTATCTCCATTTGGAAAAATCTTTCAACTGAAATAAAAACATCGCCAACCCTAGCAATCTTCAAGTAAAACTATAATAAGAAATATACATTTCATAAAAAGAATATTTTAACAAAAAATCTTAATATGAAAAGGTCTTCTGAAACTAAACTTAATAAAATAAGAAGCGACCTTGCCCTTAAAAGTGACTTTTTAGACATAATTTCAACAACATCATCGATCCTTCTTGCCCCTGCGGCACCGAGATCAAGATAAGACTCATCTTTTACTCGACTGCCCTTTAACCGCCATACATAGAAATGATTACATAGAGATCATCCTTAAGTTAGATAATCTTGATATTATGTGCTACTTTGGAAAAACAGAAAGCAAAAAATAGAATTTATACTTTATGGAGATGAAAATTTAAATAGTGAACTGAATACAAAATGCCTTCAACTATCTTCAAATTATATCGATAACATCTTAGAATGACCATTCTCCTCATTTCACATCATCTCTCATTAACATTCATATACATCATCATGGGCAAGACATGGTGGACGATCGTCTGCATGCAGGGAAGGGGATTGTTTCCATGGACTAAAACGTTAAACCCACCTATGCCCAGTCACAAGCCTGAGGAACCTGCTTTTATATCTAATGTGGATTTTTATCTTACCAACCATGACTTAAATATTAATATGGGTATTTCCTATAATTAATATATACTGGATTTTAACTTACCAAATATGACTTCAATATTAATATGGGTTTAAACCTATAATAAATTGAATACTGGATATGACAAATAAATAAAATCAATTATAATCTACCTACATGATGTAGATATCCAAATGTTGGTCTGAATTTATCTTTGTGGAAAGATCGTATGCTTCAGTTGCTCTTTAACAAAACATGTGGGACAGTGTATCTATATATTACAAGATGTCCGTTGCAATCCTACACACTCCAGTGATTTAGTTTATGTTTTTAACTTTCTAGAGGGGGGCCAATAATGCTATGTAGCCTCGACCCCTCACTATCTATGTAAATAATTATGTTGAATTATATAGAAATGAATAACAATAACCTAAAAAAGGAATAGGCAAAGTAATTCACAATATTATATAAAAATGAAATATATTTTTCTTTATATAGATTTGCAGGTGAATCACTCCGACAATTATTTTTATATCAAGTATAACAAAGCACAATAACACTACAGTATTATAAATAGACGTATATTTTGGTACGCAAATGACTTATATTAAGGATGAAGGGCAGATCAATGAAAAGGAAAATGCAATTTTGGTTCCGCCCTGTACGTGTACACTGTATATACAGTAGTATGCGGAATGAACTGCTATTTATTTACTAGACATGTGATGTCATTGTCCATACAAGCTGATGTTAAAAATATCTTGAATGACACACTTTGATATTCTGGGTTATAATGACATAGTTTCTCTCTTGTTTGAAACCCTTGCAGTTTTAAACCAATAATAATTTGATATGCATCTTTGTTGGAATTTCTGCATTTTGCTAGGTACATGTACAACCTGGCACTATATGGGAGAATGATTTTATCTAACAAACAAAACAAGATGGCGATGGAATAATGCTATCCTCAACTTTTCACAATTTTCCACTGTTTTTGTGACTATCAATTTTCATTCATCATCAAATTGTCACACAGTTTATTGTGTCAATTACTTTGCAATTGACTCCTGTCACAAATTGTATTTTTGCATGTGTTGGGCATTTATCAAGTTAATAGGTGAGGTTTAAAGATGTTTGAAAACAATTTGAGATACCTCTTACAAAATCCCACCCACATATAAAGATGTACTGTAAAACCTGTACATAGTGAACACCTATGGAGCTACAAAAAGTGTTCACTGAAGGTAGGTGTTCACTACAGAGAGGGGATTTTTTACAGGACTCAATGTAAAATGTGTCTTGAAGTGGTGTTTACTCAACATAGGTGTTCACTAAAAGAGAGGTATTCACTAAGACAGGTTTTACTGTAATATATTTAATTGTGTTTCAGGATACTCTTACGTATACTATAGAGGGAGCAACAAATGATGGCAAAAATTATTTCTCGCTCAACCCCCAGTCTGGAATACTATTCCTGACCAACACACTTCTACATACTGCCACAATGAGATATGATGTAAGTAGAATCACTATTACAGTATATAAAGAGCTTTTTGGAATTTTTAAAACTTAAATGTTCTATATATTTCTTAAGAATAAATCTTCTGCATGGTTCTCACTTACCCATGACCCATTCTATGCTAAAGCTATGTAAATTTAAGTTCAATTTGAACAGGTGAGATTATAATCGAAGAACCAAACTTTAACAATATTCTTGTCATATAACAGTATATATAAATAGAGCATATTTCTTGTAGTTCAAAGTTCAGGCATCAGACAAACAGGTGCCAGAGAGGAAACTGTTGGTCCCAGTTGTAGTATTCATTAGTAGGGATCTTCAGCCTCCAGTCTTCCAGGGCACTCCATATGTATTCAATGTGCCTGAGAACCACCCTGTCGATACAGAGCCATTCGATGGTGTTCTCGCCCAGGATCCTGATGGAACTGTGAGTTACTTAACCCTTTCACGACAATAGGCTCCATATGGGGCCCTTTTATGTAATACCGATAGGCTCCTTTTGGCACCAATATTTTTATTTACATACTTGTACATCAATGAAATGGCAATATCTCCAGTTCTATTCAGTATTTTTACACCAAATTTTGACAAGTTGTTGACATGTGATAATGCTCACTAAAAATAGTATTTTAGTGATAAAATTTAAAGTAAAGGTCCTGGGGTATGTGTAATTTCAGTCTTTACCGAGAAAACGCTCTTACTTATCGGTCACCAGGCCAACATTTTCCTCTTATTTCCACATCGGGAAAGGGTTAAAAGAACATTTTTGTCATAATAGAAAGTGAACATTATTGTCACAAAAGTTATTCAAACACCAAGTGATTTATTAGAATAAAATCCAATGATCCTGGATGAGTGAATATCAAATGAAAGGAACATTTATGAAGGAGACAATCATTTCTGTTATTTTTTTATTTTCGTGAACCAGACCATGAAATATCTTATTTTTAGATCATTTGTTTTATGTGATGAACTTACTTTTATTTTCCATCAATTCTATATCTAATTGTGTCATATAAATTTCTGGTAAGTAAACAGTCTTGTATGTAATGGTCTTGAAGTAATAATGATGATGGGCTTGCAAGGCTGCTACTTAGTTTATGAGTGGTTTGATGTGATAAGCATGGAGTGAATTTATATATTGATCAATATTTATCACTAATAGTTAATTTACATGTTAAGACTAAATTAACAGTATTCTTCAGTAAATCTATTTGATATTAATATTTCACACTAATATTATAAATAAAAGAAATCACTGTCTGAATAATGCATCCTCCTAAGCAGGTGTCCAGAATCCGTACCTCCTTTTTCCCCCCTGTTGTAACCAAATTGAAAGCGCCCAGTTAAACTGAGTCACGTGATCTAATTATGCACCAATGACATATACATGATTGAATCAAATTACGAGTTCTTAATCTGGGCAATGCTAACTGCTCATAGCAGGATGTAAAAAGAAAGAAGATATTCTGGATTTTGAAGCCCTGTGATCGGAGGATGGAATAATGTTTTGTGTAAAATTATCATAACCTCTGTATAATTTCCATACTTTCAAAATCTTTTAACCTTGATAATTGTATTCTAGGGAGAAATGAGATACAGATTGAAAGGAATTGCGCCTGCAACAGATTTCTTCAGAATTGATCCAAATACTGGGAAACTATATGTAATAAAGCCTTTGGATACCGAGACCACTCCAACATACACACTGAATGTTGGAGCAAGCAACACAGCAAATCCTAAAGTTGAGATTGACACAATCGTGACGATTAATGTAATCAGGAATGTGCACAAACCCATATTCTCGCCCCCAGAACGTAATGTCACGGTTGATGATGGGACACCCGAGGGAGAACCTATTGTTACAGTTACAGCCACAGATGCTGATCTTCCTGTAAGTTCTGAGGCACATATCAACAAGTGTGTTTATATTGAATACTATATCGGTTACATGCACAATATGTTTATTCACTTCAATTCATTATATTGTCAGTCATTTTACTTGGATATTATTAAAATAGTAGTCCTATCCTGTTTGTTAGTAAGCATAAATAAATACCTCACAATTTTATTGTAATGGTATTTGATGACCTGTTTAACCATATACAGGTCAGATTCAATATAAATTAATTTCATTCAACATGACGATTGTTTCTGTTTGTATTAAATAGACTTTGTGATAAATTATTAGTATTAATGATAATGATAAAATGATCCATTTATTTAACTGCTACAATTCTACTTCATTGTGTCCTTGAATCTCTTCACTGTCGGATTAGTAGAACAATTTTTATTTTTTAATTGTGTTATATATTCAGATATATTCCTTTATTTCAACATAAAGTCATCATTTCATTTAATATGTTCTTATCTTATTTTAGGGTCCCAAGAACACTATCAGGTATGAGGTTGTTGGAGATCCTAAATCAGAGGAGTATTTCTTTGCCAAACCTACAACTGGAGAGATAGTGATCATCAAAGATTTAGCTACAGATCCAGACTTCAACACCAAGTACACTGTGAGTTGATATTAGTCATACTATAAGATCAACTAGCTTATATAAAAGAATATAATTTGTAGTAAGCTTTTCCCAAATTATCTTCACTCTATCCCTTTCTTGTGATTAGATACCGAATAAATATAACATGCTTGATATGTTTTTTCTATAATCTGCTTTGTAATGTTAAAGTCGATCAATAAGTTATGAGAAAAAGACATTCTTATCCAGATTTTTATGAGATTTTAATGTCAAAATTCCACAAAAGATGTAACATTTGTTGTACATGTATATGTATATTTTCTACCGTTCGAGTATGTTCGATGAAGTTTGTAAAAAGACCCCAAACGGTTCTAAGTACGTCCAGTCCGTTCGTACACATTTGAAGCCCGTTTTGGAGAACGAAGTGAAAACTAGTTTGGTGTGATAGTAGGGTTAGATGTATATTTTCTAGGTGCTTGTGGAGGCTAAGGACAATGGTTACCCAGCACAGAGCAGCACTGCAACACTCTATGTGTATGTAAACCGCAACACTGAACCTCCTTCATTCCTGGGAGTAGATGGCTATGACAAACGGGTTCCCAACAACTGGCCAATTGGAAAGAAGATTGTTCAGGTCTCTGCAACTGATAGGGATGGCGAGGTAATTAACACTGTTTTGGGTGCATTTTTGTGGCTTTGGCCAGCATGATTTTTACCCTTTTTCTTTTGTGTCCTGCAAGAATCATCTCACCATTGCACCTTATACATTTCTTGAGCGCCTGTAATTATGTCATTGCAGTAAACTGCATGCACACAAAATTATAAGATGAGAAATACTTGTAATACATACTGTGGTGCACGTAACCATTTATGGTGAGAAACTTACAATCCATTCCCATTTTTAAGCTATAGCCTCATGTCAACAAATGTAGTCACCCCAGTTTGAGGTACATGTGACATTCTCCAGCTGAAACTACAATTGAACACATACTAGTCCTTGTTGATAACATTTCAGGGGGATAACATCAAAGTGACATTCCTTGTAAATGGAAAGGGAGCTGAAAGATTCCAGATTACCCCAGACACTGGTTTCATCAGTCTACATAGTTCACTTGTACCTGATCAGATAACTGCTGACAGAAAATATGAGGTAGGCTAAGTACTGGAACTGAATGTACTTCGGCTTACATGAATTTTCAGAAAAATGAATGAAAGGAGTCTTTCCGAGTCTTTTGAACAACAATTTTTAGGGATATTATTGACAAAAAGAATATGCAATGAAATCACATCATAAGTCATCATAATTACTATTTTTCTTGTAAAAAATAACTTTGATATTCTAAAAACAATACATGTATGAAACGGAGAGGAAACACATAAGGTCATACATGATAGAATTTCAAACTGACCAAATATTGGCTTTTTGAAAGTTAAACATTGCACATATTCTTCTACTACTTGAATGTATCTGGTCACTCATGCATTATCTATAGTCCAGCGCTTTAATTTTTTAGATATTGGTTGAAGCCAAAGACAGTGGAGTACCCAGCCTCACATCATCAGTGACAGTGACCATCACAGCCTACCCTAACAATAAGTTACCTGTCTTTGTACCTAAGGATGAATATGATGTCACTATACCAGAGGACACTAAGCCTGGTACCACTGTAGAGAATGTCACAGCTATAGGTAGGGAATACATCATTATTAAGCTATTTGATGTCTTGAGGAAATTCAATTTTATTCTGTTAATAATGGTTAAACTGTAACTAAGAATCCTATTTGGTTAGTTTCTTCACTATATTCCATCATGATGGCTGATTATATGTTTATGTTTTTATATGTAATGTGAAGTAAACTATGTGTATATGAATAAAAAATATTTACTAACATGAGGTATGTGCTGCTTCTAATCTTGAGATTGTCACATTATCTCAAAATTTTTTTAGCCTTTTCCCAAGGCTTATGCAGTGATCTCCCCAGCACTAAAGCAAGTGGGTGCAGCACCCACCTGAAGTTTTGAAAATAGGCTTGCACCCAACTGAAAATACATTTGCACCCACTTGAAAATGATCATGAAAAATTGGCATGCTGAATTGTGAAGAGAAGAATTTTGCACCCATCTGAGAAAATGAGAAAAATTCCTGGGGAGATCACTGCTATGTGTTAGACTGTACATGAATGTGTTATATGTTGTTTCATAGATGATGACTGCCCAGTGGCGTATGAGATAGCTGGAGATGGCCAAGCACCAAACTTCTTCATCATCAACCCTGACACAGGAGTTGTGAAACTGAATGCTTCTCTTGAGGGAGATTATAATGAGATGTATTCTGTAAGTACTGAAGATGAGATTCATGATATTAAGATTGGAGTTGTGGCCCATTGGCTGATGAAACTCTGTTTAAAACATCCCATAGTACTAGTATGTGAATATGGGCAAACGCAAAAAATGACTTTCAGTTCAGAAAACATGTGGTAAGACTAGCATTAGATAAATGTAACTTGCCATAAATGTAACAAATAAGTGAATGTTTGTTTATTTGTTATTTAAATTACATGTTCTTCAAATATTATCTTTGCTCCAGATACGTGTGATAGCCTATGATTCATGTGACCCGAGACAGACCAATGTAGCCCTAGTGAAAGTGCATGTAGAGCGTAACAAGAATAAACCAAAATTCACCAATGCCAATGTTAATGTGACAATCCTTGAGACTTACCCTTTAGGCAAGAATGTCACCCAGCTGTTTGCCACTGATAAAGATCCTGTGAGTAGAGTAGCTAATTAGTGACTCATTGTACTATCCAGTTTTAGTTTAACTTGAGTGATGTTCTCCAAATCAGACGCAATTTAAAATCAAGCATGTTTTTCATAACAAGCATTCCAATTTCCAAATACAGTGTCAAATCTTATATTGGAGGCTATTGTGAAAATTGGGACTCAATCTCCTGATTCCCTAGTACATAATGATGCAGTAAAAGTTCGTAACTTGGACCCGATACTTTTATTGAGATAAACACTAAGAAAACAGTTTCACATTTAGGTTTTCTTTATACTTTTTACATACTTTATACTTTTTTTTTGATGTAATATTCAAGTTTGGAGTATGCAACTATTTTGTCTTTTAGTATATATACAATAACATGTATGATATTGATTAACATTATTTTAGGGTGTTAATGGTGAAATAACTTACCATCTGATTAACACAAATGGTGTGGAAGATTACTTTTACATCAACCCCAAGACAGGTGTAATTGTGGTTACTACACCACTGACTCAGGAACCCCAGAAGAACAGACAATATGTGGTAGGTGCTAGCCATTTCATTCATTTGGGTGACTAAAATTTATTGCTGAATACACCGTCACTCTATCTACAGTACCTTCCCTAGAAGGAGTAACAGTTCAGTAGTACAGGGTGATCAATAAATAAGGTAAAAGTATCTGGCATTTCTTCAGATTTTACCCAATCCTCATAAAATTTGCACAGAATAATGTTTAAACATTATTGAATTGATTTATAAAGTTACAGATCAAAGTGATGTGATTGGTTGAAGTTATAGTTGCCATAGCAACAGAAAGCATGAAGACCCGGGGCAACTTTCAAAAAACTAAATTTTCAGTCGAAACACTTTTGATAATATATTTCAAATCACGATTAAAATGACATATCATATTCTTATTTCATACTTCATAACTGCTACTTTTAACATATAGTTCATGTCTTCTACTCCAGTCTTTGTTTTAAACCCATTTTCCCATAGCCTTCAAATTTTCAAGACAACTGGCTTCAAGTCATCCCATGAAAAACTCTCTCAACTCCCTCTTCAGCTCACCATGACGGTAAAATCATAAAAGGACAAGTCAGGAGAGTATAGTACATGACCTAACAGTGGGAAACCCAGTGTTTTAATGGTTTGTACCTTGAGAATAGCATTGTGAGACGGAGCATTATCCCAGTGCAATGTGAAACATTTTGCAGGCCTCTAAGTCTTAGCTTCTTCCTCTTTTCTCTCATCAAATCTCTTGTGTGGGTATTGTTTTTCATCATAGACCTGTGTCATAGACTTGCTATGGTCACATCAGCTTTCATTATATAATTATTAATCTTTTCCGTGACATCAAACATCAAATTTGCAAATATATAATAAATATGTAACAATGTAAACAAAGTATTGAAACAATTAATGCTGGCACCCACATTTATGTCTTTTCAGTTTGAAAAAGATGTGATTTTTATAAATTTTTTGTTCAAATTGGACGCAATGAAATTGCCCCGGGTACCCCCGACTCTAGTTGCCATAGTAACTATAATATTAACCAATCAGATGGCAGAAGTTATATATTTATATGTTATAATTTAGAAATGTACAAGGTATATTCTGACCAAATTTCAGGATGTTTGGACCAATATTTACAAAATGCCAGATACTTTTACCTTATTTATTGATCACCCTGTATACCATTAGAATTACATGTAACAATTTTTGGAAACATTTATTTAGAATTGATATTCAACTTTTCAATCACATGTTTTATTACCCATGGAGCCATCTTCATCAATTTCAGTTGATTCCCCTTGATATTCCAAAAACTTTTTATGAAAAACACTAGATTGATCCCTAATACATATAGGTTATTTCATGCTAAAATTCATATTGAAAATCAAGCATGAAATAACCTTTTTATTCCATAATTTAATTTTTGAGAAATCAAGGAAAAGGATATATTAAAGAAAATTGAAAAAATGAAAATTTTTGGAAAAAATGAAATTTTTGAAAAAATGAAAGTTTTTGAAAAAAATGAAAAGGACGATTCTCGGTTTGGAGAGCGAAGTTCATCAATCTAAATGAGCATTATCCCTGCTTCGGACAAATTTGATTTTTTTACATAATATAGATTTGAATGTCTTCTTTTGAATAGTCATAATTTAATTTGGTTAATATTTCTAGATTTTTCGCAAAAAAAATATTAGCGCAGTACACTGATGAACTTCTTTCCCCAAATCGAGACTTGTATTTTATTGAATCGGTCTAATTGAGCGTTATCCCTGCTTCAGACCAATTTGTTATTTTTACATCTTGTAGATTTAAATGTCCTCTTTTGAATATTCATAGTTTAATTTGGGTAATATTTCTATATTTTTCATGAAAAAAATTATTAGCCCAGGAGACTGTTCTCCAAACCGAGAATCGTCCTTTTTGAAAAAAATGAAAGTTTTGAAAAAATTATTCAAAAATGAAATTTTTTAAATGAAAATCTTTGAAAAATTGCAATTTTTTGAAAATATGAAAATTTCTGAAAAAAAATATAATTTTTCCAAAATTGGAAAAATCAAATTTTTTGGGGAAAAAATGAAAAATTGGAAGAATGATTTTTTTGATAAAATAGGGACAATATGATTTTTCGAGTATATATGATTTTTTTCCAGGGACAATATGATTTTTAGAGTATATATGATTTTAAGAGGGATAATATGATTTTATTTCCCAGGGAAAACAGAAGTATTATGGAATAAATTCAGTTATTTTCTGTTCCAGTTGAATGTACAAGCCATGGATGGTGGACGCCCCCCAAAATCTGCCCCTGCACAGGTGGTGGTAAATGTATTACGTAACAAGAATGGTCCTACATTTACGACTCCTGCAAAGACAGTGAACATATCTGAGTCTAAACAAGTTGATCAGAGTATTCTGGAACTCGATGCTACAGATATCGATGGGGTAATTATTTAACTTTGAATATAAGAAGTTCCATAAAGAAATGCTTACCAAACGAGTTATTATGAGTACATGTCATCAACGATATTTAATCAATCATTTGGGATTGGAATATACTTGAATATCTTTAATATATACTAAACAATTTAAGGGTAGTTAACAGGTGTATTTTACTCTTCTCCTTGATATGTTCAATGTAATATATATTTGTACATGTGTCCATTGATGGTTTAGAATTGATAAAATAGAATAGCACTACCACATTTCCCGTTCAAAATGGTCAGTTAAAGTCAATTAAGGTTGTACATTATTCTTAGTCTCTGACTCTTTGTGTGTATGTTTTGTAGGATTCCATAACATATGAGTTAACAGGTGACTCTCCAGGACTGTACTACTTCAAGATTGATCCTGGTACTGGCATATTATCCTTAAAGCGCCCCCTTTTTGGTGGTATACTTACGCAGTATGTGGTATGTACATACAATTCAGAACTATCACTTTATACAATCTGGGTAAAGGAAAAACCAGGATGGGCCAAATTTGTTGATTGAAATATCTGTCTGATGATTTTATTTTTCTGCAAGCATTCTGTTTATATTTGGCACACCGATGTAAACAATACTAATATGTACCTGTACTTATATTCTTTCTAGTTGCATGTTATTTTTGCTTTCAAGAAGCATTTTGTAATTATGTCTTTTATTCTGTTTTGTTCTGTTGAAAAGTCATGCTTAAAATCCTTTATTTTAAAGCTCGATGTCACAGCAACAGATAGTGGCAAACCTCCATTGAGTGCCACCACGACTATTACAGTGAATGTGGAGCGTAATCCGAATGGACCTAAGTTTGGTGAAGCAAAATATTCCAAGACAATCCCTGAGTATTTTCCACCAATAGTGGAAACTGTCATACAACCTGAGGCTGAGGATCTGGATGGAGATGTAAGTTTTGTCTTTTGAATGTCCTCTGCTATAATTCAGTTGATTTATTAATCTGTTCATTGCTCCATTAGTCATTTTAGAAGATTCCATTTGCCATGTTACATACATTTTCTCGTATCATTCAGATTCAAATTCAGTCATTATTTGTACGTCAGATTGAAAACACTGCCCAGTATACTTATACCTGTACATCAAAGTGCTTTGACTTTTAGAAAAATGAAGTAATGCATACTTATCGGCTATTATATTGGCTACTTTTTGCGATTTCATCTTTGATACAGAGATGTTTTATGTAAAGTAAATAACTGCTGTACATGTACTAGATATTAAAGGTAAACACTGTTCAATACTTGTATGAGCTTGCCTTTGTCTTTAGCTATTGTCATTTTTAATTGTATCTATTGAATAATTGGAATTAAAAACCTACTCCCATATTGGATGCCACAGGTATGCATCATCCTCTTATTTCTATTATGTGATGTTTCAGTCTGGTCCGGGTGAAATAACATACACCCTAGAGCCTGTAGATGGAGATGATGATGTCTTGGACTTCTTCGTGGTTGGTCCAAAAACAGGGGAAGTCTTTGTCGCCAAGTCTTTGACCTCTGACCCCCAGAAGCGACCTAAATATGTGGTAAGATATCTACTTTTCCCAATCAATAGACAAAAGTCGGTGTGATCATGGGCAACTAGAAGGGTAGGCAACTTCCCATATTTCATTCATAAGCACTGCCTTTGGGTTTTCAAAATTGGAGAATGTACACATTCCAAGAAAATCTTATTTTGTCCTTTTTAAGGATGATTTGAAGAAATACGGTAATTCAAAAATAAAAACATCATTATCTTCATACATGTTGATAATTTAATAAAAAATGGAATTCATCGTAATTATGAAAATACAGAAAGTGAACATTCTCCCACAAATTATATTTTTATTGGAATGTGTTCTTGAATAATTATTAATTACCCACAGTGCAATACTTGAAGAGAACATTTTTTGATACCTCTTTTTCTTATTGGTCTTTTTTTGTTTACTTTTACATGAGATTGAAAGCCCATGGTGTGATATGTTTGTTTATATTTGTACAAGTTTCAGGATTCAGATTATTTGCAATGGCTACATGTACTTGTATCATTCCAATGGAAGTGAAATGCAATTCTTTTTAAGCAAATTGTTCTGTTAATGACTATAGACTTGTATCATTTTCTGTCAATGATCAAGCAATCAGTAAAAAATGAGCTTCAATCTTTGAAATGAAAATATGAGAGGTGTCATGTCACTGCAAAAACTTTTTGTGAATGGTGTTTGGGGGTTGGCATTTGGTGGTTGGAGGTCGTTGTCTGTAACAAATGGCAGTAATGACATTTTGCATGTTAATGCCTAGGTAGTATTTTCCATGTCTCACTCTAATTTTAGTTTGACATTGTTGCAACTGACAATGGTCTACCCAAGCAACAAGACAGATCCAGAATCACAATAACAGTTCTCCGCAACTCCAATGCTCCCCAATTTGTGAACGCCACCTATACAGCATTAGTTGATGAAAGGGAGATTCCAGGTTTTGTTGTTGTTGGGGTTGAGGCAACAGATGCTGATGCAGAATTGCAACCAAATGTAAGTTAAGGCCAATATGAAAGAACGCTTGTGAAGTATGTGATGAGTAATGTTTATTTGGGTATTTCAGAGCCCTGACAGCCAACTAGTCTATTCTGTTGATCTATTTGTGTATTTCAGAGCCTTGACAGCAAATTTTCGATTCCATTTATCCACATTTGTATTTTAGAGCCCTAACAGCCAAATATAATATATTCTATTGATCCTTTTGTGCATTTTAGACCCCTAACCGCAAAATAATATATTCCATTGATTTATTTGTGTGTTTCAGCCAAATTATACATTAGTCTGTTCCATCGATCTGTTTGTGTATTTCAGAGCCCTAACAGCCAAATAGTCTATTCCATCGATCCTAACAATGTCAAGGCAAATCAATATTTTGCTATCCAACCCCAACTGGGCAATGTATACATCAAGAAGCAATTGATTGAAGACCCTAACACTAGACAGTACCAGGTATGTTTCGTTTGGAGATCCACCTGTATACTTTAATACAGTTTATTGAATGTAAGAAAGGTAAATGCCTTTAAGAAATAATATCCATGTTGTAATATGTATTCATAAGAGTTGTTCATTACCCTTAGATGGGTAAGACTGCTCCCTCTGATAGGACAAAACAGTTTCCAGTTGGACATGTAGCAGCCTCCGTCTTGCATCCAACTAGCATATGGGGGTAATGGTACATGTACTATTCTTTGGTCGACAGCTCATTAGGATGGTTATTTAATTCTTTTTTACTTTTAGTAACGAGGTCCCCACCTCCTTAACTTTTTATTCAGCATATGTCATGAAATAGGTTGGATTGTGTGTAATTGAGAAATATTACAAGTATCTATTAATTACAATACAAACCTATTCCATGACCAGAGGCCCAACCAGCCTCCCCGCTTTTGGGAAAATTGAGGTTTTTATTTTGTTAGTGTATTAAATATGAATACATAATGAGTTGGAGATCGATATTGGCCACTTGGGCCAGTCCACTTTTTATAAAGGGGTGTTTTTTAGACTTGCCAATTACTCCATTTAAGGGGAGTAAGCATATGTCATGGAATAATAGAAAATTTACTTGTAAAATGTCTTATTTCTGTCAATGATTAAGCAAAAAGTAAAAAAATGAGTCTCAATCTTTGAAATGAAAATATGAGAGGTGTCATGTCACTGCAAAAACTTTTTGTGAATGATGTTTGGTGGTTGGCATTTGGTGGTTGGAGGTCGTTGTCTGTAACAAATGGCAGTAATGACATTTTGCATGTTAATGCCTTGCTTATATTTTCCATATGTCTCACTCTAATTTTAATTTCAGTTTGACATTTTTGCAACTGACAATGGTCTACCCAAGCAACAAGGCAGATCCAGAATCACAATAACAGTTCTCCGCAACTCCAATGCTCCCCAATTTGTGAACACCACCTATACAGCATTAGTTGATGAAAGGGAGATTCCAGGTTTTGTTGTTGTTGGGGTTGAGGCAACAGATGCTGATGCAGAATTGCAACCAAATGTAAGTTAAAGCCAATATGAAAGAACGCTTGTGAAGTATGTGATGAGTAATGTTTATTTGGGTATTTCAGAGCCCTGACAGCCAACTAGTCTATTCTGTTGATCTATTTGTGTATTTCAGAGCCTTGACAGCAAATTTTCGATTCCATTTATCCACATTTGTATTTTAGAGCCCTAACAGCCAACTAGTCTATTCTGTTGATCTATTTGTGTATTTCAGAGCCTTGACAGCAAATTTTCGATTCCATTTATTCACATTTGTATTTTAGAGCCCTAACAGCCAAATATAATATATTCTATTGATCCTTTTGTGCATTTTAGACCCCTAACAGCAAAATAATATATTCCATTGATTTATTTGTGTGTTTCAGCCAAATTATACATTAGTCTGTTCCATCGATCTGTTTGTGTATTTCAGAGCCCTAACAGCCAAATAGTCTATTCCATCGATCCTAACAATGTCAAGGCAAATCAATATTTTGCTATCCAACCCCAACTGGGCAATGTATACATCAAGAAGCAATTGATTGAAGACCCTAACACTAGACAGTACCAGGTATGTTTCGTTTGGAGATCCACCTGTATACTTTAATACAGTTTATTGGATGTAAGAAAGGTAAATGCCTTTAAGAAATAATATCCATGTTGTAATATGTATTCATAGGAGTTGTTCATTACCCTTAGATGGGTAAGACTGCTCCCTCTGATAGGACAAAACAGTTTCCAGTTGGACATGTAGCAGCCTCCGTCTTGCATCCAACTAGCATATGGGGGTAATGGTACATGTACTATTCTTTGGTCGACAGCTCATTAGGATGGTTATTTAATTCTTTTTTACTTTTAGTAACGAGGTCCCCACCTCCTTAACTTTTTTATTCAGCATATGTCATGAAATAGGTTGGATTGTATGTAATTGAGAAATATTACAAGTATCTATTAATTACAATACAAACCTATTCCATGACCAGAGGCCCAACCAGCCTCCCCGCTTTTGGGAAAATTGAGGTTTTTATTTTGTTAGCGTATTAAATATGAATACATAATGAGTTGGAGATCGATATTGGCCACTTGGGCCAGTCCACTTTTTATATAGGGGTGTTTTTTAGACTTGCCAATTACTCCATTTAAGGGGAGTAAGCATATGTCATGGAATAATAGAAAAGGAGGGCGAGTTGTTTGTAGAATGAATCGGGGGATTTTTTTCATGAATTTCGCTTATGTTTTTCATCCAAAAAACATCAATACACTTTAAAACATTTTGTTTACTTTAAGATTACACCATGTAATCCAAAAATATATTTCTCATTTTCAAAGATAATCCATGGATTAACACCCAGGTATTTTTATTTTTCAATCTTCAGAGGGCTGGGAATCAATGATGCTCAACGCTTTTGAATACGATAAATGCTGTTTTAAATAGGTTTTACGTATGCCAATAATTTCTCAAATTATGTAAGCTGAATGCATTCCTTAATCCCTAGAATGCCTATCATAATAACATTCTTTTGTCTTGGCCACTTAATATGTTTTGTTGCTGTCTGATCATCAAATCAAATTGTTGTTATTTAAAGATGTCAGTCAAATCTGGTGAAACAGCACAACATTTACCTAAATAGCACGAGTACATATTATGTAACTCATTCATAATATTTCATGCATCAGGTATTAAGGCTTAGGGGATTAACTTTTACACATAAACTGAACTGACAGATGTGTATGCTTACATGTACAACTTCCAGGATTGTAAGAATTCAAAACTTGTTGATAGCCATATTTTCCTGAATGTGACATCGAGATATTATGGCATTTATGAGTGGTAAAACATGAAAAAAGCATTTTCATTTAAAATTAGCATATGATTTGAATTGATGCCAAGAAATGTATTAGTTAACTGTATCCGTTTTACATCCATTGCAGTTGGCTACATTATAAGACAAGGCAGTCACATGCAAAATGTCAACACCTGCCATTTGTTACAGACACCAACTGCCAAACACCAACTGCCAAATGATAAACACCAACTACTGAACACCGTCCACAAAAGAGTTTGAGACCATAACAATATGTCACCACTTGTGGTGGTGACATAAAAATGATCATGGAAAATTGTATTTTTTAAAAAAAGTAGGAACTTCTGAGGTTATTAGAAAATTGGAAGACAAGGAAGGATTCTGGGAAGGATATTAGGGTTATAAATTGCAATAAAACTAAAACAAAACATTCTTTTTCTCAAATATCACAGTGTATATTCAAATCACAAATACGATATCATACAATTACAATAAGGGTCTAGTGCACTTTCCATTATGATATCCCCATGAACAAAATGAATCATTTTTAGGTGTAACATAAAGAATACAATGTCACATAATACTGTGGAAAATATTTGAGCGTTTGGACCCACATGGGCTGAGGTTGAGGTCATTTATTTCAGCAAGGGTGTATTGACTTGCCATTGAATGGGCTCCATTGACTTAACATGTGGATATCATCAATTCCAATAGAGGCCATTGGTTTCTATTGATTTTCACAAAAATACCTACAATACACTATGGCCTGAATCGATTGCAAATTAAATAATTTCACAGTATGACACAAATGGTATATCACAAATATAAAGTTTGCAATCGATTCAGGTCATACTTCAAATTAAAAGATTATACATTTTTTCCATCATTTTTTTCCTACAAAATGGCTATAGAAAAATGCTTCAAAAGCAACTTTTATACTAATGAAATCCCATACAACTTTCTAAATCCAAAGATTATACTGTTATGTTTCATTAATTAATAACATATTTGGATAATATGTTTGGATGTGTAGGATGCAAATGGATTTTGACAGACACAAAAAGACTTCTTGGTTTGGCATCTCTACCCCTGTACACTTTATGATTGAATATTGGCCCTAATAAGTGGCCCATTCATCAATACAGTGCTGAATATAGGTCAACAAGATACTAGTGTACATATAAATGTAATAATACCTATAGCAAGGTCTGAATATTAAACTCCAGCCAAATAGAGCCACCACAATATTTCAACCTTTGTAACCCTTGCAAAAAGATTTTCTTGCAATGAAAATGTGAAAATAGCTTAGGGTACTTGTAAGCCAATCTGATTTTAGGTAGACATGTCTCGATATTTTTCAATAATTTTCATGATTATAAATACCGATAATCAATGAAAGGGACAATATTTTCACATTTGTAATTGTATGTGTATGCATGGTCCATGTGTATGTTACCATAATTCTTTATATCCACTTAGAATGTCAAAAATATTGCCCAATTAATAATTATCAGATAATTTATTCATCACCAAAATTAGTAAAAATTATCAACATGCAGAACTACCTTAAAGAGTTTAATCTCTCACTCAGTCACAATCATGTCAACCAAAACTGTACTTGTGTTACATAATATAGGATTATACAGCTTACCATACGTGTGCAATCTATATAGCATCCACACTGACATCTTTACAGAATCATATATAATTTTTGAATATAAACTAACTCAACCCAATAAGGCGAGTACTAAAGAATTTACTTACCTGCCATCTAAAAATCTGCTTGGAACTACCATTCATCCCATTGGATTACCATTGGATTCCTCCAAGAGAATATTCTAGGGATTATGGAATGCATTCAGCTTACATAATTTGAGAAATTATTGGCATACGTAAAACCTATTTAAAACAGCATTTATCATATTCAAAAGCGTTGAGCATCAATGATTCCCAGCCCTCTGAATTTTGAAAAATAAAAATACCTGGGTGTTAATCCATGGATTATCTTTGAAAACGAGAAATATATTTTTGGATTACATGGTGTAATCTTAAAGTAAACAAAATGTTTTAAAGTGTATTGATGTTTTTTGGATGAAAAACATAAGCGAAATTCATGAAAAAAATCCCCCGATTCATTCTACAAACAACTCGCCCTCCTTTACTTGTAAAATGTCTTATTTCTGTCAATGATTAAGCAAAAAGTAAAAAAATGAGTCTCAATCTTTGAAATGAAAATATGAGAGGTGTCATGTCACTGCAAAAATTTTTTGTGAATGGTGTTTGGTGGTTGGAGGTCGTTGTCTGTAACAAATGGCAGTAATGACATTTTGCATGTTAATGCCTTGCTTATATTTTCCATATGTCTCACTTTAATTTTAATTTCAGTTTGACATTGTTGCAACTGACAATGGTCTACCCAAGCAACAAGGCAGATCCAGAATCACAATAACAGTTCTCCGCAACCCCAATGCTCCCCAATTTGTGAACGCCACCTATACAGCATTAGTTGATGAAAGGGAGATTCCAGGTTTTGTTGTTGTTGGGGTTGAGGCAACAGATGCTGATGCAGAATTGCAACCAAATGTAAGTTAAGGCCAATATGAAAGAACGCTTGTGAAGTATGTGATGAGTAATGTTTATTTGGGTATTTCAGAGCCCTGACAGCCAACTAGTCTATTCTGTTGATCTATTTGTGTATTTCAGAGCCTTGACAGCAAATTTTCGATTCCATTTATCCACATTTGTATTTTAGAGCCCTAACAGCCAAATATAATATATTCTATTGATCCTTTTGTGCATTTTAGACCCCTAACAGCAAAATAATATATTCCATTGATTTATTTGTGTGTTTCAACCAAATTATACATTAGTCTGTTCCATCGATCTGTTTGTGTATTTCAGAGCCCTAACAGCCAAATAGTCTATTCCATCGATCCTAACAATGTCAAGGCAAATCAATATTTTGCTATCCAACCCCAACTGGGCAATGTATACATCAAGAAGCAATTGATTGAAGACCCTAACACTAGACAGTACCAGGTATGTTTCGTTTGGAGATCCACCTGTATACTTTAATACAGTTTATTGAATGTAAGAAAGGTAAATGCCTTTAAGAAATAATATCCATGTTGTAATATGTATTCATAAGAGTTGTTCATTACCCTTAGATGGGTAAGACTGCTCCCTCTGATAGGACAAAACAGTTTCCAGTTGGACATGTAGCAGCCTCCGTCTTGCATCCAACTAGCATATGGGGGTAATGGTACATGTACTATTCTTTGGTCGACAGCTCATTAGGATGGTTATTTAATTCTTTTTTACTTTTAGTAACGAGGTCCCCACCTCCTTAACTTTTTATTCAGCATATGTCATGAAATAGGTTGGATTGTATATAATTGAGAAATATTACAAGTATCTATTAATTACAATACAAGCCTATTCCATGACCAGAGGCCCAACCAGCCTCTCCGCTTTTGGGAAAATTGAGGTTTTTATTTTGTTAGTGTATTAAATATGAATACATAATGAGTTGGAGATCGATATTGGCCACTTGGGCCAGTCCACTTTTTATAAAGGGGTGTTTTTTAGACTTGCCAATTACTCCATTTAAGGGGAGTAAGCATATGTCATGGAATAGGTTTGTATTGTAATTAATAGAAAATTTACTTGTAAAATGTCTCATTTCTGTCAATGATTAAGCAAAAAGTAAAAAAATGAGTCTCAATCTTTGAAATGAAAATATGAGAGGTGTCATGTCACTGCAAAAACTTTTTGTGAATGGTGTTTGGTGGTTGGCATTTGGTGGTTGGAGGTCGTTGTCTGTAACAAATGGCAGTAATGACATTTTGCATGTTAATGCCTTGCTTATATTTTCCATATGTCTCACTCTAATTTTAATTTCAGTTTGACATTGTTGCAACTGACAATGGTCTACCCAAGCAACAAGGCAGATCCAGAATCACAATAACAGTTCTCCGCAACTCCAATGCTCCCCAATTTGTGAACGCCACCTATACAGCATTAGTTGATGACAGGGAGATTCCAGGTTTTTTTGTTGTTGGAGTTGAGGCAACAGATGCTGATGCAGAATTGCAACCAAATGTAAGTTAAGGCCAATATGAAAGAAGGCTTGTGTAGTATGTAATGAGTAATGTTTATTTGGGTATTTAAGAGCCCTGACAACCAACTAGTCTATTCTTTTGATCTACTTGTGTATTTCAGAGCTTATTCCATTTATCCTCATTTGTATTTTAGAGCCCTAACAGCCAAATAATCTATTCTGTTGATCCATTTGTGCATTTTAGAGCCCTAACTGCAAAACAGTATATTCCATTGATGTATTTGTGTATTTCAGAGCCCTAACAGCCAAATAGTCTATTCCATCGATCCTAACAATGTCAAGGCAAATCAATATTTCGCTATCCTACCCCAACTGGGTAATGTATACATCAAGAAGCAATTGATTGAAGACCCTAACACTAGACTGTACCAGGTATGTTCTATTTGGAGATCCACCTGTATACTTAAATACAGTTTATTGAATGTAAGAAAGGTAAATGCCTTTAAGAATCCATGTTGTAAGAGATAATTATAGGATATCCTATGATTTTGAGGAATATCATTTTTATCTACGAGGTGATATTGATATCTGCACGAGAGAGCGAAGCGAACGAGTGCATTTATCAATATCACCGAGTAGATTAAAATTATATTCTGAAAAAATCATAGGATGTTCTTATTATCCTACACTTACAAGGAGTGTTCTAAATGTATAATATCATTGCAAAATGAATTCCATGCCAAATAGAGTCAATTTGGCGGGAAATCAACAAGCGGAGTATATCGTCACAATATCCTCCGCATATTGGGGTTTCCGGAGTATATCGTCACGATATCCTCCGCCCGGAGTATATCGTTACGATATCCTCCGGATATTCATTTTGCCAATAAATATCAAATTTATTTTTTAATGTTATTATACATTTAGTACACTAAGTGTAGGATAAATAGAAATATTGTATAGTGTTGAATTTGTCCTAAAATCCACTTTGGCAAAAATAAAGACTGGTAAATTAAAATATGCCTATTGTACATTTAAAAGACGTACAATGAATTTGAACGTGTGAATTAAATTATGAATTAGAAAATATTAATGTGTGAAGATTTGTTACTGAATGTTTGTAGTACATATACATGTGAAATAGTATTGTTTTTCAACCTATTAGACATTTTTGACCTGAAGGATTTCATCTGTGCCATGTTTTATTAGTTTGATGTACTAGCAAGAGACCTTGGGTCACCTCAGCAAACAGGTAGAAGCACTGTCATAATTGATGTCATTAAAAACAGTGAAATTGGAACATATGATCTTGGTTTCTCTGTGCCTGAGCACTAGTGAGTAAACAGGAATCTACCATTTGCATGTCATGTAGTTTTACAATTTGGTTTATATTTTAGGTGACTGGTATCCATTTCTCAACAAATGTTTTATTAAATTATTTCACACACAAGAGGAAATGAAGTTTGTTCTTGAGAAATGGTTTTATTTTACTAAAAGTTTATTTGCATATTTTTTCTTTTGCATGTAGCATTCTGCATTAGGAATTTATGTTAGAACTTTATGTTATGCATGCTGCTCATTATATTTTAGGCTATAGATTCTATAGTATTATTCTGCCATACTTGATTTATATTTTGGATGAGCCTATGGAGAAGGCACTAGAGCATGTACAGGGTGTTCAAGAATTGTGCTTATTTTTTTGCTGACTTGGGGCACCCTGTAAACTCATAAGTCATCCATCTTCTATGCTTCATTGCTTCAATATGTTGTAAAACCAATTTGCATTTTACAAAACTTGCAAAATAAAAATCAATCACATAAGATCACATAAACAGCTAAAAAAAGAATAGAAAAAACTCAGTCCTTAAAAGTGTAAAGACACTAGTCTTTTGTACTGGTCAGCTATTTGATGTTAAAGTTATATCAACATACCAAATCAAATCATTAGATAGGGGTTTTACCATTTAAAAAGTGGTGAAGAAATTTGCTACCATGCAAAACTCCCAAATTTAACTTAGGTTAGTATTGCATTCAAATTGGTTTTACAAGTAGGTTGTTTTGGTGTTTATGTAGTCCACAAGTGAATGTATTATGGGTGCATGGGTTTTTTCTCCTATATTTCAGTTCTTAGTCATGGCTAGTGATAGCGGGATTCCATCATTGAGTACTACTGCTAGTGTCACCATTAATGTGGAGAGGCATGAACGTAATACTGATAGTCTAGAATTAGGTTTCAGTCTGGAAAATTATTAGTAAGTTTAGTAATTGTTCAGCATATCTTCAGGGTTGCTTTGGCATGTTTCTCTTTTATATACACTATGTTGTTTTTGCATGTTATAAAATTTGTGATTTTTATTTTTGGATTTTAATTGCTGTATGTCGGATATTAATTAAAAACGAATATTCAAAATGTCTTATTATTGATGTATGGATTTAAATTATTAAATGTACATGTAATTAAGAATTCTATTTTAAGTCATGTCAATGTTTTAATGTTATAATTATTAAGCTATTATTTATCCGAATATGACATTATATATATGGTTTATTCATGCAGTGTTAGAGTGTATGAGGAGCTAACAATTAATACAACCATACGGGAACTAAATGTCATTAACCAGGCTACAGATAAGAATGTTGTTTGTGAAATAGATGAAGGAAATGATGAAGGTAAATACAGATGTGAACTGTATACTTGGTGATACACATTGTTCTACTGCACCCTTTGTCTTTAAAATTCTTATTTCCTAATCATTGCGTTATCCCCATTTATACTATTCTGACTCTGAATTGGAAAAGCTGCACTTGCTGTATTTAAAGAGTTAATTACAAATGGTACTGCATGTTGTAAAAGAATGTTTATTTATCTAGAATGAAATTAATTATTTTCAGGAGTAAGATGTAACATGAAGATCCTTTCATGATATTAATTGAAGTTAAACAAAAAATAATTGAAGATATTTCAGAGTAGATTTGTGTATTTCTTTACCATGTATCTTACGATTTCTGTATATAGTGGTACTATGTTTACAGGCCACTTTGCTGTCATATCAACAAATTTTAAGAAAGACTGTGCCATTGTTAATCGTAACGAACTAGACAGAGAGACAACAAGTCGATACAACCTTACCGTATCTGTTAAAGAAGTCAGCCAAAAGCGAGGTATGATTTACAAATGATATTTTGTGCTTTTTTACTCAGCCTACTTGTCTGTGTGTCCATCTGTCTGGGGATTCTAATTATTCAACATAAGAATAAAGTGTTGGAGCTTTAAATGTTTTTGAAAAAAAATAGAATGGACACATATATATGAAATAATAAATGTTTCAATCAGGATTTAGACTACCCCAGATTTTTTGGGAAAACTAGATTGTTAAGATTTTGTATAATAGTAAAAATCTTTAGCCTGTTCCATTCCATCTGCAAAAATCGTGATATTTCTTGTTAAATATCACGCTCCATCACTTTTAGCCATTCCCTTCCCGTGTGTAGGATTAAATATTTTCATTTGAAAACCCATACCACTATCTCTGAGGTGACTTTCCATTTGCAGGGCTTTGTGAAATGAATATCATTTGTGAATCTCATAAGCTGAATATAATAGCATACAATTCTGTAAGATTAATACAAATGGGCATTGAATGTACTCTCCCCTCCCGTGTTGACCTGTGATATTATTTTATTCAATTAACAGTCATTAAATAATTCAAATTCAGAGATAAAACTATAATTTCATTTATTTTGCCTCAAATTTCTAAAAAATCTGTGACAACTTCTTAAAATATACCTTTTCTAGCTGCCTCATATGCCATCACATATGTGATAATTGATGTGCTGGACCTCAATGACGAGGCACCTCAGTGGGTCTTCCCAGATCCCCAACCATATCCTAGCCCTTCAACAACCAGTGGCAAGTACTTCACAGCCTTAAGCAAGACAGCAGATGCATCAACCTTTATCATACAAGTACTGGTAAGTGTAGCGCATTTCTATATAAGGCATGCAAAATGATTCAAACATGATTGTCAGTCATTTATGGAAAATAATACACTGCTTTTTGTTACTGGATATGAATTGATTAATCATCCTATATTATATATTTAGCTCATATCAAGTTGTTTCCTGCTGTCTTTTCAAGAGAGGAGTTTTTATATAACTTTGAAATCTTGCTAATTCTCTTTTTTATGAGATTTTAAGAGATTTTCATATTAAGTCTTCAATGACCTACTTGTCCTTCTTTTTAATAGCATATTTGCATTCAGTGAATAGTTTTTTACTAGCACTATAATAACTTTCATTTATACTTTTACAAGAAAGGTGTGGGCCAAATATACATTGATGCATTGTTAAAATTCTTTAAAACCTTCATTTGACAACCAAAATTTTCATGAATTATCAGATTATAAATCATGAAATTGAATGACTATTGCATTTTTAACATTGAAGCTTATGGTAGTTTAGCCCTACCAAAATAAATAAAAACAAGTGGTGACATCTATTTATTCAGCTTAAATCAACTATATAGCAACTACCTCATTAAAGGGGTATTCCTCACCAGACCATTTCTCTCCTGATATGGTAGCTATAATCAAATATATACTTTTCATATTCAGGAAAACATAGGGAAATGTTTTGATATGGTCAGTATTGATTAATTAATTTTCTACCTTTTTATTCCAATATATATGAACCTCAAATAATGAAGCTTAAAGGTGCAACAATGGGAGCCAGGACTCGTATAGATGGCAGTTAACTACTAGGTTGTTCTCCACAACTGGCCCATTGGTTTATGTGTAAATATTGCTGTTTTGAAACTTCAAATTCTCTACATATATCAAATAAATATCATATTTTCCTTCATCATTATTTACAAACATGTTTTAAGATTCAAAATTAGAAGTTTTGGATATTTTCAATAAAATTTATCTTTGGAGATTTTTCGAACATTTTTTACATGTTAAAGGGGACCACCACCATGATCACATGATCAGTCGTGTGGAGGTAAGCTCCCAGTTGAAATAAAAGCACTGTTCTCCTTTGGTTTATGTGAAAAGTAGCTAATACCCTCATGTATTTGGTCAGTTTGTGTGTCACACGACTTATCCACACCATATGCTTCATTCAACATATTTTATGCTATTAAGCTGCATATAAAAACACTACTTAGCTGTAAAAACGTACCACATGGATGAACTCAGGTTAGGGTAATTAAATTAGTTGTTTCTCATTCTTGCCCGCGTGTGGCCCAATCCCCCCTCCACCTTTTTCTGCCATTTCTGAGAAAAAAACACCTTACCTCGCGCGCATCCATGGCGTGTGAAACACTTTTTTAAAACTTTTTATGGATCAGGATAATTGACAATATCGTGGTACTGATATATGATCAAATATACCAGTAAAGTAAGCTAAATTCAACATATAAATTCAACATAAACCCAGTTTATTTCCTTCAAAATTAGTTATTTGTTTTTACAGTTATTTTTTAAAAAAAGTCCCTCATCAGCATTTTAGATAGACAAAAAAGGTAATATAAAAATCGTCATTCCCGTATCAATTTTGAAAAATAGAAGAAAGAGAAACAACTAATTTAATTACCCTGGCCTAACATAAAATACAAAGCCACTAGCCAGCTCATACAGTATACTTACCCCTTGCAAATTGTAATTTATTGAATTCACAGTTAACCCATCAATTTAAAAAAAACAAAAAATATTGTTCTCATGGATCTATTATTCATGTTAAACTCACTATGAAAATATAAATATGAAATAATATGTTAGCTTGAAGTCATATATAAGATGAAAATATATGTCCATGCATTTGCATTTTTCCAAAGGGAATACTGTATATTCCCATGTAAGTAAATACAGGTGCAATATATAATTTATATGTATATCTATGTCATCTGTACATCTATACATGCGCGTATAGTGATACATTTGAACAAGATGATGGTCCTGGAAAGAAATGAGCTTGGCAGATTTGCTAAAAAGCCACATACACCACAAAAGCAAGACCAATTTGAAAGTAAGTTCATTATTTTCAAGGGTACACTTCAAGTGAAAGCTACATTGCTACAGGGTGGCCAATCATTCTGAGACAAATGTATTATCCAACGATTGTGATTTTCGAAGCTAAAATATAATATCTTGAGCAGATGGAAATACATTCCCATGAGATATGTATATATAGTCAAAAGTGATAACTATTTATTGAGTGTAATGAAACGTATCCTTCGCCAACTGCTTTTGTTTGAGATAATTATCATGAAATATTTTTAAATTAATTTTTATGTGTGTCATTGATCCTAATCCACCCTGTAGTCTGGTGTTTGTAGAGCATTGCACCTCGTACAACTTATTCTCACAAATATCAAACCTCATTTACTAATTAATTTTTTATGTGAATATGAAGAGTCCAAACATTGCTTTTTTATGTTTACTGTATAGCTATATTTAGCCTTGATATCCATGATTTTTTAAAACAAAATCTCACCGTTAGATTTTGAGCTATTCATGTTTACTCATTTTTCTAATTGGAAAACAATGCAAATCTCATTTTTTGAAATTCTAAGACGGTGAAAAATCATTAAAAAATACACAGATTCAGAATCCGGCAAGCATTTTCCCTTATTCCTCTCCGTTAAGAAGTTTTGTAAGGTGTTGGATTCCTTTAAAGTATGCTATTAAACCTACTGAATTTTTCGCCATCTATTGACAGTCCTGAAGGCCATTAGAACAGAGTTTGAACAATCATGGACCAGTGTCAAAATATATTCAAGTTTGGATATTTCATCAAGACTAATATTTTTTTTTATTTTCTCAAGAAACTCCCTGGATGAACATTATTTCAACTGATATTCCTCTTGAAACGTAATGGATCTTAAAATTCTCTTAGTGGGACTCCCTTTAGAGAAGCTTTGAACTGAATTTACACTTCTTAATGCTAAAATTGATAGTTTATCCATACATTTTAAAAAAACAGGTATGTCAAAGAAGATGTTAAGCCAAATATTGCCCTGATAGCTCAGAAAAAGTAAAAAATTTGGAATTTTTCTCTACAGACCTTTTGCCCCTTTGATATAGGCAAAAGTTATCTGTATCACATCAGGGATATCAGCACTGGGGTCAACCCTCCTAAGCGTCTCTTTCAGGACTTTCATCGTTACGAGGCCCATATAACAAAGCAAGAGTTGTGGGCTCTAAAAGCTTTTCTATAAGGGCTGTCAATGAATAACCTGTTAAATTCTTAATAACCACTCATAGTAGCTTACTTGAGTAAGAAATTTTCACTTGAATTGGTTGACTGTGGATATCTAATCCTATTTTTGTATAATTCATTTCTTTTGGCCAGTAACCTGTTTCCAGGCGTGAGAAATAAATCCCTCTTTTATCCTATCAGCAGTCAGAATTCGATCCAGTGAGGCTACTCTTATGTCACATAAGTTCTTCCAATGTTTGTGGCTGTAAATTGACACCACTACTTTCTACAGTGCTTGCTGTCAAACCTCCATTCATCATATACCTTCCTCTCTTTTTGTCAACTGCCAATCTGGTTGACATTATGCTCTGCAGACTAAATATTTCTTGCTGCTGCCTCTTTCTGAAATACCTCATTACAACCCTTTTAATATCAGGCATTCGTAGAGCATATACATAGGGATTGATAGCTGAATTGGCAAGCCATAAATACATAAGAGCCCTGGTTACTTGTCTTGGTAATAACTCAGCATATGGGTCAACAAGCATATGGATTGACTCTGGCATCCAACATAGACAGAAAAGTATGTAAATTTCGCTCATTCTGCGACAGGCATGGTTGTACTGACTATTGATTGCACTATGCCTGAATTTTAGCCTTCTTCTGACGATGAAGAATATCCTTATGTAGAAATAAAAAGGGAGGATAAGACTTGGGACAACAATAAGGCCATAGACGCAGTTGATCCAGCGCCCAATGTTCTCCATATCTGTTGCGTCAAGAGCACTTAAACACATTCCAAATATAGGGAAATACCCCGGTCGTATGACACCGGCCAAATGGGGAACTATGAGTATACAGAATGAAATAATCCATATTAAAACCAAAGAAGACACAAGAACTGGCCATTTGTCCCAATTCTGGTAACATGAAACTTGAGGTTTAGCAGCAATAAAGTATTTAAATGATATAAATGCATTTGTGTAAAGAGTAGCCCCAAAGGACCAGACTTGAACGTATGCAGTGATCTCACACAGTAATGTGTTTATTTGATGTTTATAATACACAGTTGTGTACAGATTTACTGGAACACTCCAAGCACATATCAGGATGTCTGAGATGGCAAGACTGACTAACATACTATGTCGGGACTTCCACAACTGCTTTGATGTTAGTATAGAAAAGAGTGTGAGTGCATTACCTACTGTACCTGAAACAGATATCACCCCCAACACAACAGCCTCAATAGTAATCTCTAATATAGGGATATCATGGTTAGTGATATTTATGTTACAACCATCTGTTTGCATTTTCTTCTCTGCTTCGGTAGTATTCATGTTGCATACATCTGTGACAGAAATTTCTCCCTCTACTTTAGTAATGTTGATGTTTGATACCTCTGTGAAGGAAATAGGAATATTGGATGTCTTTGTAACAGACATTCCCTTCCCTGATTCAGTTGTACCATTGTTGGATGCCTTTGTGACAGAAATGTCCTTCTCTGCTTCAGTTGTGTTGATGTTTGATGCCTCTGTGGTAGACATGTCCTTCTCTGCTTCAGTTGTGTTCATGCTTGATGCCTCTGTGGTAGACATTTCCTTCTCTGCTTCAGTTGTGTTGATGTTTGATGCCTCTGTGGTAGACATGTCCTTCTCTGCTTCAGTTGTGTTCATGCTTGATGCCTCTGTGGTAGACATGTCCTTCTCTGCTTCAGTTGTGTTCATGTTTGATGCCTCTGTGGTAGACATTTCCTTCTCTACTTCAGTTGTGTTCATGTTTGATGCCTCTGTGGTAGACATTTCCTTCTCTGCTTCAGTTGTGTTCATGTTTGATGCCTCTGTGGTAGACATTTCCTTCTCTGCTTCAGTTATGTTCATGTTTGATGCCTCTGTGGTAGACATGTCCTTCTCTACTTCAGTTGTGTTCATGTTTGATGCCTCTGTGGTAGTCATTTCCTTCTCTGCTTCATTTGTGTTCATGTTTGATGCCTCTGTGGTAGACATGTCCTTCTCTGCTTCAGTTGTGTTCATGTTTGATGCCTCTGTGGTAGACATTTCCTTCTCTGCTTCAGTTGTGTTCATGTTTGATGCCTCTGTGGTAGACATGTCCTTCTCTGCTTCAGTTGTCTTCATGATTGATGCCTCTGTGGTAGACATTTCCTTCTCTGCTTCAGTTGTGTTCATGTTTGATGCCTCTGTGGTAGACATGTCCTTCTCTACTTCAGTTGTGTTCATGTTTGATGGCTCTGTGGTAGACATTTCCTTCTCTGCTTCAGTTATGTTCATGTTTGATGCCTCTGTGGTAGACATTTCCTTCTCTGCTTCATTTGTGTTCATGTTTGATGCCTCTGTGGTAGACATGTCCTTCTCTGCTTCAGTTGTCTTCATGATTGATGCCTCTGTGGTAGACATGTCCTTCTCTGCTTCAGTTGTGTTCATGTTTGATGCCTCTGTGGTAGACATGTCCTTCTCTGCTTCAGTTGTTTTCATGTTTGATGCCCCTGTGGTAGACATGTCCTTCTCTGCTTCAGTTGTGTTCATGTTTGATGCCTCTGTGGTAGACATGTCCTTCTCTGCTTCAGTTGTCTTCATGTTTGATGCCTCTGTGGTAGACATTTCCTTCTCTGCTTCATTTGTGTTCATGTTTGATGCCTCTGTGGTAGACATGTCCTTCTCTGCTTCAGTTGTCTTCATAATTGATGCCTCTGTGGTAGACATGTCCTTCTCTGCTTCAGTTGTGTTCATGTTTGATGCCTCTGTGGTAGACATGTCCTTCTCTACTTCATTTGTGTTCATGTTTGATGCCTCTGTGGTAGACATTTCCTTCTCTGCTTCAGTTATGTTCATGTTTGATGCCTCTGTGGTAGACATTTCCTTCTCTGCTTCAGTTGTGTTCATGTCTGATGCCTCTGTGGTAGACATTTCCTTCTCTGCTTCAGTTGTGTTCATGTCTGATGCCTCTGTGGTAGACATTTCCTTCTCTGCTTCAGTTGTCTTCATGTGTGATGCCTCTCTGGTAGACATTTCCTTCTCTGCTTCAATTGTGTTCATGTTTGATGGCTCTGTGATTAACTCTACATCTGCAGCAGTTCTATTTATGTTGAATACCTTGGTAATGGGCATTTCATTTACTGCTTTAGTTACATTACTGTAGGATGCCTCTGTGATAAGCATTTCCTTGTCTGATTCCATTGTATTATTGTTAGATGCCTCTGTGACAGAAATATCATTATCTGCCTCAGTTACATTAATTTTGCTAGATTGTGTAATACTCCTTTCACCAGATTTAACACTTGTTTGTGTAACAGTATCTTGCAGTCTACCATTTCTTGTAAAATTCTCAATGTCCATACTTGTATGCATATCCAATTGTTGGATGGACTTAGTGACTGTCAGAGCAGCTAGAGTTTCTAGTTGGCCACTCGTGTGTTTTCTAACAGTTTTGTTTGAGACTGCAACATCCAACAGAGTGGAGTTCATGAGCTGAAATAAGAATACAACAGTAGTATTTTAAAATGAAGCTATTCACTTGACTCAGTTTAATGGAAAGATCCACAGACATATGTAGGATTATCAGACATTTGTGTGTATTTGACCACAAAAACAAATGTGTCTGTAAGACAAGTCTATATAACCTTCAAAAAAAATTTACTTTTTTATTATTAAAAGGTGCCACATAATGGTATTTACAATGATTTGTGAAATATTGAAATTGTGTAAAGTATGATATTGTATATAATTGAGAAAATAAACTGATTTAATGGAAATGGTTGAATGTCTCCTTCTACAGTAACAGGTGCATAGCAATAAAAATGTGAAAAGTAAGAGAATATATAATTTCAATATCACATAACTAAATAGTATGACATGATAATATCTGGTGAGATTTGACAGTAGTTCAAGGAACTACTCCTCTTAGTATATATTGCAATAATAATCTTTAAATGACTTTATGCTTTTTGAGCTTTTGATATCACAAGGTGTTTCATTCAATATAAGGCCACCTTGACCTAAAATACTTTTCTTTCTATAAATGGTGTTAAATTTAGAGATATGGAGATCATACAGGGTGTATTTTTGTATGACCGCGGCGCAATTGAACTTGATATGGTTGCATAATATATGGGTTAGCGGGCGTCCTGATTAATCTTATCTACTGGTTTCCATCCAAGCCGCTTGAGGGATTCATCTGAAATTTTTAGGAATGTTTAGATTTAATGTTTAAATGAAAGTTTAAAACTCATTAGTTTTTGAGCATTCTGGGTAAATGTTAAGGCGGCCATTTTAGATTTCCATCCTAAAATCTTGTCTGTCCAGGCTTGTCTACAGGTTTCCAGCCAAACCTTTTCAGGGATTCATTTGAAATTTTCAGGGTTGTTTCTTCCTATGAAAGTTTGGAACTCACACTTGTTTAGGGCATTCTTGGTAAATTTTAATGTGGCCATTTTTGATTTTTCCTCTTGTCTGTCGAGGCTTGTCTACAGGGTTCCAGGTTTCATGGATTCATCTTAAAATTTTATGGATGTTTGTACATATGTGAGTTTAGAACTGATTAGTTTTTGGGCAGTCTAGGTAAAGGCAGCCTCAATAACTTGAAGATACAAAATATGTTTAAAATGCCATCAGGTGAAATCAAATAAAATCATGTATATAGTAAAAAAAACATTTTTCAAAAGTGTTAACACCCATTAAATCATTGCTCCTATGCTAAAGCATGGAGACATCTATTGCCACTAAACAACACCTTAAGGCCTTTTCTGTCACACTGGTGATATTGTGTAAGGCCTCACAGTTTGAAATCTCTTATGTTATGAACCAGTGTTTTTCCTCAAACCCCTCTTGACTACATAAGAGCCCTATTTACACTACACATGACATTCCAAGACGTCTTGACTAAAACCAAGCCCATGCTAAAACATATAAGAAAAGGTATGTTGAGTTTACACCACCATTGTCAAGCCGTCTTATGAAATTTGATTGAGTTTACATCTGTTTTTCTTAAATGTCTTAGAGATATGAAGGTATACATGTAAAATGAAAAAAGCAGTTCAGTCAATATAGCTATTCCTTTCCCGCTTCTATACTTTGTGCTAAAGAATGCATCGGTTTCACATAAATATGTCCTAAAGACAGCATTGTTAAAAGCATGAAAGAGAGCAGGAAGATTTTGGGCATAAATTAGGGTTATGATAGATCGCCAGGCAAATTAGTTCTTTTCGATATTTTTGGGATGATATTGGGAACAAGGGATTAGAGAAAAGAAAGGACCATGCAACACATGTAAACAGAAATTTTTCGTTCAGTGCAATGCAAAAAACTGGGCTATTGAGCTCTTAGCTAAAACTGATGGATTTACACTCGCTTGTAAAACGTTTTAACGCTAAGACGTCTTGGCTATGATTAGGGTCCTAAAACGTTTTAGTTAAGCGCTCTTAGCCGAGAGCTCTTTAGAAAATCTGGATTTACATTACATTTGTAAAATGTTTTAACGCTAAAACGTTTTACCCAGGACGTCTTAGGGCTCTTGTGTAAATCCAACAAATATTGAAGTTTGATTGTTATACTTTGATGGGTATGATCAATAAGCATTAAGTAATGTTTGTACATGTATTAGCTACTTTGACTTTACACTAATTGGTTCCGATTTGATATTATAAAGGATAAGTATGTGACAAACTAAGAAAAAACATGGTGTAAACGTCTTATCAACGATGACCAATATCTTGTAAAAACTAAAATATCATTTGAAAGAAAACACTTTATTGAATTCCAAATAAAATTTGTCTAAAATTACCATTTTATTATTTTTTATCTGAGATTTTTGTGTAAAAGAATATATACTCATATATGGACATTTTTGAAAAGTATTTGATATTTGAAAACAACTATTTTACAAACTATTTGACATGTATATAGAGGATATCCTTATATAATTTTTGAGGGATACCATTTTTATCTATGTGTGGAATTAATTTTCAAAAGAAAATTTCACAATTTTTTTCTAAATATTTTTTAAATAGTATCTGTCGGATACGATTAGATATCACGTCATATGGATAGGATACATTTCTAGTGGCGCATACCAAAATTATCTTGTGTTGTTATCCCCATATATATTAGTCATCCATCGGATAAATATCTATGCATGATGTATTACATGTATTTGATAAAAAAAATATATATAAATATTCAAGCTTACCAGAATCCAGATGATATCTTGGGCTTTCATTGCTGCAATAAATGTTTCAACTTCACGTTTTGTGATTCCTTTTTTCCTTTTCAAGGAAATACATGTTTTCCATTCCTCTTGCCCCTACGGGTTATGCATACTCCAACTGGTGCCTGCCATTGGTATATGCAGAATATGATTAGGCCATTTAAAGTTAATTATGTGTTTTATGTCTTGCTCAGTTACCAACCCTTACTGGCCTTAGGATGAAAAACAAATCCTTAATTTATTGTATTTCTACATGTACCAGGTATAAAACCTACAGAGTGAAACCAACAATGGCACACACTTTATCACTTAAACTTTTTAAATGCCACACTTCAAAAACTGATCAACCCAGATGTTTCACATTTAGAATTGAAAATTTTAAATTACATGAATGTATGTATGCAGGAATGATTTATGTTTACATTTTACAGCTCAGACTATCTTGTTTAGAATATTAGAAAACGACAGATTTCCTATGTAATGCATTGTGATCATACCAAGAGACACATTGGAATCCAAATCTATCTCTCTGAATAAATCTCATACATGTACAATGTTTATTTATGGGTAATGAGTTTTTAATGTAAATGTATGGAAGCACCTTACATGTGAAAGCTGAAATACGTGTAGTTTTCAATTAAGGAACTCTTAAGTAAAACATTATCTTCAATTACAATTTGTAAGTTTCAATTATCATTTGGATTTATTTCAATTATTGCACATGTCTAAGTTGACACTTGAAATTGTTCGTTTTCTGAAATTTTGCTAGAATCTTATGTGGGAGTGGACATTAAAAATATCTTTGACTTTGAATGGCCTAATAAATAATGACGATTTTCTATATAAACAACTAAGAGATCATGTTCTTATAATATTATCACCAATGGCATTCATCAAGATCGGTCGACCTATGGGTACAGATCCTTTCATTGTCTGAATTACACTGGAATAACTTGATACCCCAAATTATTTATTGCTATGACGATAATGGTATCATAATTTCAGAGTAAGATTCATATAACATATATTCTAATTAGAACATAAGATTCTTATCTTATATTCCAATTAGTGGTAAGATATTATGATCATAGAAAAACTGTAATCAGATGCCATTCAAGGTTTTTTTATCAATAGGTTTATTTCATAAATACAAACAATTATTCAATGAAAAGACAGGATTGGGGCAAATCGCCATTCAAGGTAACACAGTATTTATTTTTGATATTATTGATAGTAGTCAAGGTAATAAAAAGGGACACCTCCCTCCCATGGTGATTTTCCATTTGTGAAATTAGGTTTCAATTATGAAATTCATTGGATGATTAGATTTGCCATTTTTTAGGTACATACAGGGTGTCTAAAAACAACAGCACCCCCCTCCAAAGCAAAAAGTCCATAATGTTACATATCATGTCATACCTCATTTGAAAGATATTTTTTAAATTTTTTAAATTTTGGAGTTATCATTGAATTTCATTCAATAAAAATTAATGTTAAAAAAGCTGCATTGTTTCAAAGTTTGCTACTTCAGCACTTTGTTTGCTGCTCTGTTACTGGTTAAAGGTCAAATCTTCAGAAAGTGGAATATGTAAGAATAAGCCCAGATATCAACTGCACTGAACATATGGGTTCAGTTCTGAAAAACAGGGTATAGGAATTAATGGACAAAGAGCCTTGTGAAAAAAGATACAGGTAGGATGTAATTATGAAGAATGTGAGGAAAGTGCTAAGAGGATTATGCAATGCTTCACCCTTATCTAAATTTTTATTGAAATAATATCGATCCTGATAAGCTGCTGTTCAAGCAGCAACTGGTGGTCACACCAACTTCTAAACATAGCTGTAAATCTGTACTATTATATGAAATAAAGCTTAAATTTCTCAGGTAACTCCAGAATTGAATTGTCTTTAAAATGAGATATGACACACCATGTGACATTAAGTACTTAAGTAGAGGGGGATGCCGTTGTTTTTGACACCCTGTACATTTAATTTGACTGGAATGTTACATTTTAACATATATTCTTTTAAGTGGTTGTTGTTGGTTATGTTGTATAAGTACTGGCATGAAATTAATTTAGTCAATCATTGGGCACTTAAAGCTTTGCATAAGAGCCACCATGATGACCAAGTGTTATCCCCTGTTATCGCCCCTCTTTCAGAATTGACCTTCAAATATTTACAAACATGGATGGTACATTGGGATTGCATATATGTGCTTTATTGTAAGGTGAAAAAATCCATAGACCTTTCCATTTAATCCAGATGTCTTGTATCAAAACACTAATTAAACAAAACTAATATACACTGGCAGATTTTTGAGTGGGCCTAGAAAAGAAATTGGGCCAAAAAATACCTTAAGACTCCAAATAGTGGGCCTTTGGCTATTATTTGACCTTTTAAGTCCTTATTTTATAATTTTAGGCCAAATTTTAGGGGCCCAAAAATTGTGGAATTTTTTATCAAACCTAAAATTTGCCCCCCCCCCCCTTGTTGGTTCCCTGATCAGTCCTTGATATAGATATCAAGCATCAGCTTTAGTATATTAATTTTACAATACTTTGAACTAAATATCTAAGTGCAATGCAAAGAGGAAGATTCAAAGATTTTCTTTCAAACAAAGTCAGCAATAGTGATATATAATTACAAAAACAAGAAAGAGTGTGCATCGATAAAACATATTGACGTCTGAATTGCAGATTAAAACTTACACTTGTTGAATACACATGCAACTCTGCAACAATCTCTGTAACATCCAGTACTGATTAATATAATTGATAAATATTCAGTCTTGTGAAAACACTTGATGAACAGTGGATTTGTCTTGATTAAGAGTAACATATATGAGGGTTGATCATGAATAAATTGAAAAATAAAGAAATTAGAGAGAAATTATGAGAACTTTATGATCACCCCTCGTATATATGGGTACATGTAAAGATTGTCAAAGCTAATTTAATGTCTGGTTGATGTATGAATTAACCTCAACAGAGCTTCGTATGTTGGATTGCTTTTTGCAGGCCATGTGAAGAAATTATCAACAAATAATGAAATGCTTATACCAATGGGCTCCTTTATACTTCTTGTTCATCAAGAATTATAATTCTTTCACTTCTGTACCCAGTTGAGAAAAATCTTAACAAACATTGACACAAGTTTGCATCTTGTTTATTTTAGGCTGTAGACAGAGATGAAGGGAACTTTGGTCGAGTGCAATACCAGAAAAAGACAGAATCCAGGGAAAGTAATTCCTTCTTCCATATTGATCCTACTAATGGAATGATTCGCAACGTAGCTGAGTTTGCCAGTTCAGATAATAATACTCAAAGGTTCCATATTGTAGCATATGACAACCCAGGAAATGGCACAGACCAGCACAAAACTGAAGGGGAAGTTATTGTAAGTAAAGGCTTAACATTTCTAAGTTCTAGCTTAATTCCAGGAAATCTCAAATTTTAAAAATTTATTTACATTTAGAATTAATATTATAGATATTCACATTTTTATTTGGAACTAACACATTTCCGCACTTTGAATCTTTAATAACTTTACTTTTTTAAAGTACAGGGTGACACAAAAATGCCATGCACTAATTTTGGAATAACTATCAATAATTAAAGGTGCAACAAGTAGTGCAGAGGGGCCATTCAACGATCATGGACCAGTGTCAAAATATATTTAAGTTTGGATATTTCATCAAGACTAATATCTATTTTTATTTATTACAAAGAAACCCCCTAGATAATCATTATTTCAGCTTATATTCCTCTTGAACCATGGTGGATCTTAAAAATATAAAAGAGGACGTCCCCTTTTTTGAAGCTTTGAACTGAATTTACACTTTTTAATGCCGAAATTGATAGTTTATCCATACATTTTAAGAAAATGGGTATGTCGAAGAAGATGTTAAGCCAACTGTTGCCTTGATAGCTCAGAAAAAGTTAAAATTTTCCTATTTTCTCTCTACAAGCCTTATTGCCCCCTTAAAGAATCTTCATGATTATGTATGTGTAGATAATGTTCCTATGAAAGATTGGTATGAGAGCATACCTGGAGGGAAAATGTGGTATAGAGACTGAATAAGGATTTTAAATAATTTTTTCTATTTTAGATCAACCTGATCAGTGATGAACATAGATTTGTGTTGATGGTTGATCAGTCTTCAGACGAAGCATATGAACATAGAGATGATATCCTGAGGTGAGATATTGACTTTATATTCAGATCACAATAACATGCGCTTACTCTCTATGATAACTCAATGAACCTGGCAGACCGAGCTCTAACAATTGCATCATAAAGCAAAAGCTCAAGCTTGGATTAAGGTTTGTTTGCCCATGATGCCAGTGTGCCAGTGTGCAACAATAAACATGAGATCTCCATATGCTATGCAGCCACTGAATATGTATTATTCTACTTGTCCATCCTTAAAGATTTATATAGTAAGTGACTCCAATCAGAGACATATCAAACAAATGATCTTTACTTGTTATTAAATGTATGTTAATATTGTATAACCAAAAAAGATTTTGCTATCTTGATTCAATCCATGAGTACTGTACATCTTTGCAATTATACATACATGTATGAGAAATTGAGATAAAAAGGTACAGTATGGACTATGGAGCAATTGATATTTTGACTTGGGGATATTATTATCCCATCGAACGAGGGAGGGATATAGGGAACGCCTCCGTCCGTCCGTCCGTCCGTCCGTCCGTCCGTCCGTACGTACGTCCATCAGTCTGTCCGTCCGTCCGGGCAATAACTCAAATAACGTTGGCCCTATTTTGTTCATATTTTGTACACATATACCCTATGGAGGTAGAAGTTCTGCTCGAAAGCCGATTTTCAAAATGGCCGCTCATTTAAAAATGGCGGCCATTTTAGTGCCAATTTTACAGTAATTTATGTGCAATATTTAAAACTGTTATAGGAATATGTTTTAAATGTAAAAAATTATATAGGACATTGATAAAGCTAGAAATGTAGATATTAAAGAAGCACATGGCAGCCATCTTGAAAAATGGCGGCCTTTACTCATTATTTTACGATTTTTGCTGTAACCCCAAAAGTAGTGGAGCGATTTTGTTCATATATTAGGTATGTGGATACTATAAGCATGGCACACTGTGTAATAACACTTTTGGTAGAAGGCGGCCATTTTGAAAAATGGCCGCCTTTTTTCAAAATGGCCGCCATTTTAACGTATTTTACTATAATTCGAAAAGTAGTGGAGCGATTTTGTTCATATTTGGTATGTGAATACTAGAAGCATGGCACACTGTCTAATGAAACTTTTAGTAGAAGGCGGCCATTTTGAAAAATGGCCGCCACTTTAACATATTTTACTATAACTCGAAAAGCAGTGGAGCAATTTTGTTCATATTTGGTATGTCAATACTATAAGCATGGCACACTGTCTAATGACACTATTGGAAGAAGGTAGCCATTTTGAAAAATGGCCGCCATTTTAACGTATTTTACTATAACTCGAAAAGTAGTGGAGCGATTTTGTTTAATATTTGGTATGTAAATATATTAAGCATGGCACACTGTCTAATGACACTTTTGGTAGAAGGCGGCCATTTTTCAAAATGGCCACCATTTAACATATTTTATGATAACTCGAAAAGTAGTGGAGCAATTTTGTTCATATTTGGTATGTGAATACTATAAGCATGGCACACTGTCTAATGACACTATTGGTAGAAGGTAGCCATTTTGAAAAATGGCCCCCATTTTAACGTATTTTACTATAACTCGAAAAGTAGTGGAGCGATTTTGTTTAATATTTGGTATGTAAATATATTAAGCATGGCACACTGTCTAATGACACTTTTGGAAGAAGGCGGCTGTTTTTCAAAATGGCCACCATTTTAATGTATTTTACTATAACTCGAAAAGTAGTGGAGCGATTTTGTTCATATTTGGTATGTGAATACTATAAGCATGGCACACTGTCTAATGACACTTTTGGTAGAAGGCAGCCATTTTGAAAAATAGCCACCATTTTAACATATTTCACTATAACTCAAAAAGTGGAGTGATTTTGTTCATATTTGGTATGTGAATACTATAAGCATGGCACACTGTCTAATGACACTGTCTAATGGTAGAAGGTGGCCATTTTGAAAAATGGCTGCCATTTGTGCTATATACTTTGTTTGTAAATATGCCAGCCATGGCTGTTCGATGGGATTCGCTATGCTTTGGCGTTGCCGTTGTTCTGGTTTTTATTTCAAACTTGTGCTCTTGTGTAATTTCTAGTTATCTGATATCCAGGGCAAAGCCCCCCAAAGTAGCATTGTGGCGTGTTATATTATTGTTCATTCTGTATATACATATATTATATACTATAGAATATGTATATTATGTTTGTGTCTTAATGTGATTATAGGTCTCTCCAAGAGGTGACAGGGACGATTCCAATAATTGAAAAGATCCAGGCTAAACGTACCCAAGATAGCAATGGACAAACAATTGTAGATACAGAGAAGTATGTTCCTAAGTGATTGCTCTGTACAGGCCCATAGCCAGCTTTTGCCAAGGGGGGTTCACCTTTTAAAGAATTCACTTTTGACAATTTTGGTCCAAAAATGGCCAAAATAACTTAAAAAGTGCCCAGAATGGTGAAAAATTGCATGGTTTTGAATTTTTGGTTACCAGTCTGCTGTACAATTGGTGTTGTTATGTCACTTGTTGCTCATATTGGCCAAGTCTGTTAATGTTCTTTTATATAAAATTAAACTTTATTAGAAATATATATATATGTTTACTTTTACATGAATTAAAATTAAAGTGATTATGCAAGTTACATCAGTCTGTGCTGGGTCTGTTTTAAACAGCCAGAAATCCCTTTTATATGGCAACAAAATATTGCATTTTATTTATTTCATTTCACAGTGTATTCAATACACACTTTTTGGTAATTATTTTATGTAGGCTATACAATACTTCAATGAATTATAAACAATGAATTGATTTGTTTTACAGAACTGATGTGTGGTTTGTTCTAACGAATGTGACAGATTACAGTTTGGTTGGTAGGCGCAGCAATGGCGGAGAAACGTAGGTGTATATGCAATTAACAACATTTTGAAGAGGAAATATAAAACATGGATAACAGCTGAGGCTAACTATGAAGGGTCAATAACTTAAATCCACATGAAAAATATTCCAGATTCCTTTTTTCAATTGCACCCATCGCACCCCCTGGCTACGCTTATGTTGTTCTCGGTGGACTTGTTTGACCTCTGTACTCAAAGTAATGGAGTAAATTGCACCACCTGGTTCATTTGCTTTACTTAGTAGTTGGTACTCCTCAGCGTTGCTATTATCTTGTTTTTAATGACCAACCAAAATATAGCTAAAGGGGCACTCTTAATTACAAAATATGAAAAAAAAATAAAGTCTGTAAAACAATTAGCTTTTTATGTCACCACCAGAAGTGGTGACATATTGTTATAGTCTCCATCTTTTTTGGGGGTAGTATTTCACGATTGATCTTCGGTGTCTGAAACAAATGGCAGGTGGTGACATTTTGCATTTTAATGCCTTTTCTATCTATTCTAGGGCTGGACATGAATATTATTTCCACTTTTCTAGAACTTTTGTGGATTCTGTCTAGTATGTAATATTATATGCACATGTACAATTCACGTTTTACACTTGGAAAATATGAAATACATGTGCAAATTAAAGTATACTTTGCTTATGTTTATCCTCTTTGTAGACATTTTATATCACTCTCATTGACCCATCACCTTATGGTCCTTTTTACAAGAATAAGTCACATCAGAGTTCAGTATGAGAAATTCGAAAATTTAAACTAATTAATACTTTGTTGATATTTTAGCGTTATCTGGTCCAAATTGAAGACGATCAAACAAAGTATGGGGACAAAGGGTGTAATATTTGATGGATTCCGTGACCCCTATGATGAGCCTAACACTGACATGATTGTAATGAAGACTTATGAAAACTACTCCTGGGGACCATGGGCTGCCTTAATTGCCCTGGCCTGCCTGATCATTCTGTTCTGTATAATTGGAATTATTGTGCTCTGCATCAGTTGGGCTAGGTATGTATAGAAACTGGTCTAAGAGAGTATCATTCACATTTCTGTATTTAAATCTAGGATGTGCTCATACTAATGTAGTATCTTAAAATGTACTTTTTGAGCATACTTCTTATAGCTACACAAAATGGTATTTGTTGATTAATTATTTCATATTTTAATTTTTTATTCCTTGACGTGACTGTATAACCTGCCCCACCCTACCTAAACTCACCAACTTAATTTTATTATAACATTATAACATGAAAATTTGTAGAATAATCAAAGTGTCTCTAAGGAACATTTACTGAAAATTTCATGGAAAAATATCAATTATTGATAAAATAAGAGCATATAGTGCATTACTTCTGGGACAACCCTCGTAGTCTGGAAAAATACAGCAAGATCAGATGATTTCATTATGTCAATGTTGTGTTATTCAGATACCAGAGGGCACTTAAGAGGTACCATCATTCGGAGCGTACAGTCATGGTTGTCCCAACATATGAACCAGAATATGCGATTGCACCTCCCAGTTACCAAAAGGAATTTGAAACACAGGTTTGTGGTTAAATTAGAGTATTGAATAATGTGTCTTTCAGACTGTATTGTCCATTATGTCACCACCAAAATGTGGTGACATATTGTTATGGTCTCCATGCTTTTGTGATGGCGGTTGGCGTCTATAACGAATTCTTACAACTCCCAATAACTCAACAAATACTGTTTTAAGATTGACTTCAGTTCTTTTCAAAATCATCTACAAGTTATCAGAAGTTCAAATCTGACTTTAAAGGACCACATGCACTCTCCATTGGGATCTCCCCATGAGAAAAAAATAATTCATCTGATTTTTCAAAATGAGTATTCTGCTTTAATTATTACATTTATATGCACACTAGTATTTTATTGACCTATATTCAGCACTGTATTGATGTATAGTCCACTTATTAGGGTCATAATTCAATCATGAAGTGTAGAGGCATAGATTCCAAACCAGGAAGTATTTTTGTGTCTGTCAAAATCCATTTGCATTCTACGCATCCCTACATCTTATCCGAATATGTTACTACATAATGAAATATATACCAAATATTCCATTCTATTGAGGTGAATACATGTTCATCTTTCCCTCAGGTATATTTCCCTTGCCCTTCGGGCTGCGGGCTTCTAAAGTAGAATGGAATATTTGATTTATTATATCATTTGAATGTTCTACAAATTAAGTGTATTTCTTTTAACCATTTAATGCGCATACAATACACGAGCTCATCAGAATAACCACTCTAACTACAGCCACTCTTAGATGCAAGATATTGCCATCTTTCATCCTCAAAAGTCACACGTGCAAGATGACTTGTGACATCACTGGTTTATAAACATCAAGAACATGGCAACGGATGCACAATTGCTATGAGTACCCATGCTCATACTACAAATATAAGCTGTGACATCATAACAATGAAGTTTTGTTGCCTTGCGTATCCAAGTATTTTCTACAATATTGTTGTGACGTCATAACAAAAACATAACATCCGGGACTTTCTTTCGTGGTATATACTCCGTGGTATACACCCTAATATTTTTAATCATGTGGGTTCTTATCCAATGAGAAAACGAGAAACATTTCAATGATATAATAAAATAGTATATTCTTTGGTTTTACAAAGTTGTATGATTTTTGATAAGTGTAAAAGTTGTTTTTGGAGCATTTTTCTATAGCCATTTTGTAGGGAAAAAGATGATGAAAAAATGTACAATCTTTTAATTTTAAGTTTGACTTGAAACGATTGCAAACTTCATATTTGCACATTTGATGAGATAAACCATTTGTGTCATATTGTGAAATTATTAAGTTTGCAATCGATTCAGGTCATAGTGTATTTTTGGTATTTTTGTGATAATGGAAACCAATGGCCTCTATTGGCATTTGCTGATATCCTCATGTTAAGTCAATGATGCACAGCCCCGTGTAAGTCAATACAACCTTACTGATCTAAATGGCCCCTATCTCAGCCTATGTGTGCCAGAGTACTTTAATATTTTCCAAAGAATTATATGACATAGGCTATTCTTTATGTTACATATAAGAATTATTCATTTTGACCATAGGGGTATGTGCCAATAAATGCACCTCTTCCTTTAAGATTTGACCTTCCATGACCTTCTCACTGTCAAGAAACGTTCTAAATTTTCTTTTTTCAACTTGACCAAATTTCTTTTTCAAAATCATCTAAAATTTCTCAGAAGTTCAAATCTGACTTTAGATTTGACCTTCAATGACCTTCTCCATGTGAAAAAAGGTCTTATTTTCAACTTGCTTCAAATTGACCAAATTCTTTTTTCAAAATCATCTACAAGTTCTAAAAAGTTCAAATCTGACTTAAGATTGAACGCAAAATATTATGAGCAACTAGGTGGTGACATTCTGTCATGTCAATGCCATTTCCAAGCATATTTATCATATTGAAAATATTAGTTCAGAATTTCATTTTTCTAATTTCACAAAACGGACATTGGAGATGTAAATCATTCTGACCAGTGTGACCACAAATGAGGTTCCTACCCATAATCCTTGCATTGATTCATAATTATGTAAATTTAGAGTCTTGCCATGTATGTACCAGAGGAGCCCATAGTTGATCTTGGAGAGGTAAACATGACACTCACCACACATGAAGGGGTGCTGTCTGGAGAGGCCACACGTAAAGATATGGTCATTGAATCAGCCCCAGGTGTAGTCTCCGGACATGGTGGAAGTAAGTTACAATAGACAAATATTTTTTGACCTCTGATATGGCTTTATTTGTTAGAATCAGTTATATTTAATGAACACAATGTTTGATTTAAATGCTTCCACTTCTTTGCTTTGTGTTCAAAAATGTATTTACATACTTCAATTTTTTAGACAAGTAGTCTAGTATGGTATCTGCTTAAAGTTATGATTACATATGCTTTGCAATTTACTATGCTTGACTTAACACATGTGCAAAGCAAGAATGATTGTGTCAAGTGCCACTAGCACTCTTAGATCAAATAAATCAGCATCATATAGAGGTGATGAGTATATGCATAACATCAGTGGTAATAACCATACATTGTACCAAACTGGTACAAATCACCAGTGAATACACATGTATTTTGGCCAATATATCATATGTTCCATCTATTTAGAACTAGAATGTGCTAGAACGTACATGTACAACCTTTTGTACAATAGGTTTGTGTAATTTATTGTGTAATTTACCCCAAGTAACACTGATGCAGCATTTACTTCCAAAAAAATATTCATGCAATTTTCAAATAAATTCTTCATTAAACAAACCTGGGGCACTCAATTGTTACGCTGGATTAAAAAAGGATTAGCAGTCCAAAAACAATTTAGGTAATAAAGAGAGGGAAAGGAAGGAGGAGGAGTGAGGGGGGGGGGCAGAGGGAGATAAATCAGCTGAACAAGCCAGAATGAGGATTTAAAGGATTTCTAAGACATAAGACTAAGAATGTACTTGCATCATTACAAATGACTTTCCAATTTAGGTTCAAATAAAGTGGAGGGTCCTGGCACAATGAATGTTGCTCATCCAACTAGTACTCTATACATTGAGGATGATACTGATGATGCTTATGAAACATTTGAAGTCACTGAAACATTTGGTAATTACTATCAAAAGACATGAGGGAACCATCAATGACAATTACCACAACTTACCTAATACCTAGTGACCTTTGTGTGGCATATCTCAGTAGAGTAAATTTTGCCTATTAACGGATGATACCTTAACTAACAGTCCATCCGTCAATTAACGCATTTTGCCCATTAACGGACGATACCTTAACTAACAGTCCATCCGTCAATTAACGCATGGCGATAACCGCGCATGTCTACTAGTTTAACTGGCGGTCCGTCAATTGACGGTTGATAGTTCAATTGGCGGGAAATTCAAATTACTCTATTATCGGCTATCACAATGAGAAGAAAAGGTCCCAGCGCGAAAGTTTTTTTAAGTTTACCGTGAATTCTTAGCGATGTGTCATGTCTATTAATGTCTATATTTATTGCTGCCGAATGTGTTACTGAATTTTGAGAATTTCTAGGGACAAAATGGGCTATCGAGCTCGAATTTCACCCCTCCCGACATCCCCACTCCACATTTTGACTACCTTATCCAAAGTAATTGTAGAGTTTGTTTGATATTAAATATTGAGTGTTCTGATTCAGGAACAGTAAATGGATGCACCATAGGCCTACTGGCCCGAGGTCCGTCCATGAACCAGGAAATATGAGGGGAGGGGGCTGTCCAAGTCGGCAAGTGAACTGTGTCAGATCACAAATGGGAAAATCTTCATAAAATACGTAGATTGCTCTTACTTGTAAACTCTGAGCACTGCTGATTAATCAAGTGGCATCCATAAGAGTAAAATACTTGAATATAAAGTTAAGAACATTCGTTTGACGTGAGGCAATCTGCGCAAGGTTCGTTTTTAGGTTCGGTTTTTAGCACATGCGCTTGGAATAAGTATTTATAATTATTCATAACACAACCGTTGCATTGTCTTATTGTCAACAACTTCACTATTTATTGTGAATTTGAATACAATAAAAAAAAGTTCTACGATGATCGGCAATCGTTTCTTTACGTAATTGCGTATGGTATGTGTTTTAGAATCATCGTATATTTGGTGTTTCCCGATCACATATAAAATAAGTTCAGAATTTGATAATAATATAATACGTCAAAGCAGGTCCGTATTGGTGAAATTAACAAACAAATAGGTAAATAAAATGCTTTATTGACGTTAAATAAATGTAATTATATTACCATAGGCCAAGGGTTCTATATACAACTTACTATTACTTTACCATTGGCCTATGAA